CTTTTATTTATTTATCCGGTTAAAATAATTCTTTTAAATTAATATACGGGTAAAAGTAATAACGAAGGAAACCGTTTTTAATAATATTTTAAAAGAATTTAATATAGTATTATATAAATAATAATAAAAGTTTTTATTATAAATATAGTATTAAAATAATTTGTTAAAATAAGGTCGTTAAGAGCTCTGTACTATAGAGGTCTTAGGAAGGGGAAGTAATTACTTAAGGTCTTAGCGAGTTTCGGACTATACTGCTAAATATAACGATATGGTTATCGAAGGAAGAAAGTATAATAGGAATTTCCTATAAATATAGAGAAAAGTATATTAAAATATTATAGTTTTATATAAAGTATTGTAAATAATTAATTTATTTAATTAATTTAACTTATTATTTTTCTTTTTAAAAAGAAAAAAGTAAGAAAATTATTACGATTAAAAAAAGGCTCTTTATAAATACCTAAATTTCTTTATTATCCTTATCGTTCCCTATCGCTCGGTAACCCTAGTGGCTTAGATCTCTAGTTCGGTAAGGTTATAAAGTAATAAGCTTGCTAATAAGACGCTCGTATTACTTATAAAGCTTTTCGTGGCTTAACCTCGTAGCCGATAAGATACTCGTATTGCTTATGAGGCTTCTTATACCACGGTCTTATTACTCGGAGGTCCGGTGAGGAATCCTAGGAGTTTAAAAGCGCTCGAGCCTCTATAAGCGAGCCGTTAAGAGCTTAAGGGCGAGCCGCTGTGGGCGAGCCGTTGGGAACGCGAGTGGGGGAGCTGTTGGGAGCAATATGGGCGCAGAATTCCATAAACAAGTGCTGTAAAATCCATGAATAAATGCTGCATTTTAACATATAGTATTAACTAGGCTATTAAAAGATAAGAAGGAAGATTTATAAAGAAAAGAGGGGAAACGAAAAAAATATATATAATCGATAAAACTAAGCTAACGGGACGTTAACCTAAAGGAGGGGTATTATATTACGGACCTAATATAAGTAGGGAGCGCGGGGCGCAACTATTTAACTATTGGAACGGAAAAATAAAGAAGTCGGATTATTATTAATATTAAAAGTAATAATTAAAATTATTATTAGCCTTCGATAAACGATAAGTAATAATTAATATTATTATTAATAATAATAGTAATAAACCGGTCTATATATACGGAGGAATTAATTAATATAAATAAATAGTTCCGTAATATATAATTTATAATTATATTTACGGTATTTTATATTTATATTAAAATATTTTATTATATATTATTTAGCTATACTAAACTAATTATTAGAAGTTACCTTTAACCCGTATCCCTTTTAGAGGTTCTATATAGGGGTTCGTTACAATAGTGTATAATAAAATATTTTAATATAAATATAAAATACCGTAAATATAAACTATAAATTATATATTGCGGAACTATTTATTTATATTAGTTAGTTCTTCTGTATATATAGACCGGTTTATTACTATTATTACTAGTAATAATATCGATTATCACTTATAGTTTACCGAAAGCTAGTAATAATCGTGATTATTACCCTTAGCACTAGTAATAATCCGACTTCCCCACGTTTCCGTTCCAGTAGTTGGACGGTCGCGCCCCGCGCTCCCTACTTATGTCAGATCCGTGACACAGAAGCTGTATTTTAATATCTTTTTTACTATTATAATTAATAGTAATTTAACGATATTAATCTATTATAGTTATATAAATACACAGATTTTTTATATTAATTAAAATTTAATAATTTTTAATAATCAAATACTTTTCCGGAGCTAATTATTACAATCGTGGATGAAGAGCTAACGTACGGGGCGCGGGACGCTCCTAGCTAATCATTACTGACTTATCGAAAGTGGAGCGACGGGATCACGATGAGCGTAGTAAACCACAGGAAGGAAAGGTAATCCAGATCACCTTTAGGGGGAACGTGATCCAAGTGATCTACGGGTCTATATATACGGAGGAACTAGATAGCTGGTAGATAGTTCCGCAGTATGCAATACAAGTCACATTCGTTGGTATCAGACTATTGTGATTGAGACAAGCCATTGTTGTGCACTGTTTAGCTGCACCGAACCATTTGTCTAGAAGCACCTTGAACTGAGTATCCCTCTCAGAGGTTCTGGATCGGGGTTCGTCACATGAAGTCCATATCCTCTCGGGCTGTTTTTAATTGGGTATCGGTCATAAAATACAGGCAGCCCTAGAAGGTGAGGACCACAGCCAGTAACAGAATATTCTTTCGCTCTCTCTCTCACTCTCTCACACACACACTCTTTTAGTCTCCCATGAATGCTTGCCTTCCTCTCAACCCACAACTACGCTTTTCAACCTTGTTCAAACAACTTACCATCCATCAATCCTCAAGCCCCCATGTTCTACAATATCAAACAGGATATACAAGAAAATGCAGTGAAGGGAAAAAAAGGCTTTAAATGCAACCCCCTGACTCCAGGTATAAGCGCAAAGCAAAGATAACCGCTCGCATCTTACCCCATGTACGCCAATTCGCCAAATGACATCGCCTATGTCGCTCTCGCCAGAAAGCAAACGCCAGCCAGGAGTGCCATCCACAACATAGATATAATACCCACCATCCTACCCCAAATAAACCAAAAATAAATGACCACAGGGGAATCTGAAAGCACAGGAAACAAATGAGAAAATACAAGAGCAATGACAAGCAAGTCTTGCAAAGTCTTACCCCACAGCCAACGTCGAATCCAATACCGAATTCAAGAAATCGCCATCTGCCGGGTCGGCTCCCTCCCACCAAAGATCGTTGTCGATATCCATGGCATCTGGCCCGTGACCATGCCCTCCTATTCCATTTGTAAGTGGTGGGTCTGTGGTTGCCGTGGCCAGGGCTTTGCTGCCACCAGCTGCTGTTGGTAATGGTATTAACGACGGCATTCCGTTCACCATTGTCGTCGTGCCGCCCATCTCGACATCCTCATCGTCGATTTCGCCTAATATCCTTCCACCTTCCTTCTTGATATACGTGTAAGATTCCCAATCTTCCAACTCTCCTTCTCGGTAGTCGTTGACAATCGTTTTCACTATTGTCGGGAAGTTTGCCATTCCACAGTCGCCCACATCCAACGCCAACCTCAAATCTGTCATTCCAAGAGGTCCTCTTTCGCTCGCAGCTTTGGCTTCGATCGGCAACAGCCCGCTCTTGTCCCTGGTCAGCTCTCCCCTTTGGAAGGCTTCTTCTTCCTTTGCCAGTTGCTTCTTGTATTTGTGCGTCTGAACCCATGCACCCCCTGGCCCAAAGCCAGCATTTCCAGAGTCGCCGGGTCCGTTGCTGCGAGTACGACTGAATACCTGCGTAAGAACTTCTTTTATAAACGTGTCGGTGGCGATAGACATGAACTGGGCGGCTTCTGGCGCGTGGCCGGAGACGAGACCAGATTCATAGCAAAAGGGCAACATGCGGGCTTCGATACTAGATACGTCAGGGAATTCGCCAGACTCGACGGCAAGAGGTTGGGCAAAGCGTTTTCGGATCTCGAGGTCAAAGTCTACACGCTGTTAGTGAAGAGTCAAATAAGGGGTAAGGAAGGGGTACATACTCATGCGACTGAGACCCCCTGCTGCGCTTGCTGGTACCTCGGTGGTCTTGGCAGGTTTGATGCGGCTCTGGTCTGTAAATACATCTGCCAAGGAGTTGAATGGGTCGAACTAGATAAATGGTCAGTAACTCCAGCGTGGATAGCCGTGGTCGTAAGAAGGCTTACATCGTTTTGTACAATGTCCTTGATCCTCCGCCTGTCTCGTGCCGGCAACTGCATGACCTCCCCCTTTAACCTCCTTTCGGCAGCATCACCAGACACGGGCTTGTTGCCTGCCGTGGTGGACGGCTTGTCATTGGCACTGACCCAGGGCGCAAGGCCCTGGTCGGGCATCTCCCTCGTGACATTTCCATAGATGGCAGCAATGAGCTGGTTATGTAGATGTTCTCTTTGTCCGTCAGGGGAAGCTAATATTGGGTCTATGCGCTCGCTGAACTCGGCTTGATTGAGGCGGCCTGTATGTAAACATGGTCAGCAAGTTTGGCCCGGCATGTATGATGCAGAGCCGCTGGCGCATACCGATCAGGAAGTTTGTGATTGTTTCTTTGTAAATAACCCATTGTTCGGGGCCAATGGTGGACTTTAACTGCGTGTATATCGGCTCGAGGTCTATGCGGGCGGGTATAAGCTGGCTCGTTTTGGGAGTCTTGTGCAGCGATGGGGCCGAGACATTGATGGATTTGTTGGCGAGAATGGGGGTAGAGACGCTGATGGAAGGCCGGCTCAGGGCGGCGGGGTCGATGTCGACCATGGTGGTGTGGCCAGCCTTGGAGTTGTAGATGTACAGATATGGCTGGAGCAATCCTGATCCGGAGGCGCGAAAGAGAGAAAGGAGCAGGGTTCAGTTTCGTCGCGCGCGAAATGCACAGTGGTCGCGACGTGAAGCGGCAGTCATTTGCGCATCAAAATGAAGGCCAGACTCATGCGATCGCGGATCCGCAGTCAGAGTGATGGACTTGGCATGGTGTCGCCTTGGAATGGATGGTGTTGTCGTCGGTCAGCCAAACTTGATGGTGGTCAGGTCCTCGGTTGCTCAGTGTCTGTAGTTGAATTTTGCGGGGCCTCTCAGTAACAGAGTTGCGGCGGGTGTAGTTGTAGGCCCTGGCCCCAGTCCCAGGGCAGCTTTGTACCGTTCTTGGCAGCCCTTTTACACTGGACGACGACCCCTCGTCATGTCCTGTCTTGTATACTAGGTCGCGTCCAATCCACCAATACTCAAGTCAATAATGCAGCACTAAACATCACCACCGCCTACAAAAGAGCTTGATTGCGAACGGCACTGGGTTGACATTGACACAATGCAACCATGTCTCACGCCCCGCGCAATCGAATCTCGAATGCAATCGACAGTCTGATCACCCACCTGGTGCCTAGCAACCCCCACGACGACGAGCAGACAGCTCAAGAGAGGCATGATGCTTGCTTTGAGCTTGTCCGGGCCATTTTTGAGCGGTGAGCATTTTTCATCTGATACTCTTTTGGCCTAGACAAAGCTAATTAGAAAGCAACAGGCCTAATTCTCCCTCGATATCGGCCGACGTAAACCATGCTTCGGACCTCATCAAGCGGAAGCTCATACACAGCAACCCTAGCCAGGCCCTACGCTTCTCCAACCTCTATACCCGACTTTTGTCACTGCCAGTCCTGAACCAAAAATGGGCCATTTTATATCTCCTATATCAGCTCTCTGACTCGCCTGATCCCAATGAGCCTCCACCACCACCAAGGCAGCCAGCAGCACCACATGGGTTGACATCGCGGGAGCCAAGCTTCCGGGACCGAGAACTTCAAGCGCAGATCCTTCGGGAGCAGGAAGAGAACCAGGTAGAGGCAGAGAACTACCAAGGGCCAGTACCGGCAGAGCCAAGTTTCCGAGAGCCAGCTTCTCGTGAGCCAAACTTCCGTGAATCAGTAGCACAGCGGGCGGCGGGACGAGCAACAGGCCGGTCGACGGCAACAGCAGAGTCAAAAACGTCGACACCCGCACCACCACTGGTATCAGAAGAAGAGGCTGTAAACAATGTGTTTGCCCCAGGTGGTTTGAAAAAGCTCCCAACCGAAAGGCCACGGCGAAACACCAATGCCGAAGAAGCTCGCTCGCAGCCTGGTGCGGTAGACGGATCTACCAAGAAGAGCACAAGGGACGTTTCAATCAAGTCAAACTTGCTCGCAGACAACTCATTGGAGTTTGAGCCTTCTGAGATGGGTCTGTTGAGAGACCTTCCTTTCACTCTTCAGGGATTATCATCAACAACTCTTCCCTTCACCAGGGATACTGTTTTGAAACTGCCGCCAACTTTGCCGCTACCAATAGTGTCACTGTTGCACACTTTGGCCGAGCCTTCATTATTATATCGAGGGCTTGCAAATTTTGTCAAGTCACCAGCAAAGGGGTTACTCGGCCAGAGCTTGCGGGCAGCCATCAACAATGAGCTTCGGTCATATCTCACTCTTGTGGCAACGCTGGAGGCGCAGATTCGACGGGCATTGTCATCCCTTGATGAGGCAGCACCACGAGGCGGCATCGGGAAAGCCGGTGTCACGTTGAAGAGATGCGTTGTTTGGACGAGAGAGGCGACCATGGGCTTGCGGCTGATGTCTTTGATATCAGAGGAGAGTTATAGTAAACAAGGCGGACAACTGATCAGTCTGATTCACGGCTTTTCTACCTCTCATGGTGACCCCGTGGTGGCTGCTTTTGCTGAACGCTTGCTGGCCGACGTCACCCGGCCGTTTTACGACATTCTTCGGCGTTGGATATACGACGGTGAGCTATCGGATCCCCATCTGGAGTTCTTCGTCCGCGAACAAAACCCCAACAATGAGAAACAAAACGAGTCCAAGGCCAAAGGCCAAGCTAGTGTGTGGAACTCCAAGTACGAAGTCGTCGACGCCATGGTACCCAGTATCATGACCCCCGACTTTGCCCAAAAGGTCTTTTTGATTGGAAAGTCCCTCAACTTCATCCGCCACAGCTGCGGCGACAGCCAGTGGGTCGACGCCTATAGCAAAACCTCGTCAAAGGAGCTCAAGTACGGCGACACGGCCACGCTCGAGAAGTGGATCGACGACGCCTACAAGACCACCATGCAGCGCCTCATGACGCTCATGAACACCCGCTTCCGTCTGTTTGACCACCTCCAAGCCCTGAAGAACTATATCCTTCTCGGCCAGGGCGACTTTATCGCCTTGCTGATGGAATCCCTCGCCGCGAACCTCGACCGCCCAGCTGGCGCACAATACCGCCACACCCTCACTGCCCAGCTCGAACACGCCATCCGCGGCTCCAACGCCCAGTATGATTCCGACGAGGTCCTCCGCCGCCTAGACGCCCGTATGCTTCAACTGAGCCACGGCGATATTGGCTGGGATTGTTTCACGCTCGAATACAAAATCGATGCCCCTGTCGATGTGGTAGTCACCGAATGGGGAAACCGTCAGTACCTCAAAGTCTTCAACTTTCTCTGGCGGATCAAACGCGTCGAGTTTGCTCTGGCATCCACCTGGAGAAAATGCATGACGGGCGCGAGGGGAGTGCTGCAATCCAACGACGAGACAGTCCTCCAGACGTGGAAATCCACCAGGGGAACTCTCGCGGAGATGATCCATTTTGTTGGTCAACTGCAATACTACATTTTATTTGAAGTCATCGAGTCCAGCTGGGGGGAGCTGCAGGAGAACATCCGAAAAGAAGACTGCACACTGGATGACTTGATCACGGCTCACACCAAGTACCTCACCTCCATCACCCACAAAGGACTTCTCGGTGCCCGCCGGAGACAGCACCACGACGCGCAAAAGGAAGCCGCCTCGTTGGGCCGTGACGCATCAGAAGTTGAAGACCGCAACTCGTACATGGTGCAGCTGTCGCTCCTGCTGCGAAACATGCTCGACTACAGAGACAGCGTGGACGGGTTATACTCGTGGTCGGTGTCTGACTTTACCCGCAGACAAGAAGTCGACACGGTCTCGCTGCTGCGAAAACACCGGCCCAATTCGGGAGACATGGAGAGTTCTGTCGGGCCGGACGATCCCTTTTTTGGTTCTGCCGGGGGAGTGGGAGGGAACAACAATATTAAGAGCGAGTTCCCCGCGCTGCAGGAACGGCTGAAGCAGTTAGGGGTGAGTTTCAGGCAGAGGCTGCAGATCTTGCTGGGGGATCTGGCGTATCAGCCTGATGTGGACATGCGCTTCCTGGGGGTGTCGATGAACTTTAATGATGTGTATCAGCCGGTTAGGAGGAAGAGTGGGAAGGCTGGGGCTGGGGGGAGTGGTGTTTCGGCTGGTGGTGGGGAGAAACAACAACAGCAGCAGCAGCAGCAGGGAGGGAATGTGGGGAGTGTGAATGTTTCGTTTTCTGCTTCAAGGGCTTAGGAGGCTGGAAAGGAGGAGAGTGAAGGTTTGAGACCACCGGGGCAGGATAGGAGGAAAGGAGAGGAAGAGGAGGAGAAAGTAGTAGACGTGAAAGCGGATCGGCGGGCTGATGAGAAAGGGGAGGGGGGAAGCTTGAGGAAGACGCCTTCTTCGGGTGGTGTCAAACAGGGCAAAACACCTGTGACGACTGTGAGATGGGTCGAGAGACAACCATGTGGCAAGACTGTAAGTCCGAGCAAGAAAACTCCCAGCCCGGGGAAAGGCGGAGGAGGGTCATGGCTCCAGACTAGGCCGGCGTGGAAGAGGCCTTGAAAAGGGTTGTATTGTATACTGCGGGCGGCGCGACTAGAGTATCTTGTCATGATTTGGCGAGGGGGGAGGGAAAGGGGTGTTCATCTTTGGGAGTTTTGACGGTTAGAGTTATCGGTGTTTTGGTGTGTGTTGAAATGATATATGTTTATGACCATAATCTGTTCTAATCGTGATACAAAAGTTTGAGCAAAGTGGATTGCCTTCGACTATAGATTAACGTGTACATTGACCGGCTCTAACCATGTCTAACTTGAAAGTAGATAATACCCATGTGTGTTGAAAGCTTCTTGAGGTAACTCATCGACTAACAAAAATGACATCTGCAAGAGAATCCACGTTCATAGATATATTCCATGTCAGTCGCCACTCCTCCGATAATCGCCCCCCATCCCACGCCGTGTATGCAATATCTGACTCCTCCCCTCCCAAGACGAATATAATCAACTCTCAGAACCAAAATGCTATGCTTTCTCAAATATAAAAATAACCCTTTAATCCTCAATCGCCTCCTCATCAATAACACCCTGCTCCTTGATCTTCCTCTCCTCCGGCTCAGGCAACCCCACATTCTTCCTTGCCATGACCTGACTCTCCACAAAACTGTCCCAATGCTGGGGATCGGCCTCCCTCAGTCTCTTGAGTATATCTTGCCTCCTCTCCTGGAACACCTGGACCACGCCTCTCTCTTCTGCTTCCTTCTTCAAGTCGGCGTCACCCATCTCATCCAGCAACTCGTGTAGTAACCTAGCATGGTTGGGATCCGCCCCGACTTCTTCGACTCCCGAACTCAAAAGCGCGGCATTGTAGTGCTCAGGACGGAGAGCCACGATTCCAGCACGGAATTTGTGACCCGCCCGGAGAACGCGCGCCTCTTCATCTGCGAGCGCCTTGGAAGACAAAGAAATGATAGAGTTGGAGCGAGAGAGGGCCTTGCGGGACTCGCGTGATTGAGCAACGGCGTCGTCTTCGGCGTCGGAAATAATGGCAGCTGTATAACTGGCTGAGAGGTCCGAGTCAGTTGGGAGAGGGGGAGTAGGACCAGACGCCAGGCTGGATGATTTGCCATTAGCGTTGTCAAGGGAAGACAAGGAAGCGGCATCGCCCTTGTCGTTTCCGGCAGTGGTGCTGGCGGTGTCCACGCCCGAGTCGTCGGCTGCTGACAGGCGGGTGTCGGGGAACTCGTCTTCAAAGCGCTTGATGATACCATGTAGGGTATTATCCAAGAACATGAGACGGTCTGCGACTACTGTTAGCATCAGAGTATTCCTATAGGACTGTAAAGAGAGGCACGTACGATGAGTGTGGCTATCATTCGCCGCCATCTTGGCTTTGACGATAGCAGGCTGGAGCCTCAACCGGATCTTGCGAGCGCTGAGCAGCAGGTGCTTGCTCGTATCCTTGGCCTTGGCCACCGCAGTGGTAGGTTCCTTCTCACCGTCTCCCAAGGAAACCTGATCCACCTCACCAGCCAACAGTTCAGGGACAGAATGCGAAGAAATATCATCGCCCCTGTTCTTGAGGCAGCAAGCAAGAGCCTTGACGACTCCAGTGCCGCCGATGACATAGTCGTTATCCGGAGCGGCATCAACATCTGCATCAGCATCCAAAGAGAGCATGACATCGTGTCCAACCAGTCGTTGCAGGACATCGGGATATTCGGGCTCGGCCTTGAAGCTACCCGACAGCAAGCCCTCCTCAGCTGTTGGTGCAGGTGTTGTTGCTGATGTAGCTGTCTGCACAGCAGTAGCAAGCTCCATGTTTCTCAACCCATACGCGACGACTTGCTTGGCCATGGCCTTGACCAAATCACTCGATTGCTCGCTGGGTACCTCGATATCAACCGCCACCAGGCTGGTTGAAACCCTGGCGGCAGCGAGGAGCGATGCAAACAGGGCACATGCCTCTTCTTGTTTCTCTTCAGAATTCGCACTTGTCGTGAGCTCGACAAGGTCCTTGTTTTGCAGGAAGCTGATATGTGCCAAGCCAGTAACCTCCGGCAGGATTTCTGCCAGAGCAATGGCTTGCTCAGCACTAAGTGTGCAGTCCGCCAGATGGATGCGCTTGAGGCAAGCAAACTTGGGAAGATATCTTCTCAGAACAGCCACCGCGCTCGGGTCTGAGCTGAAGAGCTCATGGTTATGGCTCAAGTCGATAAACCTTAAGTGATCCAGCTTCACCAGTGTAGGGAACAGCTTGCACAAACTCGACGGCTCCAGATTGCAGTCAGCCAGGCTGAGCGCCCAAAGAGGGCATGTTTCCACCTCGAGTGAATCGGCCAGTATTCCCAGCTTGTCCCGAAGGTCATTCCCACCCAAATCAAGGCCCTCACACTGGTTGCTCTTCAGGAATCTCGCCACGTGGGCCAGGCCCTCCGAGTCAATATCATTGTGCGCCAGATTCAACCTCTTAATTCCACATTTGATAGCACCGTCGATGACGGCTGCCAGCTGAGGTGTAGACAGTCCTGTTTGCGCCATACTTAGCAGAGTAAGTGTTGACCCCCCCAGTCTTTCCCCTAATGACTTCGCAAAGAGCGAGCACAGAGCTTGAGGAGGTGGTTGTTGCCCATCCGGCAGGGGAGCGCAGACATGTCGTGGGAACTGAATCCCGCTCAAGTCCAGGACCTTGAGGGTCCTGCACAGATAGATAAACAAGCATATGTGCCTCCAGCCCTCCGGGCCGATTCTGTTGTTGCTAAGCACCAGCCGCTCAACGACACCGCCTTGCTCTATGAGCCCATCGACGGTGCCAGTTGATGATTTCTGCTGCTGTAGTTGCAACTGTCTCCTTCGTTTTAGTGGTGACAGAACCTTGGTTTTTCTCGCTGCTAGCAAGCCAGCCAGGATAACTCTGAGCCCTTCATCTGCCAAGGAGCAGTCCACCAGAATCAGCTCTCTGACGGGGACAACAGCGAGGTAATCACCCAACGTCACCAGATCGGGCAGCGCCATGTAGTAGCCCGTCAAATCCAGCTTCTCAACCATACCCGTCTCAGCAGAAAAGTTGGCCGGGTCCATCAGCTGTTCGGTTATCTTCTTAAGAATATGTGTCTCCCGCAGCTGACAGCACCGGCGGTATATCCTAACTGGGTTGGTAGTGGGCATCGTTTGAGGTGGATTTGCAAGTCCGGCAGGTGTTTCAGGTCGATAACTCCCGCCGTTGGCGGACGTGGAGGAGTCAGAATCAGAGTTGTAATAGAGCTCCATAGGAACAGTTCCGTTGGCCTCCGCCTGCCGCCGTTTCCGTTCCTTGCGAGCCTTGCGGTCTTCCTCGCTCTTCTTCTTCTTTTCTTTCTTCCTTGCGTCGGATGCTGAAGCAGCAGAAGATATTGGTATTGGCGAAGCTGCAGCTGGCGATGTGCCTAGGCGTGGAGTTGAGGATGTGCCCTCTGTGGCGGGTTCCTTCGGTACTTCTTCCCCCGTGGCTTTGATGGAACCATCAACTTCCTTTTGGCATGCCAACGCTTTGGGGTTATTGAGAGCTTCCGCCTCGACCTTCTCCTTGAGTTTCTTTTTCATTTCCTTGGCCGCTTTGTCCTTTGCTTTTCGCTCGTCCATTTCGTCAATGTATTTGGGCATTGGAGCAATCTCCACGTCGACGCAAAACGCCACCCTCCTCAGCTTGGCCTGGTTCAACCCTGAGATGGCGCAGCGCTCCCGATTCCGGTCCACATTCAGCACCTGCCTTTCCACCAGTCCATGATTGTGAGCTTTGAACGTCGGATTCAAACTTCCGCTAGAAGTTGACGATGATAATCTTCGAAATACGTGTAGGAGCCCATTTGTCTGAGAGCCTCGCGGCGGAGCAGGGGTATAGGGACCCTCGCCCTCTGGTTTCGCCGCATGTTGTAGAACGGCCTGCTTGGCTGGGTTGGCTTTTGGAACAGAGAACTCGGCGGGCTTGGGAGAAGCAGTATTCGCCACAGGGGGGCTTTGTGTCGCACCGTTGCTCGAGCTGAATTTCTGCGAGATATTGGAGAACCAGGAGCCCCTTCGCTGAGGGGGATGGGGAACGGCAGGTTGTGGTATTCGCTTTTCGTCTGAACTCGTTCTTGTCCCAAGCGCTGGTCGGTTTGGACTTGGTGCCACGTTTGGCGTGCTTTGTGCCGCCTGAGTGCTGTCGTTCCTACCATGGCCGTTGGTAGTCGCTGCGGGGGTGGGCGAGTCCAAGGGCGCTGGGTTCGAGAGTGATCTTTGACGGCCGAGTAGTGGTCTCACGGGTCTGTCTGGAGAGAGGTCAAAGGAACTTGCTGTTAGCTGGACAATTCCCATTCACGATATGCATGGCGCATGTTCAGGCCGCCAGGGGTCCAATTGTGCACAAACCTTTAGGATTCCCGTGGGTCATCCAGCTCACGTCGAGGCTGTGTATGTGCTCCATGTTGTCTCGAGGGGGCGGGTTGTTGTTTCTTTTATTGCTATTGCATTCCCCTATCCTCGTCGCTTGTTCCGGGTTGTATCAGGTGTAAGTGGTGATTTTCTTCTCGGTGTAAAAGGTGTGATAGCCGGGAGGAAGGCGAGTAGGACGATAAGTAGGGTAGAGGTGGGATGTGATCGTTTCAACGTTGGGCCCGGTGCTATCGCGGTCTAAAGCCTCTCTGTTGGAACGACGTCGTGCTTTTTTTCCTTTGTCGCGGGGTTCCGTCCGTCACGAGGTCCAGTTGCCAGTCATGACATGAATGGCTGCCATAGTCCGGTTGGTATGTGTCCCAGTATATGTTCAAACGTAAAGCTGGCCGTCGCCGTCGATAGCTTGAGGCGCGCAACCACGGTAGGGCAGACTGAGGTCGGTGTGGTCCGGTGGGATTGTGAGGTGAGGATGAGGTAAAGTGGTGGTGTTGGTGTCGGTGGTGGCGGCCCGGCCGTCTTTCACTGCTGACCCAAAAAAGGGCGCCGCCGAGCTGAACGGATTGGAAATGCCCGATTTGTAGTGGTTCGCGCGCGTGCCGGATCAAATCACTCCCGCTACAGTTGTCTCCCGTATGTGTGACCGTTTCTCTGCTGGAGAAGTGGCTGAGCTCACCGTTGCGGTGAAGCGGAAGGTATCACTGGTGGAAGGGGGTTGACGCAGTACTGGGATGCAGTGCTGCACCGATCCAGATGACGGGAGAGGTGGGAGATGCTTGGATGCAACGGGGGGTTATGGCGGGAGACGGGAGGGGGGCGACTCGCTCAGTAAGGGCCCTGTATGTATGTCTCACGATGCCAATGTATGCCACACCCTGGTTACAGCTCGGTGATTGCCCCGTAAAGTAGAGTACACGATCGAGTGACGATAAAAGAAAGAGGCGATTGCCAAAAAGATGGGAGGAGCTATTCAGGTCAAGTCAAGAGCAAGAGAGACAAGACCGGACCGGCCGAACGACATAGCGGGCACCTGGGCACGGAGGCATGGTGGGACTCTCCCACTAATTATCATCTTGGGTCCATCCAGGAAAACGTGAGAGAATTCGCAGATCGGACGCCGGAAATTGGGCCCTTTCTGGACGTGCACATACGTCGGCCGAAGCCCACGAGCGAGCGAACGGAAACGAAACGAACTGGTGGCGGTTTCTGCACCTCAACCCCCGCAACTCTAGAGAGAGAAGCAGCATCATAACCATGGCAAACTTTGGGCCAGTCTGGTAACGGCAGGTGATCGGTATTCAGCGGTTCCCCAGATTTGCGGTAGCCACCCATCCCGTGCCCTTGCCCCTCATGTTGACTCGTATGTGGTACCACTGACGAGTGTATGTGTGTGCGTCTGTTCACCACACAACGAGAAGCTTCTCTTCTCATCATCATTTTCCTATAATCCATCCATCCACATCCCAATTCAACAAACAGCGCGATTTCAGGGGTCCCGAAACTCTATCCGGGGCACCCACGCCAAGGCCGGACGGTGCTAACCCCATGTTCCCTGGAACGGCAATTCCACTCTGGCGTCTGCAAGTTGACCACATCGTGCACCGCTCACCCAGACAACCCACTGCATCCAGTTTCCCATCACGCATGCTTGAGGGGAACACAATTCCTCATCTGAGCTTTCTACCACCAACCAGTGAAAGGAACACACCACCAGCTCGGTATCACTTGCAGCTCATAGTCCCTTGCTCAGACGATCATGCTGTGAGAGTACCCCGCATGACCTCATAACCCTCACCCACGCCTCCAGGTGCTCGGTCTGGAACTGCTTTTGGGTTGGCGACACCACATCTTGTCCCTCAACTTGTCAATTAGAAACATTCCATTGAGGCCGAGGTGCCCCTCGAAACTAAGAAAGCCGAATGGCTGAGTACTACTCTGTAGTACCTGATTACATACACATTCCATATCAACGGCTTGAGGCGGCTTGCAAAGGCTCTACCAACAGCTTCAACAAGGAAGTACATCACATGATCACATAATGGCGCCAACGTTCGGTTGGTCCGCCAGTCAGTCAAAGATGCATGAGAAAAGTGATTGGCTTTTGGTGAACCCTGGTCATTGCCCCATGTGCCCGTCCATCTTTTGTGGATGCACTTAAACTCCTAAAGAATATGCTGCCATCTTGAGCCCAGACGATACAACCAGTCCCTAGCAAAAACCACCAATTTACTCCTGAAGAAGGGCGGCAATGCGCTCCTGGACACCAGCCTTGCGCTGCTCGTGGGTGAGCTTGGACTGGCGGTACTTCTTGGACTCGGCCTTCCACTCCTCCTTGGTCTTCTTGGGCGCGTCGGACTCGTACTTCTTGAAGGGGTCCTCGCGGATGGCCTTGTGGGCCTCGGCATAGAGGTCCTCGAGGGAGTCGGCCTCAAGGTCGTCCTCGATGTACTTGACGAACTGGCCCTTGTAGCGCTCCTCATCGTCGTCGGCGAGGGTCTCCATGTACTCAGCGACGTGACCGCCGAAGATGTACTTCTTGAGGGTCTCGGCATCGAGCTCCTCGGACTCCATGTCGAAACCGGGGAAGCGGTTCTCGGAGTGGGGGACGAGGATACCACCGTCGGAGGCACCCTTCATGACACCGAAGACACGGGCACCGGTGGAGGTGCGGGAGAGACCGACATCAAGGAAGGCCTTGAAGGGGCGGCGCTCACCATCGTCGGTCTCGGTGGCCTCGGTGAGAGTGTACTCACCATCGGCCTCCTCAACACCGGCGAACTGCTCATCGAGGCCGAGCTTCTTCAAGACGCGGCGGGCGAGGAGGAGACCAGTGGCGTAGGCAGCGGCCCAGTTGGTAAGACCGTGCTCGATGCCATAGGCGCGGAGCTCGTGGGAGTAGGCGGCAGCGAAGATCTTGTCACCGGTGATCTCGGAGGTGACGATCTGGGTGATGATGTCGCGGTTGGAGAAGCGGACAACGAGTCTGTACTTGGGGGCGTTGTACTTGTTCTTGGCCTGGGTGATCAGGCGCTTGCGAGCATAGTAGTCGGTCTTTCCCTCTCTTCTGCGCTTGTACTTGGTCTGGAAGCGGCTGTGTTTCGAGACAAGGTCAGCAAAAATCACCAGAAAGTCGCGAGAATGGCCAGGACGTGAGAAAGTTACCTGTAGTACGCGCTGTTCTTCACAAGCTTGTGGAAGGCCTGAATTCAGAAATCCCCGAGTCAGCAATTATCGCTTCAGATATTTTTTTTATCCTCCTCCGAAGCATCTTGCGTTGACTCTATCCAATTCCCCAGATCTCTCGACTCGTTCGGGTGCAGGTGAAAACGACAGCGATGCCAATGGCAACGGCAGTGACAAATGGCTGTATCAACTTACCATTTTGACTGTTGTTTCGCTGGGCGATGCGATACTCACAGGGCTCGGGGTTTGTCGACAAGTGGGAGGGGAGGTTGGATTATTCCACGACGGCAAGCATTTGTGGGCGCAAAATTTGGCCCCACAGCTTTCCAGAGTAGGGCGTGTGCGAAACTGCGTTGGGTGACGAAGGTGGGGCAGGCCATAAGGGGCTTGGGACCCTAACCCTGGGCGCAGTTCAGCCCTTCCATCCAAGTCCGCTTATGTCATCTGTTCTCCAACCCAACCCCAGACCGAAGCCGAGGTTCACTTCGTCGGCTCCGGCTTTCAGCTTCCATGCCGGTGTTGTCAAAGGGTAGGTGTGGTCGGTGATGCTTGTCCATACATAATCAGTCGGCGGTTTGTCTCGTAAACTCCTGATAGTTGCAAATGGAACCAGAAGAGTTTCCCGTCGAATACATCCTTGACGAAATCGACGCCATGGCACCCGTATCTTCGACTCCCAAGCCAAAGGTTCTCTTATTTGATATTGGGGGTGTTTGTGTATGCTTGTCTCTCCACTCTCCATGTGCCGTCTAGATGTAGATGATCCTAACAATCACAGGTCATCTCACCCTTCCAATCCATCCTCGATTACGAGCTGTCACTTGGCATCCCCCCAGGATGGGTCAACTACTCCCTCTCCAAGACTGCTCCTACCGGATTCTGGCACCGCCTAGAAAGAGGTGACATCCCAATGGACGCCTCCTTCTTCGACGGGTTCAACCAAGATCTTCACGACCCGGCCCGGTGGAAGGCATTCTACCAAGCCCAGCAAGCCAAGAACCCTGCTTTGCCAAAAGAGATTCCTCCCCTTCCCAAGCTTGATGGGCAATGGTTGTTCAACGACATGATGAAATCTGCTAGGGCACCGGACCCGTGGATGTTCCCAGCCCTGAAGGCTCTTAAAGCCAGCGGCAAGTTCATCATTGCTGCTCTCAGCAACACTGTCATCTTCCCACCAGGCCACGACTTGTATCAGGAGAACTTCATGGACGACCCCCTCCGCAGTCAGTTCGATGTTTTTGTGTCGTCAGCTCATGTTGGACTTCGCAAGCCCGACCCGAAGATTTATCAGTATGCGTTGGAAAAGGTGAATGAGTTTGCGAAGGCGAACGCGGGCACGGCAAGAGGTCAGGCGGGAGGGTGGTCGTCAGGAGTAAAGACAAATGAAATCACGTTTCTGGATGACATTGGAGAGAACTTGAAAGCTGCAAAGCAGGCTGGATTTCAGACCATCAAGGTGCCATTAGGCAGAGCATATGAGGCAGTTGAGGAGTTGGAGAAGGTGACTGGGCTGTCGTTGGATGGTGGCCACCCCAAAATTCCCATCAAGCCAAACTTCAAGGGCAGCAAGGCGAGGCTCTAGAACATTCAAATCATGATCAACAATGTTTCCCTTAATCATCACGTCTCTTAATCAATATGATAAAGAAAGTAGGCTGTATAAAGGCAAGGAAAAAGGTCGAAAAGTCGCAAAAAGCTCACGACCTAACCCCAACCACGCTGGAGTAGAGCGCTACGAAAACCACGTTTTACTCAGGATCGAACCCGTGACCACCAGGAGATAATGACCACGCCATGACCTTCCCTTGTTTGTCCAGGTTACTTCCACAAGCTAACCACTTGACCACGCCAAGGTAGTTGCTTGCTTCGGTGATAATTATTTGCTGGACCTTCTATATCAAGGGTGGTACGGTCGTATCTCGTGTGTGCCTGATAAGTGGCCATCCTGATGCCCGGCATACGACTCCCAGTCCATTCCCTCGACGTAGCTGCCTGCCATTGTTGCTCTCATTCCCATGACCCAGCTTCATGACCATTCTGCCACTGAGGTCGTTGTTGTTGACCATCATCACCACTGCTGCTCTTGCCTGCAACCCTGCTGTCACCAACCACGTCGTCGTCGGCCAACGACTTTCTACCTGTAGTTCTGTCCAAACTTGCTACCATCACCACTGCGTTCGACTTTCTCGGCGCCAAAGCTGCAACTTTCCAGTATTTCAAGCCAATCATCACCACCTGCTGCTCAACGACTACTAGTCGACACAACGACAGCATTACTACTATTATAACAACATCACAACCATAAGAGTATCACAACAATAACAACATCAGGCCTCACCACTGCAGCAACACAGCACAATATTCACCCCATACCTCATTCCACTACCATCATCCAACAAAGTCACAAAGCACAACAACCCATCGACAAAAGGCGGAAAACAAAACAAGGATATATAATGTAAATAATAAACTAAACCCTCTTCCCAACCCGGCCTATCCCATATCCCACAATATCCGCTATACATAAAACTCATCATGAACCAATCAAACCTCATCCTCCCATACTATTTCAAGCCCTCACAGCCGCCCTCCCCCTCCTCCCCTGCGACTGCGTCCCGTTCGTAGCCCCCGGCCGAGCAAGCGTATACTTTGCAAAAGCCCTCGCCAGCGCCTTCTTGCAGCTGACCTTCTGACTCCCCACAAAACTCTCCACCGTGACGGCAATCGCCCGGTCAATATCCTGCGCAGAGCAGTACTCGCTCAACCTCATCTTGCAGAAAGCTTCCGCGATACGGATGATAGCCTCCAGATGACGGACCTATATCACCTAATGTTAGCAAACTGCATGACCAAGGTTGATAAAAGGGGGAGAAAGGGGACATACAGTAATAGGATAAGCCCCCGTCGCCAAACTCTCCCTCCTCATGTCAGCAAACAACCTCGCCACCTTGTCCTCATCAATGTGATACAGCTTGGGCGAGCACTTCTCCCTCGCGTACAAGATGTACTTCCTCAGCAGCTCCTGCGGGATCTGGTCCTCCTTCTTGATCCCATTCTGCTGCGTCTCTTGCTGGGCAGAATCATGCTCCACCTCCATCGACTGCCCGCCATTCTGGGTGTTAGCCGCCTGCGACTGGGACAGCGGATGACTTCTCGAGTGTGACCCAACAATAAACTTGGCCAGCCTTTCGTCCTCCTCCGGCTCGACCGTGTCCCTCACCACGCACAAAATGTCAAAACGGGACAGAATCGGCTCGGTGAGTTCGACGTTGGCGCTGAAGGGGATGGAAGAGTTGTATCGCCCGCCAATGGGGTTGGCGGCGGCAATGATGCCGCACCTAGCCTGCAGGGTAGTCACGATACCAGCCTTGGAGATGGAAATGGTCTGTTGCTCCATGGCTTCGTGGATGGATGTTCTGTCCTGGTCGTTCATCTTGTCGAACTCGTCGATCAGGCAGGTTCCCTTGTCTGCCAGGACAAGGGCGCCGCCTTCCAACGTCCACTCGCTGGTGAGAGGGTCGCGGCGGACCGAGGCTGTCAGACCGACTGCGGAGGCACCCTGACCGGTGGCAAAGACGGCACGGTGGGCGGTCTTTTCGACATACTTGAGAACTTGGGACTTGGCGGTACCTGGGTCGCCGAGCAGCAACACATTGATGTCTCCTCTGACGCGGTGCCCGCCCGTGGTAACCTTGGCTACACCTCCAAAGAGAGACAGTGCGACAGCGGTTTTGATGTCGGTGTGCCCGTAAATGCTTGGGGCAATAGAGTTGATAATCTTGTCCACAATGTGGGGATCCTTGGACAGGCGACGGATCTCATGTTCGTCTTCATCTGTCATGCGGAAACCAGCGAGCTGATCATGAGATTTGATGATGTTGTTGGCCTCGAGGATAGTGGCAAAGACCGGGAAGCCGTTGCGGTTGTTGAGCTGGGCATCGTAGCTATTGCGGTAGATACCGGTCACCTCGATCTCCTCACCAGGCTTGGCCTTGTCGATGAGATCCCAAAGGAGAATCACCTCACGGTGACGGGGAAGACGACCGGCAGGGACTGTGCCGGGCGATTCTTGGAGGGTGAGCTTTTGGTAGTTTCTGTAGACGGTCTTCTCCGAGTTGAGGGTGAAGGGGCCGCGAGACTGGCAGCTCTGGCAGTATGACACCTTGACTTCGACATTGGACTCTTGCTGGAAGGGACCGAGTGTGACACCGCACTTGGTGCAGTCAAACTTGACGTACTTGAGCTGAGGGAAGACGCCGGATCTTCTCGTCACCACACCGCTCACACGCACAAGGCAGTTGAGGTGAGACTGGCGAAGCTGGCGAAGGGTGTAGTGAACGGGAAGGTCAAAGATGCGGACGTGAATCTCGGCGTGGATACGCTCGTAATCGGGGTAATGCAGCAGAACGACATCCATAGCAACCTCGTCGAACAGCTTGAGCATCTCGGCAGGAGCGTTGGCCAAGAAGTAGGCCAAGATGGCCTTAGAAGTGGAGAGGTGCTCATAAGAGACCTCGAGAGTCTCAGCGTTCACCTCACCAAGAGTTCTGATGCGGTTGCCGTAAACTGACGAGCCGCTATCATCGATGTACTCTGTGAGGAAGGCCTTGAACTCTCTCTTGATTGTGCGCTGGACGGCTTGTTGGGACACCCAGTCTGTCAGACTGGAAGCTTTGACATCATGGAGGGCCTCGAGTGAGAGCTCCTCATCCATGATATCACCATCCATATCCTCATCAGGGTCCTCATCGTAGCGATGTCTGCGACGGCGAGGCTGGGCTGAGAGATCGATATCGCCGTCTTCTTCACCAGGAAGGAAAGCGGCAGGGAGACGTTGCCGCCTGGCAACCTCTCGATCTCTGCGGTTAAGTTGGGCCTCGAGACGTCGCCTGTCACCAAGATTCATGGCGTCGTAGTCGCCCTCGTCGTCAAGATCAATGCCCTCATATCGATCGTCCTCCCTGCTGCGGTAATCTTGCTCAAAGCCATCCCTGAACAGGTCCACATCATCCTCGGCGGCTTCATCCAAATCGTCGAGATCATCCGGGATCTCAACATCTTCCTCAACCTCATCGTCGTCGTCGGCGCCATGGGCGATGGTGTGGAAGGCCGGGGGGGAGGAGGGCAGGGCGGGGCTGGAGGCGCCCGCAATGGAAGAAGGCGCATCTTCACCATTAGTGCGTGAGCGCTTTCTATTTCCCCGGGCTGGTGCGCCACGGTTGGCGGAGGACGGGTTATCACGAAGTGGGGAGCTATGGAGGTGTCGAAGTTAGCTTCAAGTCACTTTTGTCAAGATATTTTCAGGGGCGTATTTTTGCTGTATTTTTCTTCCCCTGATCTCTCGATTGGGCACCAAGCGGTAAAACAAAACATACCTCATGTTTGCGGTTGTTATGTGACTGTAATAGCAGTAAGGAAGGGTACCGTTATCGTTCCGACAAAAACGAGCGAAGTGGTGGATGAGCCTGTCCTGAAAGAGAGACGATGTGGGCAACAATGGTCGATTCGGCAACACACAGTGGAGGGGATTGGAAAATGGGAACATGGGCCTCGCGTCACAGATTGCTTTCCCCCCCCTGGAATCTCGCGTTGATTTCGTGTCGAAGTGCCCAGGGCGCGTTAAGTGGTCTTGGCACCTACCCTGCACTTTAGCGATAAGATAAGCTCCGACAGTGATGCGGCGACTCGGAAGAGAACCATCATCGGAATCGATCTATCATCTCCCCTTCCACCTTTTTTGTTTTTGGTTCTGGTTGACTTTGTCGTTGATACCTGACAATTCATCATGGATCCTGCCTCGGCGCCCAAGCCGCCCTCCGTTGCCGACGTTCCTGAGGATGGAGGGGATGCTTCAATCGCGCGCAACAAGCCTCGCAGCGACAGCATAGGGTCGCACAAGTCGAGCGATTCGCAGACTGCCGCCGAGTATGTTCATGATGATGCTGGTGGAAGATGTGGTGATTACTACTAACACCACTTTCTAGTTTCTTGCGCGACCAGATGCAGCTAGAGGCCGATGCGCGCGAGGCTCTTCCTTATGTACGACTCTTGACCCATTGAACACAATGCGCTGATCTAACCATGGTGTCTTAATAGAGCATCGAGAACTGTACCAATGCCCTCGGCCCTCTCCGACAGGCAGTATTTGCTTGCCTCACTTGCAATCCCCCGCCCGCGAACTCGTCCGATCCCTACAATGCCGCCGGCGTCTGCTATGCCTGTTCGGTGCAATGCCATGGCGAGCACACCCTCGTCGAGATCTTCAACAAGCGCAACTTTACCTGCGACTGTGGTACCACGAGACTACCTTCGACAAGCCCTTGCAACCTTCGTCTAAATCCCGAAACCAACTCCAAGGGAGGTGTTCACTCCCAGGAGCCCGATGTGAACAACAAATACAACCAAAACTTTCGCAATCGGTTTTGTGGTTGCGAATGTGACTACGATCCTTTTGAGCAAAAGGGAACCATGTTTCAGTGTTTGGGTCTAGGTACACATGACACAGGAGGCTGTGGCGAGGACTGGTGGCACCCGGGTTGTGTTGTTGGAATGGGTCCAAAGTGGTTCGAGAAGATGGCCAAAGAGAAGAAGCCGAAGACAGAGCAGAACAAGGAGGATGGCACCAGTGCCCCATTGCCGACCATCTCGGAAGATTCTGAAGCGCTCCCGACCCAGAACGGTGCCGAGGAAGAAGAGGAGGAGGAGGATGATCCCCCACTTCCCCCTGGATTCCCTGAAGAAGACAACTTTGAAGCCTTCTTGTGCTACAAGTGTGTGGGGGCTCACCCTTGGGTCAAGCGATATGCCGGCACCGAAGGATTTCTACCTGCGGTCCACTTCAAGCCTGATGGAGCGGCCGAAGAGACCCTTCCAGATGCTCCTGCCACTACGGACTTCAAGACAGAGGAGCCCACGCTCAAAGTTGAGGAGGCTGCCTCTACCAAAACCGAGGTGCCTGCTGCCACCACCACACCAGCCGCTGCCAACCTCGATGTTCCCAAGAAGCGCAAAGCCTTGGACGATGATGAGGATGAGGCAGGTTCTCAGACATCCAAGCGTGTGAAGAATGAAGATGAATCCAAAGAGAGTCCTAGAGAGCGCTCTGCTACACCTTCTGCTCCCCCGCCTTGCAAGCTTCTATCCTTACCCCCAGTGCCCCCCGCAGGCAAATTCTCTCTTTTCTGCAAGCCCGACTTCCGAGAGAAGCTGTGTCGCTGCTCTTCCTGCTTCCCTCTGCTCGTCCCTCATCCCCAGCTTCTTGAGGAAGAAGAGACCTATGAGCCACCTGTGTCACCAGAGGCGTCGGAGAACGGGTCCACATTGGGCAGCAACTCCCTCTATGAGCGGGGAGAATCTGCACTGAAGAATGTTGATAGGGTGAGAGCTATCGAAGGTGTGATGGCGTACAACCATCTCAAGGACAAGTTGAAGCCGTTCTTTCAGCAGTTTGCCGAGAGCGGACAGGCAATCAGTGCCGAGGATATCAAGGGCTACTTTGCGAAACTGAGAGGCGATGAGGAGGTCGCCACTGCGGATACGTCTGCCCAGGGGAAGGAAGGCGGTGACAATCGGAGGGAGGAGAGTGGATACTGATTGATTTCTTTGTCGGGAACGGGCATGTTGTGTTTGGTTAGGGTGTTTGGTTGCTTGGTAATTCAACTGGGACTGCAAGGAAATAGGCACATGGTTTATGGTATGGAATGGATTGGGACAGTGATCTTTTTGTTCGGAATCACTGAAGGCTTTCTGTGTAGGTTAATTTGTATCTGGAGTTATTTTGTCTTGCGGCAGAGGATGGATTCACGCAATATGAAGAGACATTCAACGTGCTCCTAGAGACACCCACTCCACACTGCTCCTAAACAACCTGTTAGGAGATCCTTACATGACGGAATTGGTCACATCGGGCTCTCGGAGACGCAAGTTTCCTCTCGTATATGTTTCTAGCCGAACTCGCCCTCGCCATCTTCCGAGTAAACGCAAGTCTGAAAAACCAAAGCCAGCTCTAACAACTCTCAAAAGCCCAACTTGCCTGCTTACTTCTCGTGTTAAAAGCAGCATCCGTCCCTTCGTTGTCATAATTCCCTTTCATCACCCAAACGCATCCTCATTCCCTCCAATATCTCTTTCCTCCCAACTTTTATATTCTTACCAGTTTCTCTATTTCTTTACTATATATATTGAAACTTTACAGCCATGAACGCCCTACGTTCCACCACCACCTGTTGAGATGTCCCTCGACAAAAACTCCAACCAATAACCTATCCGCCAACCGCCTTGGCCTCACCTACCACCTCTTGTCTACCTGTGCCTGTCACGACCGGCAGCCTCCTCCAAAGTCGTTTCCCAGCTCGACAACCCTGCTGATGACCTGCTTGCCCACCACAACCTGGGTAATAGCCCATCGATCCCGCAGCCCCGACAGCCGAAGCCCATATATTCCCCAAGACACTGGCTTCCATGTCAAGGGCGAGGGGCTACTGGTGAAGCAGGGCTCACGGGATCCATCCCGGTACACGGTTTTCCTTTTCTTTTTCCTCCAGTAGTATATAATGTATCTTGCCAGTCCATCCGTAGTTGGGTTCCAACCATCAGTGGGGACCAAATATTGCTTTCAGTGCGCGGTGAAGACCGGGCGGTGGCTGCACTGCCAAACTTTACCTGTCAGGCTGCCAATGTCAAGCAGAATAGGGATTGAGAGTTGATGTATCTCAAGATGTCGATGATAATAGCTGAAATGGGGATGGGCTGTGGATGTTTGGCTTTCTCACTGTCTTATGATACCCAAGCGGAGTTAGAAAACAGAGAACAATTTCTATGTTGTTGGATACCTACTTGACCTGTAATCACAATCACACCAACACAATGCCCGCTGAGCTTCCACTCCAGTTCACAGAACGCTCAGCAAGTGTCCATCATCAATCATATATCTCATTTTGTACACCCCGTCACTCATCTATCATTTTGGTATATTGCCCTTTTTTACCCCCTTTTCCCATCCCAACACCCCTTTTTGACATTCCTTTTCTGTTTCCCAAAATCAAAGCCACTCCACACTCCAAATCTTCTCGCCAGCACGATATGGCACAATCTCAGCCTGCTCGCTCTTCAAGCTCTCCTCAACAGTGGCACCATCCTTCTTCAGCAAGATCTTCTTGTCAGAAGGAGGCAAGCCGTAGAACTTGCGGCCATAGGAGGAGAAGAAACCGGCCAAAGCTTCGTCAGTGACGTCCGAGTCGGAAATGTCACCGCGGGCGATGCCCTCCTCAAGAGCCTTGAGGACGTAGCCGAGGGCGTAAGGCTGGGTGAAGACACCGGCGGCGGTGTTGCCCTTGCCCTTCTTGGAGGAGATATCGTGGGCTGGTTGTATGTTAGTGCCTGCTAACAGTGCAAAGGAACGGAATGAAACATACGAGCACTGTCAGTACCAAGGAAGAACTTCCCCTTGGAGGACACAACAGCCTGAAGAAGAGCCCGACGGTCCTCGGGGGACTTGGCAGAGGGCTTGCAGTAGTGGTGCACATTGGCGGACCAGTCATCCACCAGCAAGCTCAAGTGATGAGCAGTCTATCATTCTCAGTCAGCACTTCACCCTTCCCCAACCCGTCACAGTTTCACTCACAATAGTCCCCACAACATCCTCCCCAAACTCCCTCACAGCCTCCACCGCCTCCCCAGTAGTGCAATGCTCCAACACAATCTTCAACTTGGGGTACTTGCCCACCAAGCTCCTCAGCGTAGGCAAGAACCTGCTCTCCGCATTCATCACCGTAACCCCCTCCTTGCTATCACTCGGCACCTCCCCGTGCAAGTTCAGCACAATCCCTTCCTTCTCCATAGCCTTGAGCACCTCGTCAAAAGGCTCAAAGCTCACGACACCCCATTGGCTGTTGGTAGTCGCTCCCTTGGGATAAGCCTTCACACCGGAAATGCCAGCCTTCTTGGCGTTGGCAATCTCCTCGGGGGTGATGGAGGAGTGAAGGTACAAAGACATGAGGTAATTGACGCTTGGGTCGATGGCTTCCAAGGCGGACTTGTACTCGAGAGCAGCGTCGACAGAGGTGACGGGGACAGGGGCGAGGTTGGGCATGACGAAGACGGTGTCGATGCCGGCTGGGCGGATGGTGGGCGTGACGAGGGAGGCGATGGGGCCTGGGGCGTTGCGGAGGTGGACGTGCATGTCCGCTGCTGAGGGGAGGGTGTAGGTGTCTTTCATTTTGGCGGTGATGTCGGGGTTATGAGTTGGGGTGTGTGGCTTGAAGAAAAGTGCTATTCCAGTGAAAAATAGTGAGTTGTGTAAGTGGAAAAGTGAAACGGAAAAGTGAGGTTGAAGATGGGGAGGGTGTGGAGTGAGAGGTGAGTAGTGAGATAGCTTGGCGGAAGGCATAAAATTGTGCACGGGTTAGGGTTTAAGGTGCTGGCTTAGCACCCCTTTCATCTGAACCATAATTTTCCAACATCATTGCAAAGAATGCTACTGAACAGCCATGTACTCATTATGTCGAGAGCATTCTTCAGGCCCAAAGTAAACTGAAAGATGGACACGGATAACCATTCTCGTGGCCCTTGGGCCATTACCCAGACAAGGGTGCGACTTACAAATCAATATAACATCAATGACGTCCCGCCTTTTCACTTCATCTTGAACCCTTTCTAATCTCAACAAATCAATTGGAATATGAAAATTTATCTGCTCATAAATCAATAGTAACCCCTCATCATCTCTTCTTCAATTCCAAAATGACAGTCGGTCTCACCGAGGACCGTCTTGGGCCCGGTGCTGACGACGGGTCCGGCAGCTCCACCACCTCAGCAACCATCGCCGCTACCGAGCAAACACCCCTTCTCGCGTCCGACACATCCTCAGTCACCATCGCCCGTCACATCTCCCTTGAACGAGAGTCAACAGTCCATAATGAGCCCTCAGAGGAAGATGAACACCCTCCCCTGGGCTGGAAAAGAGGCACAGCCATCATCTTATCCATGTGGGCTCTTATCTTCCTCCAAGCAGCCAACATGTCTGGCATCAGCACCACTCAATCTTCCATTGCTGAGGACCTGGATGCCTACCAAAACGCCATGTGGTTTACGTCTTCGTACATGATTAGCGTGTCCTCCACCGCTCCTCTTGTTGGTCGTCTGTCCATGATATTCTCGCCTGGGGTGATGGTGCTCATATGCTCGACGTGGTTTGCCATTGGGGCGGTTATTGTTTCGGTTGCGCCTACATTCGGGGTGTTTATCCTAGGCAGAGTGTTGTGTGGTGTTGGGAGCGGTGGGATCATGACACTGTGTATGATACTGGTTATCCAGCTCACCTCCAAGAAGAAAAGGGGGCTGTGGATCGGACTAGTAAACGCGGGCTTCACCATAGGAGTCTCAACAGGCGCAGTGGTATTCGGTGCACTCCTCCCAGTCATAGGATGGGTAAGCTCCCCCTCCCCTATTCAACCATCCCTTCCAGAACTAACCTTTCCCCTCCCCCAGCGCCTCCTCTTCGGATCTCAAGCCCCCCTCTCCTTCCTCGCCGGCCTGGGCGTATTCCTCAGCATCCCCCACCGCCCCTCCACTCACCACTCCCGCGACAAATCCCTCCTCACCAAACTCTCCAGCATCGACTACCTCGGCGCCCTCACCCTCACCGCCACCATCACCTCCCTGTTATACGCCCTCTCAACCTACACCCGTGCCCCCCTAGCTCTATCCCTCCTCTCCCTCTCCCTCTTCCTACTAATCGAATCCCGCCACCCCGACCCCATCATCCCTCTCCCCATCCTCTCCTCCCGCGGCGTCTTACTATCTTGCCTGTCCCAACTAGGCTTCATGGCCTCGCGGTGGACAGTCCTCTTCTACGCCCCCATCTTCATCCTGGCCGTCCGCGGCCTCTCCCCCGCCCTCGCCGGCTCCGTCCTCATCCCCACCAACCTCGGCTTCGGCATCGGGGGTCTGCTCGTAGGCTGGCTGCACATCAAGCGCTCCGGCTCCTTCTGGCTGCCCTGCCTCTTATCCCTCTTCATCTTTGGCTGCTCCCTCTTTGAACTCTCGTTCGTGAGCAACCACGAGACGAGATACGGGGTTTATATCGCCGTGGTCTTCATCAACGGGTTGTGTACCGGCGCAGCGGTGAACTACACGCTCGCTCACCTGTTGCATCTCGCACCGGCAAAAGACCATTTTATCGTTACAAGTTTGCTGGCTACGTTTAGGGGTTTCGCGGGGAGTTTTGGGACGGGGATTGGGGGCGGGGTTTTCAACCGGGTTCTGAGAGGTAGTTTAACACGGGGCTTTCTGGAGCTGGGGCATGGGGAGTTCACGGACCGGAGGGAGAAGTTGATTACCGTTTTGGTGGGCAGTCCGGCCGCTGTCTGGCAAGAAGGGGTACTCAGCAAGATGGAACGGGGGGTTGCTGTGGGCGGGTATGAGATGGCGCTGAGAAAGTTGTACATGGGTGCCGCTGGGGTGACGGTGGTGGTGTTGATTTTGCAGTGGGCCACAGGCTGGAAGGGGGTGGAAGACGAGACAAAGACAGATGAGGAGGGGATTAGAGAGGCCATGGTGGAGGCTGATCCCGCCATGGAGGCTTAAATCTAGAGTTGGTATATTTCCGTCAATTTAAGAAAAACGATGCAAGGAGTTCACGATACAGTCTAGTCGGTTATAAGAATGACCATGTAGACCTGAACAATGGCCGAAGTCCTGTAAACGTACGTGCTTTTAATTCTTCACCAATATCACTATCACCCCTCTCTCATCTACATCTACTACCCCCCCCCCCCCTCCCATCATTTTACACCCAAAGATACCCACCGCTCAACATCCGATACCATCCCACCTTTCCTTATTCGGTTTTCCCTCTCATATGCATCACATACATTCCGTCCCCTCGTTCCTACCACCCCAGGAAATTATCTAGAGAACTAGGAAGAGTCATCCATTCGTATCATTCGTCCATTTTCCCCTCCCCAAGTCCCAAACAAAACCCCATTATCCTTTTTTTGTTTTGTACTCCACCCACCCTCCCGTTCTAAAATTTTGCGTTTATGCCGAATATCAGGGCATGGTTGTTTCTGGTCCAGCTATATCTAGAGACATAGTAGAGGTCGAGAAGTACTGCGTGAAAATCCACAACTGTAAGTATGTCATTTTGGGTATGTATAGTTGGATATGTTGTGTGAATGCCGTGGCGAGATCAAATGGAAGAAGAAAAGTGTGTTTGATGTCGGATTGTGGTGAAATAGGAGGCGGGGGGATTAGTCGGAAATCGAGGTGATCGTATCTTGAGTATAAAAAGTATTCGGGAGAGGCAGTGATGGAAAAAGGAGGACGTGAAGTATTACGCTTCACACAGGTATGGGTGGTGGCGAGACAAAGATTGGCGCCCTGGTCCCTTGCTCCTCCCTTCAGCAAGACAACATGGGTCGCCTGTGAAGCGCCTTCACTCCAAGGGCAGGAAGGTCAATCCTGCCGTCATCACGAGTTCATCGAAACAGAGAGTAGCTGGCTGCCATCTCCGCTAGTCGATAACCTAACTACACCGGCCGGCCGCCTGCCAGCCCTTTGTTGATCATTTCGCACCCGCGGTCTTGATATCTTACATCCTTCTAACCCATCCTCGCTTTTGAACGCCGAGAAAGCCTGTGCCATGTCGCACCAGGACTGGCTGGTCAGTGGACCAGTTCTTTGGAGATCACGTTCGAGGTAAAGGACTCTCAAACGCGCTGGTAGAACAACAAGTAAGCAACCTTGTTGTCCTTGATGCTGTCCTTGTGCTGCTTAGGGGGCAGCTTCTGTCCGTTGGTAGCCGGTGTGTTGACAACGCTGCTCCACTTCTTGCCACCGGCCGCTTGCTTCCAGCCATCGTCGTCGCCGGTATCCTCATCATTCATGGCACCGAATCTGTTGCTACCAGTGCTGTCCTTTTGGTTACCAGAGCCAGACTTGGCCTGTTCTTCCTCGGCACCACCCTCAGCCACATCTTCGCTGCGCACACGGCGGATAACGGTGTCATCGATACGAATCCATTCTCGGCCATCCTGTCGGCGAACATCTACTGTGTAATGACCGCCACTGGCATTCTTACCATGATGGTACACAACAGCCGTCAGCTTGTATCGAGGAACACCTTCGTGAACCGTGCTGTTGCGTTGAGAGCGAGACAGAACCTCTTGTGGGAATTCGAACTCGAGAGGATAGCCAATCTTCTTCCAGATCTTGACAGTACCACCTTGACCCTCGGCGTCGAATTGGAAACGCTTGAGGTGCAAGATAAGAACAGGAGGAACCGATTCAATGAAGATCTGCTTAGTGGCCTTGACGTTCTTGCCGTGGGGCGAGTTGAAATCGCCGTGGAGTGTTTCCGGTCGAGTTAGACCCTTCAGGGCGTCAATGATGTTGCGAATCTCGGGCGCACCAATGTCAAGTTGCAGCGGCTCGTAAGGCTCCAGCGTGACCGAGGTCTTGTTGCCAGGAACACGCAGTTCAGAGCGCAACTTCCCACCGAAGATCTTGTTGATGGGTGAAGCGAGTGAATGGCCAGAAGACCGAGTAACAGCAGCGCGTTGACGGGGGCCAACCTCAAGCCAATCATCAGCGCCCTCGAGCGATCCGTTTGGCTTGGAAGTGGTGGGAGAAGACGGAGTTGAGTTCGGTGCGGTAGAAACTGCTGAAACAGGGGCAGTACGCATCACCTGGGCACACTCGTCGTGTAGACCTTCAAGAAGGAACCCAAGGAACTCTTGGGCGTCTTGTTGGTGACCACGCCTCATGCTGGCAAAGCGGGGAAGTTTGCGAATGGCTTCGTAAACAAACTCAGGGGTGAAAGACTCGCCATATTGCTCAAGCTCTTCCGGCTTCAACCGTCTCTGGAGGAGGTCAGTTGACGTAGCAGAGTCGATAATCTTAAATTCACGCATGAACATGATCCTGCACTTTTGCGTTAGTCAACGCTAACTCAGACGGTCGTGTTGCAACTTACAGTGCATCGATCAAAGGCGTTTCGCTCTTGAAACTGTGAGTGGCCTTCTTGGACACTTGATCCAGAAAGTCGTAGAACGGAATGCAGAAAATCAAAACTTGAAGAACCTGCATTGCATCAGTATCAACTATTGTAACTTGAGACCAGAGTCAACTCACAGAATTCATGTAACACATATTTCCAGTGTTGACCAAGCCTCTGGGCTCAATAAAGGGCAGCTTGTCAATACCAGTAGGACGGTAGGCCTGTAAAGCCTCGGCAAGAGAATCCGCCTTGGAACTGGGGAAACTTCCAACGGCTCCAGATGCAGCGGTAGAGACATCGGCAGCGTTGCCATTGGTGTGGACGCGAGGAGCTGCGGCAGTAGAGGCCACAGCAGAGGGAGCTGCACTGGGCTTTGCGAACAAAGCGGCCCAGGCCTTGGGTTTTGCAGGAGCTGGAGTTGGAGCTGGTGCGGCTTGGGCAGGAGCAGACTCAGTCTCGGACTTCTCGCCCATGCCATTCACCTGGCGAGCACCCTCGCCGGCCTCGGTCGACTTTTCGTCTTTGGTGGGAGCAACGGAAGTTTGCTGAACAGCTGTCTTCTCCACCGCTTGCAGCTCCTTTGGAGCAATCCTTGGAATTACTGGGAGAACGGGAACCGCAGGAACTGTGGGAAGTGCCGGGATAGCTGAGCGAGTAGCAGGCTTCACGGTCGTGCTGGGGCTGACTGCCACTGCGATGGATGCCTGGGTCGTTTGGGCAGAACTTGGCGTGGTTGGGGGTGTATCCTCTACCTGCTGCTCATGGGTGGACGGTGTCTCCGAACGAGCGGTGGCAGCCTCAGTTACTTCAGCCTTAACGGTGGTTTCCGCATTAACAACTGGCTCCTCCTTAGGTTCTGTCTGCTCCGGCTGCTCTGGCTGCTGAGCCTCCGCCGGTTTCTCGAGAATCAAATTAGGAGTGCTAGAGACCGGGCGTCTTCTCCTCGACTTTGGGGCACGAGCGGGGAATCCAGCTTCGGGATTGGAGAACCATGGCAGCTTTGACAATACCTTCTCAGATGGCGAAGTGATGGGGTGGACTTCAGATGTTGCCGGGGTGGTTGCCATGTTGAACGGACCCTCCACCACAGAAGCTGCTGGCGTCTCTACCGCGACCTCTACTTGAGTCTCTACCGGGGCCTCTGCTTCAATCGCCGCTTCTTGTTGCTCAGGCTGAACCTCAGCAGGGGATTTGACTTCCGAGGCACGATAAGCCTCCTGGTTATACTCCTGCGGGAACGGCTGCTGCTGCTGCTGGGGCACAAAGGGTTGGAACTCTGGCTGAATAGGTGGTTGTGCTTCGTGGACGTGCAGTGGCTGAACCGGAGGCTGCACCTCGTGATTATGCAACGGCTGATGTGAAGCTGGAATAAACTCGCGGAAAGGGGGTATGGTCGAGGGGGGAATCGTCGTAGGAGGCGGAACGGCAAATGAATGGGTTGTTGACGGGGTAAGCGGGGCAACGACCGGGGGCATAGCAGAAGGGGGCGGTTGGTATGGCGAAGACACAATCGGCGAGTGCTGGGCGGGTCTGCCATAGGGCTGGTGCAGAGGGACATACTGCTGCACAGCAGGCGGCGAACGAGTGTAAGGGGCGTGATTGTACTGGGGCGGAAGGTAAGGTTGCGGCATGGCGCCAGTATGATACTGCTGGTAAGGCATGTAGTAGGGCTGGTTCGGCGGGTAGGGGTTCATGTACTGAGCCCCATGGCTGTACATGGAGGGGTTGACATGATGCTGGTGTTGCTGGTACTGGTAACCATGAGCAGGCCCATACTGGTGACGATTTCCACGGCGAGGAGGAGGCGGACCTCCTCCCATGTCGGCGCCTCCTTGCATCTGCTGCCCAGCCGGCAGATGCGCGCGATTGTTCATCATGCCGGCCTGGGTTGGGAGCTGTGGCGGCAGCTGCTCACTGAAGTGAGGGCCACCGCGGCGGACTGGGCGTATACCAGGTGGGAGCCCCGGTGAGGGCGGGATCTGGCGATGGAATTCGAAGGGTTCGGCGCGGGCGTCAATGATGGGCAACGTTGGGGGTGGGTTGGCGGCTGTTGCCGGGAGAGAGCAAGAGGCGAACTTGGAGCGGCGGGAACGAAATGCCCGACCTGTCTGACTTGGCAGTGTCGGAGCTGGCGGCAGTGGGTGGGTGGTGGTGGTGGTGGTGGTGCCGGTGCCGGTGCCGGTGCGCGTCGTTTGCTGGCGTGCGGTGCGCCGGTTCTAGGCAATCAAGACAAGTCGTTGTCAGTTCGGCCTCGACGGTTTCGATGAGTCGTTGCTCCGGCGGGTGCAGGGGGCCAGAGACACGGTGCGGCACATTGGACAGCGTGCTGCCAGGACGCGGGGGGACGGTACAGCACACGGGAAAGTGATGCTGGATGGATAGAGCCAACCTCTGGGTGAAAACCAGGTGTGAGGCCTTGCGTGGTGGTTGACAAAATTTAAACCGCCTCCTTTCGAGAAACCAAAGAAAGGGCCCAAAGCTAAGAGGCCTAGCCGACGCTCGGACTGACCCTAACCCTAAGGCAACGTCCGTTCGTTCAGGCCGCCTCAAGACCCGCTGCGATTCTGCAGCCCCCCAAGATCAGATCAACATGGCAATTCTCTTCAGACTGCAAACAGAGTCTCGGAGAATTAATGCTATCTAATAATAATACAAAACATGTCCCAGTGTTGCAACCCCAGCATCGGAGTAAAAGACAACACAGATGGATCACCTCACTGAAACCCGCGCCAGAAAGGATAGTAGCGGGCAGTTGGTAGCCAAAGAAGGGTGTTGGAGAACTGAGTAAAAGGGTATCGATCTTCAATATAATTCTAGAATTCAAAAAAACCCCACGCTTCTTTTTGTTGCTGTTGTTTTACAAACCCAGCAAGCACTTTCACTCATCTTTAAACATCCATTTCCCACCACCAACTTTCATGGCATCTCGCCACCGCTCCTCGATTTGCTTCCTCCCCCTCCTCGCTGCCTCTTCTCTGTTCTCTTCCATTTCCTGCGTCGTAGGCATATCAGGGTTCCAATAACCAGGCGGGGACGGTTGCCTCTGAAATCTCTCGCGATGCCGTCCAAACTTGTTTGCTATTTGCTGGCTCTTTGCTTTCATCCAAGTTTCCCGCCGTTCCTCACGTGTCATCTCGATTAGTTTATGGGCATGGGGTCCCAGGTACTCCTCCATCATTTGGATATCTGCCATGCGGGACAACACGCCGGAGCCTGTCGCGTTGAATTCAGACTCTGCAACGGCCCGGTAATGTCGACCGCAGCAGTTGTAGTCATTGCACCCTGTCAACTCGGCCCGGTCAGCCTTGCCACGCACGACTTCGTTGAAGGCATGTTTGTGACCGTTGTTGAACTTGGGGTTTACTTTGAAATCCTCAAGTCTCAGCTGTCCCAATGGCTTATCTCGAAGCCGACGTGCTTTGGGTCTGGACGTTCTGTCGTTGGCCTGCCTCGGCCGTGAAACAGTTGATGGTGATTCTATGCCCCCGCGAACTGGATGGAGAGGTCTGAGAGGAGTGACCTCGGATTCTGGTGAGGCCTTGTCGGGAAATGATTGGAGTCTTCCAGCAGCCTTCTTGGGCGGCTTGGTTGGCCGCCATGGCTCAAATTCTTCGTCAGACCCATCCTCGGCGACTTCGGCAACTTCATAATCCAGGTTTCGATGAGTGTTTTGAGCTGTCCTCTGCTTGCGTGAGATGTCCGAAACCTCCGACATGCTTTGTTGGGCTAGTTCAACACTCTCTGCAATAAACAGGGTCGGTCTCGGTGCGGTTGATGGGTTCCCGGCTGTCGTTCTCGGATACAGCAGTCTGGAGGTTTGATCGGGTTGCGGAGTGCCATCATCGTCCTCACGAAGAGTTTGGCGCCAGATTTCACGTTGCTTTCTGGGTGTCGGCATGCCCCTAGAACCCTCGTCCAGGTCAATGCTTTCATGGGGGGCAAAGACAGCTGCTTCACCCATCACTACCGGGTCGGAACTGACTTCGGTTTTGATCTTGCGAGGTGGAGGAGGCATGTTGTTGTTGTTGTTGTTGTTATCGGACGCGTGTTTCCGCTTACGCAGACTGCGCTCAGAAACAACAATCGGGCCATCAGACGAAGGTTCTTCTTTGACCCTGATAGGACTGGCCTCCCGTTTGCAAGGTGGTAACGGTGGGAGCTCAGGCGCCTCCGTGGGTTGGTCTGGATCATCAGATGCACCATCCTCAGCAGATGGACCTTGCTCGATACTGACTATTCTCCCTCGTCTGTGGAGCTCGTCAAAAGCCGGAGTAGAGTGTCTCATGGTATAATCTGCTTCGTTCGGTCTGGGCCCAGGGGAAAGATGCGACAACGAGTCCGTATTGAGCCCTAAATCGCTTGGTGATTCACGGGACTCATATATAATCGCCCGCTCCGTACCAGTCCCCTCTGCATGGTGTCGAGTATTCGCATCTTGCTGCTTCAGTCTTGTTTCCAGCTTGTTAATCTTCCTCTCCAAGGCATCGGCATACGTGATCCACGTGTCTCTCTCCTCTCGTGCAGCTTTTGACACCTCCCTTGCAGTGTCGTAACTCTCCTGCACCTTCTTGAGTCGTTCCTCCACCTGCTCCTTCTTCTTCCAAAGTTTGCCATAATTCTTTTCCCAGTCCGGGTTCTCGATGTCGCCCGATGATGAAACCGTACTCGGCGCGCGGATCGTTCTGTTAGGGGAAAATTCCCCGAGGACTCGTCGGACCGGAGTGTTGACATCGTACTTGGCTGGTAATATCGGTGGCTTGGTGTGCTTCTGTCGCAGCTGCTCCAGCTCTTGGCGGAGAGATCGATTCTCTTGTTCAAGGACCTCGGCCCTAGAGGCAGCATCTTTGAGCTGCTGCAGTTCTATTTCAAAAGTTGCATTCCGTCTATCTTCTCTTTGTCGAACCTCTGGCAAAACCATATTGTTAGTTGTCTGGACGAGAAACCGGGCATGGAAACTCTTACCGGCCTCAATGTCATGGCCAATTGTGTCGCACACAGACTCTAGCGCAGCAATCAAAGCTGGCCGCCCCTTCCGTTCCCAAGATTCCGTCATGATAGGGCCAAGCAAAAATATGAGGAGGATGCATTTCGGACAGTTGCAGGAAATCTTATACTCTGGCAAGACGCCTAGGCAGAAGCGCTGGTGGGTTGCATGGGTTGCATGGATTGTTCCTCCGTAAACGCCAACGAACCACGCGTCACGTCATAGCTCAGCTTCCATGTTGTACAAAATAACGGGGTGCTACCTGGAAACACGGCCTTAGCAAAGTTTAGAAACTTTGAAAAATACCTAAGGTGGCCGTTAGGCAGTTATGAATGCTTTAGGTAGGCCAGGATTGAAGGATCCTGTATAACCCAGATAAATCTTTCCAAAAGGGTAAGGTAGAGAAATACGCTCAAGTCTTTTCAATACCTGACTCTTGTGTCAGTCCCTATTTTCTGTCGACAACGTGACAACGCGAGAATGCGACGCGACTCATCCAAGTACGTGCTCACGTGAGAGGGGCTATTTGGACCACCTCGCCACCCAACACCCCGCCTTGGTGCGACATCGTCCCTGCATGCCTGGTCGCCATCGTTGCACCAGCAGTTGACGGCGGTGCTGGTCTTGTATCCCAACGTTTCTTTGTGCGAGTTGGCCAGATATCAAACCGTGACTAATTAGATAGCCCAGGATGCTTTTGCCGCCTTCCACGATGTCTTTGGACATTGCTTGATAGCCACGTTGCCTCGCATCTGCTTCCTCGGCCAGTCAACCCCACAAAGCCTTGGTCCCGGACCCCTTGAATCAGATATGCAGGTCAAGACACCATCCACAAAAAAGGCAATGGCGAGATATTCCAGATCTTTGGTAGCATATACGAAGGCTTCCCCGCAACATCACCTTGTCCCCTACCACGACTAGGTCTACTGACATAAAATTGCCCCTGTCGACATAGGCGGCCAGATATCATGCCACGTCTTCTCACAGCCACTCAGCTATCCCTACCCTCGGCCCGGATTGACTGATATCGGATCACAGTGGTAGTAGGCTTATCAGATCCAACCCATGGCCCATCGTTCTGTTAACGAGCCTCCCTTCCCGCGCGGATACTTGGCTTCCGTGTCACCAGCCATCGCAATTGACGCAGGCGCACTTCTGGTCCGTTAAATCTGTTCTATGACCAGACCGGTCTCCGAACCAAGGCTGAGATGCCGGCCAGAAGGGACAGCTATGACGAACAGGCTGAAAAGGAGGCTCTTCCACAACACCAGATCATCCAATCCCCAATTGCCTGGTAAGTGGCAATGCGGCACATCCGGCAATCAAACATACGAACACCCTTCCCAGAGAATTCCAGAGAGACACCCGGGAGAAGGGGCGCGTAGGGCCGCGTTGAGTGCCATGCCAGGACAATAGCCTCGGAACAGTTCCAGAAATCGCCCCGGGTTCGTCTCTTTCTCGCAGTTACTTCCCTGATATCTGCTTCCGAATAGTCTGTGCGAGTAGACATGTCCGGGATAGCAATATGGAGAGTTGCGAGAAGGGTATTTCAGCTTCTGTCATGTTGAGGCGCATGCGGAGGCAGATAACCATTTGCTGCAGGAAAGATGAAGCCAACAAGGGACCACGTATCAGTGCTGCATTGGCTCCATGGCGAGCTGTTGAAATTATTGGAAGAGATGGGGGAAGGGAGTAGCAGTTCAGACAAAAAGGAGGTCCACCATCTAGCCCAAGTGCTATGCAGGGGCTCTGCTGTAGCCGTGCCTGGACGCCATATGTATACAACCCTCGGCCCAGGATGCCCTTTGTGGCGGACGAGTGAGATTCCCATATCCAACAGGGCAAGTGTGAACCGCAAACTGCAGGGCTAGTCACAGCACAGTGTAGATATACCGTACGGTCAGGTACCGTGACAGCAACTTTGAAAGCTCACTGGTGGGCGCGCCCAGCCGTCTACTACCAGTGCCACCTAATGAGATCACGAGTTGCAACAGACCAATCTAGATGTACCGTCTGATGAGATTCAAGCTTGATAAACCGGTTGGTAGCAAGGAAGAAAGTGCGACAAACGGACGGCAGCAACAAGTGGCTGGCCCCTCACACGCCAGCCTAAGCAAGATACCTAGTACATAGAGAGATATAGCCACTTGTAGCAGCAATTGAAGCTCAGAAATTTGCATCCAGGTGCCCTCAGGATCTCAGACTCCAAGATCGACATCCTCTGCGCCACAGCCGACCTCTGACGGAGGTTGACGGAGGCTGAAAGATTGCTCCGGTCAGAGGAGAATTGCTGGGAACTGGAAGCTCCAGAGACTGCCAATTCAGGCGAGGTCGCTTGTGAGCAGGGGTGCCCCACACAGACTGTCCGTCCAGAAAATTTCAATCACTCACAAACCACACAGCAGCACCCGCTCCTTCGCTCGACTTTTTTTCTGCCCCGACTCTCCTAACCTCGCTATTCACCGGAGCAGTACTTTAGTTCCCCGTTCCCCTCCAACCGTTGGCAGCTTTCCTCCCTCTCCATCCAACAACAACAACTTTTCCCCCATCAATTGTGTTGTGCGTCTGCCATTCACACAAACTTACCAAAGGTCAGTAAATACCCCACACCGTCACACCTACCCACCAATCGCCCCCCCCACCTTTCCCAAGTTTGAGTTTGCGCCCTCACATTCCCCAACCTGCCGACGCCAAAACAATTTTTATTTTCGACCCAAACTTCCCTGACATCGTCGTCTCGCCCATCAATTTTCGATTAGCTGACTCTTGTCGACGACCGCACAGTTTCGATATCCTCTTCACAAACCTCACAACAATCCACCAACCCCACTACACTATCACAATGGATTCCTACGGTTCCCAAGGACGTGCCTGCTTCACCTGTGAGTTTGCCCCCGTCCGTCCAGTCTCGACGACTTTCCTACTCTTCCCTTGCCCGATACTGTGACTTCGATGCCCTCGCTACACACACCGCATGGCTGCTTTCATCGGGTGGTCTGCACATGATATACGCCTCGAGTATACGCTTGGCTTTCTACGTCCGCATGACCCTTCATGTCATGTTCTGTTTGCAGTCGGATCGTTGGATGTCGGTCTGCGCATCAGAGTCGAACCCTTCCCTCTGCTTGGATGCCATCGCACTGGATCACTGTCTTCATTGGAACCGACTTTCCATGTTGGGACATCCTGGTTGGACAGCTTATAGCAGTGGGAAACCCTCCTGCCTTTCTTGGCAAAGAGCACCCCGCACTACATCACCATGACACCGCCTGACTTTTGTTGTGTGAGGGAGAGAAGATCTAACATGAGAGAAATATAGGCGGGCAGACCACTCATCAGGTATGACACCGGCGACGAGAGACTCCTTACCGGAGAGAGGTATTGTCCTGTTTGGTTTCGAGTCACTGACATGTTGCAAATAGGCCCGCGACTGCCCCAACAAGGGTGCCGCCAAGTGCTATAACTGTGGCAGTAGGTTACCCTGAAGACATACTTCGCTCGAGATGGACAGAAGACTGATCAGAGATGTTTGCGCTTTACAGTTGAGGGCCACATGAGCCGTGACTGCCCCGAGGGTCCCAAGGACACCAAGACCTGCTACCGCTGCGGCCAGGCCGGCCATATCTCTCGCGACTGCCCCACCGGTGGTGACCAGGGTCCACGCCAGGGTGGTGGTGGTGGCAGCTCTGCTGAGTGCTACAAGGTCAGCTCCTGCTATTCGGTGTACCACAGTCAGACGCCTGTACTAAATCTGTTGTCAGTGCGGCGAGGTCGGCCATATTGCCCGCAACTGCCAGAAGGGCGGCAACTCCTATGGTGGTGGCTACAACTCCGGCTATGGTGGCAACTTCAACCAGAAGACCTGCTACTCTTGCGGCGGCATGGGTCATCTGTCCCGTAAGTTCTTCCACAACTTGTCTTGTTCATACAGACAGCTAACACGCACTCTTCAGGTGACTGCGTCAACGGCAACAAGTGCTATAACTGTGGCGTTTCCGGCCATCTCTCCCGCGAGTGCCCCAAGGAGTCTACTGGTGGCGAGAAGATCTGCTACAAGTGCCAGCAGTCTGGCCACGTCCAGTCCCAGTGCCCCAACAGCGCTTAAGTTGCGGGTGTAGCAGAGACGGAGCGATAGCATTTTTCTTCTCACCCTGTTCTTTCAGCCACTTTCAGCCTTTGCATTTTGCTATTTTCGTCAGGATGAGGGTAGAATGGAAACAAGTGGAGTTGTAGGGAGGGGGGAGGTAGCTCGGAGGTAGTTTGACGGCAGGGACCGGTGTGCGGCCGGTCCAGGTGAAGTGCTTGGTGTTCGCACATCGGCGCTTCGACGGTGCATTGCTGGTATCTCAGAGGCAATCTGGATATCGCTCCGCTTGGCATTTCCACGACCTGATTGCACGCAATCTAGGTCGGGACAAAGATTCCCCAAATTTTCCTTTTTTTCCTTTACTTGTTTTTACTATCGCAAAAAGTTACCCATTCGCAACTTGTCATGACACGACGATCATACGGACTTTTACCAGGGCAAACACGGAAAAGTTTTGCACAACCATATTGGCGTTTGGGACAGGCAGGGCTATCTCCAAATGGGATTCCGAGTCTTGCTCACGAAGGCAGCAGCAGAGAAGAGATCAACCAAGTCGCGGATCTGGGTTCTGGGTTTTATGGCAAAAACGGTTTTATGACTACTAGATCATGGATCGGGACTGGAAAAGGATTCACGAGAAGGGTCCATAGAAATGACAACTGGTCTGGTTCACAACAGTCGTGGTTCTCGTGCCATGTGTGTGTAGTGTTGAATTTTTGTTTAGAGTTGTGATATGTTCACCTGGCCTGAGGAAAGACATCACAAGCAAGTCAAGAATCAGAAAAGTCAATGGAGATCTTGAAATTCAAGCCTCTTGAGGGCCCTTCTGTATGTTGTTCTTACACCTCTAATCTGTGCTATTCCAAAAACAGATAACAAAAATATGTTTACCTCTTCCTATCCCTCATTACATCGGCCCCATGTCCTTGACTAGGTATTCAATCCCTTTCCAACCATTTTTTTTCTATTTTAGTTTTCTTTTCTTGTTTTCTGTCTCGCCACAATTTACAAGACAGCCTTGGGCATAAACTTCATAGCCTGCCTGACACCCAAATCACCAAGAACCTCCTCGGCACCGCCCAGGATGGAGTCAAACTTGTACGTCCTGTTGAAGTTCTCAATCACGCGGCCCATGCCGGTCTGGGTCAAACCGCGACCACCCCAGATCTGGACGGCCTCGTCGGCGATCTCGTGGGCGGCGCGGGTGCAAGACATCTTGAGGAGGGCGATGGGGCCGCCCATGTGCTTGGCTTGTTGGGAGTAGGACATGTTGCACATTTGGTAACTAATGATGACACAAAAGTTAGTGGGATGTTGTGGACAGATAGGTGGGGAAAGGGGGGAAAGGGTCGCTTACGTGATGGTCTCCAGCCAGGACTGGTGAGACTCGCAAAGGGCAATCATCTTAGCGAGCTTCTGGCGAATGACGGGCTGGTCGATGAGCCTCTTCTTGAAGACGATTCTCTGGTGAGCCCACTTGAGGCACTCCTCCGTTACGAGACGCATGTAGCGGATGGTGGCGCAGGCCATGGTCCACCGCTCGTGGTTGAAGTTGGAGAGGATGACATAGATGCCCTTGTTCTCCTCACCCAACAGGTTCTCGACAGGGACCTTGACGTTGTCAAAGGTGATGTAGGCGGTGCCGGCAGCGGGGGAGTACGAGGTCTTGATGGGCTTGGTCTCAACGCCCTCGCCGCGGGGGATGAGGAGCACCGACAAGCCCTTGCCGGTGTTGACACCGGTGACGAAGTAGTCAGAGAAGACACCGTTGGTGATCCACTTCTTGGTGCCGTTGACAATGTAGTGCTTGCCGTCGGGGGTCTTCTTGGCGGTGGTGCGGAGGCCGGCAACGTCGGAGCCGGCAAAGGCTTCGGTGATGGCGAGGCAGATCTTCTTCTTGCCAGAGAAGCACTCCTCCTCGACCTTGGCCTTGAGGGCGGGGTTCTTGTGGCCGTAGTTGAGAACGCAGGTGAGACCAATGACCATACCGGCCATGTTGCCGTCCTGGAAGCCGCGGCAGGCAGCGCGGACAGCCTCCTGGGAGCAGATCATGTCGTGGAAGTAGTCAAACTCCTTGCCGTCGACGGCACCATCGAGGAGGTTGACACCGTGGAGGTGCTTGCCGGGACCCATTCTCATGTGGAGGACACCAGCCTTGGACATGCGGTCGATAAGCTCCTGGGAGACGATCTCGCCGGAGCGCTCCTTCTCGAGAGCCTCGGGGGTGATGTACTTGTCGGTGAAGATGCGCATGGCCTTCTGGAGCTTGCGGTGGCTGTCCTTGAAGTAAGGGGACTTGAACTGGGGGGTGAGCCAGAGGGGCTCGGCATATGGGACGGTGGAAAGATCGCCAGCTTGGGGGGTGATGATGGACTGCTTCTCGCCCTCGATGGTGCCGATGGCAAGGTCAGAGTACTTCTGGAGAACCTCGTGTCTGTGAAGGTTGTAGAAAGCGGCAGTGGCATCGGTACCGGCAACCTGACGGAGGACAGCCTCACCACCGGGGTGGGCATCTAGGAACTCGGAAACATCGTAGACGACGGTGTCAATGACGAACCAGACACTATCTTCGGTGTTGTGCTTGGCGACCTCGGCGCGGGTGAAGGTCTTGGAGGGGACCTCGAGGACGGACGAGGACATGTTGATGGTTGTTGGTTGATCTTTGAGGGTTTCGAAATATAGAAAAGGGAGGGTATCACAGAGATGGATGGTGGAACAAGAAGCGGTGCCGCTGTCGCAAAGATCAAGACACACGGGAGAAACCTAAACAAAGAAACTGGTATCAACGAGGAAGAGAGGTTCACACAAGAAGAACAGGGAACAATGGGTCGAGGAAGGCTACCATGTGGTTTTTATTCAGATCTCGGGCCCAGCAACCTCCAGGCCATCATCACCTGGACCAGGGGGCATTCCTCCCCAATTGACCGCGGGTCACTGGACTTGATTCGGCAGGTTGTGTTGCCCGTGTTGTTGGACGACCTCGGCTTTGGAAGCTGGGCTGGGTCGGGGCCCTGGAATGTGGGGAATGCTCCAAAATCCGCATTGCATTGCCTGTGATTGGCTGCGTCTCCAAGCCCGTGCCAAGACTCTTCCAGGTCATCTTGAGCTTGCGCTGTGCGGAGCATGTGATGCTGCGTCGATGCTGTGGCACTCGGCCTGCGGATTGGAACTTCCGAGACGGCGCCATGACTCGGTTTCTTCAAAGACCATTGCCAGCTCAGAATCGGCGAAGATTCTCTGCCATTTTCAGGGGAATTCTGCCGAAATACTTCACGGAACCTTGTCAGACACGCTGTTTGGTGTCTTTTTTCCCCGCGGGGAACCCTCGCAGGGGGGCTCAAGCCAGCCGTCGGCAAGTGTCGTCATCGACGACCGGCAGCGTGGGGTTGCGACAGGGATTAACCACAAATCAGTCAGTGGTTACACGCCTATTTGGGTTCGCGGGCGACCTCTTTCGAGCTGTTGAAGAGCCTCAATTGTTTCTCAACCCATATCCCGTTGGTCTTCCTCAAATGTCAAGGTTTCAGCCTGGGAGCGGTGTTTCCTCGAGTCCGTTTCCGTTGTTGCATTTGCTCCACGCAACCCCGCATTGACCTTGCCTTATGCCCCCACAATCGAACAGCTTGTTGCGGGTGCCTCGGGCGATATTGAACGACAGGTCCAAATCGAGTGTTTCGATAAAGACTACAGCTGTGTTTTATCTCTTGTACCTTGTTTCTCTTTTCTAGGGAGATACACGCCAACACTCATCATCAGAGGTGGATATCTCATGTTTCTGGCTTACGGCGGCCCTTATCTCTTCCACCTTCATAGGCTTACAAAGTTGCTCGTATTGTAAGTGTTTCTCCATGGCTTGGTGTCATACGTGGTGTCTGTGGCACACACGGTGAGTGGGACCTCGTGGTTAAGCTCTCCGACCGCATCAGCTGCATGCTCAAGTATCAGTGAACTATTGGCTACTTCAGCTTCCAAGAGACTGCTCTAGACCCAGTGGTCTGGATGTTCCTTTCACCGGTGCTACAGTTGTGTGGGACAGCAGTTCACCGGCAGCTTCTTCTTTTGGCTTTCCGAGAGAAGATACTGCACTTTCTAGATTACCTGTCCACCACTGACGAGGGTTCGCTGCTGAACCCTTCATAACCCGCTGGTGTGCTCCGGCATAATTCGAGGCTCTTATCGGCCTTTCCATCTGACAAGGGAGGACCGATACCACCACCAAAGCCGTCCTTCCAATACTGCAAGGCAGCTTACCTTCCTGACCGACTATGCCTATCTCACCATTTGCTTGCACCTTTGCGGCTTTGGTCAAGCAATTTATGAGGCTCAGCATGGCAGGTGCAACTCTTGTTGGCCCAGAAGGCGATTACTCCCAGCCTTTCCCCGCTGAAGTACCCCCTCGTGATGTTCATCTCATGAGTATATCCACCCGTCTCCTCGTAGACCATGAGGTGCGGGCTTTTGCTCGACATTCTTTTTTGTTACCGCCATCATTGTTGCATTCATTCCTACAGACCATCGAGCTTCTAGTAGTTTTACAATACTTCTTGCAGTGTTATCACACTTTCGAGGGTTCCAAAAAAGCTCACCAAGATGGATGCTTACTCGATGTCAATTAGTAGCGCTTCTCGGAGAGTCACCTCGAAGCTGTATCAAGATCTGAAGACAGCCAGGCTTTACACTTTTGACAGATCACATAAGGAACTGGGCATCATGGATAGAGTCTTACAGGTACCTGTGGTTCATAGTAGAAGCTGGTGTTAATGCCGCTAACTCACTTGGTAGTTCGAATCTTTGGATCCGAATAGAAAACCACACATTGGGATTGTCGGTGCTGGTTTTGCAGGTCTTCGATGTGCAGATATCCTCATTCGATATGGCTTCCGAGTGACGATCCTTGAAGCCCGTAATCGCCTCGGCGGCAGGATACATCAAGAAAGGCTCCCCAGCGGCAATCTGATAGACATGGGCGCCAACTGGATCCATGGCACTGATGATAACCCGATCCTGGATCTGGCAAAGGAGACCAAGACACACACTGGGGTCTTTGACAGCGAATCGTATGTTTTTGACGAAGACGGCACACTTCTATCTGCACAGGAGGGAGAGAAATTCTCAACGGTCATGTGGAATATCATTGAAGAGGCTTTTGAGTACTCTGAGAAGCACGGGACTCAAATAGACGCGGACAAGACGCTGTTAGACTTCTTCAAGGAGCAAATTCTCAAGCAAATACCCGATACACTAGAGGGATATGAACGACAGAGGAAATTTGTCCTGCAGATGGCCGATCTTTGGGGGGCTTTTGTTGGCAGTCCAGTTGAGACACAGAGTCTCAAGTTCTTCTGGTTAGAAGAGTGTATTGACGGTGGTAAGACATCTTCAAGAGCTAACTCGTATCACGCCGACACTGACATTACAACAGAAAATTTGTTTTGCGCTGGGACCTACCACAAAATCCTGGAGAGGGTAGCGAAGCCAGCTGTTGATGGCGCTGATATTCGATATGGAACGCGGGTATCGGAGATATACGGAAAATCTACATCACCCAATGGAACTCCCAGGGCGATGACTGCCGATGGCCAGATACTCGAGTTTGACGAGCTGGTTGTCACCACACCGCTTGGATGGCTCAAACAGAACACTCACGCCTTCCACCCTCCTCTTCCAGATCGACTATCCAAAGCCATCCAGAATATTGGATACGGATGCCTAGAGAAGGTCCGTGTCTATCACGACTTTGTCTGCACACATATGACTAACACCCCATGTGTCACAGGTGTACATCTTCTTCCCAACTGCCTTCTGGCTTACACCTGATGCAAATGGACGGAAAGTCCAAGGATTTTGCCAATGGCTTTCGCCAAACTATTCCAAAGACACCAATCCCGCCGGTTGGACCAACGAGATCGTCGAGCTCGCCTCCATGGGGCCTTCTTCTCATCCGACGTTGCTATTCTACACATACGGCGATGAATCACGACATATCACATCCACCTTGCGCTCTCTGCCCTCGCAGAAAGAGAAACTCGACTTTTTGTTCAACTTCTTCAAGCCATACTACTCACGGCTACCGTCATACGACGAGAACAACCCCGACTGCCACCCTGTAGTTGCGGTAGCCACTGACTGGCTTGGTGATGATTTGGCGGGGAATGGCAGCTATGCCAACTTCCAGAAGGGGCTCAAGGAGGGCGACAAAGACATCGAGATCATGCGGCAGGGAATATCGGGTGAGGGGATCTGGCTGGCGGGGGAGCACACCGCGCCGTTTGTTGCTCTGGGGACTGTGACAGGGGCTTACTGGAGCGGGGAGGGGGTTGCAAAGGAGGTGGCGGGGAGTTATGGGAAGAGGATGGCGGAGAAGCTTGGAAAGGAGGATGCCATCACCAACTGAAGCGTAGTTCATCATGATATCTGTGTCAAAACGGTGGTGGGGAGAGCGAGGTCCAGGCTAATAAGGTAGCGGTTGGTTACATTCCTGAGCGTCCACAGATTTATTGTTTTGGATAAAGGTAGAGCAGTTACCTATTGTAGCTTAGCAACGGCAAGTCACAGCGTTTTGTTTGCTGTCTGGAACTCCCTGCTGCTGTTGCCTGTGCCTTGTCTGCAGCGCGAGGGCTGCGCTGCTTGCGAAATGGTGAGGCGGGCAGAGTCAAATGACTGCTTTGGTGCAGACGGTTGCATCTCGAGGAGTCAGCCTGTTGCAAAAGATTCCCCCTAGCCGTGGTAGCACCCGCCACGTCGTATTTGTGTGAGTCTCCCACCTGGCCTCTCCCGACGGTTCAAAAACATGCCGGTTTTCAATTTCCCAGCACCCAGCATAAGGCATCCAGCCTCCGTTCTCTCTTGGAGCTGGTTCCAGCTGGGCCAGCTGGGAAGGCCGACCTAAGTGTCATCGGTCTGAGGTCCAGTGCCGGTGTCATGGCGGGGCGCTCCTAGCGAACCCCTAAGGTTGGGAAAGTGGGGCGCCTAAGCTCACTCTGTGACTCTCTTCTAGTGGAGGCGGTTTGCTGTATTCGTATCCCTGCCACGCCCAGCACGCTACCGATAAGGCCGATCAACTGATTGGTGTGTGGTTACACCCAGAGCTTGTCACGGGTCGTCTCTTGCAAGCTGCTCACCACGTCAACTCCCAGTTGCGCCTCTTGCCTATGTCTGGAAACCTTGGAATCCCGGGGGCTTCTTTTTGGTTTGTCCCCTAAAAACCCTAAACAAAGTACACAATACTATCCAGAGAAAGCCTCGGAGGCTTTTTGAAAATCTTGTTTCGTTGTGCCCTAACCTTCACCCTTACACCATCGCTGTCACTGATGATGCTCGCCCCAATATGACCTTGCCCCGCACATCCGCCTCATCGTCCCCCAGACAGTTGGACGATTGCATATCGAAGTGCCTGTCAGCTCATCGAACCATCATCCGATCCGATACCCAAACACTGAGATATCCAAACCAGCATACTTACCAGACGGTGACGGTGACGGCGACCCGGTGAAACCGCCCCGCGCGCGCCGAACGACCGGCATCGCAGATAAGCGATAACGATCATCGCCCATCATGGCGTCTTTCTTTCCGTCGTTTCGCCAGTCGCGGATGCCCAAGCGGCTGCTTCGGTTCGCCCTGGCACGGCTAGACGTTCTGGACGAGACAGCGCTTGACTTGGAGAACCTTGATTTTGCCGTTGGAACAAACACGGTCCTGGAATTCCGAGATGTCGGGCTTGTACTCCAGGTACGCACCTGCCGCCTAGTTTTTGATGCTGACCTTGAGATGCTTTCGTAATTTGTTGCAAGGGCTGTCTATCCTAACATGTCGTAATGTGAAATAGAAACTGGAGAAGCTCTTGGGGCTCCCTCCAACCTTTTCGATCCAGAAAGCCAAGATCCTCGTCTTGCGAGTTACGATTCCCATGAACATCTTCACAAGCCCGATCATAGCCGAGGTCGATGGTGTTGATGTCCAGCTCAAGATTATGTCGCAACAGGAGGTGGAACAGCAGCGGTCAAAGAAGAGGAGGAGATGGCGGGCCACTGATGATGTCGTTCCGACTGCTGCCGACCTTGCGCAGTCGTTCCTGGAAACACAGCCGGTATCAGAGAAGAAAGAGCTGGAACAGGCACTTGTTGCGGAATCGCAGGACCTCGGAGCTTCAGTAACCATGAGTGAACCTGAGAGCGATGACGAGTCGTCGTTCGGTACCGGCCAAGCTCTGTCACTGCCAGCTTTCATGACCGACTTCCTCCAGGGCATTGTCGACAGAATGCAAGTTCGGATACATGGTGTTTCATTCCAGGTTGATACCGAAGTGCCACTGGACGCGAACTCCCAGCCCCCTGAGTTGGTCACTTTTCGACTTTCGCTGGATAAGGTGGATGTGGAAGGTGTCACTACATCAGCAGATGATGCTGAGGGCGGTCCAGAGATTGTTCACAAGGAGGGCAAACGGCATATTCTTCTGGACAACATCCGAGCGTTCCTGATCACCGAGGCAAATGTGTTCTCGTCATTAGTACCATCCCCGACGATGCTATCTTCTCAAGGATCAGCCCAGTCTCCGGAAGCAACTGAGGCCCCGTCATTTCCAACTCCCGGCGCCAATCTGGCAGACAGCATAAGCTCTGCGTCGGTAACTTTGGATGATTTTGCGCAACTTCAGGCTCAGATGCACGATAGCGAGGCGGCGCTGAATATCCCCTACGAGTTTGACCAACCTAATACGTTTGTTGAATATGCAGAGCCGAATTCGCCTGGTTCCACACCCCGGGCATCTCTTTACCAAGATATGGCAGGCCTTGGTCTTCAGGAGCACGCCAAGTCTACGCTTGTAGAGCCGGGGGCTTCAAGCTGGTCTGCTCCGGAGAGAGAAGCACAGTCAGAGCCTTTTCTCCGGCCTCCAGAAGGCTTCCCACTTGGTTCGTCGGTCTCTCCCGCTGGCTCTGTGCATTCAGAGGCTGCTAGTAGCGAATCTAGTGGCGGAGCCGAAGACCTTACGCAATCCCATCTCTACAGCCACGAGGAAGCTGAGAGCATGTACATGAGTGCCTTCTCATATACAGGTTCGGTAAAGCTACGCGGAGCAATGCCCGGATCTTGGGATGAGCAAGAGTCCGTGTCATCGGGGGGAAAATCCGACGCCGCTGGCCCATCATCTGCACAACCCCAGAATTCACCCCCACCAGAAACACAGGGTGGACGGTTCTACAACGAGACTGGACAACCGCCAGACCAGTCCTCTCTATCTCCCCAAGGCACATCGCCAATATCAACGCGAAGTCCCGTTGCCGAATTCTCAGAAGATCACAATCTAGGCCAAGAACCAGAGCGCCACCAAGATGACATCCCGACGCCTCGTGGACCTACCAGATTAGTGAAAGAAGTCATTTCACTAAGCTCCATATCGGTCTATCTACCATCAAATCACAAGCACCTACACGTCACGACTCCTGACCTCGCAAGTACTACCCCAAATCTCCCAGGAGCATTTTCGGTCCACTCACCTGAACCTCTGAGCCCCTCGTCACCCGTTTCCGAAACCCCGGCTGAACACCCGCCTCTTGACCCATCTATTGAGGTTATCCTGAAGCCGATAGAGGTGCGGTTTGATGCCTCGATTGGGTTTCTTTTAGCCATGGTGGTGAGCCGCCTGCTGGAAGCAGTGCAAACATCCGAAACCAGCAATACAGCTCCGTCCAGGTCAGACTCTAAGCCTGCGCTGGACCTCAAACTCGTAGTGGAAGGTCTATCACTCCAATTTTTGGAGAAACTTGCAGGTGTTGCCGACACGGCACAGAAACATTTCGAGAAGCGGTCACCGGACTTTGCGTCCGATGTCCTCCTGCAAGCAAATTTGAGGGGAATCAAAGCTTCGCTCTCAAGCTCTGGCTCCGACATGGAAGCCGATATTGCTATTGAAAAGCTCACATTTGGGTATGCCAATGACCAGATTATATCGTTTGATCGATCCGTTCAAATGTATGAATCTATGGCTGCCAGCACTCTCTTGTCTTCGGGACAGGATATCTCAGTCAAGCTCACCAAGAGCTCTGGAAGGTCGAGCCTCAAAGTTAACACACTTCCTCTACATGTCAAACTCGATCTCCCAAAGTTGGATGAAACATTCATCTGGTTTGGAGGCTTGAGCAGCTTCCTCAACATGGGCTCTTCGATCACCTCGAATCCTGCAAAGAGCACAACTGTTGCGCCGCAGAAGCCCAAGGGTGTTCGATTCGAAACCCCGAGTTCGGATGATCGACCTGTCAGTTCAGGTGACAAGGCTGAGATGCGCATCAATGGGATCCGGCTGGATGTTATCGGGAGAGACTGTAGCATGGCCCTTGACACCAGCGCTCTCAAGTTGATCAACAGGGGAGAAGGCGTCGGTGTGCACTTCAGCAAGATACAGCTGGCAGGGCCATATCTTCGCAATTCCCAAGCTGCAGCTCCCATCATTGCCAAAATTGTGGACACCCGGATCGAGTTTGTCATGGCGCCGCGGGAACAAGATCTTGAGAGGCTTGTTGAACTCATCACTCCGTCACAGAGCAAGTTTGACAAGGACGGGGATGAGATCATGGTTGACATGCTCATTCGCCAACGGCGAAAGGGGTCGGTTCTGAACTTGACCGTCGGCAAAGTCAATGTCAATGTGGGCAGACTTCAGCAGCTCAGCTGTCTACCCAGCTTGGCAGAGGATCTTGCCAAACTCGGGACTGTTGCCAAGTATCTGCCCGAAGATGACCGGCCCGGGTTGCTCTCTTTTATTCATGTCAAGAGCTTTGAAGGCGCTGTCGACATTGGTGGACGTTTTGGAGCGGTTCAAGCAGCCATTGCAGACCTGGAGGTGGCTCACATCACGGTTCCTACTCTAGTTGCTGTTGCTGTGACAGGTATCACTGTCACAAGAAACCAGGTCGAGGACCTTGTGACGACACCACCAAATCCCGCAACGGCCTCGTCACCAAAGCCGCCTGTTCTGAGGATGAGAATGGTGGATGATATTGAGCCGGTCCTCAAAGTCAGGCTGAACGGGCTGAATGTCGAGTACAGAGTGCCTACTATCATGGCCATCTTGCAGCTTTCGGAGGATGCCACACCGCAAGACTATGAGGCTAGCCTTGCAGCCTCGGTCGCCAATCTTGGTGATCACGCTCATACCGCCATCAAGGGCTCACCAGCTGGTTCAGCATCGTCGGGGCAAGAATACAGTTCAAAGCCCATCAAAGTCGACGTTGCTTTCGAGGACTGTCTGATTGGCCTGAACCCTCTCGGCCCGCCATCCAAGTTGATTCTTGCGCTGACGACAGCATCGCTTGAGGTGGTACCCGGAAAAGACGAGAGTGTACATGCCGTCCTGGAGATGGATAAGGCATCCATTCTGCTCATTGATGATGTCACGGTATTGGACACGCCTGGGGCACCGTTTGCTTCGAAGCGACGGCCCAAAGTCATTCCTACACCGCAGATCACCGAGCTATGTTCCAAGGGTTTTGTGCACATCAGCCAAATCTCCAAGGCTCAGGCTGTCGTGAACACAACCAAGGATAAGAACGGCGATTCGCAGCTGGAGGTCGAACTACGTGACAAGCTTCTGGTCATGGAGACGTGTGCCGACTCAACTCACACTCTGATTGCTTTGGCAAACGCTCTAACCCCGCCTACACCGCCGAGCAAGGAGGTCAAGTATAAGACATCGATTGTTCCGGTGGAAGATCTGCTGGCTTCCATCACTCACGACGCGTTTGGCCGCGCTGAGGGTGATTATGACTTTGATAATGATTTCCTTCCTGTTGCTGGAGAGCACAGCGGCGAGATGGATAGTGAGCATGACTATTATGGCGGACCAAACGATAGCCCCCTCAACATGGACTCTCAGTTTTACGACGACGAGGTTATCCACGAAGAGCTTTTCGATGCCACTGCTCAATCGCTTGACTTGTCAAAAACCAGAGTTGAGGAGACGAACGATGGTGTCTTGCTCAGCACTGCTAGCCTGAGCACCGACAATAGCACAGACAATAGCAGCGGGCGTCTCTCAGTCGAAGAAGGGTTCTTTGAGAAGGAGTCGGCTGTCAAGGGCACAGCGCACCGGTGGAACTCTAAGAAGAACAAGTATGATGATGGTAACGACACCAAGATTCAACGAAGCCCGCTCAAGGTTGGTGTGCGTGATGTCCATCTTATTTGGCACCTGTATGACGGCTATGATTGGGTGCGGACTCGAGAAGTCATTGCCAAGGCGGTCAAGGAAGTTGAGAACAAGGCATACGAGAAGCGGGCCAAGGCTGAACGCAAGGATGACTTGGATGAAGAAGAGATTGTGGGTGACTTCCTTTTCAATTCGGTGTACATTGGAATTCCAGTCACTCGGGATCCAAAGGAGCTGGCCGCCGCCATCAACCATGAGTTGGGGGATGGAAACGATACCGAGTCGGTCGCCACCACGGCCTTCACAACCTCCACCATTCGCCCTGCTGGCAAGCATCACCACGCTAGGTCCAAGAGCCTAAAATTGGGCAGGAGCAATGATCACAAGATCACATTTGAGCTCAACGGCGTGAATGTGGACTTGGTCACCTTCCCACCTGATTCTGGGGAGACAGTCAGCTCCATCGATGTCCGTGTCCGCGACCTGGTCGTTTTCGACCATGTGGCTACTTCCACGTGGAAGAAGTTTGTCACATACGACGAGGATGCGGGTGACAGAGAGGAGGGCGCAAATATGGCCCACATCGAACTTCTCAACACAAAGCCTGTGCCCTCTATGCCGGCTTCTGAAATTGTCTTGAAGGTCAGCATTCTGCCTCTTCGTCTTCACGTCGATCAGGATGCGCTGGACTTTATCACACGGTTCTTTGAGTTCAAGGACGACTCGACACCTGTTCACGCCTCTCCGAGTGATGTGCCCTTCATCCAGCGTGCCGAGGTCAACGACGTGCCTGTCAGGTTGGATTTCAAGCCAAAGCGGGTCGACTATGCTGGTCTCAGATCAGGCCATACGACTGAGTTCATGAACTTCTTGATCCTGGAGGATTCCCGTTTGGTTCTTCGCCATGTTATTCTTTACGGCATCGCCGGATTTGACAAGCTTGGAAAGCAGCTCAACGACATTTGGACGGACAATGTCAAGCGCACACAGCTTCCTGGTGTTTTGGCTGGTCTGGCACCAGTCCGCTCTCTTGTGAACGCCGGCAGCGGCTTCCGTGAGCTGATTGAGATTCCCATCAAGGAATATCAGAAAGACGGGCGCATTGTCCGCAGCATTAGGAAGGGTGCGACCCGTTTTGCAAAGACGACTGGTACAGAGGTGGTGAAGTTGGGCGCCAAACTCGCCATCGGGACACAGTACGCACTTCAAGGAGCCGAGGGCATGTTGGTTAACAAGCCAGCTGGAGAGTCAAGTAGCTCCGCGGCTCCCATTGCCATCGACGATTGGGACGAGGGAGATGAGTACGAAGCCGAAGAGGAGACGACCAACCGGCAGGTCAGCCTGTACGCGAACCAGCCGCTTGGTATCCTCCAGGGCGTGCGGGGCGCCTATTCGAGCCTGGCCAGGGACCTGGCGGTGGCAAGGGACGCAATCATTGCGGTGCCGGCCGAGGTGATGGAGAGCACGAACGCTCAGGGGGCAGCCAAAGCTGTGCTGAAGCGGGCACCGACGATAATCTTCCGGCCTGCCATTGGTGCTACCAAGGCCATTGGACAGACTCTGCTGGGCGCGACGAACAGTCTCGACCCGGCGAACAGGAGACGGGCGGAGGCGGTGAGTTTTCTTGGTCTGATACTACAGTGAAACAGGTTGCTGACTTTGTGACAGAAATACAAGAAATAATCGAGTAAGAAAACCACAGACGAGGGAGTCTTTTTCTAGAACCATACATCACAACAAAGGCGTACACCTAGCCTTGCGAGATTGCATGGCAAGTTCTCAAGAATTAATAATGATTTGTTTTTACGAAGGGAGAAAGAGAATATCACGAAGAGGAGGGCATGAATACTCGGAGTTTTGGGGGGTTGAGACATTCTAAGGATTGCGGGATCTGGGAAGGAGTTTTTGATTTTCAGGTCATATCTCTTAGGGGTCTCTCTATCTGCGCTTTAGTTTTTTTTTTCTTTTCCTCTGAAGACGATTATTTAGTGTTTTGGTCAATTGGGAGGAGAAGAACGATACAGCATACCCCCATGAGGTCTCGGTAGTTTTTGGTTCAGTCTTTATTTTGTTTTAGCTCTCTCTGTGCTTTTGAGGGTGTGGTGATGTGATGAGGTGATGGTTGTTGCGGTTTTACTCTTGACCCGTTGTGATCAGCTTTGTTGAGCTCTAAGATAACTGCAAATCAGGGGAATATGGGACCTGGAGGCTCTCAAGTTTGCATTCTACTCTAGCTAGACAGGTTATTGACAGGAAAATAATTAAAAATAGAGACTGTAATGAGATGCCAAGGTGTAGAAAAATAGTTGATATATCTGTGCTGGAACCGCTTCTGGCAATCTTGAAACTGACGTCCGGTTCTTCCAAGGCCTGCCAATATGTACTTGAGGTGCACCGACTACCTATCTTTCAGAACTCTCATCCCAAGCAGCAGTCGCCATTTTCTTGTCCACAAGGGAAAGAATGTGAAGAGAGCACAGTAGTCAAGACTAGAAATCAGTACTCGATCCTTTTGGTTCAGTGTTGATTTATGCGATTTGCAAACTTGGGTTTTGCCAAATGCTACTCCCAGCACCCCAGCATCATCATCGAGTTAAGATGGGTATGGATGGGTGTGTTTAACTCCCGCTAGACTCATTCATCTCCCTCTCCCTCGCCTTTCTCTGCTCTCGAAGGTGGGTCTCTTTGCTTATTCTCTACGGGAAAAGGTCAGCATTGTTATCCGTTCTCTCTCTACTGGCCGTTGCAAATAAAGTTGTCGTGACAGGGAAGGGGTTAGGTAATATACTCACTGCGTTTGTCTTTGCTGCTTGGATTGACGATCGGGTGTAGCTACTCATATAAAACTCATCAGCAACCCAGTTGCGATGTAAATAGCGGAAGCGTCTGCGGGCATGTGCTACTGTGCAAGGCAGGTGTGACTTACACGAACAAAATCGAAGCCATCGTGAAAGCCGCCATCGGGGCCATGACCGTCTGTTTCTGTCAGCTTCACATGCACGCGCCCGATGACGGAGAGAAAAAGAAAAAAAAACCAACTCTAGAATTGAATTTCACCATTTTGAATTCTTGCAATTATCCCATTTCTTGCCCATGTGCCGTTTACTCTTGAGATGCTGGGTGAGCTTAAAAGGTCGACGACGTTAAGGTTTAGCGGGTGTTATCGGAGAGATCCATTTCCAAAAACCGCTTCTCAAAAGGAGCGAGCAAGCGACATCACACCACTTTTCCAGAACTTGGTACAAACACCACACATTCAATGAGCACAGTACATGATTCAGATTATCAATGGACGAGTAATAGATTTTGAACCTTTTTGATATTTTTTTTTCTCTCATTCTTTATAACAACATCTATCGTCTCTCTCTCTCTGTCCCCTATGCAATTGTGTTCCCCTTAAAAACTCCAGACCCCAAATCCCTTTAAACCCCCCTCTCCCTACTTCATCTCCTGATGAAAATCAAAGCCCCAATGCAAGATGCGACAAATAAAATGAGGGAAACAATAATGTGTCCATATCATATCAACCAAAAATATGACAGCTCGCCTGCCTGCCTTCGTCTGCTCGCTCTTGACTCGCCTTGCTTTGCTTTGCCTCGCACATCAAACAAATGCTGCTTGCTTGCTTGTCAAGTGTCTTATACTTACAAATAATCTTATATGCGCCTCTCTTCCTCTCAAGAAAGGGATTTATGAATCCAAAATCTCTCTCCTCTCCACGCTGCCACCACCCTCCAGCTTCTGCCTCCCTCTCTCCCTCAGCCCGTTCATCCGCCTCATCGCATACTCATACGTAAGCATCGTAACCGTGGCCGCCGGGACAGCCCTCATCATGTTGGTCCCCATGCCCGCGTAGAAAGCCATCCAACCCTCCTCCCTCAAAATAGTGCGGAAAGTGGTCACGATGCCCCTATATCTCGGACCGCTGCTAACCGCTGGCTTGTTCTGACCGGAAGCAGATGGCTCAGTCACTCCGAGACCCTGCATGTATTCATGCCCCGGCATGGGTCTTCGCTGAGTCTGCAATCTTGTTCGGATGACCTCGTGGGGATAGGTAGCGCTGCTGGCCATGATCTTGCTCAGAATCGACGCCGACAAGATCCCAAACCAGTGCGATTTGTCTTCCTGGCCGGCTACTGGGGCAGCACCCATGGACGTGCCAGTAAATTTGGTCTTCAAATATTCGTACACGGGGAATTGGACCGCTACGTGGGTGAGACCGAGAAGGGCGGGAGTGAGGCCGGAATAAAACGAGAGAATACCCTCTGTGGTGTACATCTTGCGCGCAGCGTCAAGTGTCGATCGGTAGTGCCATGGCTGATGGAGCGTAGGGCGCGAAGTTGGCGTGTTGCTCCCCTTAGGATACAGCGAAAATCGTGTCCGGTCATGGCCAGTCGTCTGTGACATTAGTCGTGTCTTGATCACCCAGATTGGGTTCGTAGCAATCGTGCTGCTGGCTCCTGCTATGATGGATGACCAGAAGTTGACGACAAATGGTCTGTCTGTGACCGGGGTGTCAGTATCCCCCCACTTTCCAGGCCCAAAGATCAGTTCCCTTACCATGATATTGTGACAGATAAATCTTGCTCTTGTTGTAAACCGTAAACCATACCGCCCATGTTGGCAGATACCCCATAATGATCGGTCCCAAGCCCCTGTACATCCCCCTGATTCCCTCCTCCCTCCAGATAATGTTAGCCGTGCCAAACAGGCCCTTGTAGACTACTCTCTGGTGTCCGGTATGTGGGCTGTTCTTTTGCATCGCCAATATTCCTCCCTGAGCCTGCAGCTTCGTCTTGATAACATCCAGCGGGCAAGTCACGACTCCAGACATGAACCCTCCCACCGCGCCCGCCAGCGCATTGAACTGCGAGTCCGAGGCGTCGAGTGCCCAGCGCTCCGCAAGCGTGAGCTGTTCCCCCGCCATGCTGGCGTTGCCCCCTCCGCCTGCCCCGCCTCTTCCCGAATGGTCGCTCGTCGGCTGCGAAGAGGGCGGCTCTTCGACGGCGGGCGGGTCCGGAAGCGCTACTCCATATTCCGCTCGAGGCGCAGATACGGCTTGTCCGTCGGGTGTGAGGTGGTGATGTTGGTTGGACATGCCCGCGTCTCTGCGCGCGCGGAAAGGCCGGAGAGGGGCACTGTAACCCGTCGTTTTTTCCTCGGTTTTGCAGGGTGATTTCTACTTTGTAGAAAGATAATTCAAGGGTCTCGGGGCCCCAAATCCCTCAGAGACCCTAGGGAGGTCTCAGGGTCGTCGGTAGGGAAAGATGTTCCCTTCTAGATCGTATGATGAGTAGATGCGAACAATACCGTTTGCGATTGCCTGTGATCGTGGTCGTGTGCCGGATGTGCGGGGAAGGTCTTATACTGTGTTGGGGTGTGCCGGACCAGCAGAGGGGTCCTTTGTATGTTGCGCGATGGAGCTGTGGGTTGTCAAATTGTTGCGAATCTGTCCAGGACGGTATGGCAGGTACGTGTCGTGCAAGAGAGAGGAGGAGAGACCGAGAAACTGACTTGCGCGAAAACAGCAAGAGAGTCGAGCGATCAACGGCGCTGGTGGTGGAGGAGAACCTTGAAAGGAACTGTGTCTTGGCAGCCGGCCTTACATGGATATGGTTGAGTGTGGATTGCACAATCGCACAGCAAGAGAAGAGGCAAAGTTAGCCGTGTGTCGGCGCTGACCGGGTCCCCTCTTCCTGCTGCTCCGTGTGTGCTCCGTCCAGTCTTTTTTCCCAAGTGTCGCAAGAATCGCAATCGTCACAAGTTCTCCTTAAGAAGAAGCCAATTACGTAGGCTGTGGCTGTTGGGCCGTTCTTGGTGGGCTGCTTTTTCAAGCCGAGTCATGTAACGCTGCTTTACCACCGTAACGCAACAGTTCCGACATGCGATTCTACCGAGGATGAGATAGATGTGTTTGAGTCTCATGCAAATCCCCAAAATTCTCGAAAGATGGGTTGGAGCTTGTGAACTGATGTCTGGTCTCATTCCCGTCTCATCTCTCATCTCTCATCTCTCATCTCTCACATCTCTCATCATGCATTGCAGCAGTTAGTTCAATTCAAGCTCATATTCAGATGGTCGCTGGATTGGTAGGCGGCGGGCGGGATCAGCGGGCCAAAAAAGCAGCATTACCTCATCGCTGCCTTGTGAAGCATAAGCATGGAAAATCCATGCCTAACTTTTCAGGCAGCAAATCCCAGGCCGCAACGGGTTTTCCCGGGGCAGAGCTCTGCCTGTCCAATTGAGCCAACCAACGTCTGCTGATTCCCGACGCGGCAATTTGGCAAAGCTCCCACCACCAAGCCCACCCACCCAGACTGCTGGTCGTCGCAAAGTTGCAAGTGTGAATACCTTCAACCTCCACACATCCATCCAAAATGACGGCCCCATCCCTCGCCAGCTATGTCACCAAGCGCCCCTGGCTCTCCAAGCTCCTGAAGCCCGTTGCCGGCTGGTACAGCAATGCTGCCCTCTACCGTCAAATGGGTCTCAAGTATGTGCATTATATCGCCCACCTCCAGAAACTGTTTCCCTAACCCTATACCCTCCTCCCTCTCTCCAGGGCCGATGATTTGATCTCCGAAGAAAACGCCGACGTCCTCAAGGCCCTCGGCCGCCTCACCCCCAAGGAGTCCTACGACCGCATCTACCGCATCCGCCGCGCCACCCAGCTCTCCCTCCAGCAAAAGATCCTACCCAAGAACGAGTGGACCAAGCCCGAGGAGGACGTCCAATACCTTTCCCCCATCCTCGAGGCCATCGAGGCTGAGGCCAAGGAGAAGCAGGCTCTCGACACTCTTGTCCCCTCCAAGGCCGGCCACTAAGAGAATTGCCCTGAACTTTTGCTTGCAGCCAAAAAGAAGAGGAACCGGGAGTGGCGGAGAGGAGAAAAGGGAGGGAAACTGTATTATGATCATGGACCCAGGTCTGGAACAGACCGGGGTCAAGGAGTATGGGAGGGGAGGTTAGATGGGGTGGGCAGACAGAAGGTGTGTGGTGCAAGAAAAGGGGAAGGGGGGGAAACGCCGTCAGACAAAAAAAAATAGAGGACGAACGTTTAAGAAACCCGGACCTGTTGTATATCTGTATAGAGGGCTCCTCAATTTTTCTCGGTAGAAGAAATCAGGAAAGACTCGCTCACCCATTCAATCTGCTGGTCTTCATGCTGTCAGTTGATTTTGAAGAGTTTGTCGGATTCACGGAAATACGAAAGGTTGCCGAAGAGCTATGGCGAGGTATTGATTTCAACTTAACGAGAAGCTATGAACACATGCCGCTCCTATCTCATGTCTCCAAAACATACGAGCACTAGAACACCGAATGACTCGACTGAAACAATCACCATCACAATTCCCTATCCAAACACAACAAGTTACAAGAACCACCAAATCCCCTGCTCTTTTTTTTATACCACCGCCCCCTATACCACCCGCCAGTCCCTCAGAATAAAAAAACAAAAGCCCCAGAAGGTTTTAAAAAACAGTAAGAGATAGCTAACAAACAAGCCTGGCTGGCGGGAGTAGGTTCGTGAACAACAACAAATAAAGCAGATGGATTACTTTAATCTTTTCTCTTTCCATCCAACCCGTCCCTCCTCATGAAAAGAGCAATGTTCAACATATCTGATGATCCCCTAGCCCGTACTCTGCGCCGCCAATGAGGAAAAAAAAGAACGCAATCAACACGAAACCCAGCCATGACAAAGCCTTCAATATGTGAAGCCCACATCAGCTCTTCGGGTATGTCCCGAGCATTCCGTCATACTAGCTAACCACCCACTCGGACCACAACAGCAACAACAACAGTTCAAAGAACAGAGGGCAAAAAAACGGTGCTCCGGGATTTTTAAAAGGTAGTAAACGATGTACAAGGTGAAATATTTCAGACATGGTGTATTTTCCCGTGTCTGTGAGATGCCTGTTCTGATTCAGGCTGACAAGAATATCGTGGTTTTCGATGTGGATCATGAGCGTTCGTATAACGGCTGATGCGTTCCCTGGAGCGCTCTGTCGTAGTGGTGTTCTAGTATTTTGTGGAACGGGCGCCCCCTGGCCGAAGAGAAGATGGTGTGGTCGGGGGCGAGAGCGGCCGCCGGGTGCCAGCAGTTTATACGTTACCGCCCTTCTCTTCGGTGTCGATATGCCAGACGACGTAGTTGGGAAGGCCGTAAACACCATAGCCAGCCGCCTTGGCCATCTTGGCGAACCCTTCTGTCTCGGCTTGGTTCTCAAATGCGTAACATGGGAAATTGATGCCCGATCTGTGAACGTCGGCCTTGACCAAGATGTTCACACCACCAATACCGTCAAGTTCGATCTCCTCATCCTTGTTGTTGCGCCAGTCACCCATTCTAGCCATGTAAGTACGGCCGGTATCGTATTGCTTGTAACCTAGAGCAGAAAGTTAGTGTTATTCTTATATCAAGACCGAAACAGGAGAAAACACACCCTCAGCCAGAACAATATCCTTAGACAGCTTCTTGGCAAGCGCGCGGCCCTTGTCGGATTCGACCCATGAGTTATAGTCAACTAGCATTCAGTTAGCACCGTGTCCTCGCAACTATGGCATAAAACCACAACGTACATCTTCCTTCAATATCCTTGCCATTCTCGTAGCGGTGAAACCAAATGTCTGCCACAAGTTAGCGCCTAATTACCCCGCTGAAGCTATTCCAGGGAAGCTTACTGGGAACGAGAATGTCCCGATCGTGGGCAATAAAGTCCTCGAGAATCTTCTCGGGGCTGTCCACGATATCTACATCCCTCCAGTACACCCACGAATGCTCAGGCTTGAGCGCCGTGGTCAAGAGGTAGTTGCGGGCCTTGCCCATGGCCTTGCGCCGGGGTCCCTGGGCCTCGAAGGAATGACGCTCCTCGACACTCTGGCTCAGCTTGAATCCAAAGTCCTTCTCGACAATCATGGCGCTCCGGAACTTGTCGGGGCGCTTCTGGAGACGGTTGAGCTCGGCAGACAAGACAGCGAGGGTATCATCGGTAGAGTCGCCAACGAGGAAGCCAAGATCGATCAAATTGTGGGGGTATGTAAGCTCGGCAAGAAGCTCGAAATACTTGGAGAGGTAGGGGGCGGCATCCTTGAGAGGAGTGAGAATGAGAACTCGTTCTTCGTTCTGGACAGCCTTGGTGGTGGACTTGATGGGGTTCAGGTCGACGTGGTCGATGGTGGACTCGTTGACAACCAGGGGCGCGTGGTGATTAAAGATTACTGGCGTGTGATGGTGGGCGTTCCATGCTGCTTGTTCGTTCTGTGACATCTCGGAAGGTGGTTTGTTCGGGCCCCAGCAGTAGAAGCTACACGCACACAGGGCATGATTAGCACTCTGGGCATAAATACTTTCAACAAAAATGGGGACGCCGTACCTCTTCATCTGAGGAGCGGACGAGCTGATGCCGCGCCATAATAATATTATTGTGCCAGTGATAGCAAGAAGTAGAAGGAAGCGGGTTCTGGTCAACAGCACCCATATCGCCCGCGTAGGGGGAAGACTCGCTCTCGCAGCCTTCCAGCTGACGCCGCCTTTGGGAAGAAGCATGATGTTCGAGGTCGCCGGGTGGCCCTCAGCACCACCCTACAAGGTCGATGGTGCAACCGTTGCGATGTGCAAAATTTCCGCTGTTGTCTCGCCGTCCAAAGTCGTGCAAGTTGGTGCTTCAAAAATCCAATCGGTCTGGGTTGACAAGGACGGTATTCCGGGACACAGTTACGCTCACAGATACGCGAGTATTTTCGTGTGGCGTGAGTTACGCCCGCGACAGTCGAGATGCCTGGAGTAGGAGAAGACGGTATTCAGAGGAGGGGTTCCAAATGGAAGAATCGTCTTGGTTTTCGTCAGGAATCGCTTCTTCTTCTTCTTCTTCTTCTTCTTCTTCTTCGTCGTCGTCGTCGCTGAACGGGCTGGCTCGTGATGGATGGGAGGAATGTGAGAAGCTCGAAGTCGAGCGGACAGCGTTCAGCACCCCATGCACGCAAGTCTCGGCTGCGTTCTAGCGTCTGCGACTCTGTAGGGGTTGCCGGTGTTAGGGGGTAAGGGTCCACTTTCGGGAGGTTCTGGACACTTGGCCGCCCAAACATCCCACTCAATTTCCACAGGCCTATGATTGCATTTTGAGAACATTTGACTTGTTCAAAATGAGGCCGTGATGTCTGTGCGGGCCTGCTATTTTTGTGTCTTTTTGATAGTTGTATATCGATGTTGCTGATCTCTCTGGTTGAATCTGTGATCAGCATCACGCCTCTGCCCAGTGTACACTGTACATCTCGCTCCGTCCGTCCTGCGGGTCAGCTTCCTTCGACCCTCCACCACTTTTTGTGACCAAGCATGCCTTCCTTGATACGAGAGAGATTGCGTGTCCATATAGAGAGTGAATGCCTCTGGTTATCAATGTTTCGGTTTACGAACACAGGCGGCAGCAAAGATGCAACCACAGCATATCAATTTAACGATAGGTGCAGATGTTCCCGTCCCCCATCACTAGCCAATGCCACAGGCACGCTTGTTCTGCCGGCACGAACCACCATCCCACACAAACTCCCAAACTCATCTTGAGAATTTCATCTGATGAGCTTCGCGAAAGATTAGATTTGTCAAATGTCGATTCTAGAAACCAATGCGGGTCTTGGTCCAGTTGGCATTAGCCTATCGATGATTCAGGCACAAGTTTCTTGGCTCAACCTCTCCTCTTGAGAGCTTGGCGTTGTTTGACAAACACCGGGACGGGATCTTTTCCACCCGCTGGTTGGAATTGCGGCGTGCCCCCCAAGCTTACCTCAGCTTCGATGCCACCCACGTGAGAGGGCGACAATGCCGTGATGACTTGGGAAAGAGCGCGTCTCTCTACGTGTCTCTGAATTGTAGCTGAAGTCATGATCTTATAACTTGGTCTTATAGCAACGTTCTCTCTCATTCTCACTAGACCAGTCTCATACCCGGCTAGCCAATCAACGATCATCACTTACAACAAGCTCGCTCTCCAGACCTTGCCGACCTTGTTCCGTGGCTGACCTCGACAACCGTGGAAACCTGCGGCAATTGTCAGATTGGTTCCAGGTAATGCTCATTCGCTCCCATCGACTTCACTATTCGAAAGTTATCTCGGCCAATACTACTGCAGTTGGTTTGGTAAAACCTTCATGGTGTTCCTTCTTTCACAAGTTCTTGTCAGGATCTCAGCCTACGTCATTGATCCCACCTTTCTTGTCGACAACAACAGTCAATACAGCTTCAGTCAGCAGCATGGAAACAAGAAGGTCGGCTCGCCTCGGTGCCATCTCCGAGTCTGCCAAAATCACCGAGCCAGCACCTGCTCCTGCTCCAACCAAATTCCGCAAGAGAAAAGCCGTCGAAGAGGACGACAATGAGCAAGACACCACCCCATCAACCCCCCGTCGACCTCGTGCTGCCCCCAAGCCCGACCGCTACCAAGCACCACCAGCAACACCAACCCCCAACGCAGTCTCCCTCATAGCCGAACCGGTCAACACAATCTCCAAGCCCAAACCCGCCGCGGTAAACCGCCTCGCAGACCCCAACCGCACCAACGCCCTCCTCCTATCCCCTCAAACATCCCGGCTCATCTCCTCCACCACCGGCCCCTCAGTCCAACCCCCTACTTCTCCCTCCGCCATCCCGCTAGAAGGCATCAAAACCACCCCCTCCACCACAACCACCACCAACCTTCTAGAAGAAGCCTGCGCCCACCTCATCAAAGTCGATCCCAGAATGAAGCCCCTGATCGAGAAACACCACTGCCACATCTTTTCCCCTGAGGGCCTATCCGAGAAAATCGACCCGTTTGAGTCTTTGGCGTCAGGTATCATCTCCCAGCAAGTCTCTGGGGCGGCGGCAAAGGCCATCAAGAACAGATTTATCTCTCTTTTCTACCCGGGCAATGACACCACCACCACCACCCATGAGAAAAAGAAGTTCCCCACCCCGGCGGACGTCATAGGAAAGAGTATCGAAACCCTTCGCACGGCGGGGCTGTCACAGAGGAAAGCGGAGTATCTTCTTGGGCTGGCTCAGAAGTTTGTCTCTGGGGAGCTGACGGCGCAGATGCTGGCTGATGCGCCTTATGAGGAGGTTCTGGAGAAGTTGATTGCAGTGAGGGGGCTGGGGAGGTGGTCGGTGGAAATGTTTGCTTGCTTTGGGTTGAAGAGGATGGATGTGTTTAGTACTGGGGATTTGGGGGTGCAGAGGGGGATGGCCGCCTTTGTGGGGAGGGATGTGGGCAAGTTGAAGGCGAAGGGCGGGGGGAATAAATGGAAGTATATGAGCGAGAGGGAGATGGAGGAGATTGCGGAGGGGTTTAGGCCTTATCGGAGTTTGTTTATGTGGTAAGTTTACGTCGGCATTGGATGTGTGACTGAGTCTGAAGCTGATGATGGTTTTGATTTAGGTATATGTGGAGGGTTGAGGAGACGGATATCAGTACGATGGAGTGAATACCTCGTGCTGTTTGCTCATGTCTCAATATTCGACATACCGCTCTCGATTTTTGGAGCATTGACCAGCCGGAATTTTTCCAAGTCAAATCCTATTAAGTCTCAACTGCCGGAGTCAACTTTTGGGTGTCTGGCTCGGCACATGAACCGAACCCAAGAATCTAGTTCATGCCGTTTCTTGCCCGTGTCACCATACCCCAAAGTTGGAATCCCGGTCATGCAGTTCAGTTCAAGAATCCCCATCAGGGCCGCAATCTAAATTTCCACCAAGTTTCTGTTTGTTTCAGATTTACTTGGTTGGTGGTAATATATATCGTATTATATCCCATGTTTTGTGTGTTGTATGTGGTATTTCCTGCTTGAATGATGCTTGTCATTGGGAGGAGTTTAATCAGACCCAACAAGAGAAATAAACTGCGGCGGAATGGATCCTATTCGCGAGAGGTGGTGATGGTAATCTTGTTTGGTGATTTTAGTTTGGCATTTAGGCTTGGATACCGAAACAGCTACATATATCCGGCTCTTATAGCAGACTCTCATGATTTAGCTATGGATGTCGGAGAGTGTAGCCTGGACTTTGAGGTAAACAATAATGCTATATACCATCAATACGACGCCAAGTAGGTGTGGGTGATACCGTTGCAAACTCTATGCAAAACATATATGTATGCAGTTTGATATGCCGTTGCGGATCAAGAGTACATCATACTGCCCACTCAAGGCAACGATTTGACTTCAGCTGCCAGTATCCCATGATGCTATGGACATCGGTTGGCCTGTCTCATAATCATCACTTCCCTCGCTTCAACCAGATGCTGCCATGCTGTCAAGTATCGTGCAACAGCTAGGGGGGTGTAAGTCAAGACACCATCAACAGACAACAAAAAACGTCAAAGAATTAAACTCTCCCTGGCTTGATCTGGAGTACCAAGTCCTGTCCCAAAGCGCCGGCATTGGGACGAACCTTTGCCAAACCACAAAATCCAGTCTGCTACTCCTCCACATCCCACCCCTTGGGTCAAGCCCACACGTATGTCTTTCCCCGCATATTGATGTCATGTTCAGTGTGGATTGTCGCAAAAATCCCCAAACCTAATTCGTACATGTCCCAGACCTTAAAGCAACGTCACAGGAGATCTGACATTTCGCCCATTATCAAAACCGTTGCCAAGATATTGTGGCAGCATGCCAATGCGAGGCTCAGTCGGTGCTACAGACGGCGGCGGCAATATGGCCCGACCCTGGCCTCGACCTGTCACAAACAATTGTCATCTCTTCTTGTAAAAATGAGGTCTCAAATAATGCGAGATAGGCACCGGAAATGTTCCCCTGTGGCGCTGGACACTCGCACAAAATGTGCCATATGTACGCCGTAGCTTGGTTTACACGATCTTCAACGATACGGATTCCAACATCAGGATCAAAGACTCACGATTGTCGTCAGCCTTGTTGTTCAAACGCCCAGCTTGCGTAAGCTTGTTTATCCCGTTCTTTCTGTGACTTGTTTCATGTCGCATCTGCAAACCCCCAATCGAGAAAAGGGAAACCCCCGTGTGTTGGACATCGAGAACCTCTGGATCGAATGATTGGTGGTTGTCGTGCACGGTCCATCAACAGCAAAAAGGGGGCGCTCTAGAAACGGATATCGAACGGCTGGGTGTGGCCATATCCGTTCACATTTCACCAGCGCGGATCAAGATAACAACGCAGCAGCCAGCCACGGCACAGTGTTCCCGTCCGCAGGCCAGGACAACGGGATGAAAAATGTGCCGTCGCCGTGACGCCCATGGTGGTTTTCCACGCGGACGAATTGAACGACTCGAGACCTTTTGGGTGATGATATGTTGAAATGCAAAAAATGCAGGATTTGACCATTCTTGTGTGTTGTGTTCCATGCCGATCACGCTCCCTGATTTTGAATTGCAGGGTGGAGTTGTGTCTCTCTCGCTTGAGTGCGACATTGGCCAATTGAAATTCGCAATTTTCGTATCCTGAAATGGCCGTTTTCCTTCCTTTCCAGAAGCCTGATCAAAACACCAGACTTTTCCTGTCATCGGTCGCCTCCCTGCCTGTTACTATCCGTCCAGGTGGCCACAAATACCGGTATCCGGAGGTTCGGGCGCCGGCTGGTAGAAGATTGTAACCGATGCGGGCGGGATCCCTCAGACAAAAGAACCACGTGCCGGAACAGAGAACAGACCAAATGGTTGTTTTCGGTCGTTCTTGTGGTTCTTTGTGCTCGTGCCCGTGCCCGACGTCATACCGCCGCGGGCTGGACAGGTACCGATCAGTGTAAGCTTCGTTGACGTCGCTGCTCAGAACCTGAAGAAGCTCCTCCTCCTCCGCATTCTCTGGCGGCCGAGCTAGTGCTGCAATCACGGCTACACAATGCAACGCAGGGACGTTGTGTTGTGGAGTGTCCATCTTTTCCTTTGATCTGTGGTCTTGTTTGCTTGCTGCCCGTTGCCCGGTGGCCGTGTTCATAGGGAAAAGGGTTATGAAATCGGACGGGCCGAAGTTGACCGCTTCGTGATCAGAAGACCCAGGAGACAGCATTGATGGCAGGGAGAATTTGGCCAAATCTTGAGATCCCGGCGAGTCCCATTTTCCTAATTCCTGCGAGATTGGTTCCCCGGCCCCTGTCGAGCCAAGCCCTCCATCGACGGCGCCAGACGCTCAAGAAAAAAAGCAGGCAGCTCGGCCGAGCTTGGAAGTTGGACGAGCTTCCAGGGCGCCCGACTGGTGATTCCTTGGAATCCTGGCCCACCTCAACCCCCGGACGTGACACGGTTATGTCCACGCCTGAGGCCTCAACTCAACCTTCTTGGTCACCAACAACAACATAGACAGAATCAGACAAACAATGACAGCTTGAGATTATTATGAGGAGCCCAAAATATGCCAAGTCTCGCCCATTGCCGTGGTGAAGCAGATCCAGATCCAAGTGGAGACCTGTGCTGTCGCGGTGAACCACTCAGGGCCTGTCGATGCTGGCGGTGCATGCGCACACCCCACCTTTCAGCTTCTTGTGGTGGTGTTCTTGCAGGGGCGTGCCCGTAACATGGCTAGCGTACCTGCAATAATTTAGCTCCATTTGCCCCTTCCTCGCATGTTTCTGGTGCCGACGTGCCTGTCTTTTCTGCCCCTTGGATTCTACTTTTCTCAAGCCACGCCTCTCTCTCTCCTTCCCTCATCACACCTTTCTTCCTCCCGTCATTTTGAAGGTCCTTCTTCACTTCATACATTCGTTACTGTCAATATTTCTCCCATCGTCGTTGATTAGAAAGAGTCCTCTCGCTCACTCTTTCTCTCCCTCATCACGACTTTCTCACCAACCAAAACCGAATCCCGCGTCGCGTCCATCCTCCCGCGCCACTAATCAACTAAGACATTCCGGTATCCCGCGACGCCATTGAAGAAAGAGGTGCGTTCCAATAGAAGGGGTGTTCTTGACTCGTCTCCCTCACATCCCACTGTGTACCTGCTGCTTTCACAAGAAAATCCTGAACCCGACAAGACACCCGAGAGGAGGAGCTGCTTCACAGTCGATCAGCGGAAGGAAAGACATCTGCTTTGCGCGCCAGGCCCGCTTTGCGTGGACCATCTTGATCCAATTGCCCGCCTCTCAGTTTTCCTTCCCACAACTCGAGCTGTGAATCATCAAACTTTTTTGGACTGGTTTCCCCCGAGAACAACACAAGCATTGTAGCACTACTTCTGATATCACTGCACACCCAACGCACTTTTTATTCATCTTCAGACATTCAACCCACGAGCCATTGCTGACATCGATCCCATTTACTCAGATTCAGCAAAATGCTCGTCAAGAACCTCCTCCCTGCCTTCGTGGCAATTGGCTCTGCCGCTGGTGAGTCCATGATGCGAACATCTCGTGAAGCCATGACGAGGTGACTGACATGCTATGACACCAGCCCAAAGCGGCACCTGCTCCATCTCCGGAGGCACAACAACCATCAACAGCCAGGCCGATGCTACTGGGCTTGCGAGCTGCAGAACGGTCCGCGGTAGCGTAGTTATTGGACGCAGCGCCGGCCCCAGCATTGATCTCTCTGGCCCTGGTGAGATCACTGGCGACCTTAAGGTGGCCGACAATGGCATCATCGAGACCCTCCAGAGCAGCGACCTCGCCACCATTGGCGGCAAGTTCCAGCTGAAGAATGTCACCAAGCTCACCTCCGTAAGCATGTCTAAGCTCACTGCTGCCAAGGAGATCGAGTGGGACACCGTCACCAACATCGAGTCTGTGACCCTCGGCCCCGTCAACAAGGTCGACGACATCAGAATCAGCATCACCTCCCTCAGGAATCTCGATGCTCTCGACCTCGGCAACGTTGCCAACCTCAAGCTTGACAACAACGCCCGTCTGTCCAAGTTCTCCAGCAACCTTCGCACCTTGAGCAAGAACCTTGTTCTTGCTTCCAACGGTATTGGCGGCATCGGTCTCGAGGTTGAGCTCCCTAACCTCGTCTGGGCTGTCGAGCTCGACATCAACAACGTCACCACCTTCTCCGTTCCCTCCCTCAAGACTGTCAACGGCAGCGCTCGCTTCGGCTCCAACTTCTTCCAGTCCTTCTCCGCCCCAAACCTTACTGCCACCAGCTCCGGTGATATCTCCTTCATTGGTAACGCCAAGCTCACCAACGCCACCTTCCCCAAGCTTGAGGCCATTGCTGGTGGTCTGACCATTGCCAACAACACCAACCTCGATGAGCTCACTGGCTTCCCCAAGCTCAAGTCTATTGGTGGTGCCGTCTTGCTCCGTGGCAACTTCGAGTCGTAAGTTTTGAAATGTTGAAAGTTTGTTGGACAGCCACTAACATGATGGAATTTAGTGTTGAGATGCCCGCTCTCGACACCGTCCGTGGTACTTTCGACGCCTCTTCTTCCGCCGACATTTCCGAGTCTTGCAAGGCCTTCGACAAGCTCGCTCCTCAGAACCAGGGCGGTAACGGTGTCATCGCCGGTGGCTACGACTGCACTAGCAACAACACCCAGGCCAACGAGGATACCGACGGCAGCACTTCTGGCAACGACGGCAGTGGCGGCAATGATGACAAGGACAACGGTGCCGTCGGCATGGCCCTCAACACCGGCCTCTTCGCCATCATCGCCCTTGCCGGTTTCGCCGTGGCTCTCTAAGACGGGAAGAGCAATGTCTGATTTACGAACAAGGAACGACAAATCTGGAGTTTATGTTGCCGATTAATCGTGGCTGAGCGCATTTGCATCACACACCCATATCACGCGCAGGGATTACTAGACTTAATACTCTTACCAAACATGCTCTTTCCTTTTGACGAACGTTCCTCGTTTCCTCTCCCTCGCCTGTGAAGTTTTTTGGCCCCCTTTCGCGCAATCAACGAAGTCATGAGAGCAGTCCCCTGGTAGAACTCGACGCAGAGTTTTATCGGGGGCTAGGAAACGAGAACGCGGTTAAGTGGAAGGAGGATGGTTGAGTAGAGAGGTGTTGGACAGGAGATTCGGTTGTAGTGTGGGCTGTGGAGAATAAGGAAACATAATAACTGGGTGATGGGTGCGGAAGAGGATAAACATCGCTCTATGATTTTTGACTGGTTCTAGCGGCGTTTTGTTTATTTGTATGAAATCTCTTACACGTTGTAATATCGATGGGGGCCGCGAGCCGTGTTGCTGGTGTCGTATTGTAGGGTTAAAAGCGAATATGATGATTGTCTGTTGAGTTTTGGACTTGGTCTGTTGCGTACTTGGGGTTCAACTGTGACATGGTATTTTTCGGGAAAGGATGTCTCATGTTCATGTCCTTTTCCGCCACTATCACGGTCTTTTTCTGTCTTGGGGAACGATAAGAATAAGCAGTCTAACAGCACAGCCCTCTCACTGTATACATATTTGCTCGTTGGTTTCGGTACTACTGCGTTGTATATCTGGAGACACTTGGGGGTCTCCAGATAATTGCTGTTTTGGAAGTTGACCAAAGTAGAAATATTGTGTCTCTTGCATGGTCTTTGGTTTTCCATCCACGACCACCTCTACCTAGATTTATTTATACCTAGAGATGTTCCCCACCCCCCCCCCCCCCCAAAAAAAAATACCATTCCTTTCTCTATGCAGCCAAGTATCTACTCCTCATAAACCCCTTCCTCAAACTTTTCCGCGTCGTAGAACCCAGCCCGAATGGTGTTTCCATTGAAGATTCTTCCTTCGAGGGCATTGACTGCCTGTGATATCATGTCTTGTCAGCAACGCTATCGAACGTTTAGTGTGTTACTGCAGTTGAAACTTACCCTCAAAGCCGAAACCTCCTCCACAAACTGGATATACACCCTCTTGTTCTCCCCCAGCCTTTCACTCTGATCAATAAACAGCCTCTCCACCCTCCCATACTTTTCCCCGCACTCCTCCCCTATCTCCTGCCCCAGCCCAGCCTCAACTTCAGCGGCCAGGTTGGGAATGTTGAGGAGCATATCCCTTAGCACCACTACCCTGCTGATCTTTTGCCCGGCGTTGTTGTTGTTGTTGTTGTTGTCTTGTTGCGGCTGTGAGGGAGTGGAAAGTGACTTGGGGGCAATGATGCGCCCCTGAGCAGCAGCCGGATCCCGGAAGCCACCGCCTTCCGCGTCGGATTTCTTCTTGCGTTTGAGAGGCTGGACGGACAGGGCGGAGGTGATGCCGGAGGAGGAGGCGCCGAGGCCGGTGCCGGCTGTCCAGCCGTATTTGGACATTAGCTTGGTTGCAAAGGCTTTGCCGCGGGTCTTTTGCGGAAGGGAGCCGGCCACGTTGATGGAGGAGTAATCTACGCCTTCGTGTTCTTCGGGGTCGGAGTCGAGGTCCATTGCTTCTGGGTCGGTTGGGGGTGGTGGTGGTGGTGGGGAGTATCGGACGGGAGCACGGGATATGGTTGCGGTGTCGGTGGGGGGAGGTGGTGGTAAGGGGCTGGAATCGGGCGGTGGTGGAGGGGGTGGTTGTTGTTGTTGTTGTTGTGACAAGGCCAAACGGCGGGCGTACGCGTCGTCACCGGTTGCGTCGTCTGGTATATTTGCTGCTGTTCTTGGGGGTGACATGGCCGGCGGTGCAAAGTTGAACGAGGTAGGGGGTGCGAACTGGCTGTTCATGCCCATTCCTCTGCGGTCTGGCTCGTCTTCGTCCTCATCAGTGTAGCGATCCTGGCTTCGTGACTTGCGTCTGTGGGCGTAGAGGATTTCCTTCCACTCTCTTACTTCCCGTATTCGTTCGTCGCTTCGGAGGTATTCTTCTACGTTGGTTGGGCGGGCGGGGTCGTAGGTCTCGTCCCAGTTTGTTTGTTCCCTTTCGTCGGCCTTTTTCTTCTTTTTCCTCCTGCCGCCACGCTGACGCTTCTCGTTGGAGGCGCTGTAGAGGTATTCATCTTCCTCTGTTGCTGCCCAGTCGGCCAATGTGCTTCGCTGTGGTGGTTGCGCTGCTGCTGCTGCTGGGGCACCTGGTGATGCTGATGCTGAGGGGACAGCGGGGGGAGCTTTGGGAAAGGATGGTTTCGGTTTCGCTGTTGGTCTGTTGACTTGTGGTCGGCGGAGCATAGGCTGAAAGCGAAGAGCTGTTCCATAGGTTAGCAAGAATACAAAGCTGTGTATGCGCAGAGGACACACCTGGATCTATCGCCTTCTTCGGGGGAGGCGCATTGTTGTCTTTGGACTCGTTCTGATCTTTGGATGCAAGCGCGGGGCTAGAGCTGCTGTCGCCGACTGGATCAAGTAAGTTGGCATATAGGGACATTCCGCCCCCGCTAGGACGCGGCGGTGGTGGTGCTGACATCTTGATGGACCTATGTCGAAGTGGTTCGTTGTGAAAGTTGATGCTCAGCCTTGCACGCGAGGCCAACGTGGATGCAGCAAACAATTGGAGATGGCCGTTGAGGTGCCAAAATAGTGGGTCCGGTTGCTACTCTTTTAGTGGAGGCCCTAGGAGTACGGAGTATACGTGCCTCTTTTAAGTATGCTTTTTCTGAACCTATGAATCAACCGCAATGAAGTCCCATACTGCAAAATTGTTATGATGCAAGGGAAATTGTATTAAGGACGTAGAGAGTCCATGAAAATATATGTCATCGCTCAAAAATATCCTTATTCATCCTACTCAAACCTCGACTATTCTTAGGACCTCTGCTTCGGGACCTTCTTGCCTTCCATGGCTTCCACGTCCTTCTTGTCATAGTAATGCCCTCCAAACTCTGTAAGCCACTTGGGGTCAATGGGGATGACACTCCTCACAAACTCCTTGCTCGTCACCACCAACTCGTGGTAAATAATGACCCTTGGTGGCGGATCAATACCCCTGACGACACTGCTCGGGTGCACGTATACCGTCATGTTGTTCTTCAGCGTCCTGTACCCGTCACCACTGCGGTTCAACCTAGCCGCGTTCAAGAAGAAGGCCGACGTTAGAGCTCGAAGAATCGGGCTCATGTTGGATATCCCACCGCAAGATGATTCGGACCCTTCGAGCACTCGATCGCACAGTTTGGCGAGCTGGTCTCGGACATCACGGGCTCTGGTCAAACTTCGCTGCGTGAGGAAGTTTTCCTTTGCCCAGATGGGAGAGTAGTCCGAGTCTACCCATTGGTTGTAGACATTGAGCAGAGTCAGGTGGTCACCACCGTCCTTGACAGTGAACCGCGCCCTGGCAGAGTCGGCGTGGACCGCCTTGTCCTTGGGCCGGAAGAAAAGGGTTGCTACCTCGCCGAGCATTGCGACAATGGTGAGAACCTCCGAAACACACTCTTCAGCGGTGGCCGCGATGAGTGCCTTGGCAAGCATAGGTTCAGCTGGGAACTCGCCCATTTGCCGACCAACACGTGTCAAGGCGCCAGCGGAGTTGAGTGCTCCAAGGGCATAGAGAAGGTTGAGAGACTTGATGAGAAGCTCGGTGGGTGGGGGGTCGAGGAAGTCAAAGTTGAGGAGATCATCGATACCTAAAGCCTTGAGTTGCAGAACCACACTGGAGAGCGACGTCCTTTGAATCTCAGGAGTTGGCGATTCGTCCATTTCGGACAAGTAGGCAAACCTGGTGTACAGACGGAAGCATTTTCCTGGACGGACACGACCAGCACGACCCATACGCTGGTTGGCGGCAGCTCGAGAGCAGGGCACGACAGCCAACGTTGACTGGCCAGTCGTACCGACTGGGCTAAAGGTGTTCTCTTTGGCATAACCCGAGTCAATGACATAGACGATGCCATCAATTGTCAGCGAGGTTTCGGCAATATTCGTGGAAAACACCACCTTTCTTGCATTCGGTGGCGTTGGTTCGAAAATCTTGGCTTGTAGTTCTGAAGGCATGTTGGCATAGATTGGTAACGCGATGATTTCGGGCACTCGGCTCCCTAGCTGCCGCTTGATCTCTGTAACCTGCTCGCAGGCATGGTCAATTTCTTCTTGACCTGTAAGGAACACGAGAATGTCGCCTTCGGGTTGCGTCGCGTGCAGTTGAAAGACTGTGGCAATGCTGGCTTCCACATAGTTGGCTTCGGGCTTTTCTGTGTAGTAGACCTCCACGGGATGGACTCTGCCGGGAACGTTGAAGATGGGCGCTCCGTCGAAGTAACCGCTGAACTTCTCAGCATTGAGGGTAGCTGACGAGATAATGAGCTTCAGCTCTGGTCTTGCTCTGGTGAGATCCTTGATCAAAGCCAACAGAATATCGGTATGGACCGTTCTTTCGTGGGCCTCGTCGATGATAATGGCCGAGTATCCTTCTAATGTCGGTGATGTTACCATCTCCCTCAGAAGCATACCATCCGTCATGTATTTAAGAATAGTCTTCTCGCTGGTACAGTCTTCGAAACGGATCGAGTATCCAACCTCCCTGCCCACCTTCACGCCCATCTCGTCAGCGACACGAGCAGCAACACTCATGGCCGCAACACGACGAGGTTGCGTACAGGCAACCTTCATCCCTTCGTTAGTGTAACCTGCCTCGTGAAGGTACTGGGGTATTTGCGTGGTCTTTCCTGAACCAGTCTCACCGACAAGAATCAGAACCTGGTATTCTTTGATGGCGTCCAGAAAAGCCTCACGATAGGCGTATACGGGGAGGCTCTTCCGGACCTCTTGGATGGACATGTGCGCCCGTTCCGCTGCCTCGATCCGGGCCTTGAGTACCCTCTGCTCCTGGGTCAAACCGTCACTAGGCTGGGTGAGCTTTGCGGCCGCATCGCGAACAAATGCAATGTTATCTTCGTCCAGCAAGAAGTCGTACTTGCCCTCCTCCTCCTCACGTTCCCGGCTCTGGATTTGCGCCTTTGCCTTGACGGTTTGTTCTCGTTCCCATTCTTCGTACTCGGTGATGTGCTTCTCGTTTCCGAACTGATCCCTCTCCACATGGCGCCTGTTCAGCGCCTCCTCCTTCTTCTTGCTATCGGCCCCATATTGGTCAGGTAGACGGTAGCCGTCTTGGTAGTCGTCGATGCGCAATCGCTCCTCGGCCAGCCGTAGGATTTCCCGATTTTTGGCGAAGTCTGCTTTTTCCCGTTCCGATAGCCGTACACCAGACCGCAACTCAGCTGTCTCTTCCGCGACCTGTTTTCGGAGCAGCGCCAGCTTCTCTGTTTCTCTCTTGGCCAGGTAGTCAAGGCGTGACTTGAGGCGCAAGTCGCTTATTTTGGAGTCGTCGCGTCCGGTATCACCGCGGCTTATTTTAGAACCGCTCCCTCCGTCCCTTTCCCTCCTGTCACTGTCTCTTTCGCTGCCTCTTTCTCGTGGAGAGCTGGACCGTCGATGTCGTGGCGATTCGTCGCCATTTCGTCGCCTGCGCCGCTTCGGAGACCGTGACCGATCGCGCTTCCGCTCTTTGGATGGCGCGGAAGGGCCCTCGTCCATAGACACAAAGGCGTATCGTTTGTTGGAAGCCATTGTCGATGCCTTTTGGTTGATGGTGATGATCTGAGAGGCAACAACACTTCCGATTTCTTATCTTATCAGCAAGGGTGCACAGGCCCTTGGACCATCCTTCAAGGTCCTCTCAAAAGGTAGAGAGGGTTAAGGTTCCATGTTTCCCCTCAGACCTGTAAAGACCACTTCACAACTTGAACTTCGCTCGGATCTCGGTAAATATTTCCATGGCCTTCTTTTGAATCATGAATTGCCGTTGCTAACAGCAAAGCCTCAAAAGGGGCTCTCATTCGCCTTTCACTGTTCAGCTTCATGGCCCTGGCAGTGCGATATCGCCACGAACCAATCAGATGCAACCTCTCAACGCACAACCAGTAGTGAGTTAACAGGGACAAGTCGGTATGAGACCGCTTCTGAGACATGCTAGAGGAGTACGGTATGTCTCGGGAAGTTCTGTACCTTAAACACTGATGTTTCTCTACAAAACACCAGTTTCCTGGTCTTATACGTGTTGAACCTGCCATCAAGATGACTTCCATCGCTGAAGCTCACGGCGTTCGGCACAGTTCTGTTGGACCCACTCGTCTCAAGTTGTCGCAGCTCCGATGACACAATGCGGTAGCGCCGCCGTTTACGGATAGGAGGGCAGTGACGGGGGGCACAGATCGACGCCTCTCGCTATTCATTCAAAAAGCTGGAACTTTTACCTCATTCTGAAGATCCCATCAATTCATGTACTTGCCACTTTTGTACATTTCCAAAAGCCTCTCAATCGGCCAGCACTGTGATACCCTTCCATCTTCTAGGTAACACCATTGGCGCACACCTCAGTTCCCGCTATATAACACTTGGCCGAATCACGACACAAAGGAGACAATGTCTACCCTCCAATCAGCCATCAATGGGGCCAGCCATGCCGTGGCTGTAATTGTGCCATCCAAACCCAGCCCTCTGGTGATGACATACAAGGATCTGCTGGCTGAGGTGCTGTCGTTCCAGCAGAAGCTTGCTGCCATCGGCATCACTCATGGGTCCCCTGTGTCTATCGCCACGGTTAACTCGTACGAATTCATCGTCTCTTTTCTCGCTGCTTCATGGCAGCGTGGCATTGCTGCACCGCTGAACCCAGCCTACAAGCAAGAGGAGTTTGAGTTCTATATTGAGGATGTCAAGTCAGCTATTGTTTTGGTTCCCAAGGGCGCCTACCAGAAAGGTGCGCCTGCCGTCAAGGCCGCCCAGAAGTTCAACGCTGCCATCGCTGAGAGCTATTGGGATGACCAAAAGAAGGAGGTCGCGCTGGATGTCAAGGAACTTGGGCAGTTGAATGGCAAGGGGCAACAACCGCTGCTGAAGCCGCAGCCAGATGACATTGCCTTGGTCCTTCACACAAGTGGCACCACCTCTCGGCCCAAGGTTGTCCCTCTCTCCCACCGCAACCTGACCAGAACGATGAGAAACATCCAGCAAACATACCAGTTGACTGACGCGGACCGGACCATGCTGGTCATGCCCCTCTTCCACGTCCACGGTCTCCTCTGCGGTCTCTTGGCTCCTCTTCTTTCGGGTGGTTCCATGGTGGTGCCAAGCAAGTTCTCTGCTACTGAATTCTGGCAAGACTTCATCACCCACAAGGCGAATTGGTACACTGCTGTGCCTACCATCCACCAGATCCTTCTCAAGCACCCCACCCCGAACCCCCTCCCAAAGATCCGCTTTATCCGGTCATGCTCGTCTCCCCTTTCCCCGACAGTTTTCCATGCTCTTGAGAAGACCTACAATGCCCCCGTGCTCGAAGCGTATGCCATGACGGAGGCCGCTCATCAAATGACATCTAATCCTCTTCCTCCTGCAAAGAGAAAGCCTGGGACTGTGGGTATCGGTCAGGGTGTCGAAGTCGTCATTCTTGATGATGCAGGAAACAAAGTGCCACAGGGCACTGAGGGAGAGATTTCCATTCGCGGCGAAAATGTTACGTCTGGCTACCTCAACAACCCCGAAGCCAACAAGACTGCTTTTACAGCCAGTGGCTACTTCCGAACTGGCGACCAGGGCAAGCTGGATGAGGATGGCTATGTCGTGATCACAGGTCGTATCAAGGAGCTCATCAACAAGGGCGGCGAGAAGATCTCGCCCATCGAGTTGGACAATGTTCTTACACGGAACCCAGCCGTCTCGGAAGCTGTGAGTTTCGCTATTCCGGATGAGATGTATGGCCAGGACATTGGTGTTGCCATCGTTCTCAAGCCGGGCCAGAAATTGAGCGATGAGGATGTGAAGAAGTGGGTTGGGGACAAGCTGGCCAAGTTCAAGATTCCCAAGAAGGTCTATTTCACTGATGTCATGCCCAAGACTGCGACTGGCAAGATCCAGAGACGCATCGTGGCCGAGACCATGCAAAAGAAGGAAGGGAGGGCGAAGTTGTAAATGGACGCGAGTATTTGCGGGCTGCACCAAGCTAGCTGTGTGCTTGATTTTTGAATGAGGATCTGGCTGTCAGTGGGTAATTTTCTAAGATAAATATCTCAAGGTTGTGTGGTTTATTTATCTGGTTCCTTTGGCTAGTTATGCAAATAGAATGGCATGAAAAGTGTCTTTCACTCTATATTAGTCTACCCATGGAGAATTGAGGAGTACCTGCATGGGAAGGCAAACAGACTGTCAAGCAGCCAAAGGAGTCAGGCATGCAACTCCATGTCCGATTGATCAATGCTCTAATCCAACAAACGAAGTGACTTCCCTTATCTCCAAACCTTTGCCCACTTGTGCTGCCCGGTAATTCCAGTTTGTTATCAGCTTTTTCGAGCTGCGTGTATGGAATTTAACAAGTCTCGCATGAAAACCAAACCTGCTGTTGCTGATATGGTCTGTGCGCACCCCCTGATCCAAAGTAAACAACGGCCCCTTTTCCAAGCTGACAACCGCCAATTCCGTAACAAACAGACCTTACCAAAGATGATAAGCAACGGTACAACACACTGGCTTTGCCATGGATTTCTTCGGTGACTCTACCGTATCAACCTATTAACCGGGTGGTGTTGTGTTTCCCAGGTTGTGGTCGCTTTTCACCCGTGGCCCAGTTGCTGAGCAGTGCCTTCCTTCCTCGTCGATAGCTCCTGCCGTGGCAAGCACATCCAGCACCAGGCCTACATCAGCACACACAAGGCGAGCTGCTCCTTCCGTTTGGAATCGTAGAACGAACGCAGGGCACACAGTCTAAATTTTTTCCAGGTAGGTATTTATTCTCGGCGACCTGCGTGTCCTCTCTCCCTCTTTTCTTCCCACACAAACCAACACCTCTCCAATTTTGAAACCGGCGACATTGTCGCGGGTCCGCACCCTCTGACCGATTATTCAACGCCGAGAATACCACTTCGGCTTTGTTTGACCATCAGCCTGAAGTATTTATTGTCGACTTCCTTGGGTACTTCTCGCTCTGCTTCTTGTTGTCTGCAACAAGCAGCAACCAGCCACGCCCGAGACTTCAACACAGGTAAGACTCCCCTCTCCCCTCTCCTTCCATACCCACTTCCCAGCCTTTCCTTCCTGGCCCAACCAAGGCAACGGCCTCATTTCCCAAACCCTGTCTGCTCTGCCTCTTCTACCATACCTCGACCCACGGCATATCAGGTCGGTCGAGCGGCTTTTTCCAGTTTTTCCAACAACCTCTACCACTGACCGACCGACTGACTTCAAGGAAACCCTGGAACTCTCGACTTCAGAAACACATCACCTTCACCAGTACTACCAAGTTGACCCGTCGCCAAAATGTCTTGGGACAACGGGAACGATAACTGGGGCAACCCCACTCCCGCCGCCACCAGCGGCGGTGACGATTGGGGCAAAGGTTCTGCTTCCAACAACAATGATGGCAATGGCTTTGGCGATGACAGCTTCCGCGGTGTTGCCACCTCTGGCAACGGCGGTTTTAGCGATGCTGCCCCCTTTGGCGGCGACGGCGAGCACCGCGGCGAGACCGGGTAAGTCCTTCTTGATCACCCTCCTATTTCCAGCAGACATCATCCCTAACATATCATCAGTCACAACAAGGCTGATTGCTCCAACCCGCGCAAGCCTCTTGGTGCTTGCCGCCGCTGCGGTGACGAAGGTCACTATAGCAAGGATTGTCCCACTGCTGGTCCCATGACCTGCAACGCATGCGGTTCAACGGAACACCTTCGCAAGGAGTGTCCCGATGCCGGGCCAATGCTTTGCAAGAACTGTGGCGAAGAGGGTAGTCTGTTGCTGCCTGAGTGATTGACAATGACATCGAATGCTAACTCCTTGCGTCCAGGCCACACCATCTCTGCTTGCGAGAATGCTCGCAAGGTGGACCGCAGCGAAATTCCCGACAAGACTACTGAGGAAGCTTGGGAGTTGATCAAGACTGCTGTCGCCGAGCGCGACATTGACGACCTCAAGGCTGCAGTTCAGATTTACGTGAAGTCACAGCCTGACTGCACTTATCAGCAGCTCGAGTCGGCCTTCCGTGGTCATGACCTCGGGGTTTGGCTCATCGCCCTTGAGAGACCCACTGTCTCTACTCTGACCAATATGGATCTGCAGGGAAATCTTGGGAAGAAATACACGGTGTCGTACCGTTTCTCCCCCAACCCCGCTCGCCCCCGCGAGCGTGAGGGTTGGCCCGAGACTGAAGAGGAGCGTATGGAGCGCTTGGCTGACGCTGGCGAGCTCGTTGCTGGTGGTTTGCCCAAGTGTCGCAACTGCGACCAGCTTGGTCATATCTCTAAACACTGCAAGGAGGACAAGCGTGAAAACGAGCGAATCCAGGTCAAGTGCTACAACTGTGACGAGGTCGGCCATCGTGTCCGCGACTGTAAGCTCTGGTCTCGCTGGGTATGTGATGCAGAGAGCTAGCTAACATTGATTGAAGGCCCGACTCCTCGCGTGGACAAGTTCGCCTGCAAGAACTGTGGACAGCCTGGCCATCCCGTGGCTGAATGCCCCGAGCCTCGCTCCGCCGAGGGTGTCGAATGTCGCAAGTGCAACGAGAGTAAGTCATCACGGCCCATGTGTGTTCCTTGAAGCTCATGATCTTGGACTGACTGGTTCCTGTGTTAGCTGGCCACTTTTCGAAGGATTGCCCGTCTGCCGGTCCTCGTGGCTGCCGGAATTGTGGCCAAGAGGGCCACATGTCCAAGGAATGCACAGAACCCAAGAACATGGATAATGTGCAGTGCCGCAACTGCGATGAGATGGGTCACTTCTCAAAGGAGTGCCCCAAGCCTCCTGACTGTAAGTTGATGTCGTTTCTCGACCTATCGATGACGTGCTTGCTGACAATCTCTCAAACAGGGTCTCGTGTCGAGTGCCAAAACTGCCACCAGAAGGGTCACACCAAGGTTCGCTGTCCGAACCCCTTGGTCTCGGATGAGGACAGCGGCGGTTTTGGTGGTGGTGACGGTGGTTTTGGCGGTGGTGGTGGTGGCTTTGGCGGAGGCGATGGCGGCTTCGACAACGCTGCCCCTTGTGCCGACGACGGCGGCTGGTAATGCACTGCTTCCTACATCTCTATGGGAATATGGTCTTTGGGGATTTTGGATGGAATCTTTCTGAGAGTTTCCGTCAACTTGAGCTCTTGATCTTCTGGGGCTATTTCTTAGAAGAGTTTTCTTTTCACACAGCCAGCAGGTACCAATAGGGTAGCTATCTTGCATGGGCTTTGTTTCCGCTCTGACAGAAAACGATGGTTTTTTTACTACTGAAGCCGATTGATTTTGTGACGCAAATAAGGGCGGTGTTGTGATAAACAAATATATTTATGATCTGGCAGTTATATACACGAGCCATGCGTGTTTTTCCATTTGTTCCCGGCTTCTGGTCTACTTCTGGCCTACTTTGTCAAGACACCAATGATGTGTGGCATGGTCTGGAACCAAGGCGAGTTGGCCGGTTGGGCCAGATCGACTTCTTGCCACGGGCCCGCGTCTTGGAGGAGGTACTTGGATGTATCTCTGCACATCTCACAGCCACCCACGAAGTGAGGCCAGAAAATGTTCATAAAGGCTGATTATCTCAGGGTCAGTGATGCTTTTGAGATGATTGTTAGACAAAAAAAGGAAGACATACACTGATACCACCCCAGCCACTTTGGCTGCTTGGGTTCCCAGGGCTCCCCTTGCCCCGGCAGTTCCCCGTCAAAAGTCTTGACGTGCTCGTACACGTACCACTTCCCGTCTGGCTTGAGGTACTCGTACAGCATCTTGATGTTTTTTTGCGGCTCGGGGATCGAGCAGAGGCACATGACGGTCATGACGCTGTCCACGCTCCCCTTTTCGATATGCGCCACCGCCTCGAGGTCCTCGATCCCGACGGGGATGACATTGTATCTCCCTTCCAACCCGGCAGTTTTGACCGTTTGGCGCAGGGAGGCGGCGTTTCCCTCGTTCGGCTCGACGCCGTAGATCTTGGTGATGGAGGGGATTTGGGAGAGGGTGGGGAGCCACATTCCCGAACCGGGGCCTATCTCGAGGACTGTGCCGGATAGGGGGGGGTGGATTGGGGATGGGTGGGTGATGCCCCTGGAGATGTGCCCTGATAAAAGGGGGATGACGAGGGCGGAGGAGTTTTCTCTGACTTGGGGGCCGACGAAGGACCAGAAGCGGGTGAACCAGAGGGATTTGAGGAGGGGGAGGTTCCAGGGGAGGAGGAGGGAAGGTTGGGAGAGGATGGTTCGGGGGAGGAAGGTGAGGGAAAGGAGGATGAACTTTTGGGGGAAGAGGAGGGAGGTGAGGATGTCCCAGAGGGAGTATTCTTGCTTCATGACGGGCATGGTGGTGGTGGTGGTGGTGTTCACTTGGAATGGTTCAATTTGGGAGAGGTGTCTGTGGGAAAAGTTAATGATTAAGAAGTGAGCTGAGCTGGGAGGGAAAGGGACGTACTGAGGGGTAGGGGTGTGTTTGGTCCATATATATACTCTTACACAGTAGTAGGGCGGCTTATACACGCTTCAGCCTGTCCAATCAAGCTGTACATCGCACCAGGAAGGAAACAGAAGCCTCAGGGGTTCTCCATTTTCCCTCCTCCCTTTGTACCCGAAAGACTTGGCCGATATTTGCCGGGATGCGGGTTAGGGTTAAAGTTCGAGACCAGGGACTGCCAGCGATAAGAAGATAGCTGGTGCGTGCCCAATCAGACTCGCACGATAAGATTTACATGTTCCCAATGGCCACTCTGTCTGCATTGGAAGCTCTTCTTGCGCCGTGCCGCGAGCTGATGGGTGCCGCCCTGGGATTCTGTATAAGTGTACTTTACTCTTGGGAGCGCCAACGAAATTTCGTGGCAAACACCGTCTGATTTCTCCCTTGAATTTTTTATATCAGGACACGTTCGGCCACTTGTCACTCGTTTCAGACTTGGTTCACCTATTCACCACGTCGGCGCCCTCGCGCGCAATCCCCTGAAGCTATCACCCAAGTACACCCGCAGACTCCCACAGCAGGGGACACACACGACACATACGGTCAAGATGAGGTTCGGCAAGGGGCTCCTTTTGGGGCTGCTTGCCTTTGCGCAAGTTGTCATGGGCGAGGATTACTACAAGGTCCGTTTATGCCGTTCTGTCTCCCCGTCGCAAGTTTATAAACTAACATTTGGTGTCACAGGTCCTCGGTGTCGGCAAGGACGCAACGGAGAAACAGATCAAGTCTGCCTACAGGCAACTAAGCAAGAAATACCACCCAGACAAGAACCCGTACGTCTCTCTCCGTGAGCCTCAGCCATTGCGCAGCCAATGCTGACCTTGAAAAAAACAGGGGTGACGACACGGCCCACGAGAAGTTCGTCCTCGTCTCCGAAGCCTACGAGGCGCTCTCCGACCAAGAGTCACGCTCCATGTACGACCAGCTCGGCTACGACGCCTACAAGCAGCGCAAGCAAAACGGCGGGCAGGGCGGCGGTCACGACCCCTTCGACCTCTTCTCCCGCTTCTTCGGCGGCAGCGGCCACTTTGGCAACCGACCTGGGGAGCGCCGCGGCCCCAACCTCGAGCTCAAGGTCGGCATCGCCCTGCGAGACTTTTACAATGGGAAAACGACAGAGTTCCAGTGGGACAAGCAGCAAATCTGCGACGAGTGCGAGGGGACCGGTGCGGCGGATAAGGTGGTGCATAAATGTCATGCCTGCAACGGGCAGGGTGTCAGATTGGTGAGGCACCAGATCGCGCCCGGGATGGTCACCCAGGTGCAGATGCAGTGCGATCACTGCGGTGGGAGGGGCAAGTCCATCAAGCACAAGTGCAAGGCTTGCGGTGGCGAGCGGGTTGTTCGCAAGCCTACTCCTGTGTCGGTTACTATTCAGCGGGGCATGGCTAATGGGGTGCGGATCGCGTATGAGAACGAGGCCGACGAGAGCCCGGACTGGGTGGCTGGTGATTTGCTGGTTACTCTTGTTGAGAAGGAGCCCAGTCTGGAGGAGGACAACCCGGACCATGTGGATGGTGTGTTCTTTAGGCGCAAGGGCAATGATGTCTACTGGAAGGAGGTGCTGTCTGTCCGGGAGGCCTGGATGGGCGACTGGACCAGAAATCTCACACACCTGGACGGGCATATCGTACGGTTAGGGCGCAAAAGAGGGGAGATCATTCAGCCCGGCCACGTCGAGACGGTGCCAGGGGAGGGTATGCCCATCTGGGACGAGGACGGGGACAGCGTCTACCACAAGACCCAGTTTGGCAACCTCTACGTCGAGTACACGGTTATCTTGCCAGACCAGATGGAGAGCGGGATGGAGAAGGAGCTGTGGGCGCTGTTCCAAAAGTACAGGCAAAAGAACGGGGTGGATCTGCACAAGGATAGCGGCAGGCCAGAAAAGGTTGTTTTGCATGAGGACAGGGAGCAGGAGCGGGAGCATGAGGAGTTATGATGATATATTTTTGGTAAAGGCGGTTTCTTTTTTTTTCTTCCACCAACAGCTAGAGAGCGGAAACTAGATGGGTTTCATTTTTATAAGTATGCGGCATTACAATGTATTACATGGACGTAACAGCAGACAAGAAATCAGGATATTCCAGTCGTATATGTGTGTGTATTACCCCTGAGTTGTGATCCGTTTCCATAAAGACAAAATAAGCAAAGTCATATCTAACGTAAACAACACATTGATATATCGAGCCAAAGATAAAAAACATCAAATCAACAAAACAACATGTATAAGAAACCAAGACGTAAACTCAACGGCAAAAAAAAAAAATAAAAAAAAAAAAAAAACCAATAAAAAAGCCAAAACGCAAGGTCATTAAAAGTCATCACCGATTCCTCCTCTCCCGATCATCACTATCATCATCATCCCTGTGATATCGCCTACTACTCCTCCTACTCCTCCTCCGCTTTCGATCTTCATCACCGTAATAATCATCGTCATCATGGTCGTAATCGTGAGAATCGTGACGTCCCTTTTTGGTCCCCCGACTGCTCTCCCCCCGCTCATCCTCCGTCTGTCTCTTATCACTCCTCTTCCGCCTTCTATACCGATCATCGTCCTCATCATCACCCTCATCCTCACTCCGATCGTGACCCCGACCTTTGCCCTTTCTGTCTCTACTATCCCTGTTCCCATCCCGACTACCGCTTCCTTCACCGTGACCACCTTGCAACAGATTGCCGCTTAGCAAACCCCCAATCAACCCCATCCAACTCCCCTTCCCTTCCAAGACTCCTGTGACATTTTGCACAATCCTCTCCACCGTCTCCTTGTCCGTCCCGCTGACAGCCCAATCGCCCATCATGTTCAGCCCATTCGGTCCCTTTGGGCTGCGGTACTCAAACGACCCCTTCCTAGAATGCACCCCACCCCGCCTGTCTTCATGCCCCTGGGCGGTAAGCGGTCTCCCCTCGCCGTCAAACCGATCTGGCAGCTCCTCCACGGCAGATTCATCATCGTCATCTGATACCGCTTTGGATTTCTTGCGAAGAGCTTTGTCATCGTCGCTGCTGGTGGTGGGATCGAGGGGAGAAGGAGGCGTGATGTCGCTGTCCTCTTCTGCGCCTGACCTTGCGGCTTCCTGGGCTTCGCGGTGGCGGCGGAGGGTGGCTTGGGATTTAGGGGACAGGGGAACGAAGACCACCGAGCGGGCGGTGCGAGGGGTGCCGGGGATGTCGTCGTTGGGGTCGTCGGTTTCGGTTTGGGGGGTCATGATGGGGGATGTTGGGGGGGAGTAGAAGGGGGTGAGCTTGTGGTTTAGACCATCTAAGACATCAAAGTTAGTGATTCAGGAGAGCTAGATTGTGAAGATACACGGCAGGGTATATATCATGGATGGTCTGTAATGTCAATGGGGCAAAAGGGCTAAACACCGAGACCAGACGCACCCTTCTTGTCGCCTTCTACGTTGGGGCGGGGGCTTGTGGCGACGGTGGCTGCATAGGCAGCGGCTGCAGCTGCAGCTGTTGCTGGGATGGAACGACCAACGACATGAGAAGCTTCATTACTCACATGTTCAGGGCCTGGGGGTTGATTAGGTGGCGGACCTTGGGGTGCTGGCGGCGGCGGCATCTGGTGTGGAGGGGGAGGTGGCATGCCGTTGTTGGTGGCTGCCGAGTTGGGCGGGACACCAGGCGGTTGAGGGGAGAAGCCGGTGTAGTCAGGTGGGCGGTAGGGCTGGTACTGCTGCTGATGGAGGTTGTCCGAGACGTAGTTGGGATGGTTGGTGAAGCCGTTGTTGACTACAGGCTGCGGCGGCGGCGGTGGTTGATAGTATCCGCCCGAGGCATGGGCTGGAGATGGCGTTCGTCTGTAGTCGTCCTCATCCTCATAGCCTTGGTATCACGTTAGTAGATGGTTCCAAGTCAGCTTTCTGGAAAAACAGTCAGTTCTACTCACGTCTTTGGTCCCGCTCTTTGCCCCGGCTCTTCTCCCGCTCCCTCCTCCGCTCGATGTCACGGTCATAGCTCCTATCTCGGCTTCGGTCCCTAGGCCTGTCCTTAGATCGGTCTCTGCTCCTGTCACGGTCACGGTCTCGGTCTTCGTCACGATCTCTCCTGCTACGATCCCTATCACGGTCCCTATCGCGGTCTCTCTCACGATCCCTCTCTCGGTCTCTCTCATCTCTATCCCTTTCTTTTTCCTTTTCTTTCTCTTTCTTGCTATCACGAACCTTCTTGATGCCAAAGGCTGCAGCGCCAGCCGCAGCAGCTCCGGCAGCCAAGTCTCTCAGCTTACTGCCACTCCTCTTCTCCTTGTCCGTCTCGGGCTCGCTGTCGGCCGAGTAATCACTATCATCGCCTCTCGATCGTCTTCGGTGGCCCCTCTTCCTCCGTCCGCGGTGTCGGCCCTCCTCCGCCGCGGATTCATACCCCGCTGCCGCGGCAGCCGGTCCCATCGCCGTGCCGTAAGGATCGTGGGGACGGGCCGGGTTCGCATACAGGGGGTGCGCCCCGTACTCAACCATGCCTAATTCAGGATCAGTGGGTGGAAGGTCAGCGTCGGGGTACGTGGGTCCGGACCGAGGTAAACTTCTGCTTCTGCTGCGCCGGCGATAGGATTCCTCATCGCGCGCATAGTGCTCTTCATCGCTGAGCTCGCGCTCACGCTTCAGTGCCTCCTTCTCGCGCTCGCCCTCCTTCTTGTCCTGTCGCTTGTCGTACATCTTCTTGGCCCCGGCGGCGGCAAGACCGGCGGCTACCATCTCGGCGCCGGTGCGCAGGCGAGATCGGGAGCGGCTCTTACCATCGCGGGACTTGCTTCTCTTGTGGCGGTAGTGCTGGACGAGTCCAACCGCGGCGGCAGTGCCGAGTCCGGCTTTGGCTGCTGCGCTTTTGGATCGCTTGCGGCTGGGGGAACGGGAGCTGTCGCTTGAAGCACGGTGGACGGGGCGTCCGCGGGCCATCTCCTCCTTTTCGACCTTGTTGCTCTGGTACAGTTTGGCAGCGCCGGCAGCTGCGAGAGCCACAGCGGCGATACCAAGACCTGTCTTGAGCCTAGAGTGAGGTGACCGCGAACGAGAGCGCGAACGCGAGTGCCCATGCCGAGACCGAGAGCGCTCCCTGATGATGATCTCCTTGTCCTTTTCTCCATACTTGTCTTCGTAGGCGCTGTGAGCGCGTCTGGCAACCTCGGTACCGATGGCTCCCAGGGCAGCGCCAGCGAGGACTTTGCGACCACGCTTCTCAGGAAGCTCACCCTGGGCATTGCGGCGAGATGCTAGAATGGCAGAGATACCTGCGCCAGCAAGAGCACCTTCGGCAATGTGGCGCTTCCTGTGGGGACTGCTCGACTCCTCACGCTTGACGATTCTCCGTCTGACATATACCTCTTTGTCTGACTCGGCATCGCTGTAGCCGTCATGATGATGGCTGTGACGGCTATGGCTGTGGTGGTGATGATGGTGGTGGCGGTGAGGCTCGCCATAGCGTTCAACCTCGTATTCTTCACGTTCTCCACGGAAAGGACCGAGCTCGCGAGATTCCCGGCGATAATAGTATTCCTCGTCCCGAGTGGGGATGCGGGCTATCGCCACATTGGTCTCTTGAGCCTGTTCACGGATGACAAGAGGCGGCGGTGGGGGCGCCTCCTGAACAATGATTCTCTGCTCAGGGACACGTTGGCGAATGACGATGGGGGCAGGCTGGACGACGGGTTCGTAGTATTCCGTCTCCTTGCGCCAGCGTTCAATCTCTCCGCTGTACCTGTCGTCGTCACGGTGGTCACGCTCCTCAATCCGGCGTTCCACCACAACCTCACCGCCGTGGGAATCCCGGTGCTCGACCCTCCTCTCCACTCGGACTTCAGTCTGCTTGTCCTCATCCCAGTATGAACGGCGTTCCCAGTCACGAGGAGTCCTCGGCGAGAAGGCATCTTCGCGATCGCGCTCGGCTCGGACAAGTTCCTTGGACTCGTAGACAACCTTGGGGCGGTCGGTGATATCCTGACGCCAATACTCGTTGTTCCGGTCATCTCGCTCCACAACCTGCCTCTCAACCACGGTGCGGGTCCGGTCATAGTCCCGGTCATCCCGCTCCCGCTCGATAATACGCTCCCGCTCCACAACAGTGTCCCTGTCCCCGCCGCGATCGCGATACTCGGTCCGGTCGACCCGGATGAAGTCGTCTCTGGGCTCGCGCTCCCTCTCCCGCTCGATTACCTCACGGCGCTCTACATAGGTGGCGCTGTGAGGCGACGGCTCGAAGGCAGAGCGAGGACGCTCGGGAACGTACACCCTCTCAACCCGACGGTCGACCTCGATGTGGTCCTCCCGATCCCGGCCTACACGGCTGCCGCCACCATATCGGCTGCGGCGATCCTCCTCCACGACCTCGATATCGCGCTCACGCTCGCGCTCCACCCGATCGGTCTTCTCCACTGAGACCGGTCCAACTTTGTACCGACGCACTGTGGTTCTCTTGTAGCCCTCATCGTCGGAGGGCGACGTGTCCCGGGCGTAACGGGACTCGCGGTACACCTCGGGCATGGTGGGCGAGTTTGGGTCGGTGTTGGGTCACACCCAAGTGGTGGGTAGTAGCGGTAGTAGTGGGAGTAGTAGTTATGAGATACGAAACAAAACTCGCGATGTGGGTATCACGAAAAAAGAAGAAAAGACTAACAACAAAAATGTGGAAAAGTTGCAGAGAGATTTCCAACAAGTGGAAAGGAAGGGCGGGGTGGGAAGAAAAAGGCTGAGCTGTTGCTATAAGAGAGCGAGCCCGCAAGGTGGGATGTGGACCGAAGGAAGGAGATGGAGGGGGGGGGGGGGCACTGGGGGCTGGGCAGTGCGCATGCCTTGTCAGCGACGGGGGAGAAGCCAGACCTTGGCCCTGCAACACCTGCATGCATTATGGCGCTGTAAGCAACTGTAACTAAAGTGACTTATTACGCAGGGCAAGGAACCCGTGAAATATTCGCTGGAAACCCAATCGAGGCGCAGTTGTGGGCTCTCTTGCGAGGTATTCCGGCCGTGTACCTGACATTCTCCCCCTCTTTGATCATGTATCACACGATAGGCTCTCCCAGCTATCTCTTAGATGCCGATGTTGGTCTGCAACCCAGGTCGAGCTTGTTGGCGCTTCCGCCATGTTGGTCAGGGGCCACGGCCTATGCGAACAGACTATACTATGATCCTCTTCTCCTAAAAGAAGGCAAAAGAAAGCGGCGTTGCGAAACAACGGAAACAAAACTTTGCGCCATGCGCCGTTAAGAGAGCAGAGCGGGGTCCTGAAGAAGACGGTCACAAAATGTGGCCTCGTTGAGTGAGATATGACTGCCTAGTGTGGAAAGAGACTGTGTTCTCAATGGCCTGCGCCGCTCTCATGTCCAGTTGGACCAGTCCAGCCTCTCTTCTTTTTCTCGGAAGAAAAATCCAACCGCACCTCCATCATCAAAGCCGGCAGCAAGAGGTTCTCACACAGTGGGATATCTAATGTGATCCAATATCGAAGCTACTGCGAGAGCAATGACCAAGTTCCAGCCTATGAAACCACCATGCAGCCACACCTTCTCTGCATTTCTAGCAGCAGTGCTACCCGCCTGGTCACACTGCCTGGGAATCCAGACGAATTACCTCATGAACCCAGTCTGATCAAGATTCAACATGATCGAGAGAGGTGCGAGAGTCCATCATCCTGGAACCTTCATCGCATCGTGTGTGCCGGCTTGGAAGCTTCTGGGTCCACGCGCGTTCCTCGTTTTGACCGGGTGGCCCCTCATGAGTTCACTCGAACTGCGACCATGGGACGGCAAAACGAACGGCAGCTCAGGATGAGCCCAGCCCTGTGACTCGGTCATGATATGGGAAAAGGTGGTTCAGGCGGTGAAGGGGGGTGAGGTGACTGTTATATTGCCGTCGGGAGGTTCATCGCAACAAGAGCAGCTGATGGGATGTTCCGTCAGTTACCCCTCCCCCGCGCTGCAGTTGACTTCTCGTCCAGGGGCTTTACATATCTACATCTACTGAACTTGCAGTCAAACAATGCATTCCATCTTCTGCAGGATGAAAAGATTGATCCCCACAAGAGTGTATCTCCAAAATACCTGCGTGAATACTGCAGTGACTGCCTCTTTGCCTGACAATGTGTCGAGGCCCAAAAGAAAATCACAGCAAGTGAGAACCGCGCGGGTCAGACATATTTCGTCATCTGCCCCACTGCCTGTGAAGCCAAGGCTACAATGCCAAGATGTCTTTTTTAGCGTCCTTTTGGGTCTCACTCACTAACATATCGCTTTCACGAAAAACAGGCTGTGAGTTGAAATCTCTACTTTTGTGATGCCGTGGCAATAAAATCCACGAAACGAAACACAACTGCTCCATGAAAAGAGGCCGCTCTACTCCGGCCGATTTGACCATCGGGCCTCTCGGTCTCAGATCCTCAGCTCCGAATGACCGTCTTCTTCAACCCCGGAGCGGCTCGGGTGGCTGAGTGAGTACTAGGCTGAGGCTGAGCTTGCTTCTCGATACATGACCGTTAGGGGCCATGACAAGGTATTAAAACGGCTCGTGATTGGGTGTCTTGTAAGTTATGGCTAATCTATGTATGGACCAGTCTTCTATCGTTACATGACCATACTTGTACCAACTGTAAGTGAGCCGGTATCCTAAGCAGAGCCTCATGTACTGTGGGACTGTGGGCGGAGAAGGATGACACCAAGGTGACCGTCGTTCTTTTGATATCAAGTGGCCTGAAGCGTATACTATAGACAAGAGTGGAAGCGGCAGTTGATGGGACCTTGACATGCCGTGCTATGGGGTACTGCGATCTAGACATGGAGAGCTGACGAGTGATGGCTATTCGACATAGGTGGACTAGAATAGGAGTGCGATGGTGAAGGGCTTGATGGGTTCGTACTCGTCGTGTTGATGTTGTATTCCGAAGGCGAAGCTCTCGTCGTCGATAGATTGGCTCATAGTTCCGCAAACCTAAGACTGAGGTTAATCGTAATTTGTACCCTTGATCTCACATTCATGGGAAGCTCGAAAAGTCACTGCCAAGCACGCACAAAGCTTAATCATCAGACTTGTCATATTCCCATTTGATGTGGCGAGGGTAGTCCTTCAACTAACCGCCCAAGCCGCAACCAAGCTTGCCGTGGAATCAGGGCTCTTGTGGAGGTACCATCGGTGTCGAGCCCGCAGTCCATGAAACTGCCAGAGGCCGCAAGACCGAGCCCATCCCACTTTTGCTTAAACACATCTCAATTTCCCGTGTAAGCTACGCCGATGAACCAGAACCCTTGATATCAATGCACCCATCCCAATGGTCGTGAATGCGATACGCCGTCGCAAAAGATCCAGGCAAGCTTTGGAAGTACAAAGGGAACCCGAGGAGTCAAAAACACGCCTTGCCGATATTAACCGTTTAGTCGAAGAGACCGAAGCCCATGTCATCGTCGGACTCCTCCTTCTCTGTAGCAAGTTGTTAGCACCATATTCAAGAGCATATCGGGCCGGAAGCCCAGGGTGGGAGTACTGACCCTCCTCCTTGGCCTCCTCGGGAGCGGCCTCAGCAGCACCGCCAGCGGCAGCAGCAGCGCCACCAGCAGCGGCAGGGGCGGCACCACCACCGGAGCCGACGTTGGAAAGAAGGTCCTTCACATCCTTGCCCTCGAGAGCCTGTAGCACAGCAAAACAACCCAAGTCAGTCATCTAATCGTCTCGTGGCCGGATGCCCGCGTTCGGAATGCGTAGTTCTCGGTGTTTCGTACCTTGGCGAAAAGGGAAGCCCAGATAGGCTCGACATCCTCAATGCCGGCGGCCTTGATGATGGTCTGGATCTTGTCGGCCTATTTCGCAAGTCAGTCGCTCGTTCCGCCCAAATCGCCCCGTAAATCGCAGAATTGCGCGGGGCACCAGAAGATTCTCCTTACAGTGATCTCAACACCGTCATCGGCGAGGATCAGGGCCGCATAGGACGTCGCAAGCTCAGCGGTAGACATTTTGAATGTGGTTTGTCGAGACGGCAAGGTGCTGATGCTCGAAGGACTTTTTGTCGTGGGATGTCGAGATACCGAAGCTTGAAATTCGCGAAGAGGAGAAATTAAGAGTTGTGCGCATGACAGAAAGAGAATAGCGTGGCCCTACAGCTGGCAGGTGTGAAATGGTCATTGCGCAGCTGACCGCCGCCTGTCGGTCTAGGAGAGCAAAAGTGGATATTCGTCAAGGTGCCCGGCTGGCAACGGCTGGAAGAAGTCGCTGTCCGGGCTCTCTCTGATTGGCTTGGGCAGCCGCTGAGCCATCCGCTGTGGCCTGCCAGGAACCCCAGTCGGGCCTTTGATCGATCTCCTTGCTAAGACCGGCCCCGCCATTGAAGCTCCCCTCTGTTCCCCCACCACAACTGACGTCGCGGACAGGGCCTGCACGTCGTCCAGAGGCCGAATTCCAATCTAGACCTTTCCTCTTGCAAGCAAATAAACACCACATGGGCGCAGTTGCATCGAATTCACCCATTCTCGTATGACCGAATACGATAATTGACTCTCTCTGATATCCTTGTTCACCTCGTAGCCGAAAGAAGTGCTGCCAGTCGTGCGGCGCAAAGAAGTGGCCGGTTGGTCAAGAGCAAGGTTGGCCAGGGCAGGAGATCAAGCTCCTCCAGATCCCGGTGGGTTTTCCAGCGAGAGCTGTTTCCTCGCGAGCTTTTGCCACTGACCATCCGTTGCCCACTGTCAGCTGGGAATACATATAAGCCATCATCGGCCCTTCTCCTCTTTTGTTTGTACCGGCCAGTCCACCTAGTCTTCATCAACACCTTTTCTCAGTTCACCTTGCACCCAAGATGGAGACCCCAGCGATTCCCATGCCCAACGATGCGCGGGAGCAGGAGATTCTGCAGAAGCTCACGGCTATCCGGGATCAACTGCTGCTCCTAAAGATGGACCGAACAAAGTACATTCGGAGCCAAGATGTCATGGTGCAATACCAGGAACTGGTGGAACAAGTCAAGCTGCTGAACGAGGTCCGAAAAGGGGCACATCTAGGGGAGAACAGACGTATGCGAACCACAGCATCAGCGGCCACGGACTGCTTTGTACTAACATCTGCGCGTAGTCGACAAGGTGCTCGAGAGCTGTTTCCAACTCATCTCCCTTTTCTTTATGACGATTGGGCGAACGACCGACGTTCCCGCCGCCTATGCCCTGACCTCGACTGTGAAGCGACTCCTCGATCATCTCACAGAAGCCGGTCTCTTCTCGCCAAAAGATCTCGACAGCCTTTCGGATACACTGGGAAGGTTGGATGGGATCTTGAAGAACGCGAACGCACAACATTCACCATACCTGGTCGAACTCCTTTCCAAACGCGAAGAGCTATGCAAGACGATGCTTGCAAAGTTGCGGGAAAAGCTGGACGAGCTGGATAAACCTTTGCAGGCCATCTATGAGAGGTTAATATCTATCATGAGATCAATGTCGCTTGCCAACACCAAGACAAAGTTCGCCACATCCGAAGTCCAGAAGCTGCAAGCAAAGCTCAAGGAGATTGAAGAGTCCAGAGTGGATGGCAAGTTTGTTGATGAAGAAGGGAACGAAATCCGTGGCAGCGACCTAGTCTCAGCACTTCTGGCGAGGTGTTTGAGGTGGTCAGATATCGTGTTGGAGAGGTACGTCATGCGCCCTTCAATAATGAGACGCCCGAACTAACGCAGACGATCACAGAAAGGGGCAAATACCTGAAGCTTTCAGAACAAAATACGAGATTCTCACCGGTGTGCGCAACGATCTTGAAAAGCTTTCCATCACGCAAGCCTGGTCCCTCCGAGAAACCGATTTGTACGATTTCCAACGAGAGCTCGACAAGATTGACGAGAGTAGGGTGGACGGGAACTGGGTCGACGACGAGGGCAACCCTGCCGAACTGTACGTTCAACGAACGCTGCTTTACCTCATCAGACGCAGCTACGGCTACATTTATTACCTGATGAACTCGTCTGAGCCAGTGTCAGAGGCGTTGTTACCGGTGTACAACCAGTTGCAGACGTTGAAGAGGTGTCTGGTGGAGGTCAAAAACTCGGGAGGCGTGAGCTCGGTTAGGGAGTTATATCCTTATAGCATGAAGGTGTGTTGCCCTGTGTTATAATGTCCCAACTTCCTAATTACTGACAATCGATAGCTTAATTCAATCGACAACATGCGCGTCGATGGCAAGTTCATGGTTGGCAACGATATTCCAGAGGGACAGGGAAGTGTCAGTGAGCTGCTGGCTGAGTGCTTTGACCTCAGCTACGAGCTCAGGGTGGCCGCGGAAGAACTGGAAGATGGCAGTGCTGATAGCTAGCTGGCCATGTTCGTTTCGGTTGTATGATATTTCGGGTTTTTGGACGCATGGTTTTGCGCCAAGATATGTTGCTGATGGCGTTATGAACGGGTTGATGACAATAATTGGGTGCAATCGTACCCGAAGCTGATTTTAGAGCACTGGTATTATGGCGTGCCATAATGGATTTTGAGGTTTGACAGGAACAGCCGCCATAGTTTTTACTTTGGGTCATTTGAAGAGTTTCCTAGCGAGCTCGGGATTGCAGTTAGACCATTGGTTCCGACATGAATTAATCATATTTGGTCTATCGTGGTCTCAGGGGCCTATTGTACTGAGTGTGTGTGATTTTAGACGAAGAATTAAAATTCCGGCGCAACACATTCATGGACATCGTCAAATGCACACTCTCTTCTCTCTCTTCTCCCCACCACATACACCAACTTCCTACTGCTTGGTATTAGGGTCAGGGAACTTTTCGTCCTGTCCAGGGACTGGGAACCGGAAGGCGCAGAGGAAGGGCCACATTTGGGCCTTTTCCCATGCTGTTAGCACGATCATGGTAAGGGCTGAGAGAGAAGGAAACTTACATTCTCCACATCCCAGACTCCCTCCTTGGCGTAGATGTCATTTCTCAACACCTCCTTGATCTCCTCCCGGGAGGCGGCGCTGATGACGATGGTGCTGCCTGCGAAAGAGAACTTGGTCGGGTCGGAACCCTGGGGGGGCTTGTTGAGGACGGCACCGCCCATTTTGTAGAGGCCGGAATCGACAGCTGGTTTGAGGCCGCCGAAGTGTTGACTTTATTTCATTAGTATCCGGTAACTTGGTGAGAGGAGGGGGAGGGAGGAAACATACGGCCGGACCTCGAGACGCTTCTCATGAGCACCGGGGAAGTCGGGGATGACGACGAGCCATTCTACCTTTTTGGGGGCTTCGGTGGAGGACATTGTTCTGATGGGTTGCTGTTGAAATCTAATAGGTGATATAATAGAAGAAAAGGAACCAAAACTAGGTTTGCTGGTTGGGGGCTTGGAAGAAAGAAAAGCAAGTCTGTTAAAGGTTGAAGCTGCAAATGAACGCAGGTGAGGTGATGCCATAAGGTGGAGTCGTATTTGACTTGATAGATACACCGATTGCGGCCGGCGGAGGAATATGCAAGTTGTACCGAACTGCGGAAAGTGATACCTCTCAAGAAGGAAGTGGTGCCTCTTCCGAACGAATGCCGACGATCGCCGCAAGGGGTTGAATTGGCAGTGCGGGGCCGCCGCGGGGAAGTTGTGTGGTTGTCAACTACGGGTACAGCCTACATGAAGGTTTCTTGGCCGAGAAGGTTTGATTTAGGTTGTTGATTCTGGGGATCCTGCTAGCTTGGGACTTGGCACTGAATTAGGCAGGTTTGTTGGATCACTGGATGATGTGTTGAAAATCACTTTCAAGGCGCGCCCTTGAAATGTTGACTTGGATGGTGACCCCACCTATTCAGTACACATATGGGGGTGTTCAGGGGTAATGAACCTAACCTACCTTGTGAAAGAACGCAAACATACATCAAATGAGGAGGGGGACTTATTTTGAGTATCCAGTTAAGAACATAAACCATCGGCTTTCGAGACACAGTGTTGCCCCTCCATTATCGCTTCCTATCTAGACGCTGGCAGCATACCTCATAAGATTTATGACAAAAGCCTAGTTGGCAATGATGGCAGCACTGGGCACAAAACCGGCCTCCTTCAATGTCAACCCAAAGTCCACGCCAGCCTCGAATGTCTTCCGTGGGAAGTTGATCTGGAAGCTCTGCACAGGAACACCAGTCTCCTCTTCCACAGCGTGAGCCACCTCGAACAAAGTCGTTTCGCTTGGGTAAATCTTCATCAAGTTGCCCTTCTGCTTGGTCTGAATCCTGAGACGAGCAGTGGCGGCGGACGAGCCTGAAGCAGAACTACCTCCCAGAGCAGACAATGGGGCGGCGGGAGCCACAACCGGGGCTTGTGGTGCTCTACCCTCGCGGAGAGCCTTGGCCTCCTCCTCCTTGCGCTTTCTCTCTGCCTTGTCGGCCTCGATCTTTGCCTTGATGCGCTTCTTGGCTTCGGCATCGGCAATCTTCTCTTGCTTCTTCCTCTCGGCCTCCTTGATTCTCTCCTTGCGCTGAAGCTCCTCCTTGAGCTCTTGGGAGTCCTTGGTGGCCTTCATACGAATCTGCTCATTGCGCTTGGCGGTTTCCTTCTCGGCCTCAGACTGGACGGCTCTCTTCGCAGCGAGCTTCTGTCGAAGCTCTTCTAGTCTAGCTTTCTTTTCCTCTTCTGTCAACGGGGCAATCTCGTCAGTGGACTCGGAGAAGTCTTGGTGGTCTCTTGGGTGATGTTAGCCATGTGAACTAAATGAGAAGCTGGTAAGATTGGATACGAACGTCTTGGTAGCGTGAAAGGTGGCTTGGTCGTGGTTGCGGAACTTCTTGCCACATTCGTTGCAAACCAAGGACTTTGCGGTCTCACCAGAAGGGATGTTGGCACCAGTCGTATCTTCATCTTCGTCCTCAGCTGAGGCCTGGTTTTGAGCCTGGAGCTCTTCCAAGGACTTATCCTGGTTTGCCTCTAGCCAATCAAGGGCTTGTTGCACTGCGTTGAGTGTTAGAACCGGGGCTGAAAATGAGTGGCATGACAAGATGTGTCCGTGACGGTGATGCTTACAGTTTCCAGTCTTCTTGGCGGCGATTTCCGCACGAGCCTGCTCAAAGCCCATGGAGAGCAGCACATCAAGATCGGCAGTCGTCATCTCGAATGAGAGTGTTGCTTCTGTTTTAATTGATGATTGGCAATGGTGGTGGTGAAAGTGAAAGTAGATGCCAAGATCAAGGGCAGGTGGTGGTGTTGAGGAGTTGTTGGTTGTCGAGTGGGGGAATACCCAACACGAAATCAAGCTAAATTTTATAAGACGAAAAGGCTGAACAACGTTCAACTGTTCAAAACCTGTGCGCCACAATGGAACCGGTGTTAGCTTTTACGCAGGGACCTGGCTTTGAACTGCTCAAAAGCAAGCTGATATTCAAACGATTCGGTTGTTAGCAGTCAGCCTCAACCTTGAGCTTAGGATGATAGCCTGGGCTGTAGGTTGAAAGGGTGCACGTCATCACAGAAGGCCAACCAGTAGAAACAGTGGGGGCGCGGCATGTGATAGCACCCATTGTTTTATACATTCCAGATCGCCGGCAACTCTCTCTTCTCGAAATAGGTTGGATATCACAGATACTGCTGGCAAAGCCATATGTACTCGTTAACTTGTACTTTTACTCTACTGCATGTCGACTTGATGTCCTGAACTCTGGCAGTGGCTGAATTAGTAATTTTGGCCCCAGTGTTCTCAGGTAGCAACCCAATTGGAGCCCAAGAACAGCTGTCTTGGTGGCAGCCCAGCCCAAACCCTCCACCTGGGAAAGTCACTGACACGCTGGACCATCAGCACGGGCCCACGAACCCGGATCGCCCTAGGCTCGAATCAGAAGGGGTCGAAACCTGGCCAAGAAGCAACTTTGCCGTCACTGTGCTGTGCTGCGCTCTGCTCGGAATGTCGTAAGACACCTCATATCTCAAGCTCTAACCAACAGGCCTTCTCATCGCAACAACTCTCCGCCGCTCTCCCATCTCTTCCACCGTCCGCCTTCTCTGGTAGATTCTTCGCGCCGAATCCTGACGAAAACCTTGTCGTCGCACGATATCACCACACCGAGCGTCCCCTTTGGTGCACGAACATTGAAAACCCCCCAAATTCGCTGCGCGATTCCGTCACCTGGGCTCCACCAAAACGGTCGCAGCAAACATCCACAAACATCTAAACGTTCTTTTGAGCACGCCCGAGACCTTGCTATACCGTCATCATGTCCGTCGAGATTGAACCCTTTGAGCTCGGCTTCCGCAGTACGTTGTGTCCTCCAGATCGCCAACATCCACAGAGACATTCGAAGGACCATATCTGACCGAGCTAGGGCCATTTACTATCGAGGTCGCGCAGATCCTCAAGATCAAGAACACCAACAAAGAGCCAATTGCTTTCAAGGTATATCAAGATGTCTTTCAAGTTGTGTCTCACTTTTCAAGTGGCTAACCGGATCCTCCTGTTTGTAGGTTAAAACGACAGCCCCTAAGCAGTACGTCTCGAGACTTCGCGATTCTCCACAATAATTACATTGGCCTACGAGAGTGGTGTTGCTAACTGCCACAGGTACTGTGTTCGACCAAACTCTGGTCGTGTTGAGCCCGGCCATGAAGTCGAAGTTTCAGGTAGGCACATCGTGGACATGTTTGGAAAGTTGGGGCGGGTGGCTGACATACACGTAGTCCTCCTGCAGGCCATGAAGCAGGAGCCTCCTGCCGACGCCAAGTGCCGTGACAAGTTCCTCGTCCAGTCCGTTACCATCACCGGCGACAAGGACTTCACCAACGTTCAGCAGATTGTGGGTCACTCTTCACAGCCGGCGGTGAAAAAAACAATACCATACTGACCAGTTATTCTTGTAGTGGGACGGTGTGCCAAAGTCGGCAATCCAAGAGAGAAAGATCCGAGTCTCTTGGCTCGCCGCCAACGACGACGGAAACGCGGAACCTGCGGTGTCGACTCCTCCCCGTCGCTCACTTGCTAATGTATGTTATCCCACTTGGTTTCTCCGTGGCGGGGGAGGGGGTGAATGGGTGCAAAAATTCGCATCCCATCCCCGCGATCCCCTCGTCACATGGGCGACTAGCGCTAACCACAACTGTATAGGGCCATGAGGATACCCCCAATGCCGCCCCTCCAGCCTACTCTTCCCCACACGATGAATCCACCATTCTCGATAACACCTCTCCAGGCCAACCCGAGCAGGAGTCCAGGGAGGAGACTGGGTCAACTGTCGCCGAATCCGCCGTGGCCGCCGTCAAGACCACAGCCGTCGAGACCTACGAAGAGATCAAGGCGAAGCTCGCTCAGGCGGAGGCTACGATTGCCCAGCTAAAGAACGACGCAGCAAGTGGACTCAGACAAAGGAAGGCAGCCGTAACCTCCGAGGCAGACAACAGCAAGCCTTCCCAGCCCGAGCTCGCCCAGGCGACGAGACAAGGCACCGAGGGTGTGTCCGTTAAGGTCGTGGCCATCCTGTGCTTTGTTAGTTTCATGTTGGCGTACTTCTTCTTTTAGAGGGTATACAGCCGGTCTGGAAAGCGTGGGGCAAAAGGTGACGGTGTTGTTGGTTTTCTTGCTACATTGAGGCGCGGCGTCGAATCACAAATAATCACCACCTATCTTCACCACGGGGCCCCATACCCATCATTAGTTCCCCCATACCCCATACCCTCACCCCCCCACACGGAGCTCTCCTTTGTTGTTTTACTGTTTTGTTATTTATGGGTAGACGTATGGTATACGTTGTTATGTCTATGTCTCTCGGTGTCTCTCTCTCTCTCTCTCCCTCTCTCTCTCTCTCCCTCTCTCTCTCTCTCTGTGTGTGCCCAGTGTCGTTTGTTTGTCTCTGTGACTGGACGACAAGTTCATGACAAAATACGACTGACTTTCTGATGGTTGTTTTTTCTTGTAGCGGCATGATGAGAGCGAGGATAGTATTATTGCAATTAGCTAGCAAGGATGTTGTTGCCTGGCAATGTGAAATTAATCGGTTACACCTGTTTGCTTTGATATTGGTGTGTGTATCATAATGTGTTCGGGGATTACATTCAGGGGCTGGGAAGGGCTTTGTGCGCAGATTGACAGCTATTGTTATTATTACCTTTGCTACGCTAGCAGTACGCCAACATGTGTATCGATAGAGGAGTGAATGCAAACGGCTAAGCGTAGGCTTTATACTGTATTTTCTTTTCCTAGCCATAGAGCTTGTGCCACAATTACAGAATTGTCAAGGGAGATCAGGGTACGTCTCCCGGAAGCCATCATGCCCACCTGTTACCCTAGAACCTCATCACCACCGCTGGCGGCTTGTTCCCCAAAATCTCATCAATCTCCCCCATCACCTCCTCCGTCAGCAACTTGTACACCCTCAACGCCTCCACATTCTCATACACCTGTTCCGGCGAACTCGCTCCTGTTATGGCGCTACTAACATGCTTGTTCGCCAGCACCCACGCCAACGCCAGCACGCTCTGCTTCACGCCCAACCGCTCGGCGATTGGTTTGAGCTTGGAGACCGTGTCAACCATTTCCTGAAACTCTTCCTTGCCCGTGCGCTTCCAGAAGCCGGAGATGAACTCGAGCTGGGTTTGGGCGAAGCGGGAGTCGGGCGGGATGCCGGATTTGTATTTTCCTGAGAGGATCCCCTGCCGCAAAGGGGAGAAGACGGTCAGGCCTAGGGATGGGGGAGTGCGGAGGAGGTGGGCGAGGGTGGATTCGACGCGGAGGCGCTCGAGCATGTTGTACCGGGGCTGTTCTGTTACCTTGTTAGTGAGAGGAGACATAGGGGTAGGGAGAGAAAAAAAAGGGGGAGGGGGTACCCATTAAAGGACCGATGAGGTTGAGTTTATCTGCGTAGTGGCGTGCTTCGGCTATTTCGTCTGCGTCCCACTCGCTGGTGCCCCAGTAGAGGGCCTTGCCTATGTCGATTAGGTGGTTGAAGGCTCGGACTGTTTCTTCCATGGGGGTGTTTCTGTCTGGTCTGTGGGCGTAGATCAAGTCGACGTAGTCGAGTTGGAGGCGTTCGAGGGATTGGTTCATGCCTTCGATGATGTGCTTTCGGGAGAGCCCAATGTTGTTTACTAGTCTGGTGCTGAAGGCTGAGCCCCAATAGATCTTTCTCTCCGTTAGTGGGGTTCAGGCATGGGGGTTGGTGTTAAAGGAGTGTACCTTGGTAGAGATGACGAGATCGTTTCTTTGCCAGCCAAACTTCTTGATGGCCTCGCCCATGACCTTTTCGGACTCACCCTTCGCGTACACCTCGGCACAGTCAAAGAAGTTGACACCGACGTCGTAGGCGGCTTTCATGCAGGCGAAGGTGCCTTCTCTGTCGACATGACCGCCGTATGTCAGCCAGCCGCCGAGGGAGATGGCAGAAACTTGGAGACCGGAGCGGCCCAAGAAGCGGTATTCCATCTCGGGGAGATCAGTAGGCGGTGACATATTGAAAAGGCTATCGGAGAAACTAATGGGTAGAATTGGGTCTGGCTGTAGAAGAGAGGGAAGAGAGATGGCCGAGAGACACTGCCCTTTAACAGTTTACCACTTGCTGAACCCGGAGCACGGCATAACATAGTGTACGAAATAGCAGGCCGCCGTCTGAGCAAACGGTACGGCAAGCTCCCGTGATGCAGATCCGGTATGAGAAGGTCGTGGTAGGTAACAGACAGGGGTTTGTATCAACCCCCACTGTTACCCCTCTTCTATGGTGTTTCCTGGTTCGTGAAAGATAGGACGAGGCTCGAGAGCGTACCACAGGAAGGATATTGTGGTGTCTTGTTTGGTTGGCCATAGCTCCAGCACCATGATGATATGTGCAACCAAGACACAAGACGCCTTCCACTTGGAAGGCTGAAGGCAGGATATGAGTCCGCGGCCAATTCAACCCTTGAAGTTGTCACTTCGTAATCAGCTCCTAACCTGCGATGACAGGACTTCCAACCGAATGGGCTTTGCTGATGGCGTCATTGCAACTAAGGTGTTGTAAGAGATTTCTAGGTCATGCGTTCAAGTCTATTGCTGAATATCTACACTGGGTGGTTAGATATGGGTACACCGACCAATTGGGCAATATCACTTACACCTATCAGTCTTCATTGTTGACACTGCCCCTTGGGCTTGCCAACTGCCTATCCCAATGATTGTTGGTTCTCTAGTTGGCTGCCCGTGTTGGTCAAGGAAGAAATGTCGAAAAGGACAAGAAGTTCTGGTTAACATCTCATAAACAAAAACAATCCTGTCCAACACACCACTTTTCAACGCCCAGTTCGGATGGACAGCCCACTTTCACAGGCACAGGCGAGCTTCTGGAACGATAACCCCTTTTTCGATCTTGGAGATCTTTGAAGCATGGGCCACTGGCCCCTCCTGGTTGGCTCCAGCAGATCAGATACCCCACAATTGAGGGACCTGAGCCCCTGTCCGCCACCGCCAACTGTTGAAATTGGACGGAGGAACCCAAGCGAGCAACCTCAAGGGTTCACAACTACCGACCCTGCGCCAACCTTTTTTTGTTGATTGTCTTTTCCGTCAAGCTGGTCTTGCGGCTTCACTCGTTTCTTCTCGACGTTGACAGTACCCATTCGGATTTCCCATCATGGCTTCCACAACAATTACGAGCAACGGCACGACCAAGAGAAAGGCTGCCAATGGCATCAGCAACGGCCACGCCAACGGCGCGACGGCGCCCCCCAAGAACGCGGACGACCAGAAGGAACATGACTTTTTCTGGACTTATACTGAAGAGCCACACCGGACGCGGAGGTTGGCCATCATCAAGGCGCACCCTGAGGTATGTTTGAGCACAGTGTCTGCGTTAAGAAAGCATCAATCGCTAACCATTGTCCTGTTAGGTCTTAAAACTATCTGGTGCCGAACCATTAACGAAATATGTCGTCGCCGGCGTCGTTGCCCTCCAGATCCTTTGCGCCCACCTCCTCCGAGACACGCCCTTCTGGTCCCTGAAGTTCTGGGCGGTCGCCTACATCATTGGCGCCACCTCGAACCAGAATCTCTTCCTGGCCATCCATGAGATCTCCCACAACCTCGCTTTCAGGTCGCCCCTGGCCAACCGCCTCTTTGCCATCTTCGCCAACCTTCCTATCGCGTTGCCCTACAGTGCTTCATTCAGGCCTTACCATCTGACACATCACAAGTCCCTCGGAGTTGATGGCCTCGATACCGATCTGCCTACCGCTCTTGAAGCCGTCTTCCTCGACTCGATCCTCGGCAAGGCCTTCTTCTGCACCTTCCAGATCCTATTCTACGCCCTCCGCCCGATGGCCGTTTACCGTGTCCCCTTCACCTGGGTCCACTGGCTCAATGTTGCCGTTCAGCTGTCCTTCGACTACGCCCTCATTGCCTTGCTCCCGAACTACTTCTCGGTCAACTCGGTCCTGTACCTGATCCTGTCTTCCTTCCTGGCTGGCAGTCTCCACCCAACAGCAGGGCACTTCATCGCCGAACACTACGTGTATGAGCACATTTCGGACGAAGCCAGAGACCCCGAGAACAAGATCCCTCTTCCTGAGACCTACAGCTACTACGGCATCTTGAACTTTTTCACTTACAATGTCGGTCTGCACAATGAGCACCACGACTTCCCTGCGATCCCCTGGACTAGACTGCCCAAGTTGAACAAGATTGCCAAGGAGTTTTATGATCCCCTGCCTACACACGAGAGCTGGGTGTATGTGCTTTGGCAGTTCATCTTTGATGACAAGATTGGCATGACGAGCCGTGTCAAGAGAAAGCAGGGAGGGAGAGTTGTGGGTGGTGGAAATGTTGCTGCCAAGGCCAAAGTGGCGGACTGGACAGCTGAGGAGATTGAGGCTTAATTTTGTTTTTGAAGGGTTAATGATGTATTTCGGGAGACATCTGTTTGCTCACTGTGGGTTATGAGTAAGTCTGGAGTTGAAACGAGACCAAAAAAGGGGTTTGATACGAACGAACCTAGACTAGACGGACGGGGCAAGAGCATTGGTGTATTGTACAATGACATTGCTTATGAGGTGCGTTTAATTTTTGGGCTGATAGGTTATTGTAATGGGTGAGTAAGTATATATTTGAGAATTTATGAGCATTATTTTATCTAGGTGGTCTAATATTCGAAAACAGCAAACTGGAAACAAAAGCAATAAACGTCTTTATTCACCCTTCAACTCCGACGCCCACCCCCGTATCGCCCCCTTTTCCTCCTCTGTCAAGTTTATCCCAAACACCTCTTTCAACACCTCAGTCCTCTCCTCCTCGGTCCTACAAACCTTGACCAACTCTGTCCTCCCTCCCAAATTCTGCTTCACCTCCCCCTGAACCATCATCACCTTTCCCTTTATCTTCTGTTCTCCCTCCTCCCCTCCTCTCAGAAACCGAATCACCAGCACCGTGTACGTCTGATGATTCCTCTCGCACTCGCTCAAATAAACATTCAGGTTCTCAAAATCCAACTCGGTAAACTCGTGCTCCGGCACAAAGGCGTAGTAGCTGTCCCAGGGCTTTTCAGGCGAGTTTCGGTACTCGTAGATCCAGTGCTTGAGCGCGCCCTTGGACTCGTCACGGAAGCGCTGGTCGGGGAGCCAGTCGCGGGTGTAGCGGATTTGCTGGGTGCCGATGGTGTTGTGGTGGATGAGGTGTTCGGTTAGGGGCAGGGGGAAGGTTGGGCCGTCGCCGCCGAAGCCGGCGTCTAGGACGTATTGTTGGGCGGGGTTGGTGTTGGGGAGGGTGAGGATGTTGACTAGGTGGACGTAGCCGTTGTAGGGGCCTTGGGGGGTGCCGTTTGTGCGGTTGCGGTTGCGGACGCCCGAGTAGTGAATCGAGGAGAAGCCGAGGGCGCGGAGGATGTGGGAGAAGAAGATGGAGAGTTCCATGCAGTAGCCTCCTCTGCCGCGCCTTGGGGAGGTGACAAGTTTGGTGAAGAGGTGTGGGGGGTCGAGGAGGATGCGGTGGAAGGGGTTGTAGTGGATGGAGAGGTTCTCGTAGGGGAAGGAGGTGATTTGGGCTTGGAAGATGGTGGTGAGGTAGTCTAGGTCGAGGACGGGGTGGGAGGAAGGGTGGTATGACTCATCGAGACCGACGTAGGAGAGATACTGAGAGACCTGGGAGAGGGTGTAGGCTGAGCCGTTGGGTTTGAAGTTGTCTTGGTCGGCCATGGTGAGCGTTGGATCAATGAACTTCGATTTTTGCTACCGTCAAACACTCTCTTGATCCATCGATCTTGGTGTTTTGACCACTGATTAAGATTTTAGTTTCAGTCATATTAGCAAGTACTACTCCTTGTGACTCACCATCATAGGGTATCTCCAACGTAAACCCGACAAGCCGGTCGTCGGCAGGGCGTGAAGGCGTCATCGCAACTAACACCGTTCTAGGAATGATTCTGCCCAACAATCATACAAGAGAAGTTATAAGTATGTTTATTGATCTGATATTGCCAGAGCATACACTTGGATATACTATACAGACCCCTAACCCTGCTACAAACAGTGATTAAATCTTCCAATCACACGACACATCTCTCGGCCATTTTCTTACCGTATATGCTAGTTATGAGGGTTAAACAACACTTGATGAATCATTGGGCTGTAAGTGATACTTTTTTTGCTGCTTGGCCCATATTTTCCAGCAGAAAGATGCTGCGTGTCGGCCAAAAAGACAATCTAGTAACCATGGTTTTGAGCATTTAGACGCTCGCCTTGAGATGTCCCTTGTGTCTCAAGGGTGCCTCATACAACACAGTTCACGAGGTTATGTCAGCAGTCACCTCATCACTACAGGACTGACTTCTGCCTTGGAGCACACGTATCAATACTGAAACCCAAAGAGCAGCCAAGATTGATAAAAACCTCGCTCGAGGTTCATCCCGCCACCATCTACTCAGACTGCCACCCCACGCGTGTGGCTGCTCAGACTCGTGGGCGACCGTGATGGGCCAGCCAAACTTCGAGAGGCGCAATGCCCAGCCAGTGACAGCATCGGGTTCCTGCGCAGATGACCGAAAGGTAATGTGAGCAGGATGACTCCGATGTTATGTCTGTGGCATGCAGTCTCTACAATCCCAATATCTTCTATCTCCCCCTTTCGATAATGGGTGACGCGGCAGCAAGTGTGAGAGTTTTTGGTACTGCAGCGATGCATAGTAAGCCATACAGAAAAACCCATTCGCTGGCTGCAACCCATCACGCGGTTTTCCTCACAAGGGGAGGATGGGTTAAGTTCGGGACGAGAGGACCCCTACCCAACCCACACGTCACCACGTGTCATGCAGCCGTTGGTATAAGGACAAGACACTCAGGCCTCAAGACTACTGCGTATATGCTGGGTAGCGAAGCGGTATTTTTCTTCATCTGTTCGTCGCATTGTCTTGCGCCGTTTTTTTGCTGATTTCTCAACCAGTCTCAGACAACCCGGGCCCCGGTATCGCATGATGAAGGAGTTCCGTCAGAGCGCCAGAAGGAAAAGTTTTCGCGATCACAGTCCACGCCACACACTCACACACCTCACACACACCTGCCCCTGAGTTTGCTGACAGGGCTGGGTAGCTGGGTTCTCGGCAAACGGCTGTCCCTGGTGAGGCTAGCATTCGGCCCAAGCCGGTGCGGTATATTCTCATACTTTTGTCCCGATACATCCGAGAAGATATTGTGAGAGCACGCGGCAAGACGGAGGCAAAGACATGCCCGGTATAACTTCCCAGCTGCCTGTTTTCGTGGCACTCGAGATATCCGAGTGCCTGTCGTGCTCTCCTTGATCCCGCGGCGCGGCGTGATGGTTCGACAGACCAGGGCTGAGGGCTGCTTATCGTGGGTTTCACTGAACTGGCGAGAATTTGTAAAAGGACACCCACCCGGCTGAAAGGGCTATGGCGTGTTACCAAAATGGACCAGAATGGCACCCGTCCACTTGGCCGTTTGTGAGAGGCTGAGCCGTTGCCCACCACTTCAATGCGGGGTTGATAGAGGAGTACCTGGCCCCATATAGGGCATGACGTCGTCGCCGACACCAGCCCTAGCAGCAGAGCAGGTATTGTACACGATCTCGATCTGCGTAGAAACTTTTATCATTGTGAACTGCCATAGCCTGAGACCACGAGCTGAGCAGCAAGAGAGCCATACGATCACCAGGTCTACCTGCGCGTGCCTCGAATGTTAGCGTTGCGCGACGGCTTTAGGGTTGCGGTCGATCGACGTCGCCAACAGCTTGTTCCTAGACTCGGCATCGGTTTTTGTCCATGATTTTCGGACCAGGGCCTTCGGATCGGATCGCTGGATTCAATCCTCCAGAGAGGCAGTTGATATATGTCTCGCGCTCTCACGAACGCTAATTGTTGATATCTTTGAGCTGAGTCATTGGGGAAAGTTGACAAAAAGTTACGGATGCCGCATCTTCCGGCCATCAATCAATGACAATGACAGATGCATGCAGATATCAAAAGCTGGTTCGGCAAATAAACAACAGACGAAAGTGAAAATGTTTTCGCCGAATTATTCTTCCGATGGGAAACAGGAGGAGGAGGAGCCTTCAAGTACCGTCTTAACAGCACCTGCCTCCGAGGCTGGCACAAACTTTTTGGGGCGCGCCGCGCAGCCGGATTTGGTGGGGAAGAGAAATTCTGGAATCGGGAAAAGAGCGGGCCAAGACTTACCGAGAGACTTGCGATCTGACAGAGCTACAAGTGGAGACTTGACACGCCGCCTCTGTCCGTCGACCGTCAAAGGGATATCATCGTCACATGATGTACCAGACCGCCCGGCCAGGTACCGTGACATCTCTCAAGGGGTGAACAGCATCGTGTGGTGGAAGGGAAACCGGGTGCGTTTTCTCCCGCTGGGTTTTCAGAGTTGTTGGGTTGTGCTCGCTCCCACACTGCTGTGTTGTCGTGAATTGATATGGAGTACTTTTACTTTGGATAGGTAGGTCGCTTGTGTAATGTGCCGGACCAAGTCTCCGCCCCAACCTTCTGGTCGATTCTATGGTAAGAGTTTGATGACTGGGCTGGCGACGACGACGACAGGAGGGAGGGACGATTGGTATTGACGGCGGTGAGGTCGAAGCGGCGATATCAGTAGAGATTCGTATTCCTCGAATACTTTGTTGAATGGAGGCCATTATGCGCTGCCCTGTAAATATCAAAGAAGTCCCTTTTGAGTTGATGTGACGGCAATTTAGTGGCCTGGAAGCGAGAGTCGAGCCCCAAAACGGCCAAGTGGAGGGGTGGACGCCAGCGCACACTGCTCGCACGCTACCCACTGCCCATTTGTGCCTGCAACCTGCAACACATTGCACAGGCAGGGAAGCTTGGATGCGCTGCGTACCTACCTGACCAACGACATCATCCTCCATCTCCCACATCTTCCAATCACTCTCTGCCTCTCCCACCACGCACTCAACACCGCCCGCGTGGACCAAACCCCAAACCCCAAATCCCAAACCCACTCCCCATAGTGTTCGCTCGTCTGATTAGCATCTACTCGATAGCGCCCAAGTCGCCTATTTGTCCGCCCTTTTACGGAATCGTCATAGTACGGAGCCTCCCAAGAGACGCGGCCTGCAGTTCGACAACCTAAATCTGTCTCAGACGCATTGCGATAGCCGCGAAAAGTCGAATAGTAAATCGTTGGGACCCATCCATAATGATTTGCTGGACCCTGCGAACTCTGAGCAGCTAAGACCCGCCCTGGCATGTGTGAGTGGTGGTCGAGATCGAGCCTCCGCCCTTCCTCCTCCACTCGACTCAACTCGCACCTACGCATGCTGCAGCAGACATGGACCCGTCGTCCAACAAGCCGACTGGCTCAGCAGAGGCCGACCGCTCGCAGTCAACCGGCAGTATCCCAACTGCCCTGCTCCATCCCACGTTATCCCGCGAATCCACCTCGAGCACGGCAACCATAACCCCAAAGACCGACTCGTGGCCCTCGAAGTTGACTTCGCAGACCTCGCAGACCTCGACCACGTCCACCTCCTCTTCGGCTGCACCTTCACCTCTCCACTCGCGCGAGCCCTCTCCAACACGACCGCCGCGGCAGCAACGTACGAGCACCTCACGAGCGTCATCCATCAACCCCGGGCCCCGGTCGCGGAAAAACAGTGCTCAGGATCTAGGAAAACAAGCCAACCCGCCACCACCACCACCACCACCCCCCACGACGAAAACGTTGTCCTCCACGACGCCTACTCTTCTGCCCACTGTATCAAACCCAAGCTTCAATGCGGGTGCACCCGTCAAGTCACCCACGTCCATGGAGCATATTCGAAAGTCACCCCGGTGGCCGGTATCCCCTAGGCTACGATCTCCTCCACCCATTCTCCACCAGCCAAACATCCCACCTCAGCGACGATCAGAGCACGAAACAACTCTAATTGCTCTTCAGCGTGCGACCCCGCCCCAGCCTCGATACCAGGAGCCTCAGTCAGACACCGATACCGACGACGCCCACATGCCGTCTGGGTTACGAACCCCCGCTCGAGGTGGTGGAAGCAGCTCAGTCTTGGAGACTGTCCAGGAAGTTAGTCCACTGGGTTCGCAACGGGGACAAGGAGAGTCGCTGGAGGAAAAGATTGCTAGCAGCATGGCTTCTGAATCGTCACAGGCGGATCTGATTGGTCTCGGTCTGTCCAAGGAGACAGTGGGTAGATCCAACACTGGCCCGAACGACAGTGGTAGTGATAGTGGCAGCATCAAGGCCAGCCGACGGGGCGGATCCGGGATGCCACCGCCCCCTTTGACGACAAGGCAGTCGAGCACCTCGATCAACAAGCCGGGCATGCCCAAGACCAAGACCGGCGACCTGCCATTGCAGAGTATGACGGTCGAGACGGAGACGGTTACCTCGATTCCCCAAGCTGCGTTGGCCCCAAGTGTTGGCACCCAGGTGTCAAGTGCCAGTTTGCGGACAAAGGCCAGCAACGAGACGATACGACCGAGGAAGGAGAAAAAGAAGCCGCCACGGAAGCAACCCACTGTGACGGCGGTCAATGGTGAGAAACCACGTTCAGCTACATCCCCTAAATTACGACATCACATGTCCATGTATTCAGTTTCTTCTTATTCTATTACCGACAAGCGCCCGTCTCCCCCAAGCTCTTTCAGCTCTCATGAGAGCGTGATAACGGATGCCAAGCGGGAACCGGGAGGCAGGAGGCAGAGCCTAGTTTCTCAGATCAGCAGCATGAGCAACCTACTGACACGAACACGTGTAGCATCCTCCAAGGCCGATATCTTCGAGGCCAAGGTCGCAAGCGCCGTCGAGGAAGCAAACTCGTCCGATTCCGAAGAGACTTTTGTCTACGATTCTAACCCACCAGATGCCCGTGACCGACCGCCGAGATTTCATTCACGAACGCCGAGTGCGACATCCATGGTCAGCCAAATCGATCGGCCTGGGATGAGGTCCATCCACACCGTGATGGAGAGTTCTGGGCCTCAGATGGTTGTCAAGAAGAGCATGAAATTCGTCAACACTTACAACAGCAATGCAAATGACGGCATCTATGGCGACGATGATGGGAAGGGAACTGGCAGGAGCAATGCCGGTTCTGCCCGGGGAACTGCACGACATCACCATCATTTCGGCCGTTGGGGCCGTAACGGAGGCAGCAATGGTCACCCCTCATTGTTCGCCGAGCACTCGCCTTTCAGTAACGCTGCAGCTGTTGGGAACGGAGGCTCAAGACACTCTTCCAACCCTCCGAGTCCCCGCTACGCTAATGCTCGTAACTACTCAGCAGCAAATGGAAAGAGGTCGACACATCTATCAGCAGGGTATGATCTCGACGACAACACTACTGGCGCTGACGACGAGACAACACCCTTGGTTCAGTCCTCCACGATGCGATCATCAAGGTCAGGCAGAAGCCGGAGGGGTCCTCACTCGCACTCATACCGGTCGATTGAGGCGCAACAATACAGGTCACCTCCCTCGGTCCTCAACCGGTTCGCGAGTTGTCTGGTCTTGACGGTCATGCTGTTGCTCATTGTCTCGGGCGCCATCGGCTTCATGTTTGCGACATCACAACCTCTCACCAATGTTCAGCTCACCAATATGAGCCATATTGTGGCCAGCCAACAGGAGCTTATGCTCGATCTTACCATCAAAGCCCATAACCCCAACGTCGTGGTTGTAGCTGTGGATTCTTGCAACATCGAGGTCTTCGCCAAGTCGCCACGCGGAATGTCGGATTCAGAGTGGTGGCGCCATACCCATCCCGGCGAGGTTGGACCACCACCCATCAAGAGACCCGAAGGCGAAATGTTGGCGATGGAGGCCGACGATGATGATGATTCGGCGCCTAACCTGCACCTCGGCACCATCACTGGATTCGAGAGTCCCCTGACTTTCGAGGGTTCTTTCTTCAACCAGGGCGATTCGTACTCGACTGGCGAGGTCCGCCTGAAAGATCCTGGCAACGTCACCAAACCTGGTGGTCCCGAGCGATGGGAGCGGGTCCTGGAGGACGAGTTCACGTTGATTTTGAAGGGCGTCATCACATACACTCTTCCCCTGAGCCAACGGGAGCGAAAGGCCACCATCACTGCGAAGAAGATCATCAGACCAAACTCGGCCGACGACCCTGCGGTCCAACCCGACGACGGGGAGGTTACCATCTCACTTATACCTTAATAATTGGCACTGACTTCGGCCATGCGTCCAGCGACTGCAGATAAATTTCCTTTTTTACTTTATGTGAATGACTCTCTTTTTTTCACGAAGACAAAGACATACCTATTTTATTCTCTTACACTTTTCATTCTCTCTTCGGTGGCAATTGGTTACATGTGTATATTTCTGGGGCTTGTGTGTTTGTGTGATGAAGCGTTGCATGGCATTATGGACTAAGATATATTCCCCCGGGAGAACATGGGCTGGTAAAGAGGCAAAGCAAACTGGGCGTTGGTTGGATTGGTATACAAAAATTCAAAACTCACATCACAAACAAATTGAGCAATCAAAGACTGGCATTATAAGAAAAGGAAAAGACGGGACTGTACAGAGTTTCTCCATCATTGGTAGTTTAGGGGGTACCTAATACGTAATGATGGTGAGATGGATGGTGGAGGGCATGTGGTCTGAAGGATAAGTGCTGGAGGTGTTTCTGTTGGGACCCGCAGACTAGGGGGGGGGGGGGGGGGTTGAGGGGACTTTTGTGAGGGTTGAGTGTGATAACAGATATCTGTGAGAGCGAAAGATACTCTTATAGGAACAAGATTTTGATGAATATCACATAAACTTGATGTCACTATTGCCACCATATCTTTGAAGTTGATGTGGCTTTTGAGCAGCAAAGGGGAATGCATGTGCACACAGCAGCCGTTACCTTCGGGCCAAGTTCTTTATACATTGCATGATATCAATATAAGCACATTCTATTGTCGTTGTCAAGTGTGTAAACAAGAAAGACGCTCAACAAAGTTCAGGCTTTCGCTTACGATCTATCATCATTGAGCAACAACTTCAAAACATAACTCTCATCATACCCCCTACCCTGCTATGTTCGCCTCATGCTCACAAATGAAACGTTCATCTCTGTCTATACCCACCAAAGCATACAAACGTCCCCCTTCTTCAACCATAGCCACCCAAGATGAACTTCAACTCCACCACAAACAAAACTACACACTCAAAAAGAAACTCAACAAAGACCAAAGCAAAACAAAAGCCACAACAGATCATTATATATACCTAATTAACCACCCTCCCATCCCATCATCCCTCCCAGTAGTATTCCCAGTTTAACTTGATCATTTCGTTTCTGTGTCTTCATCTTCATCGGAAATATACCCGTACGTACGTTGTTCATCAGTAGTTTAGCCCATTCCCGTATTTCATCATCTTTTATAGCCCCCCTTCACCCCCTCACACACCATCCATTTATCCTACCCACCTCTCCATCCCGCTGTCCAACACACCCTCTCCCATCATAAAACTCTAATTCGTTAAAAGAAGAAGACGTGAACTACTCCCTAATTGTCTCGGCCGTCCCAACAGCTTGCTCATCCTTCTTCACAAACGCGCTCGTTGCCCATCCCATCCAGCTGTTCCTCTTGTTCGCCCTCTCGGCCGCTGCTTGAGCCTCGGCATTCTCCTGCACGAGCCTCAACGGCCTGGGCTTGTTGCCCCCAAACGTCGTCTTCTCCTTCTCGTGCTGGCTTCTGGGAGGGGAGCTATGGCTGGAGACGAAATCCCGTTCGAGAATCGAGTCCCCGCTCGTGCTGCTTGTTTCGCTTCGCATGCCCGGGAAGTTGCCCGCCGAAGCTGGAGGGGCACCGGTCGTGGAGTGGGCGCTTTGAGGGCCGTTGCCGCTGGTGCTGCCGCTCATGCTGGAGCGGTTGCCTGCTCCCTGGGGCGCCCAGAAGGTCTGGGAGGATCGGAGGGATGGGGAAAGCGGGCCGTCAACGGCGGAAGGGCCCTTGTACATGGCGTTTACGAGCGAGGCGGCGCCGACAGAGGTGTACTGATCGCTCATGGGCCTAGCACGGCGAGTCGAGGTGTTACGGGTCAGGCCGATGGGGATGCTGGGCGCCGTTTCCGGGTTGGAGACGTCGGCGCTGGCCGAGGGCATGAAGCTCATGGGGCGGGGCTTGGGGCGGACGCCGCCGCCGATGCTCATCGTCTTGGCGCGCTGGAGGAGGGACGGTCCAGGTGGAGGGGCCGCCTGCTTGGGGGTGGGGGGCGGGGGGAGTTCCTTGTTGGTGTTTGCGTTTGCGTTGCCCTTGAAATCGCTGCTCTGGTCGAGGATGTGCTCGAATCCTTGGTGCTGCAACAGACGCTCAATGATCTTGTTGATGTAAAGAGTCAGAGCCTTATTTTGGTCTTTAACCGACTTGATCTCCGCCTCTAGGCGCCTCTGAGCCTCGAGCTCCTGTTCGTTTGGGGGGTCGCTTTCGGCAGCGCCGTTGAGCTCATCGGCCAAGCTGGCTCCGTTGGATCTGCCTTCCAGGGCAGCGAGAGCGTCTTGGTTCGCCGAGGCGTGACCGAGATAGCTGAAATCGTTCGTTCCAAAGTCGCCCTTGAGAGTCCGGTCTTGGAGAAGCAGCTGGTAACTTTCGTTGTCTTCCATCAACCTAGCGTTGGCCACACGGGCCTCCATGAGCTGGCGCTCAACTTCCTGAAGACGGCCACCGCCCTGGTTTTGCGACTCGACAAGCTTGATCTGTGCCTCGGCCAACTCGAGTCTGAGAGATTCAATCAGCTTGTCCTTTTGCAGCAACAACTTGGAGTTGTTGCGTGAATCGCTGCGGTGGATGGACGAAGGGGGCGCAAAGCTTCCATTTTCGATGCTGGGCGAGTTGGTCACGGCTGTGTTTGGGTATCAGTATATTTTCCACGCGCAAACCAGACCACAAAAACACTCACATTGCCGCGTCGGCCTGTCCTCGTCCAGGTTCCTCTGCGCGAGGCTGTCTTTGAGGCGCTGAATCACGGTCTGCATCTCCTCCTCGCGGTTGGCCATCTCCTCCTTCTCCTTCATCATGCCACTCCGCTCAGCCTCGTAGATGTTCTCCATCTCGCGCATCTGGCGGGCAGTCTCGCGCTTCTCATTGGTGAGTGTCTCGATCTGCTCTTCTTGTTCGTGAACCCTCTCCTCAAGCTTCGCCTGCTCCCTGTGCGCCTCGTCCAGCTTGTCCTGAAGGATCTCGACCTGACGCTTGGTTGACTCGGCCGAGCTCTCGGCCCTCTCCAGTCGCGTCTTCAAGTCGTCGATGATGGCCACGGTCTCGGCGCGGATGGCCTCATCACGCTCGGCGTCGGCTGGGCTACCGCTCCTGCCATTGCTAGAGATGCCGTTGAGAAGGGACTGGCGCCTTTCGTGGGCGGCCGCACGTGCGGAGACAGGTGTCCCGGTGCGTGAAGGACGGGCGCTGCGTGTTGCGGCGGCGGGTGTGGTGCCAGACGTGCTGGAGGTGGTAGGAGTTGATGATCTCGCACTCGGGCGCTGCGGAGTTCCAGTGGGTGTCTCGCGACCAGTCGCCGGAGGCTTCTTGACGACGGCAGCCATGGCGGGTAGGTTGGTTTTATGAAATGTAGTATAGGTTCCTTTGTTGCGGTGAGTCTAGCGATACTCTGCCACTACTATGCAAAAAAGAAAGAACCCAAGATGCAGAGCGAAAAGGTCGGGTAACGAGCGCAAAGTCGATAGGCTGAAAGAGGGGCTCGAAGACTCTTTTTGGGGCGGTGAAGAGGAAGAGAAACTCGACGTTTCACCTCCAGTTCGGACGTTATGTTTGTGAAGGGGGGGGACGACCCCGGACAACAGCTGAGGGAGGATATTTGCCGACCCACTTGCCTTGTCGGGCGTTCTGGCGCTGTTATTAGTGGCGTTTGGGGGACCCTTGGTCACTGGGCTTCTTGACTCTCTAGCGACTTATTCTGAGCTGGTTGACTCTTTTCAAGGCTTTCTGCTGGATATCGTAGTCTCGATCAAGGTTTGACAACAGGTTGTGCTTGTTTGCGCTGGCAGCCTCGACAGGTCGAGTGATAGGAATGGATTTGTTGGCTGGGACCTGCCTGGACTGGTTGCTGGGATCTCTCAGAGCATGCCGACCTCCGAGGCAGTTCGTCTGTTGCTAGGTATACATATGCACCTCGGCCACGAGACCAAAGCGCTAACTATTCAAGCCCTCAAGTGATGTGACTTGCAGGAGGCAAGTCATAATAAGCAGGTGTGTGTGGGAGAGCTACTAGCAGTAAGGTCGCACGCCGGCCTCTTGATGGGATTCCACCCAAAGAGCTGTCTTCATCTTCTTTGTCGACTTGGGAACACGAGCACAAATACACCACCAGCCTTAACAAGACAAGAGACCCGGGAAGCAATTACGGCTTTAAAACCTTGTTTATCATGCACCGACAGCGGTCTCACCTCTTCCATGTTCGCTGCGAGGTAAAGTGGTCGGGGACTCGCTGAATTGAGCAACCCGCCCCGCGTTAGCTGTTCATGCAGCGATTGCCTGGTCTCTTGATCCTCGTCCGCCGTTATGAGTCCGGGGCACGTGGAGAATGGAGAACCATAATGAGCAAACCAACAACTCAAGCGCCCTGAAACAATGGGTAGCTCATCGACAGTCTCATTAATCCTCTAAGTGTCCTTTACCTGTGTATTTGCCTCCTTACGTGGTCATGAACATCGGCCGTGGCCAACAAAGGAAGCAGGCTTCAGATTCCGCCCTCGGGTTCCACATCATGTTTTAATTAAAACAATTCGACCTTTCAATGCGCTCTCTCCATACCTACCGCGCATAGGGAGCTGTCAGTGGTCGATCTGGCATGGATCTTCCCTTTCGATCCCGATAACCCGAAGGGTGTCGACCGGATGCTTATGCCAGCTGTGAGGTGTCTTCCTACCACCTGGTCTAACGTAGCTCAACATCTGGGTTGTTGGCTTACACTGGGAGGCAAACCATGGAGGATTCCAACTGATAAATCGAGAACACCGACTTTGTTCAGAGGCAACGCAGCGAAGCTGATTTAGTCACCACGACTGGGCAACACTAATCAATAAAACAAAGAGATGGCAACGAGAGGTCATGTATTACGACTATCTATTGGAGCCATCAATCCAGGGCAAGCCCTGACCAACCATGGCCATCAAAATCACTTTTTGAGCCGAGCAGAGCCCGGTGTGTGACTTGCCGGAGTTGAGAACCCGAACGCCGTGCCAAATGCCAACTCTTTTCCCTGTCTTTTTCAGGTTGACTCTTTAGGCAGTCTGGTCAGCCAGAATGTCGGAGTCACCAGCGTCGAGGATGGCCATGGTGGAGCACTTGAAGAGCTTGCCAAGAGCGGTACCAAGCTCAATCTGTAAGGGAGGGAGGTTCGTTAGCACTTGATCTTGTACCCTCCAAAGCCTATAGCAGACTTCTTCTCTGGGTGGACCGTTTGACAACGTGGTGTCTTCACGGCCAAGAACAAACATCCAGGATTGATGCCCGGTGTTTTTTCTGGTTGCAGAGTCTACGGGACTGTCGGGATTCAACTTACGTTGGTGCCGTTGTAGTGGTGGACTGAGGTCTTGCTCATCATGGAGTAGTACTCGAGCTCAGACTTGCGGAGAGGAGGGGTGTTGGCAGCGATGAGGATCAACTTGGCCTTGCCGGTGCGGAGGGCCTTGAGGGTCGATCTGTATCCAAGGACGACCTTGCCTGTAAACCGCCACCGTTAGTGATTTTTTCGCCATCAAAATTGAGGCTCTCACGAGCAGCTCAGCGGCCACAAACGTACCGGACTTCATAACAAGGGCCAGCTTGGCGCCGATGGACTGAGCGTCCGACTTAGACTTCTTGGGGGCCATTGCGACGGTTGGGGATGGTTTGACAGAGATAGAAGTTGGCCTCGAAGGTTGGTGTTGTCCTTGTCTTTGGCAGGAAGCGTCGTCGGGTTGCAGAAAAAGTCCAAGTGAAGTTTTCCAGAAAGTTTGGAAATCTCCAAATCCCAAGCAAACGTGGGTCGGCTCTGATTGGCTGCGTACAGTGGGTCGGATTTTCCTTGTGCCCTAACAGCCCCACTTTTACGTGATCAGCTCAGCCGGCAGGAAAATGAGCCCGCGATTGGTAATCGAAGGCGAATTTGAATGTGGTCAAAATACAGAGGCTTCCCACTTGTCCCTCTCGCACCCCAACACCCAGCGACACCCACACCCAGCGACATCGCGAAAATCAGTCAAGATGGCCCGCCGTCCCGCCAGATGCTACCGGTACTGCAAGAACAAGGTAAGCTTGCGATAATTTGAGATGTTGAAGTTTTGAACCTTTGGAAGGAGTCGGTCGGCATTTTCGTTTCGGGATTTGTGGGCGGAAAAATGGACGATGGACCATGGGCATGACGGAGGACCGAGCAGAAAGAGGAGGATTCACGACAACGAAGGACACCGACGACAACAATGGCGACAATAACAACGACAACAACAACGGGGTTCTGACTGTATTGTGCTCGTCTTTGAACAAGATGCTGACCTCATTTTTTTGATAGCCGTACCCTAAGTCGCGCTTCAACCGCGGTGTCCCCGACCCCAAGATTCGCATCTTCGATCTTGGCCGCAAGCGTGCCACCGTCGATGACTTCCCTCTCTGCATCCACCTCGTTTCCAACGAGTTGGAACAGCTGAGCTCTGAGGCCCTTGAAGCCGCCCGTATTTGCGCCAACAAGTACCTCGTCAAGCTTGCCGGCAAGGAAGGTTTCCACCTCCGTGTCCGTGCCCACCCCTACCATGTCGTCCGTATCAACAAGATGTTGTCCTGCGCCGGTGCCGATAGACTTCAGACTGGTATGCGTGGTGCCTGGGGTAAGCCCAACGGCACTGTCGCCCGTGTCAACATTGGCCAGATCATCTTGAGCGTTCGCACCCGTGACTCTAGTAAGTTTTTCCGGACCATGTTCTGCAACCACCGCGGATGCTAACCGCTGTCTTCAGACCGTGCTATCGCTCTCGAGGCTCTCCGCCGCTCCCAGTACAAGTTCCCCGGTCGCCAAAAGATCATTATCTCCAAGAACTGGGGCTTCACCCCCCTCCGCCGCGACGAGTACCTCGAGGCCAAGGCCGCCGGCCGCGTCAAGGTCGATGGTGCTTATGTTCAGTTCTTGTCCAACAAGGGCAACCTCGCTCAGAACATGAAGCGCTTCCCTGATGCCTTCACTGCCTAAAGTGGTGCTGGTGACGGGGTCGTTGGGGAAAAGAATGGTTATTTGGCTTGAGGGTGGCGCAACGGGTCATTTTTAGGGCAGAGACGAAGGCATGTTTTTAGTAAAGGCCGTGCCTTGACAGTCAATGGAACCATTCAGCCATGAATGTTCAGCAAGGATTTGTGCATTGTACCCTCTTGTGAGACCCGGACCGTTGAGAATTGGTACGGGATCCCTAATGACAGTGATTCAAAAAGCGTACAATCAAAACTTTCCACTGAACATCCATGAGTGAATCCATATATGTAGCAGCTGCTGTTATTCTGTAATAACACAGGGTGCCCGGCAAGATGCTGATGTCCCACATCACAACAGCCTGGGACTGTGGCAACACGAAAATTCAAGATGAGGACGACTCTAAGTGCAGCGACACCGCCTGGAACGGACATAGGACCTCATGAATATACGACCGCTGCTGCTAAATAATGACTGCGATGCGCATGACATCATCCGTATCGTTTATTAGCACGAATGATGACAGAAGTCTCGGCTTGGAGACAGGAGGGGGGAATCCACCAAGATCTCTTCGGCGTCTCCTCCTCTATGTACATACGGCCATCCTATTTTGCGCTATGAGCCTGGAGAAGGCCAAGCAGAACAAGCCCTGCTTCGAGTGTAGTGTAATTCATGATCAAACGAGATCCGGTCCCGGCTTTGCTTGTTGTTGGTCTTCTTGATATCGACAGACAGTGGCTAACACCCCCGCCATACGTTGGTCACTTGTTATCGCTTAGTGAGCTTTTTTGTGACATTGGATCGGCTACCAGTTCTAATCAGCCCAATCATCTGACTGGTCATCGCCGGTTTCTTCGGCTAACACTTCCTTGGGCTGTCATCCTCGTGGCAGCTGTTATTTAATCGTTTCAAAAGCTCGATCTTGGAACTTGAGGTTGGAGGTGGGGCTTATCGGATCCGTCCGACTCGATAACGTCAGGCCAAGGCCAATCAAGCTGTCACGCAACTAAAAAATCTGTGGAGTGTTGGATGGGGTCTTTTGAACGCGCAAAGGGGAGCACTTGCAGACCGGACGGGACCCCGTTGCCACGAGAGACACACGCAGGATGAAAATATCATCAAACGCGAATGTTGTTCGATATTGCCGCAACAGGCGAGAAAAAGGCCAACGTTGATATTTGAAAAAGCAGCGTTTAACTCGTCCAAGGTGGGGTAAAAAACGGACAGGGTCTCCCGCTCATCAAAAGATCTTATCCTCGTGAGCTGTCTGATAGCATCCCGTGCTGCGGGCTCTGTGCTCAGTTCACATCTCGCAGCTTGCAGGCCGCCCCCCATTCTTCCCGATCGCCCCTCGCCCAGCCCGCCGCAACCTCTCCAGTCTGCTTTCCGTCATCCTTTGTACCTGCACATATCTCGTCAGAACCGGGCATTGTCAAGATTTGCAGCCGACTCTCAGTTGCCATATTCCAGGCAAGGCGGGTTACACGACGCCGCCGTCAGCAAGTCAGCGGCCATACTCACCGTTCCATCGCCATCACCTCATCGATAGATATCGCAAATCGCTGTTGAAACCCATCAGGGTGTGGTTGCTGAGAGACCTGGACCCCCAACCTAACCCCCTCACCGCTTCCTACCAGTAAAAGCACGCGACTTTGCATCTCTTCCTCTCAACAAACCACCCAAGACCATTCGCTTTAGTCACGGCTCGCCTCCCGACCACCGGAGTGGTCCTTTGCGAAGCGCCCTTCCTTTTTGGGGACCCCCGCGATAAACAACCTGTCACCTTTAGGGGTCTTCTTGCCCAGCCCCCTGTTGCCCAACACCATCAACCTCCATCCATCTCAGCGCTGTCGCTGTTGTGCTGTGTGTTCACAGTCGTCTTTCGCTGTTCAAAATGGCATTCCACCAGCCTACGCGACAAGTTCAACAACCGCGGATTGCCCGTGCCGAGTCTGAAGATGGGGGTTCTGCCATCCTCTCACCCCAGGCTCGCTTGGACACCAATGAACCCCATACATGGGTTTTGTTTACACCAGGTACTGATGCCGGAACCACAACTTCCTACCTGAGCTCTGTCCAAGATGATCAAATTACGCCCGGGAGATCCAGAATCAGCGATTTGGGAAGTCTTGACACCGCAGCGCGCTCCGACTTCAACTCGCAACCGAGCAACTCCGTAGTGCCATCTGTGGCTCTTGTAAACAGCATCGCAGAAGATGACGCCGAGCTTGACAGCCTCGACAGCCACCTCCCAGACTTCAGGACAGCGCATAGTCCATATCATCAGCCAGACATCATCCATTCGACGCACATCTTCCCTGGTCACGATGGCCTGGGTTCGTTCCGATTCGAAGTGCCCGGTAATAGCGTACAGGCTCAGGAGCGCATGTATGCTTTTGAACAGTTCAACCCAAATCGCGTCATGCACAGGAGGGAGAGCTTTGACTTGGCTCGCCTTCAGCTGGAGAGTCAAGAGCCAAAAGAGGCGGAGCGAAATCAGAGAATAGAGGCGTGGCGGTTAGAACAGAGTCAGCTTTTGTTGGAGGATATCAAAAAGGAAACAAAGAGGCGGAGGAGACAGTCAGAGCTGTCGGCACAGAGGGCTCGGTTGGAGAAGGGCGTCTTAGAAGATGTGATCGCAAGGAGCGTTGCCGACGAGGAAGCCGAAGATATCAATCTTGCCGGTACAGAATGGCACGACCAGGATGAAGCATCAACGGACACCTCGAAGGGAGGATTGTGGAGTCGACTCACGCGCAAGGTAATCTGCGACATGATGGGCATTGATGACAAACTGCTCGCCATTCTATTTGGGGAGGTGCTTCCGGATGAGAACGATATGAAAACTCCCAGGGGGTCTCCCAAGGACTCAGCTCACCCCGCATTTGCGAACAAGGAATCAGAGTCACGCGACGACTCGACATGGCAACTACACATGCTGGAACGGATTGCAAATGAGCTTGGCGGAATTGTCCATCAGATGTCGACACATCCTGGGGCCTTTTCCACTTACAGTCGTGTTCAACAGACGCCCCTTCCATACGCCGGGTTGCCCATGATACCAGAAGCGCCAGACAGCATTCAAAGGATGAACAGCAGCGCCGCTTCCATGCCGCAATTCAAGCCCACCATTGGACAATCGGCAGATGCTGGCGTTGCGCAGCCATTGAATGCCATCCCGTCCACGTCCTCAGACGCTACCCCTGATGTGGCCACCAGCAACGGCCAGACTTTTACGCAACAGGAGTGGGAGCAAGATCTTGATATCCGCCTCGTTTTCCGCTACCTACGGTCACGATTTACCTCGTCTCGCCCATCATCTCCTCCGTTCACATCGGGAACATCGCATTTAGCCACCTCGAGCACCCAAGAGTTAGCGGCCAAGGCAGCCCGGATTCGACAGCACCATCCACTGGTATCCCACGCACATGCGAATTCACACGGCCACCACCGGCCCCGTCCGGCGGAGCGACGCAGTTTCAGATCAACAACGCCGGCTAATCCCGTCACAATGAGACATGGTCCCGGTAGCTGTGCAAGCCAGAGCACGAGGCGATCTGCGAGGAGGAGTAGCATGTCTTCGAGGCAATCATCTCGGCATTTTTGGGACATTGGGGGCTCCATTGGGACTGGTAGTATCATTGCTAGCGCCGGGCCTATTATGGGAAGTTGGGGCGAGGTCTAAATGTATGGTCAACGTCTGGTTGGGGACGCATTTTCGGCGCACATCTCTGTTTCCTTTTTCTTCTCGGTATTTAGACCCTAGAAGGTCATATTTGGACATCATGTTGCAAGAAGCGGTCAATATATTCCTATCATAATGGAGCACACAACGGAAGCAGGGCGTATTGGTTACCGGGGGAGCATTCGTCACCCACCACTCATGAGCCAGAATAAGTTAGACATTTCGATGGTTTGAAATCCCAACAATTTTTTTTCATTCATGGATACAACTCCTCAGCCTCAATCGTCGCCCTGCGTTTCCAATGGATAAACATGAGCGGCAAGTTAGCATTCATATAACGGCGATGCGAGTGTAAGCCTCGTTAATCAGATGTGAACGACCGGGTGACTGCCGAGCACAAGCTTTTGATCCACCGACGACATGGTACGTCCCATTCGCCGGAGAGATCAAGAGACCACTTGGGGTGGCTGGGCTGCAGGGCACCGAGAATCTGAGAGGGTGAGAAAAGAGGAGAAGCTCTCACAGAGGTACCAACCGCCCATTGCGACGCGGTCAACTGAGACAGGGATGCTAAGTGGTTTCTAACCAATGGTTGAGCTCCAGCATCGCGACAGGTCGAAGCGAGCAAGGGGCCAGCAGCCAATTCGAGGACGGTCCGCTATGGATCTACACCCCTCGACGCGTTTGTTCATAATGAGCATCCAATCGCCTCTTTTCTGCTTGTTTATCAACGCTGCAGCGAGGCACAACAAACGGGTCAAAAGTGGATCGAAACGGTATTCACGTTGAAAAGGGTTGCATGGTATGCATTGCCGAGTCATCTGGCAGTGCTGGCTATCGCAGGTCGACAGGGATGGAGCGAAATCGTGTGTTCCTGGGCTTCACCTCCTTCCTGGATGTGTTCGTGCTCCCCCACCCCGCCTTGCACCTTGCCCGATTCTCTGACCTGAACCTGAGTTTGCGACCTGCGACCTGCAACTTGCGTTTTGCGACTTGCGACATCGTGGTCCCAAGCTTCCCCAGTGCTGCCTACAACGCCTCACGTTTTTTTTCTTTGCTTCGCCTTTGCTACCTGCCTGTTCGTGCACTGCGCGCGCCTTTTGGTCGGATCACCTTTTCACAGTTAAACTTCGAGAATCACTATCCGTACCTATATTAAATACCAGTTGGTTGCCGTTTGCTAGCCCGTCTTCTTCCCCACCTCACCTTGTCGCCATGTCTGTGTAGTCTTGTCGCATTGTCGCAAAGCTGCGCAAGCACCCTGTGGCGTCTGAGGATGCCAATACGCCTGCTTGGGAAGCTGAGCTGCGGCGCCTGAAGCTATCCATCTCCCTCAGACAAGCTGACCAGGAACAGTATCATGTACTAAGCCCGCCGTGTCCTCGTCAAGTCGCGACCCAGCTTAGTCCTGGCGTTGGGTCGCACCGGAAACTTGCCCGACTTCTCGTCCTCTCCTGCAATCTACACTCTGCAACCTGCAATCTCGCCCATTTCCTTTCCCTCAGGAAGCCATCCGACCCAACTTGTTCCACCACCCAAAACTAACCGTGTGGAGGGTCAATCGCATTGGGAGATGATCTCCCGAGGCCCCAATGGCTGCGACTCCTTTCGATCCCTCTGTCCAGGGCAACTCTTTTGTATTTGACATCTACACCGATGGCCAAACCTTGCGCGCGCCGGCGCCTGCTCCCGCGACTTTCCTCCCTGGCGGACCATGCAACTACACCGACCCATCTCTCCCGCGATGCGGTTGCCGCCGGTTCTGGAGCAATTCTGCTCTCGCCGCAACGGGTACCATCGAGATTTGCATGTGCTCACATCATGCCTGCTTCCATGAGGATGCCCCTTCAGGTCAAACCCAGCAAACCCAGCTTGGCCCAACCCAGATCTTGCCTGTGGCTGGCGTCGTAGGCCAGGAGAACCAAAAGCCCAGGAGCCACCGGGAACCGCTGAGTCCCGTCCAGGAGCTAGTGAACTGGCCGATGCCCACCAGCTTTGGGGCATCGTTGGATCTAAACCTGCTGGACTTTCAAAATACGGAACCTAACCCAAGGATAGAGGCCACCACTCCACTGCCGATTGGACACCTTCAGCCGGCTCAGGACAGCCCAATGCCCGACACATTCAACCACTGGGGGGAGATAATCGAGACTCAGGCCGAGAACATTAGCCTCAGCGGGTTTCCAACACTTCCAGCTCAGTGTCTGCTGACCCAAGGACCTCCATCGACAACTTCATCCAGCCAGGCCAGATATCTACGACCATTTGCTGGGAGGGGATTGCAGACGCTCAATGTGCTTAGAGAGGATGCCGTTTGCCCAGGACCTAATGATGATGACCCTACTCAGGAACATGATCCATTGTCCAGGCGCGAGCGGGAGGAGACACCCAAGGCGTCTTCGCATTCACAGGGCAAAACTCCAAAACCTGATGACAACAGCGCATATCAGAAACTCACCGAAACAGTCGAGTCACACGAACAGCGAATAGACAGACTCGAAAACACCTCCTTTTCTGTTGCCGGCCACGAAGAATGCCACGACAAGCACGACAACGTCGACATGCGAGTCACGGAACTGGAGTCACGGGTGGATGAAGTGGAAAAAATGCTGAACGACAATGGGAGCGTGGTGGGAAGCAGGCGACACACTCGGAATGATGCTATTGCCGACGATGCTACCGCCAGTGTGGTCTCTGTAGCCACCAACACGACAATTTCCGCATCCAACCGGGTTGAGGTGTACAACCAGATCCAAAAGCTCCAGGCTCAAGTCAACCAGCTGCAAGCTGCCGCGCTGCCAACGTACGCCAAGCCCTGGGAGCTTGAAGTCGTGTTTATGCCGTTCCCCCTGAAAGGCGTGTGGGTGCAGGCAAACGAGTTTCCTGCCCAACGCCGGTCTCTAGGCGGTGATGGGGAGTGGATGCAGATGCAAAACACGCTCAGCAGGGCAACACCAGATCCGCAGTCACCCAAATTTGCCGAGTGGCCCGGTCAATCGCCAGAGTCGAACTGGTTGCTTCCAAGGGCGTTCGCGGCAGGAAGAATCATTGATCAGAGATTAAAGAGCCGCGGCCTCATCAAGACAGTTCTGGTTCGAGGAGCTGATGCCCGCAGTGTTCAGCTTGCCATTCACGATGCCTTCTCTGAAGTCCTCCGGGTATCTGCTCTCGCTGGAGTTCGATCAGATTATTCGCCAAACTCCCCGCTAAACGAGTTCATGGGTCTGAGACAAGCATGGGTTCCTCTGCGAAAGCTTCACAAGGACTCAAAACTACGATTTCTCACACCAGCTGAGATGGCTACACCAGCGCTGTGGGATTTCACCTTTCTGGTTTCGAGTGTCATCATGAAAGCCAGCGGTGTCCACCGTCTGTACATCACGCAACCCGAGGCATATCTCCAGGATCATCCCTTGGGCTATCATGCGATGGATGCTGGTTGGACATGGCAAAGGCTTCGCGAATTGAGTAGATTCTATCCCGACTCTCAAAGTACCACCGGCGATGTTCCCGAGGCCGATGCTATGGAAGAATGCTGGGTGTGGAATGATCGGGTGGATGAGCCTCCAAGTCACAACGCATCCGTCCTGAGCCTTCGCCACTCACACCTACAGCGTTTGTCTAGACGCTCCTCCACCGAGCCCTCGCAGCAGTTTTATACCGGTGTGCAGTCGCCCATACTCACCAACGGTCTGAGCTTCATCCGTGCAGGGTCTCCTCTTACTCAAAGAGAACGAAAGGGCTCTTGGCCGCCACAGTTTACTCGGACTGGCTCAGTCCCACCACCTTCCATACCTATACAGTCTGCGCAATCCGTGGCCCGACGACGTGTCTCGACCGTAGCGCCCTATGAGCGGCGCTCCTCCCCTCTGGTCACTCGTCCAACCCCACGGATCACTACTGTTCAGACGTCTGGCGTATCAGCTAAGAAGCGACGACTGGGCACCCGCTCGCCGAGTCTCGTCCCGCGCAACACACCTCGTTGGAGCCGCACCAGCATGAGCCGGTCACCATCTCTCGCCCCGCCAGGCATGTTCGGCCACCATGACGAGCGCGACCGTACACCGTTTTACTATGCAACCCCTCACAGTGAAGCTGTGGGCGAATACGGCTATCAGCGTGGGGGAAGCCGGGGCCCTCCCCAGGCAATGTTGCGCACCAACGGCTACGAACCTGACGACGATGAGGACGAAGAGATGACAGATGATTTCCAGGACGATGACACCCAAGGAAGCTCGTCGGACCCCTGCGATAGTGAAATGACTCATGACGACTCTCCTGCCAAACAGGTGAGAGTCAGCCAGGGATCGTTTGGTTTTGGAACCGACGGCGAGGGCAATGACATGGATGACGTCGACATTGATGTCTACGAAGACGACGAGGAAGACGAGCTTGATGGAGTCGACACCGATCACACTCCCGGCCGTCAAAACCATTACCATAGCAGCCACGCCGCCTGGGGCAACCAAGCCGCTGTCGCGCATGTCACCAGACCGGAAGACATCCCGCGGGCTGGAATTGAGGACCAGATGTCTGATGGTGAAAACGTGGACCCTTCCTCCTCTTTTTCTTCCTTCGCCTCGGATGTATCCGGATCATTCCACTCTTCCCAATCGAGACAGCAGCAACACGACGACCAACAAGAAGAGATAGAAATCCACCAAGACGAAGACGAAGAAGACCGGGAAGAACGAAGGAGCAACACCAGCGCGAGAAGCAGCCAGGCGCCGTCCGAGTACAGCAGCAGACCGGGCCCATGGAATATCGTTCCTTCCCCTGCTAGTCCTACCAGGACTATCACAGCTGACACCAAGGCTGTGGCGGCCAGTCAGCAAGAAGCAGGTGTCAAGGCCCACTCCATCAAAAGGGAGAGATCTAGCCTCAATTCTCTGATGGATTTCAGGATTCACGAAGACAGGACGGCTCAGTCATGATGCGGGAGCTGAGGATTGGTTCTGGAAATCTCATCTTTACTATCATAGTACATACGTTTTCTTATGTTTTTTCCTTATCATTATTTGGATCAGTTTAAGGGAGGCGGGGTTTGAGGATAGCGATGATCTAGGTTCTTATTATCACTCTCGGATTTCTCACTCACACATGGCGTTTTGTTTCTTGGATCTCAAGCGAGCATCTTTGACTACTATCTCACAAGGGTTGCGGTGGGCGGTTTGTCTTGTCTATGGGGGGTTTGGCAATTGGGAATATCATGTACAGGGAGCGAGTGGAGCGACAAATTCATGTATTAGCGGGTCAAGAAGGTTTATCTAGCAAGTTTTTTATCTTGCATTTTCATAGCGGCATGGTTACCTACGTAGATATATCTCACTCTGTCTCTATGTTTGTGGTCTGTATGTAGTGGATGTTCCCTCGACTTGGTTGGTGTACGAGTGTGGTACATAGGCCAGTATTCACCTGTGTAAACCTCAGACTTAATAATTTCAAAGCGGCAGAAAGAAGAATATAACGACAGCAACACCAAACACAGACATCATTGTTGGTATCATATCGCAGTATCTCTAAAATCATGGCTCGTAAATGCAATAATAACCCACAACCACCCTTTTTTGTACCGCCCGCCCCTGAAACGCCAAAACTCCAGTCCCCTCTTCTTTAGCAGGCGACAAACTAGGAGAAATGAATACCCTCCTCGTGGAACGCCACCAATAGCTTCAAAAAGTCGTTCTGATCGCACTGCCTCGCTCTCTTCTCCCCCAGCCCCGTGCTCGCAAGCACCTTGTTGACCTTGGCCTTGACCACCATCGCAACCTTTGACTTGGGGTTCCTGCTCGGCGTTTTGGCAACGGCGGCCTTGTCCTCCTCGTCCTTCATCTCCTTGAAAAACTCGGGCATATCCTCATCGTCTTCCACATCCATCCCGTTATCATCCTCCTCCTCCTCCTCATTATCATCCGCATCCGCTCCATCATCATCCATATCAACATCCATCCCCTCTTCCTCCCCCACCACCGCCCCCGTCCCCGCAGCAGCCCCTTCATCAACAGGAATATTATTCAACGAGCAATACACCTTGTAATTCCTCTCACACATGGCCAAAACCTCCTTGATCGCAAATGACGCATTCAACGTCTTGTTCTTCCTGTTGAACGCAATCCTCAACAACCCATCAAACTCATCAAAAGCAATATTCGGCCTCGCCGACCCAATCAACGGCTCAATCCTAACAACGTCACTCTCCACCTTGGGAGGCGGCTTAAAGTTTTGTTTCCCCACCTTCATGATGTGCTTGCAGGTGGCCCAAAAGTTGACATTGACCGACAGACGGGAGTAGAGCGCGTCGCCGGGTTTGGCGACGAGGCGTTTGGCAAACTCGCGCTGGAACATGAGGACCGCCACGCGGGGAGGGTTGGGCATGGCGAGCATCTTGAAGATCAGAGGAGAGGAGATTTGGTAGGGTGTGTTGGAGATGAGGGCGTCGCAGGGGGGCATTTCGGGCATTTTGATCACGTCACCGAGGATGACTTCGAGCTTTTTGGCCAGGGGGGTGCCTTGGACGCGCTTGGTTACTTCGGCGCCCATGCGGGGGTCGATATCGACTGAGAAAGAGGGAACATTAGTACTTGAAAAGGGGGTAGGGGGTGGAAGAAAGGAAGGAAGGAAGGAAGGGGGGCGGCATACTGGCAATGACCTTCTTTGCCTTTTCCAGGGCGCGGACGGTGATGTTACCGGTACCAGGACCGATTTCGACGACGACATCGGTGGGCTTGAGGTAGGCCTTTTCGACAATGGCGTCGCTGATGCCGGGGTTCTTGAGAATATGCTGGCCATAGTCCTTGTCGAACTTGAAGATGTTGGTGCTGGCGGCGGGCTTCGACTTGCGATCGTAGGGGCCGCTGGGCCCTCCGCCCTTCTTCTGCTTGGCGGCCTTTGGCATGATGTCGTCTGCAATTTTGGCGGTGGGATGATCAGACTCGGGAGGTTTTGTTCGGAACCTTGCGACAGGTCTGTTGTCTCGGCCGGTGACTCGCGCTTAAAGTGAATACAGAACCCTCACCGCAGCCTTCTAGCGATCATCCGAATGTCCCATATGTTCCACATAATTTTTGGGGCTGGCAGAAAAAATGGGACCCCGCCAGAATCGATAAGATAAGCCCACTTGGGGGGTCACACCGCCCGAGCAGTGCCGAGCATGGGGTTGCCAAGCCACCCAAGTTCTTCTGCGAGGTTCAGCGCTCCAGGGGTCGAGCAAGCAAGAGTGGGCTGTTTCGGGCTGCCGAACTGACGTAACGGGCCGCGCTATTCATTGCGGCGAAGCTCTTTTCAAAGGCACCTTTCCAGACAGGTAAAGGTTCGGGTGCTTCCATACGATCATTCTCCGGGACCGTGGTTGAACAACACTATTTTTCTGAATTATATTGCCTACCTAACTTGTTAATCTCATAATACTACCTGTACCACAGGCTCACTGTGTCGAGTGAGCTCCACCTGCAGCTGCTTGCACCTTGCTTGGCGTGTGTAAGCAAGAAGGCTGAAGCTGCCCGAGCTGCCATCATTTGTCTCGGCTAATACATTTTCACATCAATACCGAGAATCAACATATCACAACAGTCAAAATGTCGATACGCATAGCTCTGGAGAACCCGCCCGAGTTCTACACGAACTTGGATATCATGAAGGGCCATGTCGTGCTCACCCTTAGCCGGCATGAGACAGTGGGCGCCATCATCGTGAAGCTTGAGGGAGAGTCAAGGACGGCCCTGGGAATCCCAAACGACAACTCTAGCACCGGAGTACCGCACAGAGAAATGCCATCGGCCGGGGACATCATCTACGAAAACCACAAGATTCTCTACAAAGTAGCCCAGGCATTTCCCAACGAGAACGCTCCACCTCAGGCCAGTCCCATCGTACTCAACCCAGGTCAGCATCATTTTCCCTTCCAGTTCAAGTTTCCCTTCAACAACTCATGTGGCAACGCCGAAGCCATGGCCAAGATTGGAGGTGTTGTGAATGCCGGTGGATTCGCTCCAGGAGCTGGACTATTTGGACTAGGCGGGATCCGCGTGATGGACGGGACCAAGCAGTTGATGTACTCTCACGTTACGAAGACGTTACCTCCTAGTTTCACGGGATTCCCTGGCGAGGCAGAGATTCGATACTACGTCAAAGTCACGATACAAAGGCCGGGCTTATTCAAGGAGAATTGGAGATATCAAATAGGACTCAAATTCTTACCCATCGAACCACCCAGACCACCAAAAAGCAACCAAGAGGCATATGCCAGGCGTCCATTCGCCTTTGCGCCTCGCACGCCACCTTCCACGGCGCCACCGTCTACTAAGAAGCGGACCTCGTTCTTTGGAAGGAGTACCACTCCGCAACCACCACCCCCGGTTGGCGGACCCTCGAACCCATCCTCGTCGGCCGAGGCCAGCTTAGCAACACCGCCCTCGATCGAGATGTCTGCTCGCCTCCCACATCCAGCTATTCTGACATGCAATAAGTCAATACCACTACGACTTATCGCCAAGAAACTGGCACCCAGCAATGGAGAGGTGTACCTCGTAGCTATACAGATTGACCTCATCGGCAAGACCATCGTACGATGTCAGGACTTGGTCAACAACGAGTTAAACCGTTGGGTGATAGTCTCACGCCAGGGTCTTTCCATACCTGTATCCAAGCCAGACGACGCCGTAGGAACCGAGGTTGTCCTTCCCGATGCCATCTGGAACAACGTGCCTCTCCCCAACACCGTCATGCCGAGTTTCCAGACGTGTAATCTGAGGTACTTTCTCTTGTGCTCCCTGCCTCCTTTCTTATTCCTATTACTGACACCCCCGCGATTTAGTCGTGAGTACCAACTGGAAGTCAAGCTCGGACTCGCCTGGGGAAAGCCAGACGGCGCCAACCACGCCTCCAACAGCTCCTCTTTCTTTGGCGGTTCCAACCGGAACAAGGGCAAGAACCTCGCCAACATCCCACAGGAGATCCACCTCCCCCTCAACTTCAGCAACGTCCAAGTCTTCTCCGGTCTCACTCCCCCAGCAGAATTGGTAGAGGCCATGCGTCAAGGACGAACACGACCAGCCAGGAAACAAACCGGTCCTAATGGTCGTCCTCCACAGCAACAACCTCAACCACAGCCCAATATCCCACCTCAAGGTGTGGCTTCTTCATCACGCCCATCTGCACCAGTGCTGCCGCCTAGACCGGTGGCAGCCACACCACAGAACGATACCTCGGAAGCGGCGCTTTACCCGCCTCAGTTAAGACCGGGCCAAGACGCACCGCCGTATGACGATGCGCCCCCTACATATGAGGAGGCAATGGCGGAGGAGATGACTGGGCCGGTTTTTCCAAGCACGGCAAGACCAGCCTACAGCGGAGTGACGGATGAGAATGCGGCGAGTAGTTTGCCTGAGAAAAATTAGCCTTTAACTTTTCCGAGGGATGAGAATGGAAAAGGGGGATCAAGTTAATTTGAAGCATTTGCTGTTGAGGGCATCGGCCTTATCACACACTCAAAGAGATTCCCTAGCTCTTCTCTCTTTTTTTCCTTCTTTTTTGTTTCTAGCAAACTTAATATCCCCCCTTTTTTCCAGTCTAGTATTAATTAGAATATGGATAATACTATCTTCAGTGTCGTCTCTTTGAGCTAGGTAGTTCTTCAAATCAACCTCGGTGTATATGTCCTACCTTTTGCGTACATGTGTATGATTTGAAACAAGCCTTGATATCGCATGGATACATTACTGGTTGAGTAATAAAAAGAACAGTCAAACAAAAGTGTCCATCTCGCTTGGTGACGCCTCAAGACGATGTTGATAATGGTGATCATATGGACGCAACGCAACAGAATGGGAGCCATTTCAGCCTACTTGGTCTGTTTAACTCTCACATGTACACCCAGAAATCAGGAAGGACTTCAATAGCAATTTGTTTTATTCTTTTTTTTCAATTAATTGCTAGGAGTATCCGCTAGGTAGCTCAACTATCCAGACACACATTTACAATCATTTTTCATGTAGTATGCAGCGCAGATATTCATCCGCCATTTCGCTTGATCGATCGACAGATGTCTTGCTGGGTCCATCCCAACTAACAAATATGCTATCGGTTGTTCCTCCCCAACGAGTGCGCAGCTGACGGGCAAAATCAACGATGCTATTCCCCCCTCCCCCTTTCCCTCGCTGACTCGTATGGTTTTTGCTCCACTCCATCCACGCCTCCTCCTCCGTACCAGCCAAGTACCCAAACCACAGGTGTAACACACCTGGTATGAAAGTTCAGCAAATAGCGGGCGCCATTGTGCCTCTCGTCCCCCACTTTTGTTGAATAAAAACGCTAGAAATCCGGGTATAGTTTGCTGACCTCCCCCAAAACGCCCGCAATGCTTGGAAAGTAAAATGACTATAAACAAGACAAGAATGGAAAGGTGATTGACTTTGGAAATATCAGTCAATCTCGATCACTTCCACTTCGCGTCGCACTTCTGGCCGACGTGCCGTTGTGGGTGTAGATGATGCTTTTCTCTTGCGGGTAGAGGAGCCGGAAGGGACGGCCGCAGGAGTGTCCGTCTCACTGAGGTCGTCGTCGTCACTCTCCACGACGGCGGTCCACGTCCCATCCGCTTTGACGTGGATCGATTTGGTCTGTAGTTTGTTCTGCTGAGCCAACTGTTCACGGACACCGCAAAGAAACCCGTCAATGCGTAGGCTGTTGGGTCTCGCATCTTGAAGACAGATGGGACAGCGCCATTTGTCAGGGTTACTTGGCTCGGATTGGATAGAACTGGGGCAGCCACAGTCCGGCGTAATGCTGTGAAAGCACTTGGTTGTCGGCTTAGAAGGGCGAGTCTCGAGCCAAGTCAGCAAGTCAAAACACTCCAGATGCGTGCACGAGGCACCCCTTGCGGGAACTGCGAACATCTTGGCCGTGAAAGGGTCAGCCATGTCGATTGGCAGATCTGGAGCCTCAATGATCAACCCATCGTCGTCGGAGACTGGGGTTAACCGCTTCTTGATGATCTGCAGCGTGTATTCCTCTGGTAGCAGGCCGTTATCCCAAGCGCGACGGACAGCGGTCCTTTCGCCAACCGTCTCAATCACCTCGACGGCGATGACGTAGCTGTGCTCGCCACTTTTTTCTCCGGAGACAGGAACCACAATCGACAGTTTGTTGGAGCCGCAAACGACGTGATCAGTCAACTCGGTCGCCAAGTCTTTGCCGTTGTGAGGTTGCCGGCGAGCTTCAAGAGTCTTGTCGTTAAACCTCATAAAAATGTTGCGCGGCCAGCTCATCTCCTTTGTGACCCACTCATGCTCTGCCGGTATTGTTCTCGAGGGGCCAAGCTTGCAGCAACGGAGTCTCCATCGCAGAGCGCCGTCAAAATGCGTACTGAATGGGACCAAAATCGCCGAAGTTGGCCTTGCTGTTCTAACCGCGAGGTCAAACTGTTCCGCTGTCACATCAAATGAAAACTCGTATACCGAGCCTTGCGGACGTACAAGGCTTGGCGGTATTGCAAACCTGTCCATGGCTTGGAAAAGACGCTCCGGTGTTCCATCCTTGGGGACACGTTTTGGACTTCGGCAGCCCGACTGGTGCAAAGAAGCCGCAAGAGATCTCCTATCTGTGGGTTCATAGGGCCATTCTGGGCGTGGAATAGTCACGTCCTTGGCAGGAATAAGCAAATCCGGCTGCCTAGGGGTCGACGCTGCGCGCTGAGGGGTGCTCTGCGATGTTATTTGCACTGCCGCTGCAGCGGGTTGCTGTCGATCCAACACGGGTCGCGGCACACCGAAACCGGTAGGTGTCGTGGTAGGCGCCAATGATGCTCGCCCCAATTGGGGCGAGGCGACTTGCGCAATTTGTGTATTGATCGGTGCAACATAGGGCCTTTCGAGGTGTCGCCGTTGTTGATCTGGTTGAAGTTCGTGAAGCTGTTGATGTTGCTGGGTTTGGTGCGCTATACCTCGTTGTAAAACCTGCTGCTGCTCAAACAGCTGCTGTTGAAACTGCTGCTGGATCTGCTGCTGCTGGATCTGTGGCCGTTGCTGAAATTGCTGTTGCTGGTATTGAATCTGCTGCGGCAGCGGCATGCGTTGTTGTTGGATGTGTTGAATCTGTTGCAATGGTGATTGTGGCAACTGAGCAGCTTGCAGTTCCCGCGTCTGCTGTTGTCGATATTGGCTTACCATCTGCTGTGCCAGCTGTGCCTGATGCAGCTGTGTCGCCTGGTACTGGGGAGAGGCAGAATACTGCATAACAGGCGAGGGAGCGGGACTATGAAACGATGTAGGCTGTGGAGGAGGGAATTGCTGGGAGGGAACCACGGGTGGTGATGGTACTCCGAGCCGGACTGGTGGGTGTTGATTCAGGCGTAGCTTCTCGGCGTCGGACCTCTTGACCAACTCCTGGTATCGGGCAATGAGGGCTTGGTTGATTCTGATGATGGTCTCAGGAGAATCCCCAACGGCCACGCATGCGCCACAAGCCTGATGCATTCGACGTTCTTGGTCCTCCTTGAATGCATTGTCCAAAGCCTGGGCGTGGACACCATCGGGGATACCGAGTCTTCGACGATTGGCAGTGAATAGGATTTCTCGCATGATGGGAGAATAGCACAGCAGTCGACCTTGGAGTTCATCCAGCACGTACGGATACCGGCGCATGCAGGTTTCCTGCGTCAGGGAAACATGTTCAGTTACCATGCTCCGTAGGAAATTGCCCACCCACGATTTCATTGTCGCCCTAGGAACTGGATGTTCCCGCAGCTGGTCAACTGAGACCGGAAACGAGGCAAAGAACCTCAGGTTTGTCGGGGTCAGTTGATCGTTCCTCTTGAGAATCTCTGCCACGGTGGTAAACCCAAGATCTATCATGATTATATCGGCCACATCATCCTTCTTAAGGATACGATGGGCATCCTGACGATTGATCGACCAGATGGCGTAGAGCTGGTGAAGGGCCAGGAAGAAGTAGTCGTTCCTTTTGCATGCATCCACCAAAAGTTGAATACGCGGTCTATCCAGCCGAGCGTTCATCGCAGTCATTCCTCCATGAGCATTGACGTGTCGGTGAATCTGTGCCTCGAAGGCCTGGCATTTGAGCGGTACGGTGCTGGGGACGCGAGGTCGGTCAGTATGAGGTCTCCGGGCGCGTTTTGGGGGACGACTTACTCGGTCCGACGCCGTTCTTGCGGAGTAGGAGCCGCAGCCGCGTTCGTTGATTGACAGCCACCATCTTGGTCTATCGCCGCGTCCACGGCATTGCCCGACTCAGCGCTCACGGAGCACAGCTGATTGTTGCTTGTCTGGGGGGACAGGGCGTGAGCCGACGGGGCCTGGAAAAGGGACCGGATTTCTGGTGGCCATGATTCATCTGGTTGAGGAGTCCAACTATTTTGATTCGCTGCTGGGTCGAGCTCGAAACGGGCATGGGTCATGGGAACATTGGTTGCCGCCGACGCCGGTGTCATGTTTGATGCCGGAGTCGGCGCATCAGACAGTGAGGCGGGAAGCGGATTCGGGCTGTCCAAGGCATTTGACAGGGCAGGGCTTGGCTCGTCACTAGGAGCCGGCGATGGGAGGATTGTCTGAGCGGGTCTGTAAGGATTAGCAGGCTAGCCATGGAGCGCTCCTAGCCATGTGTGAACGGGGTCTTTGCATGAATGGGGAAAGGTGTCAGATGGAAAGAATTGGATAAGCTATGGCCTTACTGGACTTCGGTTGTCTGTATTTGCGGTGATCCTGATTGCGGTGGTGGCTGTGGTTGGAAATGCGGTTCTGGTCGGGGTTGGGGAGCAGTCGGCAGCGAGACTGGAGGATACTTCCTCGGCCGGCCCCGTTTTGCTTGGGGCGCTGGTTTTATTGATGCTGCGGACGGAGGCGGGTTCGGGTTTACTGGAAGAGCCCTCGATGCTGCCGATGGCGGATTCAACCACGAGGGTTGTGCTCGAGCACCTAGAAAAGCGTTTGCGGTCGCGTTTGAAGATGCAATCTGCGCACGGTCGGCGCCCGAAGCCAGCTGGTTTCGACTGGAAGTTGTATTGGGCGCCATCGGTCGAGTCAAGCCGCGATCTCTCTCACGCCCCGATGTTGGCCGAGAGGAGAGGAGAGGGCTTGGAAGACTGGAGAGAGCGCCAGTGGTCGGGTCAGCAAGATGAACCGATGTTTTCTTCTTTTGATCATGCAGCGGTGAACCAAACAGCAAAAGCAAACAAAGGCAGGCAGGCCAGTGTGGTTTGCAGCTCTAGCATCATATGCCAGCGGGACAGCTGGAGAACGCGTGGGCGGAAAAGAGAAGGCAACACGAACCATCGAAACGAAAAGAAACGGAATCACTAGGTTTCTAGGCAGGCGATGATTAGAAAAATACTCGAATATATATTTCAAAGATCATTTGTACTGGGAGCGGCGGCTTCCTCGTCAGGCGGAAATAAAGCCAGGAAGGTGCGTGAAGTTGACTGAGGCAAGATGGAAGGAAAACCCCTTGCCAGGAGCTTTCTTTTGAGAAGCCCAAAGTGGCAAGCGCATTCGAGCGGACCCAAAAGAAAAATGACGGGCTGGACTTTCCTGCCAAAGCAAAGACAAAGTGCCACTACCTCAAGACCATCATGGACAGTGGCTACCGACTGCAGGTGCCTGCCTAAGGTATGCATGGAATTAGGTGGACATTATTCTCAAGAAAATATCGCAATACAACAAACAACACGAAGGCACTTCCTTACATGCGGGTTGCTGGGCCGCGCAAAGTGCGGGCGGCACGGGCAGGTGGCGGCTGGGAATTTTCGACGTGGTAGTCGCAGCCCGGAGGCTACCTTATTTTTATTTATTTATCCCAACTTCTCATGGAGCAACAGCCCAGTCGACAGGTTGCCCCTCCTACTCAAGCTGTTGGCGAACGAAACGATGAATTTTACTGTTCTCGCCCACTCGTACTTTGTGGGACAATGCCCTGCTGTGCGAGTAGAGTACTGGAGGAGACATAGGTACATGGTACTCGATGCACAATGTCCTGCATCCCATAGTATGAAATACCTGGGTTCCCCAGAATCAACCCCCACTAGATCTTGACTACACTAGGAGCTTATCTTATCAGAGCTAGACTCTGGGCAAGGAGTGGGTCCCAAGACCCCTGTCTCAATTGCCTGGGCCAAAAAAAAGTTTCCAGCAGGCTGTCGCGCGCGGGCAGCAACCACACAAACGAAGCTCACGACTGGCACCACCCCCTCGGCTTTCAGGTTTTCTTCACCAACGCATTCGAAATGGCAGCAGAAGTTCAACCGTTACCGCTGGTTAAGCTGCCTTCGGGCCCCAGCCCCGTCACTCCCGAACAGCGATATTGGAGATCCTTCAAGAACCAGAAATTACATACCTCGACGGCAACATGGCCCATCTCGCACATCAGTTTCCCCGCCCAGACAGGCGCCGTCCTGTCCAATTCCATGGTTGCCGCCACAAAGATCAATGACCTCTTTGCAGTAACCTCAGGTCCCCGTGTGGACATCTTCTCGATACGAAAGCGCGAGCTCCTCAAGACGATTGGTCGCTTCGACAGCGAGGCCCATTCCGGCGAGATTAGGGCTGACGGCAGAGCGCTGGTCGCCGGTGAGGATTCGGGAAAGATGCAGGTTTTTGATGTCGGCGGCGGTACAAGGGCCGTTATTCTCAAGACATGGCACATCCACAAGCAGCCGGTGTGGGTTACAAAGTGGTCACCCACCGAGCTCACTACCCTCATGAGTTGCAGTGACGACAAGACGGTCCGGCTGTGGGATCTGCCATCAAACAACCCCAGCCATGCCTTTACCGGTCACTCAGATTACGTCCGCAGCGGCGCTTTCATCCCCGGCGGCAACAGCAACATGCTGGTCACCGGTTCCTACGATGAGACGGTCCGGGTGTGGGATGCCAGGACACCGGGCGGTTCAGTCTTCACCTTTAAGCACAAGGACCCAATCGAAGAAGTCCTGCCCCTTCCCGGGGGCACCACCCTCCTCGCTGCCTCCGGAAACGCCATCTCGGTCCTTGACCTGGTCGCCGCGAAACCACTGCGTCTTATCACGAACCACCAAAAGACTGTCACAAGTCTCTCGTTGGCGTCCAATGGCAAGCGTGTTGTCAGCGGCAGTCTGGATGGCCATGTCAAGGTCTTTGAGACTTCCAACTGGAACGTCGTGTTTGGGTGCAAATACTCCAGCCCTATCCTCTCCCTCTCGGTCATCGCCGCCGGCGCAGCCCAAGAAGACCGCCACCTCGCCGTAGGCATGCAGTCCGGCGTGTTGGCCATCCGCACCAAGCTGTCAGGAGCAGCCGCCGAGAAGGCCCGCGAGCGCGCCGCTATCGAAGCCGCCATTGGCACCTCAGCTCTCGACAAGATCGACGCCAGAAATGCCAAGCGCAAACGCGCAGCCGTCAGCAACAAGAACATGGACATGCTGGGCGAAAACGTCGACGTCGTCATCCCAACATCAGACACTGGCTCCAGGAAGAAGAAGCTCAAGCCCTGGCAGCGCAACTACAAGGATGGGTTCTACGCCGCGTGTCTAGACGAAGTAATCGACATGTCCGGGCCAGAGTACCAACCTCTTACCGCCCTCACCGTTCTCATTGCTCTTCGTCACCGGTCCGCGCTCCGCGAGGCGCTCGAGGGTCGCGACGAAGTGTCCATCATCCCTCTTCTAAAATGGGTGAGCAAATACATTGTTGACCCGCGCTACCTCAGCATTTGCGTCGATGTGTCCTTCCACTTGTACGATCTCTACAGCGAGCACGTTGCCGGAAGCTCAGAACTGGCAGTGTTGTTCCACGCTCTCCTCGGCAAGGTGTCAAGGGCGGCGAGCAAGGCGCAAACCGCCATGGAAGTGGCGGGCATGTTGGAGACCTTGACGTTGGGGAATAACTAGGGGGCAGCGTCAGTTTGTTAATGAAGGGGCAAGCCTACTTTTGTGTATTTCTTAATTATTCTCTGTCTGGTCTATTTGTATTGCATTGCGTCGGAGTTTTTATATTGTTCTATTTGATCCAAGAGGGGATAGGAAAGGGTTTATTAAAAAGCCACTGCTGCTCTCGTACTGTTGTTACTGTTGTGGTTGTTTTGTTGTCTTTTGACATAGAGAGATACCTATACTCGGATATTGCTGCGAGAAGGGGCATGACGGGGAAATAAAACATATGTTTCGGATGGGTCTACCTGGTTTGGCGTTTCGTGGCGGTCAACGTCTTTCTGTATTGGTGTGTAATCTCTTGTCATGATACGGTCTTTTGAAATGGCTCAAATATTAGGATGTATTTCTTCACATGTTAGGGTTGGTTGTCTCCAAAAACATCACTTTCGGCGATGAATCATGTCCTCCTCGCCGTCAAGCCGGGTACGCCACCCGATCTTGGTGTGAGTCAGTCGGATGCCCTAGGGCTCTGAAATCGTCTCCCAAACAGCTGGTGGTCACATCAAATGGATTATCCATCATGGTTTTGATGTCAGAGGCTTTGAGCTAATGGCTCAACCTTCCACCAAGACTCTTCTTTTCTCTTCCCAACAAAAGCCAACTTCAACCTTAATAAATGTGCTGGGGGGATTCATCACTCATCAAGATGAAAGAGGAAATGTTCAATCAAGTCTCATTTACGCCCCAAATCATCCATAACATCCCCACAATGTTGGCCCATCCATATCCCTACCCTACCCTACATGTTCCCAAAAAGCTAAAATCCACCGCTGTATATAACAGAACACCTCCTCGTCATATCCATAAGTCGTATAGGCAAATTCACCTTCCGTCCCAAAAAAAGTCCAAACCAAGGGAAATGAAAGCTCAAAAAATGATGAGATATCATAGAATTCCAATGTTGGAAATGCGCCTCTTTTTACCACTGCCCCTGATGCGCATACCCCTGATGGCGCCTCGACGATCTCCCCGTTCCAATATCAATCGACCTCAACTCCTCCTCCAGGCTCAACTCCCTTCCACCACCCACCCCACCACCATTGGCATACCCGTCATTTTGATGCCGATACCCCGCGTCATGATAATCATAATCATCCATCCCTCCTCGTCTGGCAGCACTACTGCTGTGCAACTGCAGCGCGCCGCTCATATTACTATTATTATACCCCTGGGAAGGCGGCAACGCCAAAGGGATCTTAGCCGGAGGAGGAGGCCCATTCCGTCCAATACTCCCCTGCATGGAAGGGTGGTAATTCTCCCCGGCGCCATAGTCAAAAGTTGAGGCTCGTGGGAGATTTCTTTGGGAATTAAAGTTGTCCTGGTGAGGAGGCAGGGGAGCAAGAGGCTGAGAGTCTAAGCCAACGTTGCTGTTCCTCCTTCCGGGACCAAGACCATTGGCGCCAGACATGACTGGTTCTGATGGTGAGAACCCAGACGAGATGGACATGCGATGGGGAGGTTTCTTTTGGAGGCGATTTCGGCCGTTGGAGACAGGCGGGGACGGAGTGAGGGAATCAAAAGAGTCAGGTGCGACGTAGCTTTGTGGACGGGAGGCGGCAACGATGCGTAGAGGACGACGGCCGGTCGAAGATACGGGCTGCGGTTGTGGACCACCCGGTGTAGGACGAGGAGCGGGAGATGTCTGTGTCGGCTTCTTCGCTTCGGGTTCAGGTGCCCAAGTGTCCATGGGCAAATGGTCAGAGGGGTCAACTTCGCGACCATCGTGTGTGATGATCTTGCCAGTGGCTGCGTCGTAGTCTGGCAGAGCAGCGGTCGGGTCGTGCATGGCAGCAGCGGCGGCGGTGGGGTTGAGAACCTCATAGCTGTCGGGGCCGAAAGGAACGCTGGACATAGCACGGCTATCAGAGGATGGTGGTCTGGGGCTTACTGATTTGCGGCGGATGGTGTGTTGCTGCTGGGGTGGGTTGTGATGTTGCTGGGGCGGGTTGGGACTAGGGTCACGAACGGGTGGGTTGGGCGAGTATGCCCGCGACTTGATCACTACGTTAACACTCGATGTCGATGGCCCTGCTGTGTAAGTCATGGGACTCCTGCCATGAGCAGGAGGCTGAGCGTTGTAGCTCGCCGGGGATCCATCTTGATCATATCTCCGAGCGACATCCATGGTTCTGCCCCTTGGGGGTGTCTCCATTTGCGCTTGTTGGTTGTACCGTCGACGACCACTGTCTTCGTTGACACGCACCGCGATCTCCTGTGAGATGTTTGGATCAATCCCAGGAATCAACGCAGCAGGCACTGGTGCAGCCGAGTAGCTGTTTGACCCATTATCGGGCTCATCTCGCCATGGCAGTGCTCTCTGGTTCTGATGGGACTCGTACGTGGGAAGGCTAGGCTCGGAATGCCGGCCATAGTTGGAAGAAGACGAGTAATCCGACGGTTCCCGCCGTGACAAGTCGGTGGAGGACATGACGTAGCCATTGGAGCTCTGATATCCCGATTGTTCCTGCATTCCAGGCGAGGTCGAACAGCGCTGGTCTTGCACGCCAGGAGAAGTCGAGTACCGCTGGTCTTGTACACTGGGAGAAGTCGAGTACCGCTGGTCTTGCATCCCAGGCGAGGTCGAGTACCGGTCTTGGATCCCAGGAGAAGTCGAGTACCGCTGATCTTGCATGCCTGGAGAGGTGGAGTATTGATGGTCCACTGCATTGCTCGGTCTTCTCCCTGAAATGTTCAGTGGAGCAGGGCTAGTCTGTTCAAAGTCCAGATCATACTGTTGTTGAGATTGGCCAGGAGGCGCCCTGCCCATGCTTCTTCTGTTCGAATTAGAAGACTCGGGAGACTCGGGGACGTCTTCGACGGTGGCTTGCATGCCTCTATGTGACTGGTCATACCCGTTCGTGTCATATGAATAATGTCTAGGTGGCGGGGGTTGCTCTATAGCCTGATACTGAGAGCCAGGCAGAGCAGCTGGTGACGAGTCGGCAGCCTTGTAAGTTGGACGCCCCGGGTAACTTGAAGGGGAGGCAGAAGCACGATGGGCCTCGTTCCTCAGAACGTCTTGTCTCATTGTCGGCGGAGTCCCTTGAAACCCTGAATTGGGAGCAGAGTTGAGGCTAGGCCTAGACCGATGGGCGGGAGGTGGAGGAGGTCGATCGTCACTAAATTCCTGAGGTGGCTCCTGTTGTGGTGCTCCATATGGGTCACTGGGCCTAGAGTCATAGCGGTCGTACGACTGCGATTGCTGTCCAGGGTATCTGTCCACTCTTTCCGGTGTCTGGTATTGTTGAGAGGGCGGTGGCTCTCGTCGAAGATCGGCACTACGCTCTCGACGAGGATAATGTTCCAGTGGTGGTGGTTGCTGCTGGTAGCGCGACGACTGAGACCCATACTCAATATGCTGCAGGGGTGACTGAGACGGCACATATGATGAAATAGGATTTGGCTGAGAGCGAGGCGGTGTCTCTACCGGCTCCGGCGCAGGGGCAGGTGGTGGTGGCTTTGACGACGGTGCGGGTGAGGGTGTTTTCCCCGTAACCGGATCCGAAGGTAGGGGCCGCCGTTTCGGCATGGCCCTGGGTCCCGTGGCGGCCACTGGCGCTGTCTCGGGTTGCTGCTCATTTTCTGCTAAAGAAGCTTGTTGCGGATTTCTTGACTTGGTTGGTGCCTTGTCGGGCTTGGGGTGGTTGTCGTAGTATGTGAGTTCAAGACGGAGCTCGCCAGCATATTTACCCCTGCATTGCAGCTGGTGCCATTGATCACTCTGCCCACCCCCATCGACAATGATATCGCGCAGGTCTATCCATGCCTCGCCTATAAGTTCGGTCTTCTTGTCGTCGTTGAACACGGACACTTTAAGCTGAAAGTAGTCTGGTGAGTCGTGAACTGTGAATCTGAGTTCTTGATCCCTGTGTGACATGACATGGTTAGTCGAGTTCACCATCCCATCTATCTAGCCTTGTGTTGCTGTGACCCGAAAGATTGGGGGAAACATACCATCTGGGAGTTTGACCGCCACGAATGTCGGTGCTGGTCTTCTTTGCTTCTTTCCCCAGGCGCGCAGCGCAGTAAGGATCTTGTTTTCCAATCGTCTTGCGGTTCGGTAAGTTTTTCGCCCGGTCCACCACCAAAACAAGCGTACCGATTTCTGGTCCATCGGCACTCATGTCTGAGAAGATGCCCGCCGTATGGGCGAGCGGGAGGGTTTTTGTTCTGGTGGACATTTTGCCCTTATTTTTCTGTTTTGTGGCTCTGGATTGATCAAAAGAAGGGATCGGGATTGTTTACTCGAGGGGGGCTTGGCCCAGCGGCTGTTGGTCCTTGTTTTGGGGGGGAGGGTGTTTCCAGGTTGTGCTGACGTGCGGTCCGAGGTAGGTGCCCCGCTGACAACGAGGTCGAATGCTTGACTTCAGAAGTGTGTCAAAAAACAAAAGAGAAACATGAGGTCAGACTGAAGAGTTAGGCCACGACCCAGAAAGCTCAACGAAGGGAAGGAGGGAAAGAAGGAGCAGGTGCAGAAAGAAGAAAGCACCCTGATGAGAGAGCAGGTGGAAGCACAAGCACAGGAAGCACACAAGCACAAGCACAAGCATCCGCACGGCAGTGGTGCCGCCCGGGCCCCCCAAACAACCGCTAGCTTGGGTTAGATCGCGCGTCTCTGCGGTGGTTGGGTGGATTCCAAGTTGGGGGATTACGTGCATTTCCACTGGATTTGGGGTGGCTGGTGCGCCCGATACCCGCGTTACCGCGCAAATCCGCGAGGCTGGGCTGATGCCCGGAACAGGGGTTTAAAGCTGTTTCCTGATCGACCTTGCAGTGGCAGCCCCAAATCCTCGTCTCTGATTTGCACCAGCCTCTTTCCCCTTCCTGCATCCCGACATCCCAAGATAAAGAGATTTCAACTGCAGCTTGAAACGCAACTTCCCTTTGCATCTGTTTCCAGGTTGTTTGGTTCTTTCTCGGGTTATGGCGTGTCGCGACTCGCGAGCCATCCTCTGTCTCCCAAGCCACCTTGTTGACGTCTTGAACTCCACCTTGATGTTGCTTTTACCAAGAATCCACGATCTTCCCGAAACAAAACCCCACAACTGGAGAAATCAGGAACCGGATTTCAGCTCTTGTCATGTCTCTCGAGCTGGGGTCACCACTGTAAAGGTATATGTCACATGAGCTATTTTTCCAGGTCTATGTAATACCTGAAGACAGGTATATTTGATCACTGTTGTGCTAGTTTTGCTTGGATGCTATGGTAGTTACAAATGAAATATCGAGGAGACTCGAGGTTGGATTATATTTTACAAGATTTCAGACACGCTAATTTCCCGCTTCCCCACGTGTAGCGGTTTACATGTTGTTGAGGCGCTCCTCAGCAGACTTCTTAGCCTCGTCAGAGACATTAGGGTTCTTCATGGTCCTGTCCGGCCAAACCACCGTTAGCTGCCGTGTTTCGGAACGCGCGCCTCGGATGCAACGGATCACTTACGCCTTGAGACCACCGGCAACGTTGCCTGGGTTCTTGTCCTTGGTGTCGCTGGCCTTGGGGACTACACGCGTGATTAGCAAGAGACATCGGGTGTTCATGGAGAGCACGCGTACCGTCACCACCGTTGAACTCGTTGTCGAGAATTTTTTGGGAGTTATCCTTGGACTCCTTGGAGGTGTTGGGGTTGTTCAAGTTGGCCTTGTGGCCGCCGGCGATCTGAGCATCAGTAGGCATCCTGAAGGTTGGTTAATTGTATGGAGAGATTGCGTTTTGTGTGAGGGGTGATGAGAATTAGTGTCTGGAAGGTGGGATCTCCCCGGTCATATATCAACAATACCAGTTGATAGCACGATGCGGCTTGCTCGCTCAACGGGTGGCTTTGTCGTGTAGAGCCAAGCTAGAGCTCACTATAGGCTTGGGCATGTTTTCTTGACGCAAGGTTCCTTGATCGGGATTATAGAGTAGCACGTCATGGACAAAATAACTGGCACAGCAAAGTAGGTCAATTCGGGAGAGTGGTCCGAATCGCACTTGAAAAGATACCTAGTTAAGATGCGTTAGAGATGATTAGTTACTAGGGCTCGGAAGATAGTTAATAGATCTTAACGAATAATTAAAGAGGCCTATTCATTATTTAATGAGGTATAAATTAATGGCCATCACACGTTCTACTAACCTAGAGTACCTGCTATTTTGTCCAGGACATGAGTAGGCGCTTCGAAAAGAGGACGGTGAGAATGGCCGACATCATGGGCAAAGTCCGAACATGATGTCGAGATCCAGCGGGCGCTTTGCCATGGAGTCCACCGGACCCATGCAAACATCCGTAGTTGAAGCTAAAATCGATCGCTCCAGGGGGGACGGTTCTTAGATCCAGATTCCCGCAGATCTACAACTCCACGTCAATAACTAGACCGAGCGAAAAGTTCCCAACCTTGAACCGTCTTGCACCAGCTTGACGATTCTGAAGCTAAGGACTGATGATGTCAGGAAAAGGGGTTCAGGAACGCTAACACAGATGTCTGTCTTTAGGAGAACAGCAAGTTCGTCATGTAACGTCAATCATAAATCTTTGGTGTCTTGAAGCCCGAGATATTCAGCTGCATCTTCAAAATCTGGATGACTGCCAAGACGGGTTCTTTGATACAACAACAATATAGGGGCAGGGTGTGTGCTTAATAGCCGGTGCCCTGCTTTCCGATCTTGCATCATGTCAGCAATCAGTGAGTGATCTTCCCACCAGGTGCCGTCGTATTGGGTGCAGCAAAGCTGACTATGCACATATATATGTCTGAGAAAGGTAACGAATGGGAACAAATGGATTTTTTGTGCAGGCCATCAACTCCAACAAGAGTCATTGCGTCCTCTGTGCGTCTGCCAGTGGTGACGAGGAACTTCTTCAGCCCTACAACAAGCTCCACTGGCTGATGGGGAAGGCTAGAAACTTGGCGTTACGTCAATAGCGTCCGAGGTTCAACCTCGCGGCAACGTCCTGTCAATCAAATTGTCGTGATAGAAATGCTTACTGGCCTTCTGTCGTCTCGGTTGAGGAACAAGACCTCAGCTTTCAGCATTCATCATGAAGTGAGGACATCCGGACGTCCCGACGGTGAGGACACGCCAACCGTGACTCGTGGAAAGCTGCGTCCAGTAGGGAGACACTGCAGCGTTGTGAGCCCCTCGGGCCGAATCTTCAGGCTCAAATATGCTGTCGATCTTTGCAGATTATGTGTCGGTAAAGAAATCAGGAACTTTGGAAGTTCAAAGTCGACGCAAAACTCTTTGGATGCCTCGTATCTTGAAGCTCAAAAAACATTTACAAAAGAAAAGTTGACATCGGACAATAAAGCCACGCTATTCCCAATCAGAACATCTCCACAATTTAGCGCCGTTGTCTTATCGATAAACCAAAAACCAAGCCACAGTCCCCATCTGCGGCGCTACTTTCCCGCTTCAGTGTTTCCCCCGTTTGGTCACCACCTGTCCACAAGGCTGAGAGCCGAATTATTGATTCTTGTCGTCACCTGCACTTGCCCACTCTTGTTGATTTGCTCGTGTGTGGTGCATATTCAGCTCCAAACTGTCGGGTCTCCGCCTTGCGCCCCGCTCTCTAACAACCGTTTTCTAGGAGGCCGTCCGGGGTAATTGGCCGATTCCCCACGTGCTAGGCATGTTGTTTCAAGACTTTCAAAACATCACATCATCATCAACAACCTAAAACCACACCCAAGCCGATTCCAAAAATACCTCCCACGTGGCTGGCAGAGCAAGGTGGCGATTTCACTCGGTACCTACAACATGGCTGCCTCAGACATCCTCCTCTCTGACAACCCAGAGCCGAAACCTCCGGTGGTCAACTACGTCCTCTCCTTTTTGCTGGTGGGCATAGCGTGGGGGTTGACGACACCCTTCATCCGCGCCGCGGCCCGCTCCCACTCCCCTCCACCCCACCCGCTGCTCGAGTCACGCTCTGTGCAGTCGAGTGTGGTGAAGCGGAAGGTGCTCGGGGCTTTTTTTGGTGTGATGGACCTGTTGAGGAACCCGAGGTATGCGGTGCCGCTGGTGCTGAACTTGACGGGGAGCGTGTGGTTCTTTTTGTTGATTGGGAAGGCTGGTATGTGTCACCCCCCCTCCCCTCGTATGGGAAAGGGTAGGTGGCTGGATGGTTGCTGATAGGATGATACAGAACTGAGCTTGACGGTGCCTATTGTGAATACCTGTGCGTTCTTGTTTACCGTGCTGGGTGAGTGGTGGGTGGAAGGGAAGGTTATCAGCCGTGGTAGGGCTTGTTGCTATATTCAACTACGGCCAATAGCTAACTTGTGTACCAGATACCTTGATTGGCATGTTTTTAGCCGTGGGTGGAATTGCATTGTGTGTACAGAGCAAGAATGTTTAGATTCGTTGCTGGTAGTTGGAGTACATATATTATACACAGTCGAAGAGATTTAGCGTATCATATTGAAGCCACTCAATGCAAGACTGTTTTGCAATTCAACAACTATTTTCCTACGCTGCTCCCGGCAGTTCGTAGGGCCCCCCCTTTTTTGGTATCCTTTAACGTCCCCTGACAAAATATGCTGTGTGTATGCATGTATGACCATCCAACCCACCCGCAAGAAGCTCCTGTTCCAGACAGAGCCCCAAGCCAGTACCAAACCATTCAACAAATATGTACAGTTGAACTTTTTAATAACCATAGCGAAACGACAAAAGAAAAGGAATAAATCCAAAACGGGGAAAATAAAACCTGTATCCCTGCGTGTGCTGACCCGTGGTATCTTGTAATCCAATGTTTTTAAAAACCCTAAACAAAACCTGGAATCCATCGAAAATGTCGCCCCGAAAGAAAAAGAAGAAAAATGTTCAGTGGGAAATTGACCGTCCCCCCCATGATGCAAAGAAGAGAAGAAGAAGAGAGGAGATAATTATTTTTGTGTAGTTGATGACTCGCATCGTATCGTGTTGTTGTTGTTCCCCTTTTTTGGCCGACGGAGAATTTGGCAAGAAGGGGGGCCCCCGGGGTATCGATGTGTGTAAACATTAAGTTTTGTTCTCCGATCATGGTCGTGGTTTCGTGAGGCATGGTGAAAAAATCGTCGAGTTGAACCGGCCGTGAACCGTGATGTGATCAGGTCGTCGTCGTCGTGACAAGTCGTGAATTAGGGATTAAGCTCTCCGAGTCCGAACCCACCGCTGCACAGCGCGGAGGCTTGGGTCTTCGTCTACCCAGCGGCCCATGGTCATGTCGGAGACCTGAAGCTCCGAGTAGATGGCTTCGTCGGTGATGTTTGCGAGCTCCTACTTTTTGTAAGTTTTTCTGAGGGGGCAACAGGAAAAGGAGAAAAAAGAAACAGTGAAAAGTAGACGTACAGCACGCAGTTGTTGGTCGCAGGCCCTGAGTTGGCTCTGGTTGCCAGAGTGAGGCCTGCCACCCATAAGAATCTGATCCCGCCATTCGATCCAGCGCTGCACAGCAGCCTGACGGAGATAGATCTTTTGGCCTTCGTGACGGCGAGCGTAGGCGTCAAGGAGGACTCTGTTGGGTCCATGACGTTAATACCAAGAAAAAGGGGAGGACGGATAACCAAGTTTGGAGGACGAGAAACCTACTGCTTAAGCTCGGCCTTGGCCTGCTCGTCCGCACCACCACTCGCGCGGGGGACTGTGATGTCGGCAGCGCAGTTGAGAATGTGCTGGCCATCAAGAGCGCACTGGCGAAGTGCTGCCCATCCCTCCGTGTAGTAGTCATCCATGTCGGTAGGGTTGACCGGGGCAGCAGCAATGTAATACTGAAGAGTGCGAAAGTCGGAAAGCAATTCGGCCACGCGGGCGGTGCGGTATTCGTTGACTGGAGCTTCCCGTTAGTCTCATAACTTCCTGAGGAGCGGTGGCCTGCCAAGGTGAAGATCGCTTTTCAGCAAGCCTCGTCGGGGGTGGCGCCTCGGTTGGATTCATGGGAGTGGACGATGGCTTCCCGGGGGATACTTTCGTAAATTTCCGATGACGCACAAGCCCATCAGAGGGGGTGGGCATTGTGTTGATAGGGCTTAGGCTTGAGTGTAGGGGGTAAAAGAGGGGGGGTGTGGGTGCTAAGGGGTGAGCAACATACGTCCGTCAGACATGGTAGCGGTCAGGTTTTGGAGAACTGAAAATCGAGTGTCGAAGAAGGGTGAATATACAGGGTCAAGGAATTATTGAGTTCGATGGCAAGAACTGCTCGTTATCTCGAACTTGGTGAAAAGCAAGGCAGGAGTGAGAAAAAAAGATGGTTGATGCTGGGAAAACAAGGAAGGCCAGGAGGATGGGAGTATGCTGCACTCTATGCAAGACACAAGAGATATCAAGTCTGAAAAGAGAAGAGATTGGCGCTCAATCGCTGAGTGAAGGTGATGATGGCTTGGTGGTGTCCTGTCGACGGCAACTGGGGGCGAACCCCATTGACTTTATGTAGATGTCTCGACATGGTGGATATCAAACCGTTGAGGGGATCAAGACCAAAGACATCGCAAGGAGGACTCCGAATCAGAGTTCCCCCTAGAGGTACGTATCTTGGACGGGGTCAATGTGTGTGAGTGTGTGAGTGCGTGAGTGAGATGGCAGCATGCACGTTGTCGCGATAAACCCGGGACTAAGTCCCGGAGTATTTCGACAGCATGACTACGTCAAAGGCTTGGGTAAGTCTATACCCGCAGAGAGGACAGATTAGATCATCAGCCGCTTGATGCCCAGCCTGCAGGCCGGTGCCCTGTCGCACGAGGAGGGAGATGCATCGCCATGTTAGTGGAGGAGAGGTTTGATGGAGGTGGAGTGTCGAGATGCTACGTCGATTTCCTGCTATCCATGTGCCTTGCATTCCATTCCTCGTAGGGAGAAGGCCCCTACCTAGCTGGGCAGTGTTGTACCGTGAGTCCACACCCCCCTTTGTCCGTGATACCGAATGAATGCACGGCCTTGAACCTCCACCTCCCCCACCGCTGCAAGGCCTGAGATGTGAGAGGCTGGAGAGGGACGATGGAGGCAGCAGAATGACGGCGGCACACGGCTGCAACGGTGTGATTTCAGACGGGCCCTGGTCAGGCTGGACAAGAGCTGCAGGTCCAATGCAGCCTCCTATCGTTTGGGCGGCATCTCACGGCCAAAGGCTGTGGAAATGCCTTGAAGGGTTCGATATGGGACAAAAAGAGCCTCTCGGGCCCTGTCCTGGTGGCTTTGGATGGTTTGTGCACCGTGATGTTGACAGGGGGGTCCCCGAAACGGCAGTTCTAACGAGTATTCAGCGACGCCACAGTAGATGGGCTAAACCGCTTTCGGGCCTCCCCGGTGATGGCCAGAACGGCCAGAACTCTCCGTGGAGGCAGCTTGCTGTGGCTCAAGACTTCGGCAGCCAATGGCCTTCCTAGCCGTGTTGCCCAACAACTCCCAACACCGTTGCCGAACCAAGCTGAAGCAGCAAAAAACATCAATGGTGCAGTTTTGTCATTCGATTCCAGGCCAAATGTGAGCAAGTGGGAGGGACCGTCTTCCTTGGATAACTGTTTTTGGACTTTCTCGAAGTGTCTCGGACTGGTGATGACGGTGTTTTGCGGTGTGAGGACGGGACGAACGGCAGGCGGCGCCGTTGAGAGAGGCTTGAGAGGCTTGAAGCAGCCTTGGAGGGGATCCACGACCCCTCCTTCCATCCGCCAAACGCGAGACGACTTTCTCGCCAAGTCCACGAAGAAGGCTGCTTGTCAGCTTCTCAGGGCCCTCTGGTCGACCTGCAGCAGCGTGCATCGACCTCTCACAGTCCTTCCCACGCACCCGGATAACCTTGCCCCCATGAACTATGCACTCATCGTCCGAACTCTTCTGCCACACTAATCCCCAACATGCCTAACCCGATCCCACGCACTCGGGTAGAATCCGAATTTGAGAGGCAGCTTTGTGGGTCCCTGCATGTAATTCCAAGTTGAAACCGACCAGAGTCGAAACGTCGATGAGGACCATCCCCAGATCCTGGCCGCTTTGCTGGCGGCCCAGAAGCCACACACAAGAGCCGCTTGTTGACAACCGCACCAGTGGCATCTATTCCCGCATCTCCCGCCGTTGCTCCCGTCCAGGTTGCCACCGCGTGGTTTGGTCCGTGTGGCCGCAGGAATATGTAACTGCCCCGTCAGCAAAAGCAAAAGCATGTTGATGCGGTCACTGTCCGCCCAGTTGCGTTGAGGGTCTCGGTTCAGAGGCACGAAGCTAGTGGGTAGATATCTGGCTGTTTCACACCGCAGCACGCACCCACAACGAGGAACGTCTTCAGCCTTCAAACGGTAAGCCACACTGGATACGACACAGGGCACACGGCTACGAGGCTACGCCCATTGTGACATGGTTGAATCTTGAACCGGTCTATTTTAGACGCTCTTTCCTGCATGCTGCATATGATAGATTCTATGGCACGAGTGAATGAACCGTAGCACAAAACAACGCGCGGGATGTGGATATAGGGGGTCCAAAAACCTCACCATATCATACCTGATTTCTTGTCTACTCCCCCACTCCCTCACTCCCTCAGCCTGACCTTCCAAGAGCCCACAGCGAATCAGCACCTGGCATCCTGCCTGGTCGGCCGCGGCACTACACCCACTTTCCCCCGAGGTAGTATTTTCTCTCCATCACCTCAGTCCTTCTCGGCGATAGCCTGTAATCTGTCGTCGATCTCGTCCTCTGTAAGTGTCCTGAACCCAGGGTATGTGCCTTCCTTGCCGTCTGGGCGTGGCCCTCCCACAATACCAATCTCAATCTCGGTCTTCTTGAAGTCCATGCTGAGGACCGTGCTCAGTGTTGTGATTGCAAGCTCAACAACCTCCTTCCAATCACCGTCCGCATAATCCCGGTTCTTGAGCTTCTTCTCGAGATGATTGAGCGCCTCCTGCTGCTTGGGACCCGCAGCTGTGCCCTTGTAACCGATATAGTAACCGGCGGGGTCGCACTTGAATAACTGCGGCCCCAACTCGGAATCGAGGGAGATCAGCGTCACAGCGAGACCATATGGGCGCATGTATGCCTAGCAAGGATGTCAGCTTCGATATTCCAATATTCCCCTGCCAAGGCAAGTCAATATTTCCCGTCGTCATACCCGTTGAGTGTACACTTGACTGATATTGGCAAGTCTCTTGGCCAGAGCATCGCATGGCATCTCATAGCCAAACTTGTATCTGAACTCGGCCGCTTCTGACTGGGCACGCTGGGAGAACGCTCGCGCATCTGCGATGGAGCCTGTCATGACGCAACCAACCGAGGGCGAGATCTGGAAGATGTGTGTGACGGAAGAAGGGTCGATGAGCTTGTCCTGCACCACGCTGTTAGAGCTGACCGGCTAGGCAGCAGAATATCGGTTGCTTCTGACGTACTGGAACCTTCTTCTGGGACAGGACAACAGCGCAGTCCTTGCCCCTGACGCCAATGGACATGATGTTGGCGGCTGTGATGGCCTTGAAGGCATATTCTGCAGGACATCCCTTTGTCAGTCTCTCTCCTACTCAGACGCAACCAGTCCCCATTTCCAATTCTCTCAACTCTTCGACAGCTTCCTCTCCTTGGTTCCTCCTCGTCTACTGCCCTCCTTCTCCCCTTGCCCCTCCCTCTCGGCTATGGCACTTGTACATACCAACTTGGTACAGTCTTCCTTGGTCGGAGAAAATGGTAATGTGTCGGTCGTAACCAGCGTTGCCTGCGCATCAAGTGTTAGCCAGGACCAAAGTGGAGCTCGAAGCTCGCCCGACAGCGTCGCAGCTGGTAATCGACGTACCCGCCATCTTGACCGATGCGAGCTGATGAAAGCTTTATTGAAGGATTGTATGAGCGGATGGGAGGAGGACGAATCGGTAGATGCGCAATGTCAAAGATCGGGCAGTGGTGGTTGTTTTGGTGGTGGTGGTGTTGGTGTTGAGCAGGCGGCAAGGAGCTTCGTTCGTCGTTGCGGTTGGCCTGGCAGGGAAGCTCCAGCTGCCGATCGACGCGTTGCTCTGCTTGCCTGGAGAAGGCTGACGGCCAGCTGTTGCGGGCGGTCTGGCTGCCTTGAAAGTTAGGCATTAATTAGAAAGCAGATCTTGGCTTAAGTGGCTGGGGCCCAAGCTTCAATGGTAGTGGGGTTGCCCCACATTCTTAACTTCTGCTCTGTTATCGGGCGCAAGACCCCTGTATTGGGCGCTGATAAGCACTGGCGGAACAGAAATTTGCTGCAGGCTGTTTCTCATTCAACTGGCAGCATCGACACAAACACCCAATAGAACTCACGACATCGCCAAACGGCCCCAATATTTCTTGCATTCGGAAACTCTTGGGTCTCGTTCAAAACAGCGCTACTCGGCTCAATTTGCACTTTTGCCGTTTCTGTGGGAACCCGCGCCCCTGTCCGTCCTACGTCGTCTGTCTCGGTCCAGGGCTTTTTTTTCTTCACCTCGGTCGACACCTGTTTGCCTGCTTCTTCTTTGCTGGCCAACATGTCCGCTCGTGTCCCGGCCTGGAAGCGATTGGGCCTCAAGCTCAAGGGAGCATCCGACGAGAGCCCTGTCTTGAGCTCGACCGGCCCCAATGCCAATTCCGCTTCGCAAGTAAACGGCAGCCCTGTGAGCGCGCTCAAGAGAAAGCAACCACTATATCAGTCGCCGGCCAACAGCTATAACAGCAATTCGTATGCGCAAACTCCCAACAAGAGGTTCCGAGCCGACGAAGAAACTCCTGGATCACAAAGGAAATCTGTGTCCTTCACAGCGGACACCAAGAAGACATCCGTCGAACCAGCAAAGAAGAAGGCAAAGAAAAAGAAGGCCAAGAAGCCAGCGCAACCTGTTGCCAAACCCGAGACGAACCTTGAACCATCCCTCGATTACCTTCGCCAGTGGCACACTGCGCGCGACTCGTGGAAGTTCAACAAGAACCACCAGACATTGCTCATTAAGTATCTCTTTGACGGCGACAAGATCCCGTCAGCCGATATTCCAATTTTCTACCAATATATCAGCGACCTCAAGGGAGGCGTGCGGACGAGGTTACGAGAGACGGCGGTGGAGATCAAGAAGAAAGATATGGAGCAGGGTGTCAGCGCTTTCCCTGCCGACACCAAGGACAAGGCCACCAAGCAGACAGAGTACGAGGAGGTTATCTCGCGATTTCTTGAGGACCTGCAACAGCATCAAAAGCAACGTCAGTCTACTGGTACCAATGCCAATGGCAAGCGCCCATTAGAGGAGGTACAATATGTCATCAGAACCGTGGACCCTCTGGTCAAGCAGCGAGCACTGAGGCGCATCCGCGCTGAGATCGTGGCCGTAGAATTAGCGTCGGACAGTGAGGAGAGCACCATAACATCGACAGCCGCTGCGTCAACTATCACTTCTTCCTCTTCGTCATCGTCAGGACAGGAGAACGCAGTCGCAGACAAGAGAACACGCAGTGATGATGATTCACAACAGCCTGCCAAGAAGCGCAGACTGAGAAAAGTACGCAATATCAGCGATGATGAGAGCAGCAGCTCGTCCGAGTCGGAAAGTGATAGCTCTGACGACGATGACGATGACGAAGATGAGAACATGGCGGATGCGCCGAATGGTAAGGAGGATGAGGAAACGAGTAGCAGCAGCTCGTCCTCCTCCGAGTCTTCATCAGAGGATGAGTCTGATGATGAAGAGGAAGCAGATGATGGGAGCGATTCTGACAGCAGCGAAAGTAGCGAGAGTAGTGAGAGTGATTCGGACTGAGCATCTGTCTTGTTTAGAGGTTATTAGCCGGATGGGTCAAATTTTGTTACGATCTGGTCATCATGTACATCATAAACGAGCTTCACAGCATGGCGGACAGTTACTCAAGCTAATTCAGCACTCGGATATGGTAGATCAATGACAACTGAATTTCTAATGTCACAGGGTGTCTCATGTAACAGTAAAATAGTATACCATAAATAAAAAGAGAGTTGCTGCCACCCAAATGATGTTTGCGCTGTACAGTGTTATCCTGTACTTGATGTTCAAGACGATGCCACCCCCCACTTCTACCTACTCCTCTTTCTCGGCCATGACAAGAAGATTGAAACAAATGTACGATGGTCCCGCAACGCCTTGCTACAAAAATCGAAAATCATAAAAGCAGAGAGCCTACCTAATGCTGCGCATAAATACCAGAATACCCCCCAATCCGCTCTAGCTCTGTCCTTGGGTCACGCCAACCCCTGATCACCAACCGACGTGCTCACATGATCCATAAATGCAGCCGCTCCCTTCTCTTGTATCCAAAGGAAGATAAACTCATAAACATCGTTGCCTTGACCAGCTCACATTGACTGGAAGCCAGAACAGAAAAAGAAAAAAAATCATGCCTCCTCCATCAGACTCCCCACCTCAAGAAGTCCAACACACTCTCCCCGATCCATAACAGCGACAATCGCATTATCCTCATACTGCCCATCCCCAAGCGCAACCCTCATCCCCAGCACCCACTCGGCCGCCTTTTCCACGCTCGAGTCGGCAGCAACAGGCACAAACTCCTTCTTGCTCGTCACCAGCCACCCCTTCAGCTCCTCCAACCTGGTCACCAGATCCGCCGAGTCCAGCTTCCTGATCCGCCTGGGGGAGATAACATCCCCGGTCTGCAACCTCACCCACCCCGAAGGCGAGGCATAGCCCGCCCTGAGCACATCCGCACCCGTAGCCGTCTTTTCTGGGGGGGTATTCAGGAGCGGAATCATCTCCATTCGCACCGCCAGTTCCCTCGCGCTCTTTTCACTCGAGCTTGGCTTCCTCAGTGCAGCCCCGATCGCGCCGCCGGGGTGATTTTTGGCAAACACGCTCGCCACGCTGGGGTGTAGCTCCCTGCTGGCGACGATTGCGAGCGCATCCCCTACCGTCAGCGCCACCGTCGTGGAGGTTGTTGGTGCCGACACGCCAAAGGACTTTGTCTCTGGCTCGTGGATCGGTGCGGGAAGAAGGATGGTGTCGGGGCGGTGCTTGATCAGCTCGCATGTTTCCGGGCGGGTGTGAGACGTCAAGAGGATGAGAGGAAGTGACTTGTCGAGGTGAGGGAGAAGCGTCAGGAGCTCGGGGGTTTTGCCGGAGAAGGTGATCAGCAAGAAGGTGTCGCGGGGGCCGATCTGGCCCAGATCGCCGTGGAGGGCCTCGGTGGGGTGGAGAAAAACGGCTTGGATGGCGAGCGAGTTGAAGGTTGCGACGAGCTTCTTGGCGATGTGCCCTGACTTGCCGACGCCTATTACTACTATCTTGCCGTCTGTCGCTCCTCGGCTGTGGGAGTGGTGTTGGTGGTGGGGGTATTTGGGGTGGTTGCAGCGGGTGATGGCCTCAACGGCGCGGTTGAAGCCTTCGCGGGCGAGACGGTCGGTGGAGTAGAGCGCCGTCAGGTTCTGCAGGGCAGTGGTCTCGGTGGAGAGGACGTGGACGGCGTTGGAGAGACGCTCTTCGACGGCGAGCTTCTCGTCGGCGACGGCAATGGCCGGCTGGGAGAGGGAGAGGGCCTCGATCGGCATGCCATTGCAAAAGTCATCGTCCTCGGCGGGTGTGATGGGGGACGGAGGGGACAGTGGGGGGATGGTTGAGAAGGTCGGAGGCATCTGGCGGAGGAGGTAAACCTCGCTGTTGTGGACGGGAGTGCGCCCGTGCTGGCGCTGTTCAACCATTTTGCCGCAGTGTTTCTTCTTCCGTCCTACAACGAGCGCACTTGCAAAACTCCCTCTCCTGCTAGACAATTCCTCCCTTCTTCTGCCTCTGTTTTTTTGTTCCCACTGTTTCAATTCCTTCTAGAAGTGTTTTTCTTTCGAATCGGCGCGAGTCGCTCGTGGGCCACGGCTCACCGAATGCCTGGGGTGGAGAATTGGACTCGGGTTTCCACGGGTCTGGGAAGTACCGGTAAGGGCACCCCTTCGAAAGGATCAAGTTTGCAACTGGCACAACTTTGACCAAAAGGTAAAGCTTGAGTGTACCGAAGGAGCGGTAAAGAGATGAACTTCTTGTTCTGAAAGAAGATGAGAGAGTCGGTCAATCTATCGACCGAATTGCTGACGATGTCCGTCTGATCCGTTCTATCCGCGGTATTATAGTCGCCCCGAAGTCTTGATCTGTATGTGAATGGTGGGGATTTGGTGGAGGGGTACTTTGATGTTGGTCCCTTGAATACGACGTCCGTTCTCGCAGGTGTGTAAGAAGAGACAGGTGTGTAAGAAGAGACAGGTGCTGTGTAGACCAAGAACGGAAGAGAAAAGGTCAAGGTGGGAGAAAAGAAAAATTATTAGTTAGAGGGAGGAGGGCATGGTTATGACGGGGCAACACAAAGCCTCAGTAGGTATTTGTGATCCTATCATTCCCGGGGCCCTATTTTCCCTCCAAAAATGGAGCCGTTTGATGTCAAGGGACAACCTAACGAGTTCGTTCTTGGGTTGGACCCCGAGGGGAGGCAAAGTGTAGCGATCTTCAGGGTTTGGTATCCCTCCAAGATCGGGAACTTACCCTGATGGGCAAACGAACCAGGGAAATCAGATCAAAAATACCCCAGCAGCGCTAGCCGCAGTTCTCTCTGCCTTTGTGCGGCAGGTGTGTGTGGTAGCGGCCCATTTCAGATGCATGGAGATGGATTCAGGTGGGTGGATTGGGGGGGGAGGGGATGGATGCTTGGATACCCACTGCCACGGTTGAGATAAATTGCTTCCTTCGAGGCTTTTGCTGCTGATGAATCAACGGACGTGGTGGGATGGCGGGGCTCTCCAACCTAGGTTGATTTGGCCCGCGTCTACACGCGTGTTTAGCATATGCTTTCTACGGGTGGCGTGCATGGGGGTCCTCTTTGGCAAGTGGTTGCGCGAGCTTGCGTGATTTGCCCAAGCCATCCTATACATTCTTTTTATTCTCTTGTTCTCTATAACTGACCTCGTTATGTGTGCCGCCCATCCGTATTTCACCGCCAGACTTCCTGGCCTTCTCTTTTGGGCATTTATTCTGTAACCTGGTGGACGCTGCCGAGGCGTCTTATCTATAAGATCAGGGTTGGATAAGGCAAGGGGATTTTGCCGAGCGGTCGGCGCGGGGAATAGCCCCGAATGATGTCGGTGGCAGCCTGTTCCGTTTTCTGAACCCTTTTCTCTCCGGGCTCCGATCGCTCGGCCCCTTTCTCCCTAACGCCGAGATCTGTTCCGGTTGACTGGATCGGTTGGAATATGCTCTGATCTGAGGCACTGGGGATCTTACCATCAATCACGTTGATGGCCCTGACGCAACCATCTGCTGCCTGTCCTCCATCGATGTGCTCTACTAGGTACGGTGACGCTCAAGATCTTGGTTTTGGAAGTTTGCACTTTACAGCCAGACGAATGGAAGAAACCTGGACCGTTGAACTTTGGCGTTGCAACGGCTGCCCTGCCCAGACCAGCCCCAGACTGCCGGCCCGGCTCCGATGGTTAGTGGTGTCAATCGGAGAATGGAAATAAAAAGTGACAATCCACTCTATGCTGTAGTCCACAAGACAGCTTAGCGGCTCTTGCGTCATATTGCGAATGCGGAAGAAGGAGGGGATACAATGGATGATCTGGTTTTTGAATTGCCTCTTTGTTCCAGCAAAACGTATGCTGCTCTTGGTGCAATTAGGCAGTTTGATCTATACCTACTACCATATATATAAGGTATGCAAGTATTGTCCAGAGACATTCTTATTGGACACGACCAGCATACTGTCCATAGCATGGTGTTATTGAAGTAAAAGATTCTCAGCATCTTCTATCCGTATGAACATACACTCAAGCAATCCTTTTGATACTCTTCTTCATGGCTTAGCGATGCCAAGTCCACAATGAAGCAACACTTGCGTCCCGTCGTGCCCTTGCACCATGAACCCTAACCCATGACATTGCTATAGCAACACTTGCGTCCCGTCGTGCCCTTGCACCATGAACCCTAACCCATGACATTGCTATCCCTTATCGCAGCTTATCAGTTTGCCGCTGACCGTGTCGTTGTCGCGGGGTAGTATTTTTGGAACCTCGTAGATAGACCTCAACAATATCTTTCCACCAATATCTTTCCTTCCACCTGAGCATTTCCATATAGGTCTCTAGCCTAGCCACTCATTTGGTAGTTTCGTGTATCTCTCCATCGGTTATTGTCATCGCTATTGCAAACATGGCTGAGAAGATTTCGGTCCTTTTCGTTTGCCTGGGCAACATCTGTAGATCGACCATGGCTGAAGGCGTCTTCCAAGCCATGGCAAAGAAGGAGCCGTACAAGGATCTGGTTGCCGATATTGATTCTTGCGGAACAGGTATGTCTCTCTCGATGATGTCGCCCTCTGTGTCGTCTCCAGCAACCCTAACCACACTATCTTTCTTTGACCAGGTGGGTACCACATTGGTGAAGGACCAGATGACCGCACCATGTCCACCCTCGAATCTCATGGTATCACTGACTATGTGCATGCGGCACGCAAGGTAAGGCTCGGTCTATCGATCGGCGGGTTCGGGCATCGTTTCTAATCGCTGTTGAAGGTGAATGCGTCTGATTTCGACAAGTTTGATTACATCTTCGCCATGGACCGTGCCAACCTCTCCGACCTCCAACGTATCCAGCAACGCAAATCGAACAACAAGGCCAAAGTGATGCTTTTCGGAGAGTACTCAGGAACCGGCAAGGCCGAGGTGATCAGTGACCCCTACTATGGTGGGCAGCAGGGTTTCGAGAAGGCGTATGAACAGGCGACCCGTTTCTCGACCAATTTCCTCAAGGAAGTCTTCCCTGACGTTAACTAAGCCCTAGCTTTGATCGGTTCTTTGCTGTCGAGCCAAGTGTCGTGGTGTCGTGTTTTCGCCCATGGATAGACAAAAGATACCATTTTTGGATTGATTGCTTATTGACGTTGTGTCCTCCTCGTCTCAACCCTATGCGCTACCACGCTGCAACTTCCATCTCTGTTCCTGCATTCACTTCACGCACCGGTGTGCTCGTCATGTCGGTTCTGGAAAATCGATACTTCGGATGGGGGGCTGAAGGTCCTGCTAGTCTTGCCCTTCCAGTGATTTGCAGAGCAGGGCAACAGATCTACTTATACATATTCTGATCCATTCTCGCATGCTTCGAGATTCAAAAGGATGTCTTGCTGATCGCCTCATTATCTCGTAATATGACCAGACAAAGCTTGAAGCGAGGTCTTCGGGAATCGCCTTCAACTCTTGGGCACTGCATCAATCCGGAATGGTGCCATCTGGCACCCTACACCATGCCATTTTGAGAGGTGCGTCAGCCCTACGACCAATTTCAGTGGCCCACGACCGGCAGGCCGCCCGGCAGAGTGGTTCTGGATGAGACTGACCCCCGAGAAACGTTGGAAGGATTCAAATTGGAAGCATACTACCTCGGTAGTTGTCCACTGTGAAGAGATCAAGCTCAGCAGCAGCAGCGTCGTTGACACAACTCGGTCGGGTTGAAAGAGGTGGTGATCTTCCCAACAGATAGTACGCCGTACCCCTCTCGGCCGGATTAGTCTGAGCACTGCTATTTGGCGAGGACCGACGATACGAGCAAACCAACAAGGCTTGGAGCTGTCGGTTTGGACCAGTTGCGAAGAACCCTAGACACCACCGTCATTTCATGATGTCGACGAACAAAGAAGCAGGCAACCTTGAGCGCTTCAGGCGGCTTTTGAAACCCCATTTCTTCATCTCCCTCTACCCACTTCGATCTGACAAACAGACCCATTTGGGATGAGAACTTCTTCTGCTTGGATTCATGCGAGAGGCGAGGTTTCTCGCGCGCGCGTACTGAAGCACACTGCAAGTCAGCTTGATTAGCGCCTGGACTTCCTGACAGGGGCTGCTCAAAGTATGTATCTCTCCACAGCACTTTGGCTGGAGAGTGACATGCCCAGTGTGTCAGTGTCTGGAAAGCAGCGGCCGCCGACGGGTGATTGTGGGGATTCGAAGCCCCAGAACCCCGCCGGCCCCCATTTTTGTGCTCTTCACCAAGCATCCCTTGTCATTTGTCACGCCAACCGGCAGCCGAGCTTGCAAGCCAGGGTCGCATCTCAGCCCCTCCATCTTGTTCGCTGCGGCGCTGCCTTGCATTTCTCCTTTCTCCATCAAAGGACGGTTGCGGACGCCTTAAATACCAGACTCACATCGGGCTTCGAAGCCAGACGTTTCTGGGCTGCCTCCTCCTTCTACCCTTCTACCCCCTCCTCCACTCTTGGTGCCTTGGATCCCTCTGCCCCGCTACCTACCTGACCTCCCCGGTTCGGCCCCTTTCCGTCGCAAACTGTCGTTCCTCAGCTCGAAACTTGCTCTCCCACTGCTTCCTTCCCATCCCGTCCCACACTCGGCCTCCCGTCTTTTGTGTGTTGCCTGACAGGCTTTGTCCGTGCCTATCGATAGCTGCTTACCTGCCCCTCCTTTTTTTTGGGTCCTCCCCGCATCGTTGAGCTCCATCGCCTTTCCCGCCAGCATCTCCCCAGACCGTTCAGGCATAAATATCCATCATGGGCGATCTCCAGGGCCGTAAGGTGTTCAAGGTGTTCAACCAGGACTTCATCGTCGATGAAAGATACACCGTGACCAAGGAGCTTGGTCAGGGCGCATACGGCATTGTCTGGTATGGCCATTCATATTGCCCCTCATTTTCTACGCCCAACAGCCAAACTGACCATTGCTGTCCTCTCCCATTCTAGTGCCGCGGTGAACAACCAGACCAACGAGGGTGTTGCCATCAAGAAGGTCACCAATGTGTTCAGCAAGAAGATTTTGGCCAAGCGCGCCCTGCGCGAGATCAAGCTCCTGCAGCACTTCAGGGGTCACCGAAATGTAAGCCCAGCATACGCACAAGTCCACACACACTCCACGCAGAACGCTAGAAGACTGACACATCCTCCTTTTGATGACACAGATCACCTGCTTGTATGATATGGATATTCCCAGACCAGACAGCTTCAACGAGACATATCTTTATGAGGGTATGTGGCCACCACACTATTGTCTGTCCCCTTTGTCTCGAGACGATGCGCTGACACAGTTTGTGACCCGCAGAGTTGATGGAGTGCGATCTTGCTGCCATCATTCGTTCCGGCCAGCCTCTTACCGACGCCCATTTCCAGTCTTTCATTTACCAAATCCTCTGCGGTCTGAAATACATTCACTCAGCCAACGTTCTCCATCGCGATCTCAAGCCAGGAAACTTGCTTGTCAACGCCGACTGCGAACTGAAGATTTGCGATTTCGGTCTGGCGCGTGGCTTCTCGGTTGATCCCGAGGAAAATGCCGGGTACATGACTGAGTATGTCGCGACGAGATGGTACCGCGCGCCCGAAATCATGTTGAGCTTCCAGAATTACACCAAAGCTAGTAGGTTTGCCCCCTTGTCCTATGTCTGTACAGCGGTGAGCTGACGTCACGGCTTCTCATAGTTGACGTATGGTCTGTTGGCTGCATTCTCGCTGAGCTCCTTGGCGGTCGCCCCTTTTTCAAGGGTCGCGATTACGTCGACCAGCTGAACCAAATTCTCCACATTCTTGGTACCCCTAATGAGGAAACTTTGTCTCGCATCGGTTCCCCTAGGGCCCAGGAATACGTGCGGAATCTTCCTTTCATGGCCAAGAAGTCATTCCCTTCGCTCTTCCCTAATGCCAACCCGGACGCTCTCGACCTCTTGGACCGTATGCTTGCTTTCGACCCCTCTCGCCGCATCAGTGTCGAGGAGGCCCTCGAACACCCCTATCTTGCCATCTGGCACGACGCTAGTGACGAGCCCGACTGCCCAACCACTTTCAACTTTGACTTCGAGGTCATCGATGATGTCAATGAAATGCGCAAGATGATCCTCAGCGAGGTTGTCAACTTCAGAGCCCAAGTCCGCACTGTCCCTGGCCAGGCGGGCTCTGCCGGTAACATCCAACAGGCGCCATCAAACGTCCCCATTCCTGCAGGTGGACCCGGCCAGCAGTGGACGGCCGAGGACCCAAGACCGATGGAGTACGGTAACCAAATGCAGGGTCTCGAGGCTGAGCTCGGAGGCAGATAGGAGGCTGTCTCTGATGTTTTAAGCACCGAGGGCGAGGATTGGGTGGTTATACCGCCCTTTGATCTTGACAATAATGGTGACCCGTGGGTGGTACTGCATCTGACTGATATGGTAACGGACATACATGAAAGGACACTGGAGTCGAAAGACATGCCGACCTTTCATTATGATGGAACAAGGATACAGGCCCCTGCTAAGCACAAGGCAGAGCTCCCTGTCCCTGACCACCTGGTGCGAGAGAGGGCGTGGGAAAAGGAGAAGTGGAGGGCCTATAAGCAGCATCGCAAGGCTGTTGAAACGCTCATGATCAAATGTGGGTGCAGAAAAGCGCAAGGGTGTCATCATTTGGAAGCAGCGGTCAGATCTTATACTCGGTATGAGAAGGTGAGCTACCGTGGTGGCTCTACTCGATAACTCTGTCCAAGGAAGCGGACATTGTTTATCTCGACAAGCTTAGCGATTCATGTGATAGCGCGGATTCTTTGTTTTAGTTATCTTTTTGTTTTGATCGCCGTATGTTGGATGGAAGACGGAAGAGGGGGGGGGTGTTCTTGAATACCTACAGAACAAGACAAGACCAGCGAGCGAGCTGGAGTTATAGTTTCTCATTTTAAAATGAAGAGGGTTTAATAAAGCACTAACGAGGGTTGACTGATGAGAATGTGTGCCCTGCCTCGAGACAAAAGTCTTGTGTGGCCATTGGGAACCTGAACAATGTTGTTGGGATGAAGCAGTCGTCATCGTCTAACATCTGGACCGTCTACAAGCAAACAAAACCAGATTTGTGCGAAGTAGCACATTGTCACGACTCCCATCCATTTCAGTAACACATCAACACGCAAACATCAAATCACAGAAGCACCAAGTCATGGTAGTAAAATCCCCAAAGAGCCTGAATTAAATATTTGACCTTGCCTTTTTGTCTTGAACAGCAAGGTCTTTTCCATCTCTATATATAGTACCCTAACCATCCTCCCCTTCAGTCATCGCCTGTCCGCCCACCGAATAATTCACCAAAGAAAAAAGAGGAACCAAAACCATCCATTTTGCAAAGGGTATACCCATGAGAAAGAAAAAAACAACCGCCCGGAAATATTGTTCAAAAATGTGCAATATGCGAAGTATTAAATGAGTGAATGAGAACTTGCAAAGTGTGGTGGTGGTGTTGGTGGTAGTGGTGTATGTGAGATGAGATGAGGTATATGTATCGTCATGGCGCTGGTAGTTTGTATTTGTGATGTTGTTTTGTGAGTGTGTATGTATGGTGGTGTGGTAGGACTGGTTAGATAGGTATTTTGGGGAGAGCGGCACGGGTTGAAGGATGGTCGTTGGGGAGAGAACCAACCAACACACCCAAACTGGGAGAAAACACGGCAAAGGATGGAAGCTCACTCGGCTTCCATCCATCCCGTCTAACCCACGCTCCTTCTCCCCCCACCACCAAGATCCAAATTTGGGCGGTTCAGACCCTTCCAAGATGTCCAATTTCATTCGACACACGGAATTATCGAGAAACAGCTTAGAAGAACCAGTAAAAGGTGGTGTAAGGAACGCTGTGCACACCGACACCAGCAACACCGCACTTTTGCCCCACGCCACCGGCTGTGATGACACGGTAAACCTGGGTGATCCCACTCGAGAGGCCCTTCCCGCTGTCTCCAAGCTGGAGCCAGGCCACGGCTCCAGTCTTGAGAGGGCCCTTGTCAGCGTTGGCAGGGGCATCCACATTATCCAACTTTGTCACACTGGCCTTGAGCCCGACCCGGTTGAGGTCGAACATCGGGGTGCTGCTGATGTCGAAGTAGTGATGGCCAAGATACTCGGCGATGGGAAAACCGAGCAGCTTCAGGTCCTCCTCCTTGGGGAATGGCGCTGTGGCATGAGCACCATACTTGGTTCCCGCGAGCTTGTTGAGAGTCAGAGGCTTGAGGAGAAGCGCAGAGGGGATCCTATCCCAGAGTGCTTTGGCAATGCCGGTCTTTGGCGTTCCTGGGGCGTACTTTGTCACGTCGTAGAGAATAGCAACGGCACCATCGGCCTTAGGGGCAGAGGTGGTGTCGACGCATGTGTAATTTTGGATACCATGGCCGACGGCAATCTTCTTGAGGGTGAAGCTCGGTGGTGGTGAGGGGAGTTCTCGGGCACCTGTTTCTAGTTAGCCTCCCGGATCCCTTTCTCTGTCATTTCGATCCAGGTTCTGTGGTACTTACCTCCAGTCTTGGGAAGAGTGGGCACAAATGTCGGTTGGCATGGGGCAGCATATGCTACCGTGGCCATCGCGGCAAGAAGTATCGACTTGACTGACACCATTTTGTCTGTGGATATGAAACTAGGGCTTTAATGCTTCCGGAGCAGAATATGTCGTTGAAATGAATCGAGTCCAGTAAGATAGAAAAGTATTAGACGATTGAACCGGACCGGGAAAAGAAACAGAAAATGAGATGGGAAAGAGATGATGATTGTGGTGTTGTCGAAGAGGCGGGATACGAAGCTCTTTTATCTTTTCCTCTGGCTGGGTGTTCGAATATCGGAAACTCCTCCACAAGGCTGTTCGGTGCTGAGTCGAAGGGGGATTTTGGATGCTGTGCTGACCCGGAAGGCACGGTCGAGGCAGGGAAGGTGAGGTTGGTAGAGAGCCAGGGTAGCAGTCAAGCAGGAGGAAGGCGTGGGGATAAAGAGAAAAAGAGGTCAGAGAGTTTCTGCAGGGCTGGTTTGTGTTTTGTACCTACCTCACCTCATGGGGGAACTCCTGCCTCCTCCCCCCATCCCCCATCCATCCATCGCTTGTACGGCAAGTCCCATGTAGGAAAGTCACCCACCTGCCTAGGACAAGAGAGAAACAGAAGGGAAAGAGCGTGCAGTGTAGGACAGGGATGCGGGAAAGTACAGGCGGCACGGAGGTACGTACCGGGCGCCATCTTTGGTACCTCAGTCGGCTGGGAAGGTAGGAACGAGTGCCCCGTCGGCAAGGGTGTGGAAGCTTGGGCGGCGGCAGGCCGCGTCCCACCGTTTATTAAGGTACCAACCTCGACAGGGATCAGTCGCGCACGAAATGGTGTTGTCCTCTTTGAGATCAATACTGCAACCTACGGAGAAAGGCCTACTACCTAGGTAAGGTAACTCGCGGCTTGGATATTTTGTCCATTCGGCCTGCCATTATTGCCGCTTTGACTTCCTAAGCTTCCCCAGACTCTTCAACCGCCCGAGTACCTTGTATTGATTAACAGACTCTGATAAAGAAGGCGGGGCAATTTCCATCTCCCGCCAGACTGTTATGGTACAGGCGCTTGGCCTTGACAACGGGCCTCATTCAGCAGAAGCTGGTTTGGACGCCCGTTGCAGGTGAAATGAGTGGTCTGGGGACATGCCAGGCGGCAGCAAGCCTCTAAAATGCCAACGGAGGTTCAAGCAAAAACCTGATGACAGCTGCGCCATTGATACCACCCGGGAGAATCATTCTCTCCCGGCCGGAAGGCTTGATGATCATGGCCAATCCATATCTTTTTCATGGACGTGGCTACCGAGACATACATAAGTCCATGATGCCTGACGAGCGAAGAAGTGGGAGTGAGAGTGCGACTGCGGGATTGCACAAGCGACCCGACCATCGAAAGCTGCGCGGCTAACTCGTTGGCTTGGCTCTTGGCAACGACGTGGTTTAACCTTGTATGGCATGGTCGAATCGTCTTCCCGCTGTAACCCTGCCACCTGCCCAGATCGATCATCATCCAACACGACATCCTACAACCAAAGAAAGGCTCACCCTAACCCTGAGCTTATGGGTAGCCGGAGAAAGCTCTCTTGATATTCATGAATGAGGTGTGCCTTGGGGAGGCAGGAGGAGTTGGTCACTTGCGTTGGTGAGACAGAACTGATCTGTGTACTGGGGATGTGGTCTTTGCTGCTGGTCCGTGCTGCTGACAGGAGGAGTTAGCTTTGAGCTTGTTCAGATCATCACCAAAGAAACCATCTCATGTCACCCCTCGCTTCCAGATTTCTGTTTTCGTCTTCGTGCTGCATCAGAGCCCAAGACACTCGCCGGTTTCTGAAACATTCTGACCAGCACACTGGGGAGGCATATTCTGTGTCACTGTCTCAAAGATATGATCTTCCCCTTCGGCAACGCACCCCGCAGACTTGCAGCTGCACGATGGCACGGCCCCACGCCCCGCTTGCGGAACAACAGCCTCGACCAGGTTTGCATCTTCTGAATTCCACGAGTATTCTTCCGCCGATCCGATCTGGGACTGGTCTTCGTCGTGGTTTTCTTGGGCTTCGGGTTCTGCTCTTGAGATCTCATTCAGAAAACCAAGAAACTAATCCCAATTGTAGGACGGAAGCCGGAACGGACATGCTCAAATCTGATCTCACGCACCGAAATGCATCTCAGAGGATGTCGTCTGACGCACCCTCTCATGGCTGACCACTGAATAACTAATCGTATACACACACACGGCTTTGGGGCTCACCAACAGCCTGCAAGTAGCTAGACCATCGGCAGAGCTCAACAATCTGGTTGTCAAAATCCCCCGGAGCCGTGGGGTGGTTGCGGCGTGAGTTTCTTCGTGAGGGGCGGCGCAGGGCGACCACCTCGAGAAGCAAGCAACCCCTTTCTCCGACCAACTGGGACCCTGCGTCTGCAGCCAGGGGAGCTGCAACAGTGGCACAGGATGTCCATACGGACACCACAAAACCGCACAAGGCTCGACAGCTTCACGCAGCAGGGACTCTCGACACCGTGGAAAAGAAGCCATGGCCAGACGCAATGCTATCGATACAAAGTTTTGTCTTTGTCGCCTCTCTCCAACTCACTGGGGGTTGTATCTCTCGCGTTTTGAAGCCACAACTCTCAAAGTCAATTCTCGCCATATCCAACCTCGGATCCTCAACACCCTCTTTTTACACAGACTCTGTCGGTAATGTTTTGCATGTCTGCAGAGATGTTTCCTTCTGCACGTGAGCGATTTGGTTCCGTTTCAAGTCTGTGAGTAAAGTTTCTTGTTTCAATCTACTGATTGTTTACGCACTGACATCAAGGGGTAAAGTCGCCGACGGATCACTCTTGATAAACCCCCCGCTGCGTCCAGAACTTCGAGCTGGGGGCGCAGTTCAACATCCAGAAGACATCATTGTTGGCTCGCCTGCAAACACGAGTTCTCTGAAACAGCTCTCTGCGATGTGCCTACCACCTGCTCCTTAGCTCAACATGCTTCTTCATCCATCGCAGGAAAGCCCGAGTAACTTCCAACCCTTCACCGAGAGGCCGCACTCACAATGATGAATAACCAGTTCTCGGTTACACGTGCACTGACCTCTCGTCTCAATTCTTCAGAGGGGAAGAGAATACAGTACTGTGCCGCAACCCCACGGTGCGGCTTTCCAGAACAGGCTTCTCACTCGCCTCTTGGATGTCTGCATGTGGTCATGGCCGTTCTCTCGGACTTCGACCAGCCATTCTTCTATTCGCTAGCTGGTTGCGAGGATCCAGCACATACAGGCACCGCTCAGATGCTCGCCGTCACTCTCCTTGTAGGCTTCCTACAAAAGTGGTGCAACCAGATGCCAGCAGACTGACTAATCGCTACACCACCACAACACACGCAGATGAACTTGCTTATATCGCTTCCAATCGAAAAACATTTACAAATACTACCGCAGTGCAGATGCGAATGCGATCAGTCAATATTCCAAGCATTGCAGGATTACACAACTTTCGCTAGTGGCGCAAGTCTGACCAATGGCGGAGATATTGGCTGCATTGCGGGCGCTTAGAAGCGCGGTCAACTGCAGTAGTCGTCCGATTTCTGTTGGCACCAACCTATCGCCAAAACGGGGAGCTTTGCCGCAGAACCGCGATATCAAATTCTTGATGGGGAAAACTGGGCATCTCTGCTTCTTCTGCCCTTCCATCGTAGGCGTCCAAGTTGCTCCAGGTATCGCTTCCTGCATGTGACAATGTTTCTTTGCAGCTACGGATCCTTCGCATCCGGCGGTGAGGGTGACCAGTTTCTTTTTTCTTGGTGACACTTTACACCTCACTGCTTCGCAAGTTGCTAGCGTCGAGGAATCGATAGCCAACATGTATTACAGCGGCAGAGGAGACTCTTAATTGGTCTGTTGGCGCGGTGCCTCGTCTATCGTGTTTCTGAGGAGAGGATTAGCCGACCCTCGCGCCGGCCCGCCAGCTTCCTTTTCTTTATCTCCCTGTCGATATTGAAGGTTCTATGCAGATATGCTGTGAGGAGCTCTCCCCATCGGGGCCTGTATCCTGTGTTACTTACCATGAGCCCGGTGTTGATGCTCACATGACATTGAGCTCCTGCATCCTGGATGGCACTGGGTGAACTTTTGGTTTGGTGGGTGTTGGGCCCGATGCAGTTTGCCTACCTACTGATAATAGGAGCTATTGGTGGCCACGTCGCTGATATGCTGCTTGCCCTACCTATATTCCAGACTCTTTGCCTTGCAGGCAGTGCAGAACAGAAGAAAACCATCCTCTTCACTGTCTCTTGATCTCTGTAGAAGTGGCCGTGTGAATCGCAATAGCCAGACACTGATCCCACGACTACGGAGCCGAAACAAACAGTAGCCCTTACAGCTGGATGCGGGTAGCTTGATAGGTAGTTCTTGGGGTCATTGATCCCGCCGTTCGTAGCACAAGACGCGCCTGAGGCTTGAGGGAAGGATCAAGTAGCAGTTGTACCAGATACTTGTGATACTTGAAGCCGGGGGCATGGGGGAAACGGTGGGTCGACGGTGGATATTCAGGCATCCTTATTGATAGCCCAGCATGTGTCTGCCATTGTTGCTTGTGAGGAGGCACAGTACATCATGTCTCGTGCTTTGCAATGTAAGTATTTAGCGTTCATGGGATCTGGTAGATGTGGGTGTGGGTGGCTGCGAGGGAGACACCTCTTTGGAGATTCTTCATCGCCGCTGTGGAATGGAAGGTGGCAGCAAGTTCTGGATGAGACTGAATTCTCTCAGCTGGGTCCATAAGAGTGAAAGCGTTCGAAGGAGGGAGTTGACATCTAGTAGCCGCCCCTCAACGGGCAGGCAGCTCTCAGATAAGACCTCTTTAACATTGCGGGAATACTCAGTCGTCCATTCTGGTGGCCGCTGTAAACAGGGCTGTGCCAGCTACGAGCTTTATCCAAGGCAGCAAGCCTTCTCGTCCAACATAGCTCCAACATCCTCCTCAAGGCTGGATTGTTGTCCTTGACAACCAACCAGCCATACAGATAGCCGCCTAGACGCGCCTACATGTTGGAGAACCAAGGCAAGGGATGGTCGATCGTGTGGCTAGGCGCCCCAACAGCATCATTCACATGGACTTCCGGATGGACTAGCTGGTGTATGGTGCGTTGGCGTGTGCTGATGAGCGCGGGGGTCCTGCAGATTTGATCCTTAAACCATGTTCTGGGGTGGATGAGAAAGGCTATCAACTTCTGGGGAAATATCGTCATGCTTGGTCTCTCTGGCAGGCATACAGATGATCACGGCCTGTAATATGTATGCTCCCTCATAGGATATCGGTACCTGGGGAGGTTCTTTGTTGGCCGACTTTTACTCATGTGAGATGCAGTTCGCGACATGCGGCACGCGGCAAAGTCGAGGCCGGTTGATAGGGCTGTTATTTACTCGAACATCATTTGTCTATTTCAAAAGATTGAGAGTCTCTTATCAAGATGCTCTGACCTTGCGTGATGTATCTTGGCTTTCATGTCATGTGCCTGCTGTTCCCGTAACCCGATGCAGCACGAGAGAGAACTCCAAAGGCATTTCGCTAGCAACAGTGGGAGAATTTTAGGTGGACGAACACCACAAGTAGTTGAATCTCTTGTTTACAGCAAGACTTGCATGTGTTTACGTTGAAGTTGTTGCGCCGAATCCCGTGGTTGTTCACATGGTGTTCTGCATGTGGCCCCCCATGTACACATCGCTATTCTTCGTGACCAGCTGCAGCCCCATGCCCAAAGCTTGGCGGGGAGAGTTGAAAACCCCGGACTTGAAATGTCTCTTGTATTCCCTAGGCTGACTATGGAAGAGTGGTGAGCTATGTGCAGGCAGGTGAGGCACCCGCGGGGGCGTTGCCCTGTGATCCGTCTGAACAGATTACCAGAGCGAAAAGCTTACCTAAGTTAGAGCTTTAGGCCATGCGTCAAGAGGTTTTGAGTCCAGGACTGTAAGGCAGTGGCCATTACCCAACACCACTTAGTAGTCACTCAATGCTCGAAGCCATTCAGGGGCACTCAGGGGTTGTTTACAGTGAACGGTCAGCGACCCACCAGTGAGACTTTCACGGCAACCAGAGCTCCATTAACCCGAACCCCTCTGCCCCAACAACACTCAAGTAAACCCACCTTGCCACGAAGAACAATGAAAATTATGCAAGTTGTCTCAACAACTTGTTGGTTAACGCAATATAAAATGAACAGAAATTCCAGAACTTTTGGTGAAATCCAACGGAAATGGGCCAAATAACTGTCCGACGCCCGTAACAAGGATGGTGTAAAAACCGAACCTCGGTTCATGCTGACTGCCTGATTGGCCAATGCCCTGAAAAGCAGCCCCACGTCTGTCTTATCAGCTGCAGAGAATATCTTATCGATCAACTCACCTTCAGTCCCAAGCCTTCGGACGCGACACGCACTCGACGAACAGATCAGGCAGCCCGATCCGATCAAAATCCACACCTCCACACGTCACTGAACGGTCGCCAGGAAGACCCTACCTCCTTTCCGGTATTTTCGGCCTCGAACCCCTGTACGAGAACGTCAACAAAAAAAGTCCCCGTTCAATGATATAAAACCCTTGCCCGGCCCTGCCGTGGGCCGCGATGGCAGTCGACGTAGTCCAGTCAGTCTTTTTCGCTGCCTCCAAGTGTAGCAACACTCTTTTCTGCTTCGGACGATACATCTTCGTCTGGGCGATCGCCTTGGTCTTCATTCTTGCCGGCGCGCTGCAATATCGGCTCTCTTCGCTATTCCCCAGGAACGGAATTTCTACGGAACATAAGAAGGCGTGATTTTGTGACGGAGAAACCGAAATGGCTGTCGGAACGCTCTCTCTCTTTTTCCCCGTCTTCATCCCGGCCGCCACAGCGGGATTGGTCTATGCTGGTCACCGCGCAACTTACCTCAACTGGAGGGCGATCTTGACCGAGTTCCTCACGGGACCTGGTCGGACAAGTCGGATCCTACTTCTGCTGTTTTTGGGTCTCAACTGGAAGAGCTTGCCCCTTGGGTGGACGGTATGTATCTCGTGATATTACCTGGTGACACCAAGCTGACATTTGCGCCGCTAGGTTCGGATCTTCCATTCCTTCATTTTCCACTTCGCGCGCCGCCCAAAGACTCTTCCTCAGCGCGCCCTCTTCCACTACAGCGTTACCTCCTCTCGTACCTCTCTCCTCGAAACCGACTACAACTTCCACAAGTCCAACTCGACCTACTTTGCCGATGTCGACGTTTCGCGTTCCCACCTGGTCACTCATCTGCTGGGCCCATCCATGCCAATCATTGGCGACAACGAGAAGAACAAGCTGGTTCTGGACAAGGATGGCAAGGTGATTAAGGGGAGCTTTGGCATAGGCCTGGGAGCCGTCTTTTGCTCTTTCCGCCGCGAGATTGGCCCCATGCAAGGTTACGAGATGTGGAGCAGAATCGTGAGCTGGGATCGCAAGTGGCTTTACATTGTGACGCACTTTGTTGTCAAGGGCAAGGTCAAGCCTACCAGCTGGGACGGCAGGTGGAAGGGTCCGACACGCAGCAAGATCCAAAAGGCCGAGGATGGGTCGGCCGTGGAGGAGCCGGATTGGAGCAAGTACATTCACGCCACTGCCATCAGCAAGTACGTGTTCAAGCTAGGGCGCTTCACCATTCACCCTTCGATCATGATCCAGGCTGGTGGCTTGTTGCCCGAGAGACCAGGTGGCTGGAGAGGTGGTGAGGATGACTGCGGAGACCTGGTTGACTTGGGAGAGATCGATGCTGAGGGCGAGTGGGACTGGAAGAAGGTTGAGGCTGAGCGGAGAAAGGGTCTGGATTATGCTAATCACTTTGGGGCGTTGGACGGCACGAATCTTTTGTTTGATGGTGGCGAGGATGGCGCTATTGGCAACTTCCCTATTGGTTAAGGGTAAAAGATTTAGGAAGGGTGGTATTTGGATGCTTAGAAGGCGGAAGAGACATGATACCCATTTTTGTGTAGGGAGTTCAGAGATGGTATTGTTTAGATTTGAGAGACAGCGCGCTAGCAGGTGCTCGCAGCGGCTGATGTCTGTGGCAAGAGATGCCAAAATACATCATTATTCTATGGCAGGGGTTCAGCTAACAATGTTGACATTGTTACGCTGACATCGTCTTTTCTTTGCAAGCCACAAATCCATCTTTGCTCGCACCACTGTGGGTGATCAAGCCCTCGACCACGCTATCGTCATCGAAAATCACGCGGTCGGGCCCTGGAGGACCAGAGGTGTATATGTCACCTGGCATGATGGGATACTCGAAATAGGGAGGCTCTGTGACAAAGTCGAAGGCCTCGAGGTTCTTGAACTGGTGGGGATAGTAGCCTGTATACACGCGGTTGAGCTAAAAAAAATTGCATGTGCTATAGTCAAAAGAAGAGATTCGAGACAGCCCGAAAACCACGTACCGACATAGCTAGGGTCATGGAGCAGAGCGTATCCCAAGGCAATGGCGCGGGAGACATCCGAAGAGTTATACGTATGAGCGCTGCAGCTCCAGGTTGTTGTGTTTATGTCGCCTGTGGTCACTAGGATTTGGTGACCAAGTGGTGAGGCAATGGCTGGTAGGGCTGGAACATGGGCGAGAATGGAGAGAAAGAGCCATATGGTGTTAGCTGATGTGGGGGTAGGGTGGTGAGTGCTGGGGCCCAAACGGCCCACGATTAGCAACTCACCTTGATCATTTCGAACTAGATGAGTTTTTTGACATCGATATTCTGTTTCAAAAAGCAAAAAGCCTGGTGTCTTGATGGGGAAGTAGGGGATCGCGGCTCTCTTATCATTGCTGGACAGTGTTATTATATGCAGTCTCACATATCGGATACAACGGCACACTGTGGACTTTCGGACCACACATGAATTTCGTGCGCCTAAATACACACGGCAATAAACATCTGATGTGATGAAGTGAGTACCTAATCTGATGTTCTTCGGATATGTCGAGACTATCTCTCATACTTGTGGGTTCAATGCAGTGAGGGTTAGGGTTATTATGTCTACGCGTTTAGGGCCTTCAGGGGCTCAGGGGGTTGACTCGCAGACGAGTAAGGGGTAACACATGGGGCCAGAGCAACACTGAAAGTCCACATTTAAAATGTACAAAACCTGACTCGTTTTACCAACACTTTCAAAGCTATTTCCACAGCTTTGATATGGGATCCTCAATTTTGTCAACAGCAAGAAGTCGTCGCTGGAATGCAGACCCGACATGCAATTATGCGGTCACGGCGCCGAGACAAGATGCCTCGGCAAACCTCCGGCATCGCCTTCACATTCTCCAACGGGAGTGGGTTCCCGATTCCACATCTCGTTTCTAGTCAATCCGAACAATCGATATGGTTGATATCGCAATCCCCACTGCAATTCTCTAGTATTTCAGCCACTCACTCACATATTTTTGCCATCACGACTCATTCATTCTTGATCCGTACATCCCGGTGGCCTCTACCTATAATTCTCAAACGTAACCCCTGACCGCAGCACGACAAAATGGCATCCTCCAAAGCCTCACCATCACCACCACCATCAACAACCGAAAGTAAACAACAAAACCCACAATCAGAAGAAATGGTCACCCCAACCGCCTCAGACATCTCCTCCGTCCTCGACTCCCCGGCCAACAAGGCCCAAGAAGCCCACCACATCGCCTTCTTCAATTCAATACCCTGGTGCTCCTCCCTCCTCGGCTCCAACCCCAACCTCATCATCTCCCAGTCCGTCTCCCGCATCATCCGCCCGTCTGGGTGCGAGGAGGACGCGCTCATCTCGCAGACGCTAAACTCGCCGGACGCCATCCCGGCCTACATCACTTTTTACTCTCCCCCTCCCAAACCGACGGATTATGTCAATGAGGTCAAGTCGCTTATTGCCTTGGGACCGAAGGTGAATGGGTGGGAGGGTATCTGCCATGGGGGGATTGTCATGACGCTTTTGGATGAGGTGATGGGGCAGATTTTTGCGGTCAACAAGGACAGCGGGGCGATGGGGAGCAAGATGCCGCTTTTGACGGGGTATCTGAACACTGAGTTTAAGAGGCCTGTGAGAACAGGGACGAAGGAGAAGCCGGCGATTGTGTTGGTTGTTGCTAGGATGACCAAGATCGAGGGAAGGAAGCACTTTTGCGAGGGGGTGGTGTATGGGGATGAGGAGGGGAGGAATGAGCTGGCGAGGGCGGAGGCCTTGTTTGTGCAGTTGAGGGAGCAGAAGCTGTGAAGAGGTAATTTCAAAAGGGTATAGGATATATGCATCGTGGTGTTTTGATAGAGGGAGCGATAATGTTGGAGAGCGAGGAGCTTGGGGTTGCTTGCATCTGAATAGACTACATTGGGAACAGTCCTACCTAATAGATAGCATGGAGTAAGAATTACCGTGGTACCGGTTCGCAATTTCAATTTCAAGCGGCGGCCAACCTGGAAGACATTGAAATATGTTGAGTCTGCCCACCCAACCTGTCCAGTACCCTCGCAAGATTCATAAACTAAAGCTTCTTGCCAGCTGGGATTTCAATTGTATCTCTCTTATGAAGAATGGCGAGTTTCTCGATCATGATATGTCTGTCCTTTTCAATGTCGCTTTCAACTTCATTAAGATAAATCCCGTGGACTTGTGAACCGTTCATGAGTGGCTCACTTTTCTCAGCCAAATCGTATATGTATGTGTCAAGACGCAAGATACAGCACCTAACGCCGTCCGCCATTTGCACTGACAGGGAGGGAAGCGCGCGGAGAAAGTGCCCGTATCTTCACAAGATAAACTTGGTCTAAAGCAGAGGTTTCATGTACCACTGTGTGCGGCAATGTTTTATATGTCCTGTTTTTATTAAGATACTCATGTACATGAAACCATGATCCAATCATCACCAAAAAACCAAATGATGGAATAAAAAGCAAGCCTAATTATCTTATAGATAAAAATAGAGCCTTGATGATAGCACGCACATACATCACATTAATCTAACCTTTGCCCAAGATCCATAACACCATCGCTCTTAACCCTCGAAAGTAGCAAAAAATAGAGATAAAAACAACAAAACATCACTCGCAACCCTCCACATCGGGGTCAACATCAGTTTCCCCATCACTAATCTCTGTCTTGCTGCTGATTGAACCATCAATGTCAATCGTAAAGGCCTTCTGGACTTCCTCTCCCAGCCTGATGACGTCTCGCCTGCTCTCTCTGTTCACAACCAGCAGATGAGCAACATATGTCCTTGCCCCATCTGTGTAAAGATCAACCTTGTCTCCGGGGACACAATAGTCAACGCCCAGAACAATCTTGTCTGCCAGGTCCGGTCTTCGGCGCTTGAGCTCCTCGCATGGGGCTAGCTTTGACGGCCATTGCACAGTACCAGCGGCTGGAGCAGGAATGTATACCAGTCGAGACCAGTACTGTGCTCCCCTTTTCGAATCATTGGTGTTGTCACCGAGCACATGGCTGTAGGGCCTAGTGGTCAGTCGTAACCTGTTCTTATCACCCGCAGCAGCCAGCATGTGTGCAGCAAAGTAGTCCACGCCGTATGTATGACGTGTTGGAACAGTGACTCGGTATCCAGGCGGGCGGGCATTGATCTCGATCAGCTTGCACTCGGCTCCCGACTCGGGCAAAGATTTGGCGTGCTTGAGGACAAGATCGATCACGCCATCTTGCTTGCGGTACTCGAATGTGGAGCTCACCATTCTCGCCTCGACATGGAAGACACCGGTGCAAAATCCTAGATTGACAAGAATATCTCGGAGTGTCGACTTTGCAATGTCTTGTTCCTGGGCAGGAAGGGCGGAAGGGAGAGTGAGGGCCTCTGGCGAAAAGGTTGAATGGACGGTAGCAGCGCTCGAGTCAGCATCGCAGGGTGGTTCATCTGCGATTTCGGAAAATAGAATCTCCCCGTCGAGAAGCACAAAGTTGACATCCATTTCTGGACCATCAAAGAAGGGCTCAATGACGGCCGCACTGCCATGTCGAGAAGTAGCCTTTTGAACTGCAGTGGCAAGATCGGCGAGGTTGTTGACTTTTGACACGCATTCCGAGGACCACCCTTTGGTGGGTTTGACGATAAGGGGAAATCTGGGGATGAACTCGGCCTGCTGGTTACCTCCACTTGCTAGCAAAGACTCCAGCTCTCTCACATTGTGGACTCTGGCAGTCTGACAAGGAACGTTCTGTAGAAGCCGTGATCGATATTTGTCCACAGATGTCTCAAAGGCGGCCACGGGACTGGTGGGGAGTCCCAATGCCTCTGCGACCTGAGCCACTGCCACAAAAAAGTTGTCCGACAGTGTAAAGACACCATGGATGGGAAGAGGGTAGCTGACAATGGACTGGATGATGCGGTCAACCACTCCTGCATCCTCTGTCATGTCAGTGACAAGGAAGGCTTCCCGATGCATCTTGTTTTCTTCTGTGTCTGCTTGAAGCCAATGGCCCTCTTCGTCAACGATAACCAAGTCAAGACCTAATGCTTTGGCGGCACGATAGACTGGACCTCCTGCCGTGATGTTTGGTCTACCGCGAATGAGCGCCACCCGTTGCCGGGGAATTGGTGTGCTGGAGAGCCATGGTGCATTGTGAAGACGATCACGCAGCTCCTCGGTCAGCCTTGTCCTGTAAATTTCCAAGTCGACGAACGAGACAGAGGTTGGCAAATCCTCCCATTGAACAACTCCAGCAGCCGACTCAACCAACGTGGCAAGATCATGTTCTGAGGTAACCGGGCCCGGGGCGGGACAAGTGGCAGAATATTTCTGTAGTGGGCGCAAAGGCTCATGGGTCCGTAATATCTTGTATGGGAAATCCTGGAGGCGAAGTTGGAGGAAGTCGGATCGGGTCACGTAGCCGTTGGTAGTAGGAAGAACAATGGTAAAAACAGATATGGCTGAAGCAGACCAACTGGGAGAGCCAAGACCGATGGTTTGTAGAGCCTCAATGAATGGGCTTGGCGGAGTGCTTCTGAGCCCGGTGCTTCCGATTCCGTTGTGTTGAGAATAGGGTTGGGATGGGTTTTGCAGAGCTGAAGATTGTGAAGAGGATGGGAAAACCACCACGTTGGCGATGGAATACAGCTCGCAGAGGGGAATAACCTCGCCAAACAAGGGCCGATAGAGATTGGTTGGCCCTGCAGAGATTTTAGCAATGCTCACTTGGCGGACAGGAAGAAGGGCTGGCTGTTTCTTACTGCTCAGAGGTTGTTGTGTAAAGGTAGATGTAACCGATGAGATGCTGCTGGTCAGTTTATGGCCCAGACTGGCCCTTTCACCAGAGAATGTTCCTACTGCCATGTTGATGCCACGATGTTGAACAGTGGATCGTTTGGTGAGTCAGAGAACAGAGAAAGAGCAAGAGTGGGAAGGTTTTGGGGACGGAGGTGAGTGTGTTGGAATCAGGAGCAGAAAAAGGGCGAGAGTTGAGGGAAAAGAAGGCAACTTGGCAAGAGCAAGGCGACAATGGGACAGGCTGGATATTTTGTTGCAAAAAAGGATGCCACGACCAGACCACCAAACGAGGGTTGCTCACCGCTGGACCCGGACCTAAAGAAGATTCCAAGACATCCAATGCCGCGGAAGCAGTGGAACAGGGCACACAATACCTAGCTTGCATCGGCTGCGTCATGGGGGCACGCAGCAGTACTGAGACGTCGATATTGGCACGGCATGACGGGAGTGAGACTCACGGGCTGATTGAGCCGGAGACGGAGATTGATCTAGAGGGTGAGAACCTTGATGGGCTCCATCTGATAATCTGCGATGATCTGATAAGCAAATTTAGACCCACTTGTGCCCTTGCGACCCCGGCCACACCCCTATCTCCTTCCCCTGTGTTCCCGTGCCTGGCCCTTTCCTTTTTCTCAACGTCTGTGCCCCCTTGCCTGTGGATTGCTCTTGCCCCAAATATTAAATGCTCAACCCCGTACCTTCCGGCAGAGCAAGCAACAACGGCTCCGTTAGGACTTGCCATAGGAAAGAATGGAGCCGATACCGCAGCAGACACAGAGAAGAGAGGTGACATTGGGCCACGACCGAGTGAAACATGCGGCTTCGGATAAAATTTGTCCAGACAGCCAAGAACCTTGACGGCTGGAATCAGACACCTCAGTGTGCACCTTGATGGCCATATTCTGCGGCTTCAGCATTAAAAGATGATCAAAACGGCTGGTTGGATCCTCTGCGGAGGGCTTCATCTCCTTCCCAAATTGACTGACGGCCTCAAAAAAAAATAGCGCTCATCAAGGGGAATGGAACACCGCTTGTCTAACAAACATGCGTCTCGTCCGGTCCTATGTGGGCACCCTGCGGGCTGATCTGCAGGTGCAGAGGCTGCAGCAGATATAGAGCGTGATGCTGCTGTTTACTTTGGGAGGTTTGCTGCTTGCGTGCAATTCCACCCTTCTCGAAGAGCAGCAATTTCCATGTTGTTGAGATCATCGGTCACACACTGCCACCGAGACCATCTCTGAGCAACTGCCACCACAATAGTCACCACACTTGTATCTCTTCCTGAGTGCCTATATCAAGCAGCAGCAACACTCTTGCCGCCATATCTTGAGTGACAAACCCTCACGGAATCTATTATCCCGAACACACATCTCAACACTCACAGCCGCACGCTCCGTCATCCGGTTTCACCCGTCACCATGCCTCTTCTTGCCTCCTGGCTGCGCATTGGTAGCCCCACAAAAAAGGTCGACGCATGTTCTCGTTCGTCCCAGGATTCTTTAACTATTGTTGAGAAAGCCGACATCCTTCAGAGCCAGAAGGCAGATGCCAGGGAGGAAAAGGTTCAGTGGCTCGTCCGGAGTATCGTCAACACCCACACCGAGCTACTCAAGCTTCCGCACCTTCGTCCAGCGCCAGCCATCAATAAGCTCTTGGGTAACCTTGTCGCCATCTGCAGCGAGATCCACGACCAAGATATTGTAGACAAGGTGTGTCGAACTCATCACGGGAAACGTGGAAGACACGAGCTGACAAAGCCAAGGTTTTACAAAATGTGAGCGTCCAGGCTGTGTTACCGTCTCTTAGACAGATCTGTGCCCAGTCAGAATCATGTCTTGAGCTTCACTGGGCCGAACACATTCTGGAAGGCCAGACCCAGCAAGAAGTCGTCGAGCGCCTCGAGAGTTTTCCATACTATGAGAACTATGAGGATTTGACCCGACTAGAAGTCTGCTCCATCCTCTCGGCGACAAAAAAGGCACCGCGACGAGTTGCCTTCATCGGCTCCGGCCCGCTCCCTCTCACCTCGCTATGCCTTTTGCAGGCTCTCAAGAATGATGTGGCAGTGAGAAGCTTGACACAGCCAACCACCAACAACACCACCGCCACAGACAACGCAGCGAATCAGGAGCCAATTGTCCTCAACGTCGACTACGATGAAGCGGCTATCTCTGCGTCTCTCAAGTTGAGCCTTGCTCTGGGAGAGAGGGGGAATGGAATGGAATTCATCTGTGCTGAGGCAACCTCGGCTTCGGCGTCACGAGATCTCAGCGAGTTTGACGTCGTGTACATGGCTGCGTTGGTGGGAGTTACGCAGACAGACAAGGAGAAGATCATGCTGGAAGTGATCAGTCGGATGAGGAGAGGGGCGCTACTGGTTGTCCGCAGCAGTTGGGGCTTGAGGTCATGCTTATACCCAGAGGTCGACCTTGCAACTGAGACACTGCTGAAGAGGCTTGAGCCCTGTGTGGTAGTACATCCCTATAATCAGGTGGTCAACTCAGTCATCGTTGCGAGAGTGCGGTAGCCCCAATCTGGGCCGGACCCGGGGAAGCCGTGAGAGTCCAGTGAGCATTAAACTGGCGATAGAACTGCATGGAAGTCATTCTTAGACATGGTTGGATATTATACTGGTATAGTCATCATATTTCTCAGAGCGGTGATGTTAGCCATGGCGTGATCCTTCGCTTCAGCCGCAGCCGTTATCGGACTTCTGAGTACTCGGGATACGCTGGATCGATACCGTAGCAATGGGACCAATTTTATCCGCTCATGTCTTACCTACAACTGCGTCTTGTGGCTTTAGTAAACCGTCTTTGGTTTGAAGTGTGTGTGAACCAGTACGAGGCTTTAAGAAGATACGAATCAATAGTACGGGCTTCAAACCAATCACGCCTTTTCCGCTGCCACAATCTTGATGCATTTTACCTAAGATCGACCTCAGCCCTACGAACAGGGCTTGTTGAGGGTAAGCAAGCGGATAAATCCTCCGCCCGTAACCTGCTTGCTGCGAAGCTCGTGAGTGGATCGTGTTATGGGCTTGTTCGCACTCTGCTAATGCCGTTTCCAGCCACTCCGAAACATGTACCGAGATCTTCCAATGGGAAGTAAAGTCCGTCCACTGGGGAGCTTGGGAGCTGGGCGGTGCAGGTCACCAGCCCCTTCCCCGACAGCCTGACTAGCACGCCACATCTGGTGGGTGCAAGAAACCAGAAAGCGAAAAGGTTCCATTCACTCCAGTCCAGAACCTCAGATGCGAGTTCAAGATTTCGCTTTCTAACGACCTCACCAGGACTCGTACGAACCAACCCCAAGACAATAGAACACCACTGCAGCTCTGCGGCTGAGGACGAAGCGAGGGTAAGGTATGATGTTGTTGCTTGGCATTAATGAACCACAGCACTGGATTGGGCATCGTCATATACCTGCACTGGAATACGTGCAAGATCTCGTATTCCGGCAAGCGATGAACCTCATACATACCTCCCAAACTCATGATCCAGTGCCCGACCTATTACCCTTTCGATACCACTATGCCGACCGACTTTACAGAAGGAAACAGCGGTAAGTCGGAATTCGAAATGAAAGACATGTCACCACCACGAGACTTCAGGTTTGCAACTTTCTGTACGGTCCAAGCGGGCCAAGGCTCGTGATGGAGGATATGCATTTTTCATAGGATCGACACGTAGGAACGTGCCGTAAATGTTGTGTTCTAGGTGTGTAGAGGTTGAACATGGCGGTGTACTCTGTGACTGGCGAACTACACCGAGATGGACTCGGGAGGCCCAGAAGGGAACTTGAAAGGCGAACACTCAGTGGGCTGAGGTACGTCTATTGCTTCGCCGAGAGCAGGTTTACTCAGTGTCTATTCTTAGCCCGCACCTTTGTCTTGAGGATGGAGGCCGTGGGGAGGCAGTGTGACGATGATGTTATGGTCATGAGCTGGAATGAGTGTCGTGATCTCTCGGTGTAGGTGAGGATGGAACAGGAGGTCGATGTGTATATAACCTCGCCCTGGTCCGTCATCATTCTCATCCGTCTCATCATCACTCAAACAATCTTCACACTCACAATCAGTTTAACAACCACAACAACAACCACCATTCCTCATATCCATATTCCAACTCAACCAATACACAAATTCAATATGTTCTCCAAGACTACCATCGTCGCCTTTCTCACTTCTTTGGCCCTCACTTCGGCCGCTCCCGCTGATGAAATCTCTGCCCGCCAGGCACCAGCCGAGATTGCTCCCACCACCGTCATCGGCCACGCTCTCGCTGACGCCTGGGACAACTACTGCTCTGCCCCTACTTCCTACGGCTATATCGCCCGCAACGTCTGGAACGGTCAGGAGTATGGCCAGACCACCCTCTTCACCTTCACCTACCCCGCCGCGTCGGCCGGCAAGCAGTGCTGGCTCGACTTCTACCACGCTCAGCCCAGCTGGATCTCCAACACCAACGGCATCCAAGTCGACGTCTTCACCTCTTGGGGCGAGAACACCTGCAACGCCGGCGACAAGTCCAACAAGCGTGACGCCAACCTTGGTCGCCTCAACGTTCCGGCTACTGGCGCGGCTACCTGGGCGGCCAAGTACAGCACTTCTTTGACTCAGAAGGGTCCTTGCAAGGCTCCTGGCTCCGTGGAGAGGCTCGAGTTGGTGGCTGTCGGGGATAACACTGGACTTTCTTACCCTCAAGGCCCTGGTGCTGGGTTGAGGATCCTGTACGCCTAAAGGGATTCAGTTCACTTTCTTTCTTCAAGGGGCTGGAGTGAAGGGTGGTTTATGAGATCATTTGATCGCTTTCTGGACTTTCCTTAACATGTGATATCATTACGGTACTTTTAAAGCATACTTTCCTTTTTAGTTTTTCATAGACAAATAGTCACTGGTCAGGTTTTATCGATAACAATTCTCCGAACGTGGTTCCTTGTGATGATTGATAACGAACTGGGAAATGGAAGGCATGACCGGTAAGACGGGCCGGCACTTGCTCTGTGGCGGGCATGTCATCACTTTGGAAGCGACAACCCCCATCTGTCCTGCTTGTTCTTGCCGGGCAGTTCCCACTGGTTGGACCCCAGCTGCATGGAAATATCGGCCGAGTTTGAAGAGTTCATTCCGCCCCTCCCGAAAAGAATCGACCTTCAAACCTGTACGAATTCACGCACGAAACACCTAACGAGCTCAAAAGGGAAGCAGCCCATCCAGGCAATAGTTCTTTCATGAGCCGACGAAAGCCAGGCTCAAAGCTCCATGCTATGATCGCCGCCTCGACGATCATGATCTTCCCACCATCTTCCTCAAAGTGGGGTTGCATTCTTTGCTTTTTAGGGTTGCGATGCATCCGACTTTGAAGCTGACCTTTTGGTCATGAAGATTTCCCAATACTCATGTCTTTCCGCACAGTGACGAAACTGAGACAGCAATGCTGAATAATACGTAGGTCTTCTAAATCTACTCATCCCCTCGATTTTTTCACGATTCTCGGCCGATTACTAAACAAGATCAACGTTGAAATAGGCTCGGCAAAATCAAGATAAGCTTTCTGACCCAGGCGGAAGGGCACTGTGGCGAATATGCACTATTTGATGTGACGAGACACACTACTGACAAGGGCTTATTCAGCTTACAGTGACAGAATTTCTCAGTGTTTGTGAGTGCTTCACGCCCAGGTGGAGGATTTGGAGCTGGGACTTTCAAGCGAAGTGGCGTCGGTGTTAGCGTGCCTCTTTGCAGATGCTGTGATGCGAGCCACTCGTCACTGTCGTGTGGTTCGCCAGCGATCCCATGTCCTGCAGCTCGAAAGAGGGCTTGCAGTTCGAATCGATAATGCTCGTGGGCACAACAGAATGACTATCGAAATTGTGAATTCCTTCCCCTCGCTTTTCCACTAAAGTCGAGCGAGACCGAGACACGGATATCGCGGAAGTACCCTTCTGGTCGTCCTGCCCGCTGATGCTTTGTCGGCATGTCCAAAAAGCCAATGAGACGCTGTCAACCCGACGATCCTGCTGCCAGCTTGACGCACGTCAGACATGAAGTTCTATTCAATGTTACTCATCTGCTGCTCCAAGAGAACCATTACCACCATATGGTGGGGGCGATGTCAAATGCAGCTGGACGCCAGAGACAGCATCTGACCTAGCCTGTTTAGGTGTCACCGCCCTTGCTGTTGAACATCGTCAAGTCCAGACTCCCAGTTGGTCGGTAACCTTCACCGTTCCGGCACTACGACAGGGCTGGACAGTAATCGTAGCAATGACTCGGCTTTGCCAAGCTCGATACCCTTAGCTGCCGCGGAGGTGGGTGGATCGGGAGCGAACTGGGACAGGCATTTGAAGCATGGGCCTTTAACACACAGCAAATACCCAAGACAACATTGGCTGTGTCTCACCTGGGTGAGTTCCTCTTACACCTCCTCCCCCCTTCACCCGGCTCTTCAAACTACTTTTCTTCAGTCACTCGGACAGCCTTCTCAGCACCACGACTATCCAGGATTGCATCTCGGGGAGGTCGCGGGAGGTGCCAGCACACCTTCCATTTACATTTCTAGCATGGCCAAATCGGCAGAGGCACGATGGCATCTCGGCCACTGGGTGCTCCTTTTTTCTCTGCCCACACCATCGCTCTGCGGTTCCATGGCAGCTTGGTGGACTGACCTCGGGCCCTCGCTTGTTCTTCAGAATGCTTCAACCGGCCTCCTCACCTATTCCTTCTGTAACAGCAACGGCACTCCCATCTATCCACAAGATCCACCAATCGCTCTCAGGACCACTTACGCCCCCAAAAAGGGAACATCACTGGCGGCTACTGGCTGGTATGATCAAATCGGGTCGACGTGGGCCTCGGTATTCTACCAAAACAACAACGATGACATTGTCAACGCTGTCTACAAGTGTGACAACAGAACCGGATTGTACGACCAGCAAGAGAGCAATGTCATCTCGGACAGACGAGGGACCCCAAGCCCCCACACGGATTCAGGAATCTCCGTCACTTTACTGGGGGAGCAAGAGGGTTATAGGGTATTCTACCATGACAGATCGAAGGCGCTCCAGTCATTGCAATTCAAGTCAACGGACGGCTGGTCTTATGGAAGTCCGGTATCGAGCAACACAAATCGGTCAAGTATGGAGATCCATTCGCAATTTTCGGGTGTTCGTAACGTCACAGTGGTGACCCCGAGAGACGCTCGAAACATGGAAACAGCCCGTCTCAACGTGGACAGCACCTACTTCATCGGTAATTTTTTCCTTTGCCAAACTGTACTGAGAGAAGTTCTAACAGGGCCCGTAGATACGTTTCCAACACCACTCAAAGGAGGACTCAACAATACCAGCGCCTCTAACCGGACTTCATTTCCATATGATACCTCCGCAACCCCTTCATTTGAGCTTGAGGCGTGGGATGGCAACCCAAAAGCAATCGGCATTGCTATTGACACTGACACGACCCGTCACATTTTCTACATTGGAACCGATCGCGCGGTCCACTGGATTGCGGCGTTCGTCTCGGCCTCGGTTGAAGGTGGTTTTCGCGCTCAGGCGTCTCAGAACACCGACGTCTGGCCTTTGGCTGACGAACCAAATTCCGACTTCACCATTGCGAGTCACATCGAAAGCAGCAGCATTCGACTGTACTATGTCAGTGGAGGCCGTATAATCGAAACGAAGTATCGTGATGGAAATTGGGACCGAGCCGCCCCTGTGGAGAGTGCCAACACGACGATCATCGCTGATGAAGGTGCTGGTACGGGTGATGCTGGTCTTACAACGGGAGCGAAGGCAGGTATTGGTGTCGGGGTCAGTGTTGGTGTCCTTCTCATCGGCGCAGCAGCAGCAGCTTTTTGGATTCTTCGAAAGAAGAAGTCCACACCCCCTGACGAGGAGGCCACAACAGCTGCCGACAACACAGCTGCTACGGTTCCGCCCATGTCTGAGACGGGAAGTCAAGGCGCCTCCTCTCCAACAGCTGGTGTCGCGCGCACCGGTAGCGGACTCAGTGCAGACAAGTGGGACGCTGAAGTCAAGGACAAGCCGCTTACACCTCCACCGAGAGAACTTGAGAGTCCGAATCTTGCGTCTGAGCTGCCGCATACCAATGACAGGAATGAGCTTCCTACTAAGCATCATGTCACGGAGCTACCTTGATACCTGAGGGAACAAGCTCCAGGAGACATATTGAAAGATAAAGATAGAGGTGGTATGGCATGGCGGCGCATGGAGTTCGTGGGGAGCGGATGTGATATGTGGATGTACATGGTGATATTCAATGAGTCTAGAACCTATCATTCTTGCTCACAGTACAAAGTTTTGATCTGCCGAAAGATGCTGCTGGCTTATTAACAGTTTCTTGATGCAATTCTTTTCAATAGTTTCTCCGAGTAGTAATTCAGATGCATTGGGTGAACCTGACTCGGCAAGGGTTTCCCAATGTTCAACGGAGAAACAGAGAGTAAAAAAGGAATGAGACATGTTACCTCTGTGCGCTACTGTACCCTCGTTCGAACCGTCAACTCATTCTGTTCCACTGCCTTCGTGGATTCTGGGAAGACACAGGGAGTGGCTGTGTGGGAAAGGAAGGTCCGCCGATCGTGAATGAGGTGACCGTCTCACTGCAGCTTGCTCATGCCCGACTTTGCGGGCTGGCCAATGGTAGGGGGACGCGACACACCCTTAACGAATACTCGGGATTTTGTGAAGCAGGACCCTCGGCAAAGAGGAAAGACTGACTTTACTGGACCGAATGGAGTCTTGATGGGGTGAGGGTGCTGAATCACGTGGACATGTTTGGTGCTTCATGTCAAAATTCTGCCGATTTCTCCTTGCACGCAGCAGCCATGGGATTTTGTTTCGCTGGGTAGATACGGTAGAGAGGTTTTTCCTTTAGAAACAGAAGTCATTGACTCTGTCGCACAGCATAGAATGGGCTCGAGGAATGGTAACCATCGTCGAGGGCTAGATTCATGTTGTGTTTTGCGGTTTTAGACATGTCGTACCACTCCACAGAGTCCAGACTTTTGTTGGTCGCCTCTCTGGCTCTGAGTAGAGCGGGGGATACTATGGTAATATTCTTTGCCAAAACAATCATCAGTCTATTGGGGAACGCGCTGAATCCTCACATTTAGTCTTCTTTGTTTGTGGACCGTGCACCCTGGTCATGGTGAAAAAGGGTAAATAGGGGTAATCTTGGCATCTCCACCTAGCAAGCCCCTTAGCTGAAACTAAAGTAAACAATCTGAACACCATCTCCAGTTCTCCGCAACTCCTCGGGAACCAGATATATAGTAGACCACTAGAAAAGGTCAATTTGTGGATGCAGGTACCCAAGCCACGATGCTCAAAGTTGTATGGACGATTGATCCAGGTGACTACCGGCTATATCCTCCGGGCTGAATGACAAGACATTTTGGACGTCACCCATTGGATGAACCAACCTGCTCAGGGCGGCTAGAATCTATATAACCTCCCCATTTCAATCTTCCATAGAGATTCCCCGCAGATCCATGCCGGTATATCGTGGTTGACGTTGGCCATGACTGTGAGGATGAATCAAGCTTGAAGTAGCTATATTTAGTTAACCAGAGAGAAAAACATGTTTGCTCACTTCTCATTCTCTATCCTCGCATGTGAAAGCCCAAAGAAAGTATCACAATGCTCACCCTTCTGATCGCCTCCCTCATCCTCGGGGCCACCACCGCCCTCTCCCTCCCCCGACAGGCCGACCCCATCGAAGAAGAAGGCTGCACCCGCGCCCTCCTCACCCGCTACACAGAATCCTACCTCTCTGCCCAAAGCATCGGCGACCCCTCCATCCTCTCCCCCTCCCCAGAAGTCTCCTACACCGAAGACTTCCGCGCCATCTCCATCCGCGACTCGGTGCTCAACACCCCCTTCCGCATCGCCCACAACCGCTCCCTGCTCGACACGACCCAATGCGCGACCTACACCGAGATCATCGTCACCGACCCCGCCAATCCCCGTGTGATTGGCACCCAGATCAGACTTGACGCCACGGGGGAGAACATCGTCAAGATCGAGACGTTGGTCACCAAGGAGGGCGACTGGGCGTTTAACGCGTCGCTGACGTATCAATACGCGGCGAGGGAGACGGAGAATAACTGGTGGTTTACCATTCCTGAAGCGGACCGCGACACTAGGGAAACGATCCAGGCTGCGGCGGATGCGTATTTGGATTTGTTCAATGACCCTACTGTTGTTGTGCCTTGGGGTACGCCGTGCAACAGGTTGGAGGGAAGCTGGTACACGGGCAATGGGAGCGCCACGGACAGCTGCAATGTGGGGGTTCCGTCTGGGGTGCCGATCACGCAGAGGAGGTATGTGATTGATGAGACGGTCGGGACGGTGGACGCGTTTGTGCTGTTTGGGACGCGGCCGGATAGCCATGAGTTTCGGGTTGAGAAGGGGAAGTTGAGGCTGGTGCATACTTTGACTGTGATGAGGAATGGGACTTTTGTCTGAAAAGGGGTGACTACCTGTAACATTGGTGATGGAATGGTATTCAGAGGCACAAAGTTCAACCGGCAAGTCTGACAGAACATAAATGGCGTGAGAAAACCGGCAAGTCCGCTTCACAAATTCTATCTCCTATCACGCTGAGCACCACTCAGTAGCAACGACATCTTCGTATCCATTGATTTTATTCCTATTGGCGAGTGTCCGATTACCTCCCCTGTGGCTCAAAGGATTCCCGAGTACTACCTTGCCTCATAGCTGACTAGGACCAACGTGGTCAACCTCTTGAGTGAGTGAAGCAAAGTCTGAAGTTCCTTACCTACTCGAACCGCTCATGGGGAAACACCTCGCGGTTGAAAGTGAAATCGTAGTCAATACCACGCTCGTCCATTGCCCCCTTAAACTCAAGAAGGTTTTCCTCGGTCCACGGTGTTCCAAAGCGCGTAACCTTGAACTCTTTGTTTAGCGACAGGTCGAAAGAGACCAGGTTGGGTACAAATTTGTCGAGTAGCGGCATTACGTCTTCGGGCCCGAAGTGGAACCTGCAGGAGAATTCGTTACTTCCACCGTCAAACCTGAAATGCTTCAGGTTGGGGCAGGCCTTGATGATGGGTCGCAAGCTGCGATTCTTCAGATATGCTTTGGAAAGTGTAAGGCGAGCGAGCTTCTTTACTTTGATTCCCTCCAGCGATTTGGACCCCGAGGTTTCCTCAGACCAATGTTCGCGGAGACCCTCAACTGTGCATTTCTCGAGATTTTACCCCTTTCGGAAAGATGGAAACCAAAAGGCAGGGCGAAAGGTTGGGGGACTCCCCCTTGCCGACAAGCACGATCTTGGTGAGGAGTTGCATAGATTATGGGGCGTTCAGACTGAGCAGTGATTCGTCGCGGCACAGTAAGATGCCTTGATAGCCATCACCTTTGGACAGAGGGAAGCCAGTATCTCAAGCCTTGTGTTGTTGCTAACAGGCCGTACTGAATACCTCAGACGAGAGCCTCTGGGCTTCGTGTACACCATCCAGTAATAGTAATCGAACTCCAGGTCCCATAGTGTAGTTAGGTCAAGCTTGTGCAGCCACTTCCACATGAAGCTTTGCGAAAAGAAGTGGTTCGGGTAGTACTGGGCAAGCTCAATTGGTACCATTTTGGAGGTCTCGGGACACCATTGCCCTGCTTCTCGATAAGGTAAATCTGTTTAACGGCTTCAGCAAGATCGGGACGAAGAAGTAGCGTGCGGGCGAAAAGCCACCGCTTCTGGGTGGTGGGTCGGTGGTAAAGGTGAGGTGTTGCCACTTGGCTTAGGGTTCTGGAGGTCGACGCCAGAGCTAGCAGAGTAGAAAAGTCTGCGAGGTCACTCTTCAGTACACAGTAAGGACAGAAGTGTCCGACTATGAGCTTGCGGAGCTCGAAAGGAAGTTCCACGACGAGAGTTATGACTCAGTCACTTTGCTGCAAGCTAGTAGAGCTTTCAGGTCAGGGTCAGCAATGAAGGCATTCATCAACCTCGGATATTGAGAGTCTGTCCTAACTTACGCGTTGCCGAGATGTGGGTGCCGAAGTTGGTTTCTGAAGAAAGGAGACAAGGGCGGTGCAAGTCCTGGGAAAGACTTTAAACCGCGGGCGGCCAACGTGATGGTTGATTTGTCGTAAGGAATGGTGAAAGTGAAGACATTGAAAGGAGGAGGGTTTTAAGCCCATGATCCCAACGCACAGACCATGATATGGTCCCATCTATCAAGAGATCATCTGAAAATTAGGTATATCTAAGGAGATAACATGATGGAAAACAAAGTCTGCAAAGATGAGCCAACAGCAGGTATGTGGCTACCTCGCATTCTCGACAATAACCTGGATGGACGGTTGGTATTACCACCAAGTGCCAAGCCAAGAATGGACGACATCTGAAGCACCAAAGATACCGGTAGCAACCCTACTTTTGTCAACATAAGATGCTCTGAATAATTGCGCCAAAGAGCAGCATCGAAAAGACAGATGATAAGCCGCAGACATAGCTTCGGACTTCCTCTCGTGGTAGCTATATAATTAGGGATAAGGAGCCCAGGTAACTAGACTAGACAAGTTTCACGATACTAGGTCAGTAAAAGTACCAAGAAACTACTGCCTTAGGTAGGTCTTTCACGGCGTTCTCAAATGCTGACGTGGCGATCCAGCACTTAGACTGCACAACATTTCCCAAAGCGGACAGACAGCGGGAATGCCAGGGTCTCATGGTCCCCACTTCAACATCTGTGGTTTTTGAACAATGGCTCTGTTTTCGGAAGGCAGAAACCCACGTCCTTTGTGTGTTGTAGAGAGCCAAGCACGCATTCCAGGCTGTGTGCTTTGCTTTCCCTTTTATATTACACCCAGCAACACCAAGGATCGCAACCTCACAACGGTTGAACGGTGAACGCTAAAAAAATGAATATTGGTGTGAGTCTTTTGCTGAGTCCCACATTATGGCTCTTTGGTCTGAGCACTGTGACTCCAGGGGTGATGGCTGGGTCGATTTCGAACCCGTGGAAGGGACAGCCAGCAAGGCCAGCGACCTATCACCTAGAGGCTGAGACTCTAGTGACTGCACAACGGCTAGACTCTGCCGTTGCATTGTCATTTCCCCTGTTTGACACATCCTCTATCTTGCCCGGATTCGATGCCACAACACAAGGAGCAAGCAATGATGTTGTTCTACGCCACATCGTCACGACAATGACAACCATTTCAGGGACAGGCGAGACTGTGGCGGTGACAGGATTACTGGCAGTTCCGGTGTCAGCCAACAATACCATTCCTGTAGTGTCGTGGCAGCATGGAACCATCCTCTCTTTCGACCAGGTGCCTTCCCATATGGTGAAGCTCTCCGATCCAAACTACAACGTGACCGACGATGCCGACTCCCTGGAAACTTTGTTTAATATCCAGCGATTTGCAGCGAACCGGTTTGCCGTCATTGCGGCGGATTACATCGGCAAGGGCCCGCTTCGGGAAGGGCGTGGCGAGGCCTATGTCGTCAAGGGCGCAACTACGCAAACGTGTGTGGAATTCTCAACGCTGGGCTCGCCGCGCTGGAGGATCTTGGTTTGACACCGGCGAAACTGTTCCTACATGGCTGGTCCCAGGGTGCCCTCAACACGCTATGGTTGCATCAAGCTCTCCGCTCCAATGGGATCGATATTGAAGCGACGGCTGTTGCCAGTCCCTTCAGTGATCTCGATCAAGCATGGCGGTATTGGTCTGGGAAGGTCATTTTCCCACTGCCAAAGGGTCTCGAGAGCTACCCTCCCCTGGCTGCCTGGATCGCGCCTTGCATGATTGTGGCTCTTGGTAGCTACGAGCTGTACTACAATCTCCCAGGCCTAATGGAGACGGCGGTGCGGCCTCAATATCGGGAACTAGCAGAAAGAAATTGGCAAGATTATAACATCAGCGCCATTGATCCCTCAAACTCTCCCAACAGTACCAACCTATTGGCGGATAGCTTCTGGAAAGGCTGCACGAACGATCACATTAGTGCGCTGCAACGGCAACTGATCAGAAATGCAGCCATAGACTGGGAATACGATAGCCCCATTCGTTTCTACTATGGTCTTGCCGACGAAGCTGTCCATCTGGCGATGGTGACGCGAACAGTTGCTGCTGGGGGCAGGTATGCCGCTGGAATCCAGGTCGCCAGGGCTAGCCACCGGGCGACATTTCTTGCCGGGCTGTATGGCAGCGGAGCATCGCTTGACGGCTTCGATAACGTGTTGTCTTGGTTTCAGAGCAAAGCTTAGTCGGGCACTCGCTGAGCTTGATAGGAGGATAGGTATTGAATGATAAACTGCCCGATAATTGTAAAATACCTGCCATGAAAGTCATCCAAAGTAGGTAGCCAGTCCCAAAATGTCCTTACTTCAACTCAGGTCAAAGATGAAGGGTCTCACGTGGTATCGCGCCTATTTTGGTGTGTTCAAAGTCTCCGCGGTCGCGAAACATGGGTCGGTCATGTTTCCATCCACAAATGCACATGCCCTCTGCTGTCTTTTTCTTCGGTATTCCTCTTCCAGGTTTGCACCAAACTCCACTGCGGGGTTTCAGTGTCGCCATTGGCCATGTCATCGCTTCGACCACCTTTTTGGAGCTTCTGACGAGGTACATGACATCGGAGGCATTATGCTTCACCATGTGTCGCACGCTTATCGATTTCGCACGGCTGCATCGGCACCTGGAAAGTGGGCGCCCGTTTTTAAACTTGACAGGGACGACTGTGGTGTCGTGCAAGGCACCTGCCGACTAGCCGTAGCGTTCCAACAGGTCCGGGGACGGCCCGGGGATAGCAGCACACTGACGTCAATGCCACAATGAGCTGAAGGAGAGCAAGTAGAGCTCCGTGATATATCTTTCTGTTTGTGGCCAGTCTTGCACTTCCTGCAGATATTGTCGACATTATCTTTTGGGGAAGCTGCCGGTCACCCTACCTTTCGCAGTGCCCTCCTCAATAAACCAGCATTCGACCAACACCATCGGTTAGCTGGGGCACTATTGACTGAAAAAAAGTTCCCATCACTCGCCATCACTCCAAGTTCTGCGATAATTAACATGGGCAACTTCCTCAATCGCAAGCCGGTCCCGGCCCCGGATGCGAACCATCACACCCATAGCGACTTGCACTCGGCGTCTTCTCGACCGAGTGTCGGTCAGTGGTTCAAGGCGACATGGCTGGATATCTTGACCATGGCTGCCCTTGGCGCCGTTGGTCTGGGTGTAAGGATTCTTCTCTGGGCTCCTGCTGAGCTCCTGACCTTTGGGTCTAGTTACTGACAGAGGACTCACTCAGGTTTATCACGCGAAACCAGCCCCGACCCGTTCGTTCCCCGTCACGTTTGCCGACGGCGAGATCGTCTACCCCGAGTTCGGCTACCCTCTTCGCAAGGAGATCATTCCGATCTGGCTCGCTGCATTTCTAGCTTCTGTCATTCCCATTGTCATCATGCTGGTCATGCAGATCCGAATCCGATCGTTTTGGGACTTCAACAACGCAGTCATTGGCTTGCTGTACAGCCTAATCACCGCCGCCGTGTTCCAAGTTTTCATCAAGTGGCTCATTGGTGGCCTTCGCCCTCACTTCCTTGCCGTTTGCCAACCGGATTTGTCTCTGGCTTCTAATGCGGCTGGCGTCCAGGGAGCTGGGTACAATGGACGGGGATACACAGGCATCTACTATACCAAGCAAATCTGCACCGGCGATGAAGATGAGATCAACGACTCGCTGGAAAGTATGCCCAGCGGGCACACCACTGCCGCCTTTGCAGGCCTGATCTTCCTCAGTCTCTACCTGAACGGCAAGCTGAAAGTATTCTCGGATTATCACCCTGCCATGTGGAAGCTGGTCGTTCTGTACGCACCTGTCCTCGGGGCCTGCTTGATCGGAGGCGCGCTTACTATCGACGAGTACCACAACTGGTACGACGTTTTCGCCGGCGCTGTTATTGGAACTGTTTTTGCTTTCAGCGCTTACCGGATGACGTATGCCTCGATTTGGGACTGGAGGTGGAACCACGTCCCGTTGAACCGCACAACGTCTTTTACCTTTGGACATGGCGGCCAGCAATACTTGGACGTGGGAACGTTTACGAGACGGGGCGCTTGGGGAGAGAAGCACGGGCTGACTGGTCATCATAATGGGACGGCTGCTCACCACCATGCGGCTCCTATCGGGGCGACTACCGGAACGAATATTCCTCAGAACGGTGTCCATGGCGACAATATGGTATAGTGAGCAATGATAGGTATGGAATCGTGTTTCAGGGTAATGCGGAGCGGGAAACAAAGCCGGGATGGTGAGGTAGTGTAACCCCAAAGCAGGATGGAATTGGAATGGAAGCTTGCGGTCAAGGGTGGAGACCATGGGAATTATTGCCGAGAGGCACAACCCCTCCTTTCATGTCACGATGAGTTGCTTTCTCATTGACTGATCTTTAATTTGAGATCATTTGATACCACAAGAATTTGCAGTTATCTCTCTTACCCAAGAAACCAAAATATCCTTATTGAAAGTCATTAATCAACCACGTAGAACAATCACCACTTAACCTCACTATGCCGTTCCCATACAAGACGGTGCTCATCACAGGAGCAACATCAGGCATCGGTCTTGCACTGGCCGAGCGCATGATATCTGCGGGCATTTTTGTCATTACAATTGGCCGTCGCAAAGATCGTCTTGAAGCCCTGGCTGAGAAATATGGCAGCGAGAAAGTCGCTGCTGAGCCATTTGATGTGTCGGACTTGGACGCCATGCCCGCGTGGGTTGAGCAGTAAGCTACACCAATCCTTTCGTGTTAGCCTATTCGTTGACCGTGATCTTTTTTAGGATCACATCCAAGTACCCCCGTCTCGACTCCATCATTCTCAACGCCGGCTTCCAGCGGTCCCTCGACTTCACGTCCCCGTCCACCATCTCCTTGTCGTCCGTCTCGGCAGAGCTCACCACCAATTATCTCTCCCTCCTCCACATGGTCTCCCATTTTCTCCCGCACCTGATCTCGCTCGCCCCATCCCCGACGTCCATTGTTCTTGTCTCCTCAGGTCTCGCTGTCCTCCCCCTGCCCCGATGCGCAAATTACTCCGCCACCAAAGCCGCCGTGCACAGTCTGGCTTGGTCACTCCGGTGCCAGCTTTCCGGTCCGGAATCACCTCATACCCACCACATCAAGGTAATTGAGATCATGCCGCCGGCCGTGCAGACAGAGTTGCATCCCCAGCAAAAGGACTTGGTAGAGGCGGGGCAGGATCAGCCCGGGATTGAGCTGGAGAGGTATATCGAGGAGACGTGGGTGGACTTGGTGGGGGAGGAGGAAAAAGAGGAGATTGTGCACAGTGTGTTGAGGGAGAGGTTGGAGGCGGTAGAGGGGCCGAGGAAGGGGGCGTGGGAAGGGTTTGTGAGGGCTATGAGGGGGGCTGGGTTGAGGTTTTGACGTTGTGGGGCATTTAGTCGTCCAAGTCACAAAGGTCATCATCATCCTCCATCTCCTCCATGTATTTCCATTCTACTTCGTCTGGGTGGTCGTTTTCCAGTAGCTCCTTTTCTACCAATGAGATTTCCAGCTGGACGTGTTTGGAGATTGTTAATTCATCTGCTGCTGCCCGCCTTAACCAACAGTTTGCCGCCGTGTCTTGCGCGGGATCATCGCTGAACGGATGGCCTTCTAGTCTTGGAGGGCTGTTGGGAGAGAGGGGTGTGGGTTTAGTCGTCACTTGCACCAGCAAGTTGTCTCTGAACGGCGCCGTATGAGGATAATCGACCTCAGAGTCCAAGTCAAAGCCTGTATGAATATCTTTGTTCAAGAACTTGAGAAGATGTTCTGGTCCCGGTGCATCTCCGTCAATACTACTTCCCGGTTTTGGTCCATTACTTTGGTTCAAAATATCCACCCACCGCTCTGGTCGAGGAAGTTTCCTGTCAACGAGCCAGATGCCGAAGCGGGGGAATGGCGGACAAAAATAGACCACCAACAGGTAGAAGATGGGCGAAGAACTGGTCCCGGTGACACCCAGAATTTGAATGTATAACGTCCCGTTGGTCATTAAAGCTCCTCCGTCTTTGAGCATGATGGTCCCGAAGTAGTTCATGTCTGCGAAACCGAGGAGTCCTGCATCGGAGCTGCTGGAAATGGCCCTAGGTGCCACAAAAGACCACTGTTGGTGACTGTCTTTATCTGGCCTGTATCCGAATGATTTCCGCAAGAGCAAGGATGCCAAGCGCGAGCTTTTAGCGGGAACCGTAAGTAGAGTGGTTGATGGATTGATGAGGGCCGAGGGCTTGGGGTGAGTGAGGGTAATACTATGCCGGCCCAAGCTTTGCCATTTTCCTCTAAGCAATCTGGTGGTGTCCATGAACTCCTGCCACGAATATAGGGATCCAGTTCTCAGTACCTCGTAGACGGGATGTCCAATGCCGGTGGCGGCCAAGGGCAAGATCATCGGGTCGTCTGGCTCGCTGGTCCGCGCGCAGTTTAATTTGATCGCGTAGAGAGCCGGGGTCCGTGAATTCGAAAGCCGCTGCTGATATTTTGAACCTTCGTCTTCGAATCGTTGAAAGAGTTCAACTTTGAGGCTGATGCCGCCATTGGAGAGGCCGACATTCCTGGGCCCTTTATCAAAATGAATGACTGCCAGCCCGTTGGATTCAGAAAATGCTTCGGGAGATTCTGCAAACAAGCTCTCCCGTACCATCCACTCAGGATATCGGCCTCGTCCCCCCATGCGTTCAGCAAATGAGCGTGCATTGGTGGAGAATACTGACCCTTTTCGGGTAGTCCAGAGAAGCACCGTTTCATCGTTGAATAGACGTATCAGCTCGTGCTGGAGGCGAACAAACGCATTCTTGCCTTCACCATAGAGGAGGGGCATGTGAACGCCTAGGAGACCCATCATACTGTAAGCCCTGTCCTCGATCTTTGTTGTCTGGCGTTTAGAAGCCCACGAGAGCTCTGTTGCTATGGAACACGACCTAAAATTCTGGATATCCTTTTGTTCGATCGTGGTTGCATATGCTACTGCAAGTGTGCACGTTTCCCTGGAGCCAACGATGTTCCAGTCTGAGTCGACAAAAGCCAAGAATGACGGAGCAAGCAGCTCCTGTTGAGTCCATCCCCTTGTGAACCAGCGACTTTGGACCACCTCGGAATTGCGAGGCCGTGACTTTCCATCACTGCAATAATGTGGAGGGACATCCTCCAGAAAGGCGTAACAGATCTGAGCCTCTTCATACCAGCGGAACATGGAGTTGATGGCCTCTCCAAATTCATAGCTGTCGGCCTTGTTGATGCAACACGTGTCGATCCAGACGTACTGCCATCCCTGGGATCGTGCGAGTTTGCAACAGTTCTTGACCTTTTGCCGGCCCTTGAGCGATGTTCGCGCAGAGCTCGAGATGTCATTGAAGGTGACCTCCTGCTCTCCCCATGTGTGTGATAGAATGGCATATTGGGGCATGTTGTTGAGGAACTGCTCAAGTTTGAGGGTTGTAGTGTTGAGAAGTCTCATTTTGGGGAGTCACCACTGGTTCAATAGCAGGAGGGGCACAAAGATGAAAAGAAAACGAAAAAGGCAAAGAAAAAAGAGGAAAAGTGTTATGGAAAGTAAACATAACGTATTTGATAAGCGAGCGGATCGGATAAGCGAGTGGATCGATTTCCACTACCCTATTACAACCATCCTTAATTGCAAAACAACAATACTATTAACCTACTACAATTACATCAGAAACAGCTGAATTAGACTCTTCTGCAACCTCCTGGCACGTACGGATATTATATCCAGGCTTGCCGCACACACCACAGCACTAAACCTTCGTACGCCCTCCCCCTACACTACCACCACCCTGCTCCTTTCCTTGCGCCACCTCTCCACCCACAGCCTTCTGGTCCAGTAGATCCTATGTATTTTGCACAGTAAGTGATCCTCTAAGTTATACGCGTATTTTTTTTACTTTCCGGCGTTTACTTAGTGCCTCGTTTATTTTACGGAGCGAAGATACTTTTAATTAAAGGAAAACTATTTAATATATTATAGTTATTATACCTTTAGTAAGTTAGTTTACTGTAATTAATATTAAAGTCGGGGAGTTATTTTAATAGTTAGTAATATAAATTTTAATAAGCGTTAATTATAAATTAGTTTTTCGGGGGTTTTATAATGTTTGGAATACTTAAGGTAGTACCGTGCCCGGTTTTAAAAATAGGGGTATAGGCGTACGAAGCTTTATATTTAGTTTAGAAAGTATTTTCTTTAAATCGTATAATATAAAGCTAATACCCGTAAAACTACTTTATATATTCTTCTCTATTATAGAAGTAAAGAAAGCTTCGCGGAAAGTATAAAGAAATTCGAGTTTATTTACGTAATTAATATATATATATATCTAAGCCCTCGATTTAGCGGCCGTATATTTATTTTAGCGGCTTAAAGTAATTAATATTAAATAGTTGGAGGAAGTGGGAGGAGTATAAAGGTATATAAAGCGTAATAATATTATTTTATTAATAATAGTGCTCGAATTTAATTAAGTAATAACTTTTGTAGTTATTAAAGATTAATAATTAGTATTTACTCTTCGTACGGAACGCTATATAATAATCGAAGTATTTAATTTAATTTAGGTTTACCGGATTAATAATTTAATTATTATCGGTAATTATAATATATTAAGTAAATAATAAATTATATTTAATATATTAATTAGTAAAGTAATATTATACGGCTAAAATAATAAAGGGTAAAATAGCTTAGTCGAGGGTATTAACTCCCTAGATTATTATTATTTATTTACGGTTATTAGGCTAAATTAGTTTTATTTTATTAAAGCCGTCCGAAGTTATAATTATTATATTTATAAAAATAATATTTATTATAAACTTAATCTCGTTAAAATTATAAATATTATTATTTATAATACCGTACTTAACTTTAATATTCCGTATAAACGCAAGCACTT